TAAAAAAAAAAAGACCCGTTATAATTAAACGTGTATGAGTGTGTTGTAGACCAAACACAGTCGTTTAGTTAATGAGTTTTGAAACAATTTAATGGTAATCGCCTTTCTGACTGGCCAAACTAATTAAGCATATCAGGTTTTGACAAACTTGACGTCACTTAATTGATTGAATTTGTCAAAATTTCGATAATTCTTTTCGGGGATCACTATGTTTCGTAATTCCTTCAGCCATTACCATTACAAATTTGCAAATAAAGTACTTAATACTCCCTCCGTCCCATAATCATTGTCCAGTTTGGATTTTCGTTTCTAGTTCAAATTGTACTAAAAGTAAAATCTCAAACTGGACAATAATTTTGAGACAGAAGGAGTATTAGTGAAAGATGAAGTTTTCTGCTTACTGTATTATTCGTAAAAGAACATCAACAAGTAATTTTTTTTTTTTTCATTTTCTGGCAAAGTCCCACATTATACTCTCTGATACCCACCAATGGACTGTTGAACCAATGCGGAAGTTCTTTTGCGGGAAGATATGTGAATGTACTTTACCCTATTTTGACTATATTTTTGACACCTAGCTAGTTAAAAATTACTAGTAGAATTTGGTAGGAAACTATTTGGCGCAATGTTTTTTGGATAATATCGCGGATGTTTAAAGTTCCTTCTGCCAATTGCTAACTTGATGAAGCGGGGAAAATAAAGGCTTGTGAAGTGTTCTTTTCCGGTACGTTCTTTATGAGAAGAAGAATGAGCATTAAAAGCTCCGATTTCTATCAGTTAGCTAACCCAACTTTAAATAGAACAAAAGAAAAAAAAAAAAAGAAAAATGAACAAAGGGCACGCACTAACAATATAATGTATTTTCTTCTATTGTGAAATGATTATTTCCTTTTTGTTGCGTTAATCACGATGATCATTATGACGATAAGCAGTGAGGGCAAGGCGAGAACGTGGAAAAGTTCCAAATACACACACTTAATCTAGGAAAAAACAGGATGAGAAATTTATCCCACACGGGTCGATTTAGACCACAAATTAACAAGGCAGGCTTGATGTTAAATGAGAGAGTAGGAGGAAGGATAACTCAGCATTTCAGTAAAAAGAATTCCTGCAAAGCAAGCAACATCGATCGTTTGAGAGATATGCAATGTTGCCGATTTTTATTTATTTCTTTTTTGTTTATCTATTTGAGTAAGCAATGCCAATTGCGGAAATACCACAATGTGTTTGATATATATCATATACGGGCCAATTAAATATTTCTAATAATGTTAGCTCAGTGATTCGATATTGTAATTTCCGTCTCAAAATACTTAAGTAAACTATTTTTTCCGAGACAGAAAGAGTACTACTATATAAAATTTTCACATTTTTACATACGCAAATCAAAATGGGTAAAAAGCTTTTGGGCAGATTTTGTTACGCATTGTGTCATTCTGTCTTTATTATCTCATTCGAAATCAAACCAAGCTTCATTTTAGATGGTAAGATGCACGAGAGTTCTTATCCAAATTTGCCATTTGCCACGGTAAAAAAGGGTAATATATAAAGACCATATCACTAAACAAAAAAAAAAAGTATTAGACTAATTAATTAGGACGAGAAAACTATATATCTCTCTAGCCTACTTGTACAATCAAGTGGAACATTAAACTAAGGTTTGATTAACTAATAACGGTGTATATATGATCATCAGATATGTTCAAAACCCAGACTTGTACTATGAACGTGTTACGTGTGTTGATTGTTTCTGTAATTTTTTTTTCCCGTCACAAGAAAGGGTAAGCGCATATGTTAATGTTCGGATTCTGCTAGTTGACCTTTGATCTCCAAGAGGACCAAGACGACCCCCCTATTAGAGAATAGTACTCTCTTGTCCTAAAATTTTTTTAATATTATTAAGTTATTTCTTGGGGAGGTCGAAAGAGTATATCCTACGAACGTATAAAGTATTCCTATGAAACATTGACGATTGGAGGTGGCAACTAGTACAATTGAGTTGGTAGGTCCTTCCAAAGTCAATGCCTGACGACGCAGTCAACATAGAGTATTTATGTGGGGTGGACTCCGTTTGCAAGCAACCATGACCCCGACGAGATGTCTGCATCTCATAAAATCATAAAAGAGCTTTCAATTGAATACAAGTTAGAATTATTTTTGGCAAAAGGGCAATCATGTTTTCCTTGATTAGTCAAGTTGTGTGCAATTTCCTGTAAGTACTTTGGTACAAAATGTTATCGAATTGTATGTCTATGGTCTTTTATTTTTTATTTTTTTTTAAGTGTAATACTTCATTCACCATAATTTGGATATGAGTTTGATTTTCAATTTCTTGTTCGAAACGGCGTATATATATATAACAACATTGCATGCATGTTGTCTTGAACAAATTAGGGTGAACTTCCCACAGTACACTACAATAAGTAGCCATGGTAAACTAAAGGTGGAAAGATAGGAACTGGGGAGAGAAAAAATGGTTGTCCCTCCAACAATTAATGGCCTACAATGATTTTGAAGTTCTTTGGTAGGGAAGGGAAGAAGAAGCGGGGGGGGAACATGACATCATGTGGTGTTAAAGGACATCGATAGCGACTTGTCTGAAGGAAGGAAGATCTTCTATGCCAATTTCCAATCAAACAAAATCTAAGTCCTGGAAATATGAAGCACCTGGAAGGCTAAAACTGAAAGCACCTGGTAAAAAAAGGAAAAACCTAACTTATAATATTCCCTCCGTCCCATAATTATTGTCCAATTTGAGTTTTCATTTCTAGTTCAAATTGTACTAAAATTAAAATTTTAAACTGGACAATAATTTTGGGACAAGGGGAGTATAATACTACTACTAATCTATGCTCATTTCGTTGGGAACTTGGGATTTGAAAAGGCAAAACGAATTCAAGATACAGTATACTAGGGCGGGCTTTTATGGCACTTTTAGTTCATTTAAATAGCGAAATGCTAGGAAATGAATTGGGTTGGTCGTTAGGAGATTATGATGGTGGATGGTTATTGACAGGAAATTAAGGGTTCGATTTTGGTTGGATCTAAAAAAAATAGCGACATATTTGTTTTGGTCATTTTTAAATTGAATTAAAACCAGTAATTTGTCTGACTAGATTAATTTCAAACGTCTACCGCTGAAATGGTTTTAACGCTACGAATTGTCTTTCCATAAGAAACTGAAAATTTTAATCGACCAAAACATGGTTTTTTTTTTTATCAGGTCAAGAGATTTTGCTTGATTAACACTCATGAAATGGGCTCCCTACTCATCTTTCTAACATTGTTCGTTAATCCGTATACATGTTGGTCATTGAGATCCATTAAGATGGGATTTAGTCTCACCGAAAATATAACGTTAGTGGGCTCCTAGATGAACGGCCCATAGATTTCTGATAATATCGACAATGGAGTCTTGTTGTTATTCGCTTGTCATCGAAACCGTTCCGACTCAGTATTTTTTCTAATTAAAAATCGATGACATATCCTACTATATTAGAAACAAAAACTTCCCTTTCAAACACCTCATATGATTGCCACGTGGCATGTAGAAAATACTAAATTGCCCCTTTTGTTTAACCATAACTAAATTACTAAATCTCCCTATGCACTTTACGTGACACGTTTTTTTTTTAAATTTTTTCTTTATGTTTCATTCAACTAGAGTGGTTTTTTAAATTGAATTGATCAATTAGGTTTTTTGTTACAAAGTGTCAATTTTGTTTTAAGCTTATACCCTTCGGATGAAACTTATTACAAAGCTATTAAAAATCTCCAAAACTAAGTATTGATTTGGCACGATCAATGGAGAACATCAATAAATCATCTTACTAATATTTAAATTTATTAGGATGCTTTTATATTTTATATAACATTTACTTCAACACATATATTCGATTAAGGATATTTATATTTAATAAGTAACACTTATAAAACATTTCTAAAACATACATGGCCAAATACAATTTTTTTTTTTTTTTGCGAAATACAAATATTTCTATGATCACACTTATAAAACATTTTTAAATCCTTCAAACATTACTAAAATATATCGCTCCAAATACAAAATTTTATTTTTTTCAAATATAAACATTTCTAAGATCTACAAATAGACTGGGCCAGAGTTGTGCATTGCGCGACCAAACATCACTAGTATTCTAAGACAACACAATGGTTAGGTTTAGAATCCAACAAAAATATCAAAGTCACAGAGTTATTAGCAGAGATTTGTACTTCTCGAATTTATACTGGATCCCTCGTTTGAAAAACGGTTTAGCACATGTAATAGCTAGCCACTTGAAGTCTAAATGTTGGGAAGTTCAAATTTGGTTCTTTATATCAAGTTTTACGTATCAATCAGAATTGGCTGAATCACAGCAAATACAATGAATTAGTATCTTTTCTTCCAAAAAAGAAAAAAGAAGAAGAACGTGACAATTAATAGATTTGGAAACAAATAAATAGCTTAAAAATGAGATATTCTCTAATAAATATGGTTGCATAGGATAGGTCCGATAGGATGAAGGGATAAGAGTCATGAATAAGGTTCCGGTTGTAGTCTTAAATTTGTTTATGATTATATTTTCACGCCCTCAAAATCAGCATAATTTTGCATACTTACATTTTACTTGATACTTTAAAAAACCAGTAAATGAAGTTCAAACGGCAATGTAGTAAGATTATCGTAATGAAGGTTTACTTGATTTAGTTAACTAATGGGTAAAAATGAATTTACCACCTAAATCTACCAAAAAAAAAAAGAAATTATCACCTAACTGTTGATTAGAATAATAATTAGAAAAACAGGGAGTGATGGGTGGTAATAACAAACTATATCGAATTTCTGAGGGGCTAAAAGTGACAATACCCTTAAAATAGTTCTGGAAATTGATAAGTATGAATTAACTGGAGTTTAGCTAAGACTGTACAGTTGTTAAGTTGGTGTAAAATACCAAGGAGGAGACGAAAGGGGAGAAGGGGGACTCCCAAACTATACGAGAATGAGCGGCGGGAACGATCAGACACCGGCGATTGAGCACAAAAGCTACGCCAGGGTTGGGCTTCTGGGGAATCCCAGCGACGTTTATTACGGACGAACCATCTCTTTCAGCCTCGGCAACTTCTGGGCTTCTGTTCGTTTACAGCCTTCCAAAGATCTCGTCATCGTCCCTCATCCTACCCATGATCTGGTCCACTTCAACTCCCTTTCTCACATGGTCTCTTCTCCTTCATCACTTCATTTCTTTTCCTTTTGTTTACCCCATTAATGGATTTGTTCACAATTGTGCATCAATGCAATTATGCGTTTTTTAGTTTTTTAGTTTTTTTTTCCATCAGGGCCGTTCCGTTTCTGTTTGCCTATTTGGTTCTTCAATTGAATTTATGATTCATCTGAGATAGCAAATCATCAAAATTTTGGAATATTTCTCCTAATTCGCTTCCATTTTCCTTTTCTTTTTTTTTCTTTTTTTTTCCCCTTTTCTTGATGATGCTCGGCTAATATGAGGATTTAGGAAAACTTTTGGTGATGAACTAATAGGGTCATATCTTAAAACTCGAATGCAAGCATTTCATGATCTGAAAGGTTTTAGGAGAACAAAAGGTATTAAAGAAAGGCGAAAGAACTACTGAAATACTTTTAGGTCAGTGTACTGGTGGGTCATCTGTTGAAGGGTCTTCCCGAGGAAGCCCAAAGACAAACGTATTTCAGTATCTTATGCTTTGAACTGGTAACTTATATTGTTTACAGGATGTGTTTGTTTGAACGGCATTTTAGAATGTAAAAGACCTGCTGGATTATCCCTGCCATTTGCGTGTTGATCAAATTTTAGTGAAATTATACCTACGGTATTTGTTTGATGTAACAATGATTGATGTTATCTGTTGCATTTGTTCTTGCAGGTAAGTAGGTTGCAGTCTGAAGGGTACTATGGAGGGGTCCGTTTACTAATGGCTATTTGTAAAGTGTTCCACAACTATTGCAAGGAAACCAACATCCCTCTCCATGGAGAAAATTTCACCCTCTCGTATGAAACTAATATTCCTCGGCAGGTAGTTCTCATAAATTTGTCTCCTTCATCGTTTTGTTAAATCCTAGGTATTTTTGTATTCAAGTCTTAATGACAACATTTGATTTTTTGTCGAATATTGTTCCCTTGGAACAGATGTATTATTTCCTCCCTTTTCCTAAATGATATAGAAAAAATACACAATTAGTCACAGAAAGAGCCTCCTGTAGAAATAAAGAGCAAGACTGCTCATGTTAGGCCTTAATTGCCCTGCATTTGCTAGAGCCTGAACCTGCGTGCTTTTGTACTTATGCCTCCCCTAGTTTATTTGGTTTTCTTTGATACTGTTTACTGCTGAGAATTATTTATACGAGTTCACTGTTGAACTTATGTGTTCTTATTTTTCATTCTGATTAAGTCATGCTATTCCAGACAGGCCTTTCGGGTTCAAGTGCTATAGTCTCTGCCGCCCTAAGCTGCCTTCTAGATTTTTATGATGTGAGGCATTTGGTTAAAGTTGAGGTTAGGCCAAACCTTGTTCTTAGTGCTGAAAAGGAGTTAGGCATTGTGGCTGGTCTCCAGGACAGGGTAGCACAGGTTTATGGGGGACTTGTGTACATGGTGAGTATATGCCTAAAATGGTGGAATCTCAGCTTATGAAATGAGTATGCTCATCTAAACTGGCCAGCTGCTGATATGCAGGATTTTAGCAAACAACATATGGAAGAACTGGGGCATGGAATATACACACCAATGGATATTGGTCTTCTACCACCGCTCTATCTCATCTATGCAGAAAACCCTAGTGATTCTGGAAAGGTGAGTATCCTTATGAAGCAACTGTAACTGTCACTTTTGTTTCCAAATTAAATCCGTGCCTTAAGTTACTGTCCATGAATTTATATCCTGCAAAGCTCATTTGTCTAGTAATTTCATTTGAAGAGGAAATTTGTTTTGTCACTAATGTAGTTGCTTGCTGCTGATTGTTGGAAGGAATTTCCTTTTGTGTTTCATCACTATTTTCAAGTAGTTTGCATATTCTGTTTTTACGAAAGAAACCTTTTGGAATTTCCTTAGTTATGGAGTACTTATATGCATAACTAACTAGCAGGTTAAGAAAAATCAATTGATGCTCATTTTCCATTATACCTATGATTGCAGGTGCACAGTACAGTTAGGCAGAGGTGGTTGAATGGCGATGAGTTCATCATATCCTCAATGGAGGAGGTTGCCAATGTTGCTTTGGAAGGAAAGACAGTGTTGCTTGAGAAGGATTATCTGAAACTGGCAAAACTTATGAATCATAACTTTGATCTGCGGAGGTAAGGATTTGCACCCCTCGGTATAAAAATGAAAGATACCTTTGAGATGCATCCAGATGCATCTTATATGGAATGCCTTCTCTTGAGTTGGCATTTCTCTAAATTTTCTGTCATATGTTGTTTTCTATGAGAGAGTGAGTCATCTGGTTATTGATCTGTATTTTTGGGGTATTAATGTGAAATATTTCCTGACTGTTTCTTGAGATGTTATTGGGTCACAACTTGGATGATCAAAGTGAAAGCTGTTCATTCTGTAACTCCTCCACTTCGGCAGTTACTTGGGAAGTGTAAATCTTTCTGTTGATTTCTCTTAAATGAAATTTAGGGTTGGAGAGAAAGTTGTTTTTCTGGATGTAAATCGATTTGTTGAGGTCCTGATTTCGGATCAATAATTATTGCTCTTGTTCTCTAGTTGAGACATCACTGTTATTGTTTTCATTTTCTCTTACCTTTGTGCATCGATGTTATGCATAACTTTTGAAAGGCGCGAAATGAATAGCATAACTCTTCATCCTTCAAACTTTTGTTGGGGAATGGAGAAGGATTTGATCTTTGGCTATATGATTTCTTCAGGCGCATGTTTGGTGATGATGCACTTGGTGCTCTCAACATTGAGATGGTTGAAGTGGCACGCAGGGTTGGAGCGGCATCGAAATTCACGGGCAGTGGTGGTGCTGTGGTAGCTTTCTGTCCCGATGGGCCTTCACAAGCCAAGCTTCTGGAAGATGCATGCCACAAAGCTGGTTTTATTATTGAACCAGTTACTGTTATTCCTTCTCGACTGAATGAGATTGACCTCAAAACCCTTTCTTCGAAATGAACTGCCTTGACCAACCTTGATTCTTGTTGATTATAAACATACATTTTGTCCATAGGATATTTTCTTAACTCATTCTTTCTTCTTCCGTTACAATAAAATATTTTCAAAATGTTTCACTACATGTTGTTCGTTGCAAATGTCACAAGTTACCCGCTTGATGATCGGTTATTAACTTAATATTTCTTCCGGGTGTACTTACATTTCTTCTGAATTCTCAAGACACATGAAGTTGGTTATGAGTATGACAGCCATATACAAATTTCTAATTTGTGTAAAACCAAACTGCCATTGAATATATTAAGACCCCCAACATACAGCAAGTAGAGGGTATGTTTGTTTCCTTTTTTTAATGTGTATTTTTAGGTGTTTTTTATATTGAAAATATAAAAAGTTATATTAGAAATGTAAAAAGATAGACTGGGATGAGACAGTTATTAATATTAAATTCTGAAAAACCCAAAAAAAAAAAACAAACAAAGCCTTAAGTTTTGACTCTTGAATGAAGTACATTGCAAACTCAATTCCCCTCTTGAACAATGAAAGTGTGAACTGCAATGAGAAACCTAACATCATCATTTTGTACAGAGACTACATTACAATGTCTTTTAACCTGAACTACATTTTCTGGAGCAGAGGCAATCCATTAGCATTCCACAAATGTTACTCATACCTTTTTGACAATTGGGATGCCTCTAATACTACTACTTTCATCTAAGACGAGGCAAATCCGTGATAAAGATTCAATCTTGACACAGTGACACAATCAGTTCACGCGGTGAAGATTTCCAAATAGGCAGCTCCGTGAATTTTTTCTTCATTTCCTCTTCTCTTTTACTACACAGTCCTTCAGCTATATCGCACAGATTTGATAAATCTTCGATTATAGCTTCCTGGGCCTCGGCCTATTAGCAAATGAAAAATCAATTCGTCTACCGAAAATTTTAAAAAATAAAATACTAACAAACAAACTTTCTTAAAATATAGCGAAAAAGGAGACCCAGTTATCGATATTTTACCAGGGAAAGGAGCTCGTCGACTAGCTGCCGCCCAGATGAGCCCGGCAGTGTTTCCGGCTGAGGTGAGGAACTGGCAGAAACCTCGTTAGATTCTGCGGATTTATGCTTTTGAAGGATTGGGGATTTCTGTTGCACCTCATTCAACCTGTTCGACAGTTGTTCCCACTGAAGAATTTCTTGTTGGTACTTCTCTCTGAGCTTAAGGAGGGCCATCTTTTTCCTCTGCCGGCGATTCTTCTCTTCAACCGCCGGATCTGGTGGGGGAGGAGCTGATGCAGAAGCAACATCGGCAGTAGATTCAAGGCGGGGTCGCTTCTTGCGTTTGTAAACAAACCCATCGTCGTTGACGAGCTCCCACTCCTCGTCTATTATCTCAATTACAGACGCCGCCATGGCCGATTTCGTGTGCCAAAAATAGTTATCGGGCTTTCCCTTTGTTAACGGAATCAGAGGGGAAGCAGAAAACCGAGAATGTGCCAAAGGCGAAATTTTGAAAATGAAATGAAATAAAGGAGAGGGAAATCTGAGATAATTTGGCCCGCCCTAGTATTTCCCCAATTTTTATTTTTTTTTGGTTTGAGATTAGGAGGATTGGTATTGCTGAAAGGTCCCCATTAATCTAACCTAATTTATTTCTGCCCCTTTAGTCTTTACCAAACCCAACATTCAATTGGATGATTTTCTGTTTCTTTCTTTTTTGGTAAAGAAAAAAATTGATTATCACTTTTTTCTTTTATTAGGAGAATTTGATTATAACTTCATTTGATGATTGAAATTTCGTTCCATTTAATAAGGCTCACATGGATATGCAATGTTGAAATAGTGTAGTCCCTTAAGTTGTTTTCTTATAAGATTATATCTAATAAAATTATCAAAATTTCATTTAAATTGGTGCAAAACAAAATTTATTAATAAATTTTTGAAAACTTCTTTGAGAATAGATAGATCTCATTTTATCGGGAGCAATCAACTGTTAGTTTAGGCTCACTCGCTGAAAATTTATTACTATGTCTGAGTTTTGATTAGTTGAGATAATTGGCTAAATTAAGAACCAACAAACAGTTGTACTCCCTCCGTCCTATAATTATTATTCAGTTTGAATTTTCATTTCTAGTTCAAATTGTATTAAAAGTAAAATATTAAATTGAACAATAATTTTGGGACATAGGGAGTACAAACTATGGGGAAAAATTGTATAGAAAATCCGGGAAATAAATAAAGAGTTCAAAATTTGAGACACGAAAGGGAAATTTAGTAAGAGTTTTGTGAGTACTGAAATTACGGGAGAGCCCCAGTGTGATTAACAATGATAAACTAACATTAGCAAAAACTGCTTTTGGTCTGAGGAATCCTCAGTGAAAGGGAGGGAGATGGCCAAGTATGTCTACAAAACGACCGCCGGAGTCTCCCGCATTCTCAACCGTACACCTCCGGCGTCTGCTTCCATTTCAATGGCGTTCTTGAAGCTACCTCCCCAGTTCTCCCGCCTTAGCTTCCCATTTACCACATCTTCAAGTGTCTTATCTAAATCCCTATACTACTCCACCACTGCCACTCCATATCCTCTGCAGTACGACATGATCATATCCCGCCCGGCTAATCAGCAAAACCGAATTTCTGACCGCCGCCGCCGCGGTCGCCGCCTATTGGACTCTCCCAGATCAAATACCGGCGACCCCGAAGACCAGCCGGAGTCCGAAGAGCTCGGGTTCGATGATTGGGTGGATAAGAAGTTGAGCTCTGCTGAAATGGATAAGTCCAAGAGGAAATACTACAATAAGAGGAGAAAGAGGATGTACGGTACGGATTCTGAAGACGAGAATAATCGACAACAAGGGAATGATCTTGTTGAATTGAAGCAAGAAGTAGTGGAGCTTCGCACATTGCACAAGAGAGAAGAAGAGCTGTATTTCTACGACACGTTTGCGTATCCCTGGGAGAAAGACAAGCATTACAAGATGGTTTATCAGATGGAGAAGAAGTACTTCCCTGATCAGGGTTTCGATAAGGCTTTTCTTGATCCCGGTCAATCTAACGAGAGGGACAAGAAGAGTAAAAGTGATAAACCAGTGAATAAAACCAGGGACGTGAAAGAGAAGGACGAGGAAGACAAAAAGATGCTGTTTTTTGATGATGAAGGAGATGACAAGGAGAAAGTGAGTGAGGCTGCTGGGGGTAGTGAATTGAAGATTGATGTTTCAGAGAAAAAAGTTGAGGAGTTCTTCAAGTGCTTGAGGAAAGTCCCCAATGAAAACAGTGAGACGGCTAATCCCGAGCCTTTCCTGTCCTCTCGTAGTACAGGGCTTCCTCGTCAATGGGATACCCCTAGAGGCTCTGTGGTTCTGGTCAATAAACCAAAAGGTGAACAATGTTGGAAACACTGCTTCGTCCTTTATTTGGTCATTCGTTCTGAATTTTCAATCTTCTTTCCCTAAAATGCTTGTGGACTAGCTTGATCTTAATGCAACTATGAACCTAAAGATATTTGGATCTGTTAAGACTTGTGTTGTTGTTCTGTATGAGGTTACTTTTGGAAAAGACAGCTAAATTCACTGTTTAGCTTACAGGTTGGACGTCGTTTACAGTTTGTGGGAAGCTGCGTCGCCTTGTCAAAGTGAAAAAGGTGCCTCTTTAGCATTTAATTGTCTTTTTGTTTGCCCTTTCTTCCCCGTTGATGTGGCATTTCAGCTGGTTTTCCTCTGAACCTTTGCTTATAGGTGGGCCATGCTGGAACTCTTGATCCCATGGCGACTGGTTTGTTAATAGTATGCATTGGCAAAGCAACGAAAGTGGTTGATAGGTGAGCTATGATGCGTGTTTAAAAGTTTTTGGAGTGTCCAATGAGCTCTTTGTATAAGAATTACAAAGTTTTTGGAGTCTTCAGTGAGCTCTTTCTGTGTTTACTGTTTACAAGTACATTTTTTCATGGGTTAGTGTGTTATGATATGACTAAGTTCTTCAACAAAAAAAAGGCCTGCTTTTTTCTTCTCTCTGTTATTCTTGTTCTTGTTGTAATTTCCCTTCCTTTTCCAGTTATCAAGGTATGGTCAAGGGTTACAGCGGGATCTTCCGTCTGGGAGAAGCTACATCAACTTGGGATGCTGATTCACCCGTGCGTTTATTTATGGTTGCGCCTTATTTTGGTGTCTGAAAAATTTACTCAAATCTTAAAACATGAATCTTTCATATACAGGTTATTCAACGTGAACCATGGGAACATATCAAGGAGGAGGATCTAAAAAAGATTGCTGCGTCATTTTGTGGTGAAATATGGCAAGTTCCCCCTATGTTCTCTGCCATCAAAGTAAGATTTCTTCCCGGTATCCCTTCCTGTGAGGGATAGCATTTAGAAGTTTCTTAATGCCATGCGTAGAGAAATCCAACTATGAAAATAGATATTTAATAGCTATTCTCCTGATGTTAGGTTGGTGGGGAGAAGATGTACGAGAAAGCAAGAAGAGGAGAAAGTATTGAACTTTCACCTAGACGAATTTCAATTTTCCAGTTTGACGTGGAACGAAGCTTGGAAGACAGGTCAGTATCAGTTAGTTGGGGATCATGAAATCCTGTTCAATATATGCTCAATCACTTATCGGTTGTCAGAAATCTATCCAGAGATTCTTCAAGTTTCATCCATATCTCTGGTGGGTGTGACGTCCATCAAAATATGTTTCAACAAAACACTACTCATAAATAATTGTGTTATGCAGACAAAATGTGATCTTTCGAGTGACATGTTCAAAAGGAACATACATCCGTTCCCTCTGTGCTGATTTTGGAAAGGCTCTCGGCAGGTAATATCTATCTGCAAGTTGATCTACAGTGTGCTTATAGTACCCTATTGTAATCCATCTTTTCCATGATACCTTCTTCAAAACAAACATCTGATTTCTAAATGATCTGATGTTTTTGCAGTTGTGCTCATTTGACAGCGCTGCGGAGAGATTCAATTGGTAAGACCTTTTATTACCTTTCTTCTTCTGTCATTTAATTTATATACTTTAGCTGTCATTGAAATCATCTACTTGAGTATGAAAAATAGAATAGTTTACCAAACAAAGGATTTGAGAAACATGCTTTCTAATATCCTTCAACCCTCATGAGGATGGTTAGAGATTAGTCTAAGAGTTGGATTATGATCAATTGTTTGCAAAATCGTCGACCATTTCTGAAAATTAGTTTGATCTTCAAAAAACTCACATGTACATAAGGTTTTCCAGCTCTGAAGCTTTTTCTGGAGAAAACCCCGATATCTCGTGTTTTACCTTCTGTTCAGGTTCTCATAGAGCAATTTTAACAATATTTATCACCATATGGATTCTAATTTCGACTGTAATTTCAGGAGAATACTTAGCAGATGACGCGTGGGAATTTCGAGAACTGGAAGAAGCAATTACCAAAAGCTATTTATAGAACCTCTGGAATGATTGCACCAAATTTTGGCTTTATGGAGTTACAGAAACTCAGGAGGATAACATTGTTTCCTGCCTACCATATCGGCAAAAAAGTTTCACACTTTGCAGAGAGTAGATGAACTTGTAAAAAGTGCTCCCAGTTGTCATAGAACAGAGAAACACGACAGATCGTTTCAAATTTGTGATGTATTAATACTTAACAATGTGACTTGTGAGATTTATCAACTTGATATAGATTTATGACCAATCTGTACAGAAAACATATTCCTTGTCGCAAAATTGGCATTGGGCTAAATTTTACTTTACTGCTTTACTCTAGGCACAGATAATTTTTACCAAAATTTACGGACAACAATAAATTACAGAAAAAAAATACTAATAAAAGGACGGAAAAACCTAATAAAAACAAAAATAATGATCGTGGTTCTATCTACCTGCGACTAATTACAAGGTCTTTTGCAGAATCAAGTCCAATGAACAGTGGAGTTGGGGGGATCAATTCCCATCTCCAGATAATAGGCTCTCTCTGCAGCATTCAACCGATCCTGAAACATCGTCCATTCATTTCTACATCTTTCTCTTACCTGATCAACAACACAAACTTTTAGTTTCTATAACTATACCTATTGAAGCTAATGTAGCATTGTTCATTCTCATTTCTATTCCTCAATCCTCGAAGGAGCATAGCATCAAAAGTCAAACTAAGGATGTCATTACATAAAAGAAACAGTAAGGTACATCTGTTTTCCGAATTCATACCAATTGTGATTAAACTTAACACTTACCCCTTCCCATGGTGCTTTGCCATCTTGCGATTGACCCTGCTCACAAAAAATATGATGTCATCAAACCTTAAAATATAACAGGTAACAAGAGAGACCATTAACAAAATACCTGGTTCCCAAGTGAAGGAACAGTTTGATGAACAATCCACTGAGCATCTACAACTCCTATCTTTTCATGAGCAGGCTGTTCCAATAAACGGCACATTTAAAATGCCAGGAATGAATACGGACATAAATACTAATAATAACAAAATAGCAAACAAGAACAAGATGAACAGCATAATTTGATTGAATATTTACCTCGACACATTTCCTAAGAGCAAAATCAAGACCCCATCCATGGACTAAGTCATTCTGCAATGCAATAGAAATATCCCAGATTCTCAACAAAATTGGAAAAAGAAGATTATCTTTCTACCAGGGCCCAGGGAAATGAAGAGAGTTCTCTCTCCGACTCATTTCTTATGCTGTCACCAGCATTAAGTAAAGGAACTTGAAGAAAAACATTAATAACAGACCTGAATCATGTGCCAGACGCACCGCCATGCCGCACGAGAAAAGACCGGTGCCATAATCTCAACAAACCTGTCAATGACAAAATTGAGTTCATAAGAAAAAATTTCACGCTCAGAACATAGAATAGAAACTGTTCCTTATGATTGGGGATGTGGGTCATACGCTGCACATGGGGGCAAATGAGGATCATTGCACCATCCAGGTCTTTCCTCGGTTTCTCTGCAAAGAGTATCAGCAAAATTGCAGAAGTTTCAGCTCATAAATCATGTTCATCTGATATGGAAAACCAAAGATTGTCTACTATATAACTCGTATTATTCTGTGATCCTTACTTGTGAACTTCCGTGTCATTTACTCTCTTGGTCATCTGCCATGTTAATCCACTATTTGGTGCTAAACCAGGTTGTGAAATTTCCAAACCATGCTTCCTCACCAATTTTATGTATCTGCAGATGGCCACTAATGATTATAGTTGCATACTGTAAATAAATTTTTTATCTCAAAGCAAGATTAAGGACTGAGAATGACTTACTCCTCAAAGTCAAAATCATCTACCCCTAGGTCCTCATCCCATATAAAGATGTAGTCATAAGGGGCTATGATGTCGGGATGCAGAAAGCGTTTTGCATACCACCTGGTAATGAAAGCTGAGAAGTTCACAATCACACATAGATAATATAAACCTACTTGGACATGAGAAAAAATCATCACAAAGCTTACCATTTAGTTTGTCTACGCACACTGACATGGATGGCACGCTTAGACCACTCAAACTCATCCCATTCACTGGTCCGACCATCATAGTGAAAAAGCAGGATGGTAAAATTTTCTGACAACTGTAAAGTACTATCAAGGAATTAAATTCCTGGGGTGTATCTTAAACACACAACTTCTTCTACACAAAAGAGAGAAGAACAAAAAGAGGACAAAAAACCAGAAGAAGCTGGAAGGAGTGCGGAAGTACCTTCTTTGCAGCAGCATCAATATTATTCTTCTGATCAAGGCCAACAGTAAAGGTAACGAGGTATCTTGGTCTGACAATCAAGTCCTGAAGATGAATCCATTTGACAATTAGACTAACTGAGTAAAGGAACACATTGTTTTTGCTAGCATTTAAAAATAAGAAAGGTGAACCACAGTTAAATCTGGAAGACCAGGGATCCGAAACAGAAAGTCAAGACATGAACTTTGTTACATGGTTAACACTAATCAGCTTATTTTGTTTACAAGAAAATATTGTCCTCCAAGAATATTTACTGAACTTTATATGTATCACCCAAAATTTTGGTGTTGAAGGATATCAATCCAGTTTAGAACTCTATATGACTCACCGTTTCTATGTTGTGCTTTTACAAGACCATTCTAACAACATTTCATGCACCAGACTATTAAAGAGTGCATTGAATACACTACTATTCTTCATAATGAAAAATATACATGTTTCCCACATGAAACAACAGCCAGCAAACTTGAAGTTATCCATAAAAAATCAAGAAAGGAGAAGAATGGGCATGTATCCGGATCATCGGAAGAATGTACAAACCTCACTTGGTTGACCCCATAATCTGCGGAGATAAAGATCAGACTCTGCTGTAACGATGCCTGGGGGAAGCGTTTCGGTGCCTCGAGGGTTTGTGGCAGCCCATATCTGCATCATAATCACGTGATGGATGAGTAGCAGAAATGATAATGCAACATAGAACACCCTTGTTTTAGAGCCCATTTGTGATCAAGCTTGGAAGCTGAAGTTTTTGGAGATGTAATATCACATAACTGGAGTAGTAAAAGTAACAAAATTACCATCTAAAGTTGATATACCTTCGTGCCATTCAATTTGTGTGTATTGCCCGCGTCATGCTTTAGAGAGGACCAGATATTTAGTAGTGCCTGAGTTGATAACCCAGAATATTTATCCTCAAGGTAGGCAAGGTCAATTGATGGAAAAACCCTTGAAGGTGTCATCTGCAATAAAACACAAAGAAAGACTAGTTCAACATGTACTGGATAGTAGGATAGTTACTTAAGTAAGACAAATCGATTAGAAGGTCTAGAAGAAGTCTGCCAACCTTAGATAAAGAAATTGTTGGAAAAGATACACCTAAGAAGAATCCAAAAACTATTCCCACGATAGTGGTTACAAGCAGCCTCATTGTCTCATTTGGCCTCCTTCCTTGGAAGCTGCAGTGACACCAACAGGAAAGAAATAACATTTGGTAAGACACAAGGCCCCTTTAGTTTTAATTAAAGGAAAAGTTTACAAGAAGTGATGAGTGATGATTCCTCCTAATCGTTACTTTGATAAATCAAAATAGTATCAAGTTGCCAGAGCAGCTAAGTAGGCATATGTTCAATAGAATTAGTAGTACAAGTTTTTAAACCTGCTGCGCCTTGGAGTCGCCATTGTAGCCATCACTTTACAAGAGCACAAACTGCAGAATTGTATAGTTGAAGCTGCAGTAAAGCGTGCAAATGCCAGCCAATCAGCTTCAAAGCTTATGATTTTACATCCTCATGCCCGTATCATAAGCCCTCATTTCCTCATTTCCTCTAATCAGAATGACAGTTTATGCCAAATCCAATCAAAATCAACAAAGAATTAAACAAGCGAACAGGGACCTTCTTAAACAAGTAAAAATAAATAAATAAAATTTCTTTCTTCAAGTATACAGATCTTAACATGAGCTTCCCCATGTTGCAAAATCAGAAGAACAAATAGAAATTCAACATCTAGGAGGAAGGCGCAAGCTAAGAACACCATCAAATCATGAATTCATCAAAATCCAAACCAAAAGAGATTATAAAAAAGTAAAAGCAGAAACCTTTAATTTCGTCGTCCCGGTGTACAATGCTGTGATTGACGTATAAACCCAAAAGGCGGTAATCAATCTGAATCTCCAGCTGATCACGCCGACGAAACGGAAACAAAGCGGCCGAGCTGGCCCAGCAAATATTCTCGAAAGAATCTAAGGTATAAACCACCAGAAAGAAAATAAATAATCAAATCCTACAGATGGGAAAAAAAAAAAAAAAAAAAAACAATGGTCTGAAGTCTGAACAGAAAGCAAGGAGCTAAAGTATTGCTGAAAGTGTGACAATACTATAATTTTGGTAATTACAGACACTAATGACGAAGAACTGGCCAATAATGGAATGTGGTATATTTCTAAACTTCGGTTCAAACGGGATGACTTGCATATATTACGCTTCTTTCTGTTCAACTGACTTTTCCTTTTTAGAAACTAACTAAGAATCGCACGCGTTAAATTTGCTCTCAATCGGGTACATCGTGGTCTTCGCAGATGGTCTTCGTGTGGGGTCGGTGGGTGGGTGCGATTTGAATTTCGAACCTCTTATTATAGTAGTAGCTTCATGGGATTATTAAGGTTATTGTTAAAACAAAGTGATTAACTTCACGAGTTTAATGATTTCTTTGGTACTACAGTACATTTGATATCGCTTTCGTCCTTTTTGGATGTTACCTTTTGGCTTCATCATCACCTCCTTTTGTGAAAATTGATTTTCTGAGAGATCAGTAATACTAATATGATTGGCAGGCCATGGTGCAGGCAATCACATTTCTTAATTGAAGTTTGGAGATATTGTAACTAACACCTTAATATTTTTTTGGCGAAAGCTCAAAATGCATCCATATTATCATAATTTCATGGTTACACTATTACAATTTGCGATTAAAAAAAAAAGTAGATTTCAAATATATATTCTATTTATATGGGGAAAAAAAAAATTGCAACTCACAATTTTTGTATTGTTAGACCAGAGCACTCTTTTGCATTGACATTTGACTAGATAAACTTAAAAAACTTGTGTATATATTCTTGATAAATTATTATTTTTCCCCTTTGATATCGTTTCATTGACGACCAATTCTCATGAGCATTTTGTTAATTGCCAAATGGTCGTCGTTTAGAATTACACAACTACAGTGGTTTGAAACTTCTAATGGATGGAACTTGGAACCGACATCATTCAAAACGAATATCCTCTTAAATTATTGTAGAATTCCTCTAAATAAAAATAATAGTTAAATTTTGATTTCTAATTTTAATATAATTTGTAATAAAATTGAAATTCAAATTGGACCGTAATTTCAAGACGTAAAAGTTAACCATAGAATTAGAATATGGGAAAATTTAGCAGGGTATTGTGAGGGCTGCTGTACGAATTAATGTTCAAATGTCATTGAAACATTTTATTTATTTATTCTTAATAAAAATAAAAAATAAATTAATCACAGTAGATTGGAGGGGTAGGAACTTGGAATTATTGCAAGAGACATTCCTTGATTCTGCTCGTGATTAGCCTCTAACTATCTAGCTGTCTTGTTTCACAAATTTCGCCAATCAATGGAAAAAAAAAAAGAAGAGAATCATCCAATACGCTAACGAAATCACATTCCAATTGACATTACCTTACAAAATCCAACCCTTTTCTTTCCTTTTTTTTTAATTTTCTTTTTTCACTTTCTAAGACCATCTTCCCCATGTGCTGTTTATCCTTTGATCAGTTTCGACAAACATTAGATTATCGCCGTGTTTAGATGATAATCATTACATACGGCCAACAAGAAAATAGATGCCTGATGTCCTCCGTTAAAATGTCGGAATCCATGGCTCTTTAACCTCGGATAGGGAGTTTCGAACTAACCCTACTTGTTCAGAAGAATCGTATGAGAAAAAAACGACATTAATACAAAAAAAGAGCTCCAGTTAACATGAAGTTGTTAGTAACAGGTGATGCAATCATGCAAGTAGCATTTGTAATGTAAGATAAACTCAGTATTTTCGACTTGTTATAAAATTGTAAACATATATTCTTTATGTCCTTAAAAAACTAAAATAGTCTACAATCAGTACACATTTCACTCGATAGAGGCTATTTTTTTTTTTTTTTGAAAACCAAGAGAATTAATAATAACAATCTATTATTGTTCGAGAATTGTCATGGTTTTAAATTTAAGCTTATATGTTTGATCAACCTTATAGGTTGATCGAAAAAACTTATAGGTTGTTACCGTTATTTATTTTCTTTTCTTTTATTCCAAACATATATTATTGTTTCATGACAAAAATGTAAAAAGGATACTTCATCATCTCAAAATGATTGTCATTTTTTTTTTTTTCCATTTTTAGTACTAACTAAATTAAAAATAAAAATCTAAACTAAACAATTATTTTAAGGAGTACAAAACTGTATTACGTAATAATCTCCATTAAGTGGTGCTAAATTAGCTTTGATTGTGTTGGTATACCAATTATTGGTATACCAATAATTATTATTTATTATGTCAAAATGTAATTATTATGTCACATATATCATTTATTCGAATTTTTGTTTTCGCAAAATTCAAAATTATTATTTTACCCAAGTAGCTCTAACTTATATATTGCTCACTCAACCCATCATTTGGGACATTTTCTCTTACAAGCTTGACATGTTTGTTATATGGACACTATACTTGGGGTCTTTAGATTTAATATACTACTCCCCAAGTACTTATTATAAGACATTTTTATTTGACATAAATTTTATCTAGTATGTTCTTCTAATTTAAAATAAAATTTTAAAAATATATTTTCACATCAATTATATTCTTCCAATTATTATAAAACATGTTTAAAATTTTATTTTCAACCAAAAGAATATACTAAATGAAACTTAGAACAAATAAAAAACGTATTGTAATTGGGACCAGAGGAAGTACTTCATGTCCTTCTCGGCGCTTAATGATTATGGTTCAGCCTCTTGTTCACATCTCCGTTGACACATAGGGGAAAGACCAGGAACAGAAGATTGGGTACTTCCACCGCTGCCGTCATAAGAAGAAAAATCAAGAAAATCGTCCCCATTCGATGAATAAAAACGTTTTGTACTGGTGATATGTGGAAAAAAATGTCGTTCATATCCAAAACTTTGCTCTCGTCGTCAGTTATACCCAATAGATTTTTGGTCAGCCAACTTTACTCTGATATTTGAAATTCTTGCCAATTTTGTCCAATCGACCCATTTTCCGTCTAAATTAACGAATCTCCGTTAGTTTCTTAATAAAATAATAAATTTAATTACAAAAACACTCAGTAATCTTTAAAAATATTAAAAATAACCCTTAAAATATATAAAAATAACAAAACAGTCCCTTTTTACTTTTTTATTTTATTTTTCTCTATCTTGTTCCATTTGTTTTTACTACTTTTAATGACCGTAAAAGTCTATTATAAGAGTTTTTGAAAAAATATTTATTTATTTTCAAACTCTACTGTAAAAATTAATCTTTGTATAGTTGTAACACATGATTGTATTTATATAAGTATGTTAATTTTTTTAATAATATAGTTTAACAATAAAGACACTATTTTTCTGATTTATTTTATTCTTCCTAACATAAAGATTAACATAAAGATTAAAAATTATTTTATTATTTATGTGGAATATTATTTTACATTTTAGTTATTTTTTTATGAATTATATTAATGCAAGTTATAGTCTCTTGAGTGAAATTTTAATATACTAAAATATATTAATATTTTTTTTTTATTTGAGCTAATATTTTATTTTTATCTGGAATATTAGTTTCATTTAAATGTTTTTAATCTTTATGTTAGGAAGAATGAAATAAATCAGAAAAATAGTGTCTTTATTGCTAAACTATATTATTAAAAAGATTAACATGCTTATATAAATACAATCATGTGTTACAATTATACAAGATTAATTTTTACGGTAGAGTTTGAAAATAAATAAATATTTTTTAAAAATTCATATAATATGCTTTTATGGTCATTAAAAGTAGTTGAGAGAAACGGAACAAAATAGAGAAAAATGAAATAAAAAAATAAAAAGGGACTATTTTATTATTTTTATATATTTTAAGGGTTATTTTTAAAATTTTTAAAAACTTATTGGGTGTTTTTGTATTTAAAATTATTATTTTATTAAAAAATTAACGGAGATTCGTTAATTTGGATGGAAAATGGGCCGATTGGACGAAATTGGCGAAGATTTCAAACATTATGATAAAGTTGGCTAAGCGAAAATCTATTAGGTATGATTGACGACGAGGGCAAAACTTTAGATAGGAACGATATTTTTTTCGGTGATATGTCGGTCAGTTTATATGTTGGCAACCGGATGTGAACAGACGACATGAATGAGAGAGAACTGACAGAAAAAAAAAATAGATGGGTCGAATAAAAAGTTGCCACGACAGCAAAAGTTACCGGCAACGGGAAGCTAACCGTGCCAAAAAAAAAATGAGATTCTATTCTTATTATATGTAGATGTAATACTTTATGTCATTACTTTTTTAAGGTATTTTTTAATTCTATTTATAAGACATTTGATGTCTTTTTAGGTTGAATTTATTGTGTTCTTTCAAGTTTATTTATCAATTCTTTATTTTTTAATTTTTAGTTTTTTATGATGATATGGTAATTTATGCCTTATGAATAAATGGAGTATTAATTAACCAAAAAAATAATAATAAATAAAGAAGCTGCTTATAATTAGTTCCTCCTGTCAGATTTTCAAGAAAATTATTGTCTAGTCTGGTTGTGATATTCCGAAACCACCCTTACTAAACATATTCCAAGAAACCCGAAAAAGAAACTGGTAATCAGGCGAATGTCCGATTAATATCTTCCAAAAACCCTTGTTCCGATTCCGATTCATCTTATCCAGAAACCTGAAATTGTTGGTAACGATAATGATGTCCCAACAACGACTTTCTTAATCGGAAAAACTTTGCTCCGCCTGTGAAACGCCGAATCATTCTGGCAATACTATTCCGCTGACGCGATCCTGGTGGAGGAGACCGGTGAAGGATGTCGTCGTCGCCGGACCTTGGGAAAATACTGGAGAATGCAAAGGAGCTCGATCGAGTGAGGAAAGAGCAGGAAGATGTTCTCATGGATATCAATAAGCTGCACAAGAAGCTGCAGTCGTGTGAGTGCATTCTTTCCTTTTTTTTTTTTGGGTCTAATTTATCATTTGATTAAAAGTTTACTCTTTGTAGTTGTTGCATCAACGTGTCTACATTTGGTGGTTTCCTTAATTTTTAAATTCAAGTGGGTGATTGGATTTGCAGTGTGGATTTCTCCTTTGCAAGTTCTGATTTGTCTATTTTTTGATAAAGTTGACATGTAAATGGGAGAATAAGGCTTCTCTGCATTAACCATTAGTTATCATTGAGGAATGTCAAGCCATTTGTGGGATTGGTATTGGTATTGGGATTGGAGCCTGTTCATAGCTTGCTGATTGCACGTGTATTGCTAGATAGATGCTCATTAAACAAGCAAGCATAGTCTGCTATTTTCTTGCAACTGTATGAAAGCTATTGTTGTATTTTTTTTATTTTGGAAGATAGTGAGTTTAGTTCCGATTGTTTTAGTTTGTGTCTTTTATGAATTGCATCCAGTACATCTTTAAAGCTTTTTGTTCCATTATATCCTGAAACTGTCTTTTGTTTCTTTTTTAGGCCCTTAAGGAAATTTTTGTGAAAGAATTAAATTTGTTGTCTATTTTCTGAGGGTCCACTGCCTAATTAGGTAAATTTTATGCAATGACCTCAATCAGTTCATTGTACTTCGTGAGTATGTGCCAGATCCATTAAGAATGATCCAACTGTGATGTCTCAATCACCTTTCGGTTGGGTCTTATGGTGTAACGTAAATATGACGTATTAATAAGCGCCCAAAATGAGCTGCTATCAAGCACAAGAGCCAATTATCCGAGACAGTACTATCTGTTTTCTTGGATATCCATGTTTTGGACTTATTGTGTGACGTAAGTTTAGAAAAATTTATGAAACTCTTTATAGATGTAGCGTTTGGCATTCACTCGAAATTTATCCAGTTAGGAAGTTATCGCCTCCTTCTATGTGGTAATATGGAAAAAAAAGGTTTACCCTTGCAAGAAACAAACTTAATTTAGTTCGTCGAGTGTGTCTGAGCTATTCATTTGTAGTTTTTTTCTTTATTGGTCTATATTGCTTTATGGGGTCGAGAAAGAAGTTCCAGAAACTTCTTTTAGCATACCTCAGCTATTGTTAAGTGATTAAGTTCAAGCCTAGTTGAAGGTCTTCCACAGTAGAAGTCTTAAAATTATATAAGCATTAATCATAGGCATTCAGAGGAGAACTAAATATCAGTAAGGGGTATGGCTGTATGTTGAAGCAAATTAAATTGGGAACATTTTCAAGTTGAGTTCTGGAAATTTGAGCCGTGGCCTGAATAAGAAGATACTTTTACAATCGTTCTCTTTTGCCCTCAGGCTTGGTTAAAAACCAAGTTCTTTTCCCCTCTTTGGTCCTAAATGTGAACTTACCTAACACTTTAACATCTTGGTCAAGTTTTTATTGAATCGCTATTCAACCAAGCACCTTTGCTAATTTTTTTTCGCTTCTGCTTTGTTTGAGGATGCAGCTCCAGAAGTGGTTGAGAAGCCTGGTGATACTTCACTTGCAAAACTCAAGATGTTATATACTCAAGCCAAAGAGCTTGCAGAAAGTGAAGTAAAGTATGTACATCTATACTTAAGGGAGCTTGGGTGTTTTGTTTTTTTCTACTTAATGTTTGGATGTTTCTGTCTCTGTCTGCATTATTTCACTGGCATAAAATTTTGTAGCCTTCTTTTCTAAGAGGTCGAAGTGCATAAATCTGGTCTCTATTTTGTGGCTTATGGGTTTTTTTTTATTGGAATTGCCAATACGTGTAGATGTTTGTTTGGTTATATCAGCTATTTTGAGTGTGTTGCAATACTTTGAAATTTGAGTTTGGATTTAAGGAACTCCAAGAAATTTAAATGACCCCCCTCGTCCCAAAGCACTAATCGTGACTAGTATTTGTGTCTGAGTATATATTAAGACGACATTTGTTGGCAAGATAAGATCAATTTTCTATTGGAGGAATTTTTTTTTTTTTTTTTTTTTGTAAAAGTGGTGGAGGAAGTTGTTTAATACATATGTTTCTTCTTTGAACTCCTCAATAGCTGTATAATTTTATAATTTTTTTTTTTGGAGTTTTATGGTTCTTGTGTATCCATTATGTTTATTTTTTATCCTGGTTACAGTATCTCCAATCAGTTGGTAACTCAGCTGGACGCATTAATGCCTTCTGGGCCTCCTGGGCAACAACGTAGAAGAACAGGTAAATTCTAGTTCCCACCCCTAGTTAAGTCCATGCATGTTGGCAAACAATTCTGAGCATGTGAGAATAAACCATATAAAGTTTGCTGCTTTTATATTTTTTGTTGTTATGGACAGTTTTTGTTACCTGGTAAAATGTTTTGTTCAATGACAAATGCAGAGGGAGGTGAGCAGAAAAAGAAGCGTGTGAAGGTTGATTCTGACATGGCAAGAATGACTCCTAGTGCACGCATTGAATCGCCCGCTAGTTTGAAGGGTGAACAGGTATATTTCTTTGTTATTTTTGTTACATGATAGTTCTCAAAATCTCTTGGTTTCCTCCATCTTCCCATAATAGTTTCTCTGTTGAGCATTTTCTTGGGTGCCATTTTCCAGGTGGCTGCTAGGGTCACCCAAGAGGATGCTGACAAAGACGTGTGGTTCGTTGTCAAAGTAACTCATTTTGACAGAGAAGCAAAAGAGTGAGTTTATTCTCCAAAACTAGCCGTTCTGTTTAAAACCATTCTCTCTCTTGAAGCTCAACAAAATACAACATTAAGAAGAAAATCAATCAGGAAGATAGATAACTATTCTAACTTACTCCGGATAACTGTTCACAGGTTTGAAGTCTTAGATGAAGAACCAGGTGATGATGATGAGGGTGGTGGCCAGAGGTAGCATCTCGTGGTTGTCGTCTAAAACTTAGCTGCTGGTGTATTTATGACGTAGTTTTGTAACATTGTCAAACTTCTTTCTAATTGCAGGAAGTACAAGTTGCCAGCTGATCATATTATACCGTTCCCTAAGCGGAATGATCCCTCTAGTGCTCAAGATTTCCCACCGGGGAAACATGTTTTGGCTGTCTACCCAAGCACCACTGCTCTGTATAAAGCAACTGTTGTCCATGCTCGTAAGGTGAAACTCTATTCAATCATTTGCTTGTGTGTTATCCACATTGCTTCCAATGAGAACCTTGTCTAATGCTCTTCATACAATTTTCTTGGCATTGGCTGTCTCTGGTTGTTGGCTTTCAGAGGAAAACTGATGAGTAAGCTACCTCTCATGTCCCCATTGTAGTTTCTATCATATCTTTTTAAGAACATATCAGCACCTTGATATTCTAATTTATGTTAGACAATTCTCTTTGGCACAATTTTAGTAAAATGTTCTTGTGTATTCAGACCATGTGTCAATATGTCTAAAGCTGACTAAATTACATGTTTCATTTGTTTGGCAGTTACATATTAGAATTTGATGATGATGAGGAAGAAGATGGATCCTTACCTCAGCGCTCAGTGCCGTTCCACCGAGTGGTTGCTCTTCCAGAAAATCATAAGCAATGAAGCTGTGTGTTGTCTATACTTGTAAATGTAGCTGCGGTGCCAATGGAGATTGGGCATATTCTACTTTGTGTACCTATCTGCATCCTACGCGATCTTAGGCCACTACTGTTGAGAGTTCTTATATGTTCACACATGTAATGTAGTAATTTGAGACATTAGGCTTATATTGTTTCTTCCATTGTAACACCAAAAAAAAAAGCTTGTCCAATGTATAATAATTAGTGAACAAGCAAGCATTGTACACGACTGCAAGTGTTGTAGTAAATGTAATCGTAGAAGAAAAGATTGCTTGGGATCTAATGTTGTATTAGCAAATTTTTGTGAAACAAATTCCTCTTGCCTCCAACTCGGTCACGGATGAGAAATCATCTAAGGCAGAGCTGAGAGAACTCCCTACGCTCTCTTCGTCTGAAACTTCAAGAAGGTTTATAAATTTTTTTTTTTTTCTTTGAAGTTCGTCAACATGGTTAAATTTACAAGTCCTACAATATTTCATAAACTACATTTTATCCTTGCAATATTTTTCACCTCTTTATTGTTTTCATAAACTACATTTGAAAAGAACAAATGGAAATTTTCAGCATTCTTGTTAAATTCCAAGCCTGAATGACCTTCAGCAAATGTGTTCAGTGTTTTCAAGTTGTAATCATTCTTACTTTGCAAATCTTGGAGCAATTTAAAAAATGAGTATTACTATTGATGCTACAACCACTAGTGAAATCAATTCCAAAAGGGAAGGAGTTGAAATGGTACTAATTAATATACCCACAAGTCACAGTAAAAAAAAAAAGGAACACTGTAGAACATTGATACCACGGGTTCAAACTGGTACCAATTCACTCACAAGTAACAGTGAAAAAAGGAATGCTACAGAGAAAATTTCAGAAGATAACTTTATGGATCAAATAGTTTGTCTAGCTACGGTGAACATTTAAAGTGCCTGTTGTGCATGAGTCTCCTACACATTCTGGCCAAATTCTTTACTGTATGAGGCTACAGAGATTTCTTGAATATTTCTCAAGCTAATCTCAACTGTCATTTTAATCATTGTAGTGATAGTATCATTGCCCTAAATCACACAAAAACCATTATAGTATGCTCAAGAAAAACTAATGATCATATTTTAGTTGAACTTTTGAATCAACTATTTTTGCTGATAGTTACATAATTGAAAATTTCAGGATTGCCTACGACAGGCTCTTGAAACAGGAATTGGAGGATCAGAAAATGCACCCTTAATTATACGAGTGGCAACCCATTGATTTGCAGCCTCGGTGTAATGCACGCCGTCCCAACTGATGACTGTTGAAGGCTTCCTGCATGAAGCCCCGAATACTTCACTCCCGTTTATCGTAGCTTTATTCCCACACCCGACATCCACCCCGTTTCCATGTACCCCGCAGCAGATACTACCAGGGTCCTCAAATCCTGTATCACACACACACACACACACACACACAGAGTCCGTCTATGTTAATTATGCATGCAACTTGATTTAGTCTATTGCAGGATTTGAGTTCCTTGACAGTAATTAAACATGTGTACCTAAATTGGTTGCGTTGCTAATTAATCCGTACTTAGCGCTGAATACGTCTACATAGGTTATGGCAGCTTGCGGAAGGCTTGCCCTGAGCTGAACCACCAAATTCTTGAGCATTGAATTGAATATGATAGCTCTGTTGTTCAGGTTGTTGATGCATCCATGCTCATCAAGAATCCCCGGTTGTGGATTTCGAACTTTGATGGTTATGAGCGGCAGGCAGCCAATGGGGCCTGTGTTATGTATCCAGAATATCCTTGCTCCCTTCCAGTACATCCCCTGACAACAAATTCATAAAATATTACTAGTGTTCTGTTTTCAAAACTTGACCACCTTGTTTTGGAAGGACTTATTATTATATTATAGTACCACCACATAATGATTCTGTGCGAGGCTCGCCACTTACTCGGATTTGTGTACCAAAACGATTGATTATGTCTGCCAAAGTTGCGTTAACCTCATCCGGGCTAGTGATTTGGGTGCTAGTAGATATATCATTTTGGCCAATGTCAAACGTGTAAAGAGCCTTGGAGAAATCTTCAGGCTTGGGAAGCCTACTGATTCCATCCGACGTTACATTCCCTGCAAACCAAGAACACAATTGGATAATCATTGATGTATTCAACATAAGAATGGATTACACTGAATCATAACAATCTGCCCGTTATTCAACATAAGAATGGATTACACTGAATCATAACAATCTGCCCGTAACTGTCTAAACACAGATAGTTAATAAGCCACTTGTCACATACTATGAACTATCGTTCGATCTTTTCTTTTTGTTTCCTCAAGAAGATTGAGTTTTTCCAACATTCATTAACCATGTTGTTTAGTTCATACCTTGATTGTAGAAAGATGTGGTTCGATCCTTAAATTGAGAAAATTGGGCCACCTGAATTTCCAGAGGAAAAGGGCTGAGTCCTCTCAGGAACCAGGATTCGTTCAGCCGCCGAATGGTTGCTCCTCCAGTCGCAAAGTTCGCCCCACGCTGGAAATTGCTTCCCACCGAATCCAGGTACGGACTCAGATACGGCAACCCCAAGTAGTCAGCTGAAACTCAATTCACCAAACAACTTAATTTCATTGCCAGAAGTTCGAAAGTGATAGAAAAATATTATCTTGTTACCAATGAAGTCTATGATAAGACGACCGTCGGAAGCTCTTCCGGCAGGCCGGTGGAAGTATGTCTCGCCGAAGGGAGCCACCGGCTGATAAAATGCTGCCGCAATCCCGCCTGTGTCCGAATTTGAATCCCCGAAATTGAAGATTGCAGGGTAATCACACGACGATGCATCATCATTCATCACCTCCACCAGATCAGTTTGGGCCATCGTCGTCATCATTATCCAGCAGCATGATGAAACTGAAACGAAAAGTATAATCAACCAGTGCTTCATGCGTGTTTCTTTTTGTCTTTACAATTAACCCAAAGCCTTGAGTGCGGGGGATGATAGAAAATTTTATAGAGAATTGTCACACACTTTAGTGGGATAAAAATGATGGCAATTTAGACGTACAACGTAAGTTTGCGGAATGAGATACTATAATGCGATCTTCTGAAATTCATATAATATCGTCCACTGTATAAATAATATGTGACATTTGATGCTGACTAGCAGGATATATAGGAAGTGCACTTGGTGGTGATCAAACCTAAGTCCAAAAAGTGCAAATCTTCTCTTGGACATGTGTAATCACTGTAATGAACATTGAACAAAAATACCTCTTAATTGGATTTAGTGGATTGAGCAAACTTCATGCTTGGCATGACTAGATCAACGATTTATTTTTTTTAAAAAAAAAAAAAAACTACCAGTACATCTCAAATTGTGGAAGATGATGGACGATCACACAACATATTGTTAATGTGGATTTGTGGATTTTTACAATGGTGAGATTGAAGGATGTAGGGAATTGATCCACTAAGGCATCTAAGTGGTACATGTCAAATTAATAATTAATTGACCATTGTATGGTGGATGAAATTATGGTTTAGAAGTGTTCCTGGAATGCCTATTAATCATGCTCAATTGGTCTTGCTTTCTCTCAAATTGGCAACATCACCCATCAAATAAACTTAGCCTTCAACAAGAACGTTGGAAATGCAATTCAAGAAAGATGGAGAGATGCCAAGAAGTTAGTGCGTCAAATAGTAACATTTTGAAATAAATGATGCCAAATAATGATTTTAAAAAGTACAAGGTCTCTTCTGATAATTATATGAAAATTGAATTGTGTAGTGGTGCCTGCATTCATTATTTCATTTGATTACATCATTCGGGTTATTCCGATATTCCGACCCGTCTGGAACCCTTCTGAAAAGTGAAAACTATCAGGACGTCAGCTTTAATCCTGCAAATTTCTTGCCCTAGCCGTAATTAAAATTGACACGAGATAGCAGAATCAATAAAGCGAAAAGAAGACCACACAAAGGGACCCATAGCAGAGAATAACCAATCTGCAACAATGGGGAAGAAAGCCGGCGGTGGAGGTGGAGGAGCTGAGGGCGAAAACAAGGAGAAAGAAGGCCAGAATCTCCTCGGCGCTCCCACTTTCAAGGAAATTGAAAATGGCCGCTTCAAATGTGTTGAAACCGGTCACGAGCTTCCCGCCCATGCCAGAGACTCTTACTCTCAGAGTAAACACTGCCGTTTGGGCCTCATCGACGCTGCTCTCGCCAATAACAAACCGCCTCTCAACATGTTCCGCCAAGATCCTCAGTCTAGGTATCGATTGAATATTTTTTCAATTTCCTCCATTTTATCTTTTTTTTTTTCAGAAGAGTTAATAGACCCCCCAAATGGTTTTAGGGTTTATGGAATAAGCTAAACCTTTTCCAAGTTTGTGTTTTTAAGCTTAGCTGATTGATGTTAAATGATGTTGGCTATTGAATTTATTTGCCTTTTGATGCACTTGTCCTGTTGTATCTTGAATTGAGAGATAGATGGCCGATGGGTGTGTATTAGAATCTTGTATGCCAGCCTTATACTCCATGTACTGGAGTATAGCTTTTGATTGTATTATTGACGCTTCTGATTTTAATTATATTATTGCAAAAGTTAGCTTTAGCTTTGAGTGTGTTACAGTATGTTGCGTATTAAGTGATCCATGTTGTCATCCTTGTAGTTCGAAGCTAATCTGCAAGTTAACAGGATTCGCCATCAATAAAACGGAAGAGCATATTTGGAAGCATATCAATGGCAAACGTTTCCTCCATATGCTTGGTTTGTCATGCTTTTTTCTCCACTGTGATAATTTTAAAGATTCTGTAAACTTAAAACCTCTCAACTTCAAGTTCTAATGAGAACTTTCTTTTGCATGATAATGTGAACAGAGAGGATGGAAACAGGAAAGGGTATGCCAAATGGGACGGAGGAACATCCTGAGCAGAAGGAAGGAAAGAAAAAGAAGATTAAGGATGTTAAAAAGAAAAAGAATAAGAAAGAGGATAAACCTGTTTGTGAAGTTATATCTGAAGTGCGGGATATTTCTGTGAAAGACAGTGATTCGGAGGCAGGAGATGATTTCTGGATGCCTCCAGCAGGAGAACGTTGGGACAATGATGATGGAGGTGATCGATGGGGCTCTGATACCGAGTCGGGTGCAGAAAGTGACGGGGATGACATAGAAGGTGCGTTTTCACTCCTTTTTTTCAAATGAGATGCTCACAAGTATCTCAACTCATTTGGCTTGGTTTTGTGCCTTTTAATAATTTCTCAGCTAATTATTCCTTGATTGTTTGGGTTCCTTGGAACAAAGCAAACTTGTTATTAACCATATGATTTTGCCATTGCAGAAACCGAAGAAGTTAAGCAGGAAGCTGGGGAGCTTTCCAGCCGGTATGCTATCCTTCTTGTTTTTGATTTGTTAGTGTCTTGCAAGTTTGCATAGGTCAATAGCCAAATGACAGAAGTGTTCCTTAATTCCTCAAGTAAAATGTTTGGAGGAGAAGAGCTTTTATCAAACAGGGGAGTGCATGTTGTTTGTACCTTTACATGCAGTGAAATCTGGCATCATTTCTTGAGATGTGGTTACGGCATCCTTAGATCTCATGGTTATATTCTTTTTAGGACTAAGCGAATGTCCCTGGAAGTAGGACCGAGTAGCTTTGCCTCGAGAAAGAAGAAGAAGAAGACTGAAGCCTCTTGATAAGAGCTGGCTCATGGTTATTCTTTTCAGGACTAAGCGTATGTCCCTGGAAGTAGGACCGAGTAGCTTTGTCTCGAGAAAGAAGAAGAAGAAGACTGAAGCCTCTTTATAAGAGCAGGCTTTGCCCAGTTTTGATCCTACTGCTAGTTTTTTGGAGCGTAATTTAATTTATGATTCATTTAAACTAGCAATACTTCTATAGCAGACGCCATTAAAGACTTTTTGTTTTCTTGAAATCTTAAAGGAAACCGAGGTGAGAGTAACCCTCTCATTTCCTCATGTAATGTTGTTTATCTGGTGTAATTGCCAAGTTGTGCGAGTTAAGCATTTCGTTCAGGGACATGATAAATGAACAGTGCTATTACAGCAAAGATAACAGTTAACCAAATGCACAGCAGAAGTGCCTCCAATAGACCAATAGTCGATGGTAAATGCTTTGCCAAAGTAGATGACATTCGAGAATTAAATTCAATGGCCTACTATTCAAAAGAATAAATTTGATTCCATGGGAGTCTGCTGCAGTACCAGACATGCAGTTATCTTCCCTTCAGTTCTCAAAAACTCATAGGAAGATAATAGAACTCAGGACTACATTTACGCCGCCACGAATAAAATTGAAAGGAAAGTATACCCAATGTAGAAGAAAATAGCTAAGTCAGAATTTCAAGCAAAAATGGAGGCTTTGATCTGATTTCAGTTTATGATCATCCATCACCCTGCACCAGTGCCAAAGTATCTATCTCCAAACTCACCCATGCCGGGCATAACTTGCATATCCTCATTTAGGGAGACGTCAATCTCTGATGTCACTATCTTCAGCCTAGGAAACTGTTTACACACAGCATGTATTCCCTCGGGAGCCTGCATGTATGCATAGTACTATAATTCAGTATTCAATAGCATCTAAGTCCGACTGAAAGTTGATGTTGCAGGAATTGACCAATGAAACGAAACGAATTTTTTAACCGCTATTAGGTTGAGGAAGATGATGTTGGATTCTGGTACGCCCTTGCTGAGCAGCACAGATATAGCTTTGACTGCAGAATACCCTGAAGCCAGAACTGGGTCAAGCAGTAGGACATGGCGGCTTGCAATGTCAGCAGGTAATTTCTCGTAGATCAACTGCAAGCAATTAATGGTGTCATGGAGAGAACTACTTGGAAAGAAAAGGATGAGAGAGAGCTTGTTTGTTCCAAACCTGTCGACCATTGTTACGCTCTCCGTGAATTAGAATTTTGCCAATTTTGATTCCTTTACAACATGCTCGAAGAGCATTTTCCATGCTTTCACCACTACCAGATTAACATATAAGAGTGAAGAATTAGACAAGGCTGAAAGGGAGACAGTTAAACATAATTTTCCACACATTAGGCTTTGATGAAATGAGCGAAATCCAGGTTTGTATGGCAACCATTTCACTCAGCATTTTGTGCTATCGATGTCTTGCATGGTAAACAGCCGTTTTGGAAAGGGAGAACGGGATGTAAAATGCAAATTGAATTGTTGTACCGGGCAAGCTTTTCAGTACCTTCTGATTACTGAAACGCCACACAGTCTCTTACAGAAAACCACTCCAGTATATACGGATCCTGCATAAAACCGGTCCACCTTAGGTCATATGATGTTTAAAAATCCCAGGATGTTTAAAAGCCACGTATTACCTGTGGGAGTGACAATCTGCTTTTCAGTAAATGGAAGGTGACCTAAACCATGCTCTACAACCTGTAAGCTCACAATAATCTTATCAGTACTCAATTTTTTTCTTACACTCCCCATAACTGGAGCAGATAACAATATTAGGTTCCTTGAAGAAATCACCCTTTGCTAGTCTTTGAAAGTTTACCAGTCGAATAAGCCGGTCTGAATAAAAGACAAAGTCATGCTTATTAGTTTTGGCATCACGTATGATCGTGTGCATCCCACGTATCTGTAAGAAAGAAGAAGAGTCATATCTGCTGATCAATCCAGGTGATGTGATGATGGAATCCAGTTTACCTGAAAGGTAGAATATATAACAAATAAGTTTGGGTATATTTTGCAAAGGTCGTGCTGGCCAAGTTTTGTATGTATGTGTTGAACGATCAGATCAATTGCAACTTCATTGTCTGCTCCACGAGGGATTATAACATCAGCATACTTCATTGTCGGAAGAATGAATTCCTCAAAACTTGGCTTGACAAATTTAGCATACTGCAAGATTATCACTGCATAAGCTTTAAGTATATGACCAAAAGAACAAAATTAGAAGTAGAAAAAAGGCCTACATCAGAATCGACATTGTCAAAAGAATAATAAGCATAGGTGGGGAAAACAGAAGAAAGGTAAAGATCATAGATTAGCTGTTATAAATCTCTTTACTGACTTGATCAAGCACATTCTGAATATCTCTTCCCCTTTCAACGATATCACGCTGTATCCTCCTTGAAAGCCGTACATCAGCATCTGCACTGGTGAATTCCAGAAATGGTTATAAAGAAATGGAGGATGCTGCAATCTGGTGCAATGGTGTTAGTAAAGATAAGATGGCACATCGACTACATAAAACATGACACCAAGAGAAGACTACAGTATCTGAAAATGTCTGGAACTAGCGAGACTTATTTCAATCAAGCAGATCAGGAAATTGAAATTTCTATCACAATCCAGGAGTATCTGGGACAGTAACCACTAAACTTCTGGTCTGTCTCATGCACAAGGAAATAGTTCTTTCATTACTTCTTCTATGAATATTTTCCCAAAGTCAAATTTGGTAAACGAACAAGAATCATGGTCAGTGGCTGTTTCTCTGTTTCTATCAACAAGAAGTCAAGTTTATTTTAACTTTTCCTTCATTTCAAGCCTCTCAAATGTAGCTATTGCAGTATATTATCCATGTATCAACTAATCCAGTATTTACTTTCTTCAGTGCTAAAGATCTAGGTAATGAGTATTATATTCCAGGTCTGTGATTTTTGAGAGACATAATCTTTTATAGAGAAACTTATTAATCAGTAATTGAGACCAAAACTTCAATGGTAGAGGGAGCAATTTCAGAGAAGATAAGTACCTGTGTCGACAAATATCTTCATGTTCATCAGGTCTCTAACATGGGGATTATGAAAAATTAGGATCCCTTCTAAAATGATGACATCCGAGGGATTGACCTGGTATTACTAAAGATCTTAGAAGCAACACATGTTTGCACAGAGGGGAAAAAAAACAAAGCAATCACCCTTCAGTTTGAGTTCCATGGAAACTCCAAGGAGAGTATCACAAAGAGTATGAGAATACCCAAATCATGGACAAAAGAAAAGATCAAATATGCCAGCAGAAGCAAGTTCTCACCTTACGCGCTGGTGAAATGCTCTTGTGGGTTTTGAAATCATAATTGGGGATATCGACAGCTTGCCCAAGTTTTAACTTCTCAAAGCACGAAAGCATAAGCTCCGTATTAAAGGCATCTCGAATGACACCAGAAGGAACAAACGAGAACAGTCAGCAATGTAAATGGAAGTATTCCAGATTATAATTTTACCTAGCAACCACCAATGTTGAACCGGACTAATAAAGATAGTCATACCAGGATGATCAAAGTTGTAGTCCTGAACTGTGCTAATCTTCTCCTCACTCAAAGAATGATAAAATGAATCCTGGAAGAAGGATACATATTGAAATGCCAATCAGTTAATGATTACAGACAGGACAAGCAACGAAGAGTACCAACGAATTTTACTTGATTGACAAGAACAACTCGCTGATCGTGAAGTTGCGAAATGATCATATTACAAACAGTCGTTTTGCCAGATGCAGTCCCACCAGCAACACCTATATGACAAAATTTAATGCGATCAATCGTCACTATTCACGAATTTACTGATAAAGCTTAAAACTGGTGATTTATTTTTTTAGAGCCGAATTCGGAAATGCACGATTAATTTGGTAATCCATACCGATAATGAAAGGCAACTTAGGTGTGAAATGCCTTGGAGAAGAAGAATCTGAGTCAGGCGAGACGGACTGCCTATCCTCGATTTTGCTATTCAATGCAGCCATCTTCTGAGAGTCCAGCGTCTTTGTTGCCTACGAAGAAGAAAAAAGAACAAACAAATCAAGAAGAAGACAGAAGAAAATCAGTGGAATCCACGGAACAATAGAATTATCATCCAATCAGGTTACACTGTAACGCATACCTAAATCTGACTGATTACGAACGAATGCATCATAAGAACATATATATCTATTGAATCTGTAAACAAAACAAATTAGAGTTGATTAAAGGCAAGTGCAATTAGGCTTCTGTTGTGGTATTTGTTCTGTTACGGAAAGAAATCGGCAAATATAGGAGGCTCGGTAGGATATAAATCGCTGGAGAAACAATAAGAAAGGAGAGATATATTTCGTAGTAACTCTGCTTACGGAATAAGCGGGAAAGGTTAGTGATATCAGGCTTCACAGTTGTCCTCCCAGGATTGGATGACGGACTGATTTGCAATTTTATTGTTTATTTTTTATTTTGATAATCCGCTAATTTGGAACTGTTAAAAATTAATTATCCATTCTAGTTTACTTATGAAAGAAAATATGAAATCTTAAGATTGTTAATTAAGGGAAACAAAGGATAAACACATGAAATCATTGTTATACACTAAGATACTGTAAATTACCTCACGCCGGCGCACACAAACAGAAAGAAAAAGAGCGAAAATACAAAATATTATCAAGCACAATGTAAAAGAATACCATGGGATCTTTCAAATTTGCCTGCCTGAAGATTAAAGATTTTACTACAAGTCCAACTGCTATTCAGTATTCACACTCAAAAGTTTTTCCTTGAACCTACTACCATGATGATGATATCATCCATCCTGTTGCTGCTAAGTGTACCCAAAAGCTCTTTACCAGGTATTCTTCTAACATAACAGAGCTAATTACAATTGCGGCTACCATCAATTTCAGTATACACGAATATCATAGACTAAAAGATGTACACTCTAATCAATCAGCTCATGTAAAGTCGTAAACAAAAAGGGAATTTCAGAAACAGATGCAGCAATGATAGCCCCCTCAGTCAGTTATCTAGCCAATCATCGCTAAATGGATACCGATCTCTGCAAGACTGCCTTCCAAAATAAAATATGCATATGACGTGCGTTAAAGTTGCATCCTTATCTTCATAACCACAATAGTTGATTACTGGCATCACACTCTGCAAGCGATAGAGCATCCATTGTGGAAAAACTTGTGGAAAATTTTAATGCTCAGGATTACTGATCATCCTCTGCATGTAAAAACATATATCCACGTAAGCCTATAATTAGGAAGGAACAAGTCTGTTTCCATAGTATATAGACTAGGATTGATAAGCAGAAAAACATTTGACCATGAAAATATTGAGCCTACATGAGATTGAAGTCACATACCCAATGCAGTAAGTAGACTCATAACGTTGTGAGATCCAAATGCCACAGTTTTTTCTTAGCAATTAAAACTTTTTCTTCATTAGAGGATAATTCATCATTCTTCGGTGCTACCTCAGAAACCCACCCATCCCACTTTAAGGCAGTCAATAACTTTCGTGTAAAATCTATTATGGAAGGTTTGTCTCTTATAATCACAATCCCTCCAGGCCGTAGTATTCTGTCCATCTCAATCAGAAGATCTTCAGAACTACATCCTTGCTCCTTAATTTCCGAGAACACTGCCCATGCATGAAGTAGGTCATATGTGCGTGGGTAGGTTGAAAATGATTCACACCTGTACAAAGATTTCATCCAGAGTTCAACACCAAAAACGAGCAAAGGAAACATGCTTAGCTCCCTCTGAACTGTTTATCAAAAATTACCAACAAACAAACAAAGCCTAGATCTCTAGTTTCTTCAATTTGAGAAGACAATATTTTAACAACTACAAAAAGAATTCTCAATGGAGTTTGGTTTAGGCCAATATCTCTCTCAAGTCATAAAGCAATCAACAATATAAACTAAAATCATAAGGAATGCAACAGTCTCAAAACCAAATTCAAGTCTTATTCCAAGCAAAAAGGCTGAAGATGTCACGAACTTTTTGCTTAGGAGTTAGGACTATTGATCCAGGAACATATAATAACCTATGTGAATACGTGATGCCTTTCTTCCATCCCCACATATAAAGATGTTATACCACTAAATTTATCCTCAAAGAAACTTATGTACAAGCAGTTTACTGATTGACGTAGACGATTTCAGGAGGCTAATGACAGAGCTTCTGTATCAAGAAATTACCAGTCATGAACAGTGCCTATTAGGCCTCTGTCATAAATTATCGCCAACTTTGAAGATGCATTAACTGATGCAACATTCATCACCCAGAGGTCCTTGTCTCTTAGGGCCGCAGAAAATCCACCAAGGTTTGAGTTCATGTCCATCACATTTCTAAATGAATTTCTCTGCATCAGAGACTCCATTTGTTTCCAGTATTCAGCGACTCTATCACGCCATATGATCTGCAGTCAAATAAATTTAGATTAAAACAAGAAATGAATTGAAATAAAATCAACTCGAAGACAATAGGTCTTTGTTTGACTCACTGTATCTTGCTGAAACTCCTCAGGACTAACACCAATTTCTCCGAGCCGCGGAGGAGGAGCTGTAAGCCTTTTCGGCCAAGGTTCTAATCCACTTCCTCTCTCCTTGTGCATCCCTGTCATGTTAGTCATGATCAGTATTTTATAAGGAAGGGGGAAAATTCAACGGACAGTGACTGCAAGAATTTCCACATCATGATGTTAGATGTTTTGGTAGGATACTACATATTTGTTGTCCAAGATTTAAAATAAAACACCAAGATAAAATAATCAAAAGATGGAAAAGTTGTAACTTAACAAACTCTCCATTCATACAAGGGATTTAATATTTCTGAATCAGTAATTTATAAATAGAAGCCATGAGGTCTAAAACTACTAGAAGATGAGAATATCAACATATTTTCCTCCTTGTGATAGCTATTTCTAGAACTTGCAGCTAAAAGTTTAGATGCTCAGAGTTGAAAAAGCAACTTACTAGCAGAGTATGGTGTGATGCAAGCCTTCATAAGTACATTCCAAGTAGCATCTGGATCATCATCAGAGCTACACAAAGGAGGTTTGGTCCCAGGATTTCTTCTCTTATAACAACTGTTACTCAAAGGCTTGGCCCATATAACAGTTTGATCCCTCCTTGAGACAACTCTCCAGCACATTCGTCTCAATAGATCAGACATTGCGTTCCAAATTCTTCTATTTTCCTCGTCGTGGGCATAAGCTTCAGGCGAAGAGTAGACGAAGTAACCTCCAGGTCTCAACAACCGGTCCAATTCTAACAAGAGGATTCCATCCCTCTGAAGCCAATCAATCCGACAACGGGAACAATGAGCCAATTCGAATGATCTGCTAGGATATGGTAATCTTTTAGTGCCCAAGACACCCAAAGTAGATGGTATGCCCCTCTCCAATGCAAATTGTATTTGATTCTCATGCACATCATTGGGGGCCAGCGACATAGCTATGATGTCAAGAGGAAGAAGATACGCTCCAAAACTTGCAACTCCACAACCCACGTCAAGGACATTGCGAATACTTCCTCCATTGCTCAGCTTTTCAGCTGGAAACTTGAGCATCTGCAAATAATATAATATAATTTTGAATGATATAAGGATAAAATGAATTGAGCTCTAGAAGGTGTTATATTAGAAATATTAGTACCGAGGCAATTGCGGTGATGTATTTGCCTGCTCCATCATGGAAATGGGTACCTCCACCAGGAAACCTAATCTTTTCCCCATCAACCACCATCCAGTTTTGATCAGACTTCTCTTGAGCAAGATGTGTATGAGGTATGTTAGCTTTCCATACTTGGTCCCGACTGGCTGGCCATTTGATTGGAATCTGGACTCCTAGAAATGGCCCCATTAAATCCAAACTAACAAACTATAGGCATTGTTCTATTGTAACACTATAAATTGAAGTCTAGAAAGTAGCTCGCTGAAGAACAGTTGAACAAGGGATATCAAGTTAATAAGAGTACTAAAAACTTCAACTGCGGGCACGAACTATATCAATTTGACTAAGCACAAAAAATTGTTCGCAATTCTCGGCCATTGTTGACAATCTAGCGACAATGGAAGAGAAAAACAGGAGAAAAAGATACAGGGCACAACCAACCTTGTAACCCATTGGGGGCGGGATGATGCAATTATATCTCCGCTCAGGCGGAGGACAGTGCCGTTCGTAATGCTCCATCAAAGTTAAATTAGGTCTCAACTTGAGCTGATATATCAGATTCCTATCCAAGCATGGGATCAATTCCGAATACTTCAAATCGCATACCTATCGTCCAGCACCCAACCAATTCTCATTAATCAGTGCCACAATTTACTTTGAACAGAAATGGAAGAGTTAATAAAACATCAAATACATACAGGAATGCTCCTCGGAACTTGAGGATAATTCTCGTCGATTTCATGCCACTCATCATCCGAGTAATGCCCCTTCTCGCGAGCCAAAGTTCCGGTTACCGGATCCACGCCTTCTTCCACTGCATCTTCATCCCCGGTAAGCCGCGGAGCAGAGAGGGAGCCTTTATAGAGACAAACCAATGCCAGAAACACAATCATCCCAATCAGTAAGAACTTAAACAGGTTCGCCCAGTTAATAGCCTCGTTCCTATTAAACCTTTCCCTCACTTTCGTCTTCATTTTGTCCTTCTCCAAAGAAAAAAAAAAAAGAAAACACACACACACACACACACACAAGCGCTGCAGCTGCTAATTGGAGGTGGAGAAAGAAACCTCAAGCTAAAACCCTAGCAGCAGATCCATTTCTGAATTACAAAGCAAAGAACGGAGAACCAATCAAAAGAAGAAATTGGTCCCCGCAAGTTGGCTTTCCATAAACAGGGAGGAATGGAGGAAATCTTTATCGTATGGGGAATCTTCAACTTTAGGCAAATAAGGAAAAAAAAGGAAGGAAATGTGAATGCGACGATTGAAGAGGGGAGCTGGAAATGGAAGCTAGCTGAGTTAACGGCGACGAGGGAGGATAATTGACGCCGTTGAAAATTGAAATTGAGCTGCACAGCAACTTGCTTCAGTCAGTGTGCATATTATTGGCGAGCGTGTTTGATTTTTAGCGCTCGAACGTAGTAGCAGTTGGTAGTAATATTTCTTTCTTTTTTTTTTTGGATGGGGATTTGGGATAGAAATTATCCGGTGTGGTTGGGTACTTGGGACGTTCAAAGAATATTTTTGAGTTTAATTTGTCTGCTTCTGTGTCGGCCAATTGGATTCTGAGTTGATTCGCTGTATTTTTCAACTTTTTCACCATTTTGTGGGTGTTATTTATTTATTTTGATCTGGTGAACTACACACTTAAGGTTAGTCCAAAAACATACAGAGTAATTATTCTACAATCCCGATGATACTCTCTCTTTTCAAAAATTATTAATGCTTCATTTATTCTAAAATTATTATTCAATTTATTTTTACTTTAATTTGTATGTAAAAATAAAAATTCAAATTACATAATAGTTTCAACACTGAGAACGTAGTATAATTTGCATCTAAACACGTATATGAGAAGAAAAGAAACCATAAATATGAGATTATTAGTACTTGTTACTTTCTCAGTTCTAAAAATAATCGAGATTAGTATTAAAAATAATACTATAAATTTCAAAAATCAGTGAATTATTTTGTAATTTTTTAAACAGAAGTGCTTTTAAGAAATAAATATGCCTTACCTGTTGACCAATAGGTCACGGTTTCGAATCACGCCGTGAGTAAGTAGAGAACCACTATTGATCCCTTTACAAAAAAAGAAAAAAAAATACTCCCTCCGTTCCAAAATAAGTGTCATTTTAGTAAAATGGAGAAATTTCAAAATAAGTGTCGTTCTCACATTTCAATGCATTTTTTGTCTAAAATTTTCAAAATTACCCTCAAAAGAATTAATACTATTTGGTTGACATTTTTTTAATGGGATTGGTTGAAGATATTCAAGTAATTTTATTATCCTATTTAAGAGTTTCTTAAACTATATGCAAAGTGTAGGATGACACTTATTTTGGAATGGAGGGAGTAATAAAGATGCAATTGTTGCACACCATCTGTTTTCTCGTTTGAGCTCTAATGACGCCAAACATACCAATTAGTGAGCTGTAGACTTTCAGTTAAGCTCAGAAAACGGGTGGACTAAACGTGCGCATGGGCTACACGTGTTTTGACTAATACGATGATTGTGCGTAGTAAAAGGCCTCAATGAAGAGAGTCTAAAGTTTAATGATTATTGTTTGGGCTTCACCAAAATCATGGGCTGATTTTAACATGGATAATTTTGTAATCATCATTCTCCGTCGATTAGGAAAAACAACATTTGGAATTGGAAGTGTTTTATCAAGAAAGTAGCTAAGAAGTAGTGGAAGATTGAGTAATAGTTTTGTTTGTTCTTGTGTAGTACTCTCTCGGTCTCTACAAATAGTCCACGTTATAAATTATCTTAACCAATTGTACTTGAAATATTATTCTTTTTATCTTAGAAAAAATAGTCAATATTAAATTTTTAAATATATACTAAAATTCGTATAAATCTCAAAACTTAATGTGGATTATTTTTTTGGGAAAGAAGGAGAATCTGTTGGGACAAAAAAAATCTCAAATTGCCCGTAATCAGGATCTTATACCTATTTATAAGCTACTAGTGTCACCCCAGACCCCACAAGAATACTGATTTAATAACAACTATTGTACTCTATTTTAGAAATGGGCGCCTAATTTTTATTCACTTGAAAGTAAGTTTGCCCTTATATCAACGGCAAATAATATTAAGATGTTAGGTACACCTTGCAAGGTGTACTCAGGCAATGCGTGTATCACAAACTTAGGAAAAAAAATGATCATTTTAGTCCGGATTTTTAGTTCTCACACGCGCATTTAATCATCGAATTTTATCTCTATTTTTTTGGCATTTAATCCCCATAATTTTATCCCCTCTTTTTTTGGCATTTAACTCCTTGATCTTATCCCCCCCCTTTTTTTACGCACGTTTAATTTTAAACTTTTTTTTTTTTTGCTTATCATGTTAGCTTTTTATATTATTTTATTTTATGAAATAATTTTTTTATAACGATGTATTTTATTTTCGTAAAATTGACTATGGTTAATCATTAAGACTTATGAATATGGAGAATCAATGTGTATTTTCCCAGTAATGAATAACCAATGTTTAGACAATGAATAATGTTATGCAATTATTGAAAGATGATTGATGTAGAATGTATTCATTTTATTGATGAATATACATGCGTAAGGTAATGCGTATTATATGGTTATGATGAACAGGAATTTCATTGTTGTTTTCTGACCGATAGTGTATTATCTTATTACGTTTTTATGATGAATATCTTATGTTAATTAATGAATAACGAGTTCTTATTGATGAATAATTGGACGATGTTTCAACTCTGAGGAAGAGGCTTTTGCTGCTTATAATTCTAGGGCATTGTTTTTTCAATAAAAAGATTCAAAGATTGGAAAATGTCCAAATCTGGTGTTGTATATTGGAAATAATTTGCATGTAGCAAACAAGGAGTAAAAAATTCATGAGGTAGATACAACAATGAATAATTATACCAAACTGATGAATACGGCAATTTCAACAATGAATAATTATACCAAACTGATGAATACGACAATTTCAACAATGAATAATTATACCAAACTGATGAGTAATACAAAGATCTACTAATTTACCAAAAAAATAATACTAGTTTACAAAACTGCTGAATAACTCTCTATATCAATGTCTACACTTATTGTGGTTTGGTTTTTTTGCAGATTCAGATATCCTGCTTCTGATTGTTGTTCTTCGCTCATGCTTCTTTCAGATTCTGTCTGAATTCTTTGCTTATGTTACAATATGTTTACAAATTCCATGAATAACTTGTCAGATGTGATGAATTTTTTAGTGTGTTTCTTGATATCAACGTATCAGATGTATCACAAACTTAATAAATGACTGTTCGATGAATTAATGAATAAATGTATATAGATGATGAATAATTTGGGATTATGAAATCGAAAAATTAATAATAATTGCTGACCAATGAATAACATCCATTTACGGATGATTATCCAAAAATAAATTTTACAACAAATTATGATAAATACCAATTACCAAATTGATGAACAAATTTAACGAATAAATAACACACAGTTGTGATAAACGATGAATCCAGCAATTTCAATAATGAATAATTATACCAAATTGATGAATAATACAAACATCTAGTAATTTACCAAAAAAATAATACTACATAGTTATAGTAAACGATGAATTCGATAATTTCAACAATGAATAATTATACCAAACTGATGAATAATACAAAGATCTATTAATTTACCAAAAAAAATACTATATAGTTATGGTAAACGATGAATTTGACAATTTCAGCAATGAATAATTATACCAAACTGATGAATAATACAAATATCTACTAATTTACCAAAAAAAAATACTACATATTTATGGTAAACGATGAATCTGACAATTTCAACAATGAATAACTATACCAACCTGATGAATAATACAAAAATCTACCAATTTTCCATAAAAACAATATCCAATAGAAGAACAAAACTCTAAAATTGATGAACAAACATCATCAATCGAGTGAATAGACCTTACATCTACAGAACCCAAACAAAAAAAAAAAAACACCAATGGTTGAATATGAAGAAAACTTTAAACTTGATGAACATATATGCATAATCGAATGCATATACAGTAAATCTACAAAACCCATCAAAAAACGCATCAATAGTCCAAAAGATTAATAGTATTACCTTCGTTCATCTTCACTTTCCGAACTGCTTCAGTTCGGTTCAGGATCCACAATCAGTGGTTTCTGCGTGGATGAACTTTTGTTCATGTATTACCTTAAATCGCATATTAAACAGAGTATATTTCCACAATTTCCACTGGATTTGATGCACACTCTGATTCCGTCCCAAAAAATCCAGCCGACGAGAGGTTTTCTGGCCAAATCGTTGTAGAGAAGATTTAGTTTTTTTTTTTTTTTGAGACGGATTGTGATGAATGGGGTGGAAGATGGATATGGTTAATGACTGAAAATTAGGAAGAAATGGTGGGATTTGAAATTCTAAAAATCGCACAAAATGAGGAATTAAATGAGATTGTTGTAAATATTGAGAGATGTCCATTTTTGGATCGTGTGAGACTCACACTAGGTATACCTTGTACCTAAGATCCCTATATTATAATTGTTATATCAACATGGAGATAAACAATCAATAATTCTAGTTTCCTTATTGTTTATTTATGTATTTTAACTATGAAAACTTTTCTATATTTTTTCAAGCAAATTTGCACGTGAAGTCTGAATAACACATGGCTAAAAAAAATTATTGTTTTTATAAGGGAGGAAAAGATTCTCTTTTGCACCGACTCTTTCCTTTAAATTTGTGCATTACCTTTCAATTTTGTTCTCATTTTCATCACAGACAATCGCAAATTTTTTAACTAGAAAACATTCAAAACTTTAATTTATCAGAGAGATTTTTACTTAAAAAATGGTGTCAGTTGGGCATCGCTTGAGCCAAGCATCTAGTATTTTTACGTTTAGACAATCACAAATTTTTGCTCTCCTTTTCATCATAGACAATCACACATTTTTCAATTAGAAAACATTCAAAGCTTTAATTTATCATATAGATTGAGGGTTAGTGACATCCTTAGACATATATGCAAAAGTGAAGTGAATGAATCTTATTTCAAAAAAAAAAAAAAAACATGTATGCAAGTTTGGTGATCCATATTGATGACATTGTGACGTTGGGACGGAAAAAAAAAAGGACATAAACAAGTTTTTAATTGCAAAAAAACAGTGTCAAGTATATATTTTTTTGGAGAAACGGAAATTCTCTATGGTGGGTTATCTTTGTTTCAATAATTCAATTTCGATGCATTGCTTGCGAGGAATGAAAATGGAAGTACTTGTTCAGGAAGGCATGCAGTTACTGTAGGTTTAGCCTTTTGTAGCTGAAAACTAGAGAATAACAATACTTACAACAAGACTGTTGACTTCCAGTTTGCAGTGAAGTAATTGCTTACAACAACGACGGGAATATAAATGACGCCACCCAATTAGTCAGCAAGTGAGGTAATTGCTTCACAATCACAAATTTACTCACTTCCTGACTTCAACATTTCCCGGTGAATAAATTCTACAGCGTTAGACTGTTAGTTGAGTATTGACAATTCCACACAGTTCTAGTTCAATAAGTATATCAAATGAAAATGTGGTTTTGAGAAGCATTAGGTAGGATTTCATTCCCATTGTTACTATCTCCCCCAAGTTAGTGAATATGATATTAATACTGGATTTTTCTTAACCATCAAAGCTCGTAACTAAAATTATTACTACACATAGTGTAACTACCGTTAATATTTAAAGCATATGTTGAATGAATATATAAATCTACTCAATTTATATTGGTTTATGGAAATTATATTGTGATTTAAACGATTGAAATGTATATTATTTTATCAACATTAATACTTTAACCAAATGATAAATAAAATTTATCTAAAAAAATAGTTACACACATATCAATTCTTTAAATAATCTCTTAGTATAAAAAAGAAATTACAGAACATCTTTTTGTCGTCAGTTCTCTAGAGAGGGGGGTGAATGGGAAGGAAGCCAAACTGAGAAGAAGCGTGGAAACTTCCATGTGCGGGAAAAGACTTCCAGTTAATGGGGTTGCACTTGCGGCGGCATTTTGGCAACAAAAAAAAAAAATCCACATCCAAAGCAATTAGCCTTTTGTAAAGTTATTAGTGCGATGTTTAATCATACAACTCCCACTCAAACTAAAGTCTTTCTTCTTTTGGGCTTTTTGCCTTATATATTCCCTCTGTTTTTTTTTTTTCCAATTTGATACGTTTATTCCCACTAATTATTTGTTGCCACCAGAAGTCAGTCATTAAAAAGTGCATCATTTGCACTTTCATAGTTTCGTTTTCATTTCATATTCCCCCCTCAGTTCTGGTAGTTTATAGGTGTTGGGATAAACTTAGCTAAATTGGCAATATAGATAATTAGTTATACACAATTTTATTTATGAAAGTGTTCGGCAAGGGAGCGGCGCATCAGCAGGCACCGACGCAGCCGGGTCGTTTAGTTTATCACGGGGGAATTTATACAAGTAATTTGTGTCCCCTCTCAATGCAATAACACACTCTCCTTACACACACACGAAATAAGGATTACCTTAGCTAAATTGGCATGTTCGGCGGGACGGCGCAGCCAGGGCAGGTTGGTGACCTGCGATTCTGGTAGCCGCGTGAGTCGTTTAGCTTATCATGGGGGGCGAAGCCCCCCAAGTAATATGTCGTTTGCTTCTTTACCTCTGGATAACCAGTTTACAAGTTGTGGATAACCAGTTTACACCTTCTGGATAACCAGTTTACAACTTGTGGATAACCAGTTTACACCTCTGGATAACCAGTTTACAACTTGTGGATAAATTATGGATAACCAGCAATTGTGTGTGTTTGTGCGTGAGGATGAAAACAGTAAAATGGATGAAAACAATTTTGTTTGTGCATTTCATGTAAAGGTGAAAAATGTTGAGCGCGTGTGTTTGGTGAGGGTATACGGTATACCCGGGGTGCACTGTATACGGACTCAAACTTCACCTACTTCCCTCAAATGTCAAAAATAAGTTTATAAAACAGTTTTTTATACAAGAAAAATAAATCTCTCCGCATCGAATCAAAATAAGTGTCGCCATTATTTTTTGATACATTTGTATAACGATTTTGTATTATCGATATAATAGTTTAGATTTAATTTTTTTAAAATAAATTTTTACAACTTACTCATAATTAACTTGTGACATACTGACATACAACAAGAGAAGAGGTACACATTATATAAAACGTGACGTGTCAATAGTCATGGCTTTCAATTCAATATATTCATCTTACTTTATAATTTTTTATTACAAGCTAATGTTAGATATTAGACGGTATTTATTTATTTTTTTGCGATCCCACAGTAGTGGTGGGTTTGAAAAAAAACGTTAATTTGAACATCCAAAGTAAATCAGGTTGAAAGAAATCTTAAATTGAAATACTTTGGAGGAGCTATATGAAATTATATTAAATTTGGAGGTAGGTGAACGAAATTATCCCCTTTTATTTTAGTGTGTGTGTGTGTGTGTGTGTTACTTTGTGCGACATAGATTCCGTCCTTTGGAAACTAGTGTGTATACAACCGGGAAAGGTAACTTCCTCCTCTCCACCGGAAAACCAAAAAAAAAAAAAAAAGGTGCAGCAGAGCAGAGAATCCTATACAAATATTCTCACTCCTCAGGTTGGCCTTTCTTCATTCTTTTGAACACTGTATTTTGAGTATATAAATCTAGCCTGAGATTTAGTTGTTGTTACTTCCCTATTTATTATTCTGCACATTCTATTTCTGACATTCAAATATATTGAATGAATGATTGAGTCATTCTTTATTCATTGGATGAATCGAGCAAATTAAGATGAAGGAATTGCATCCGAATTCGTGAGGATTAAGGTTTAAGTTTTTGAATGGACTTTTCTTTTTCCTTTTTTTTTTTTTTTACATCCTTCTGTTTCCTTCCCAAGTAAATTGGTCAATTCACGTTTCTGTCGCATTTTTTCCCCTAAAATAATTTAAGTTTTGTTGCGTGTCGGGATATACTTTTCTAATTTCTTAGCCATATGGGCTTGCGTCTTAATCGCTGATCATGCTGACGATGATGTTACCAGGAAATCTCATATCCAGTAAGAAACACGAAATACTACTATATTATATTGTACATTATGACGGGATAATTCATGTTCTAGTATTTGTATTTTCTTCTTGAAGGTCGGTTGAATGTTGGGTTGGCGGCCGCCTTCTTCTTAATCTTCTTTGTTTCTCACTCGTAGTTGTTTTTTCTCCCAATCTTCCCAACCTTAATCATCTCAGAATTTATCGCTTTTCTTCTGCAGGCTGGCATATATTATTATATTTATAATAGGCGTTTGACGTTGTACGAGGCCATTTTCTCATTTGGTTTCCAAAGCCTTGAGATTTGCTTATTTTGGGTGTGTACGATTCAGACGAAGAAAATTTGATCCGGGTTGACTTTATTTTTTAGTTCGATTGAGAAACTCCGATAGGTAGTTGACTTGATGGGAGCAAGTAATTCGAGGGAGGAGAATTGGAGGCAATCTTCATCGATTCCCACCACCAGTTCATCTTCTTATGATCAATACGGTTATCCTCCTCCTCCTCAGCAACCAGGTTATTCTTATCAAGACAGTTATCCATCATCATATCCTCCACCCGAAGATAGCTATAATTATCCTCCACGGCCCACTGTTCCCTCATATGCACCTCCGCAGCCACAAAGTTACCCTTCTCAAAACCATGGCCACAGGGCTCAGCCACATGCCCCACAGAGGAAGCTGGACAGAAGATATTCAAGGATAGCAGATGATTATAGATCATTGGAAGAGGTATACTTTCTTATTTAGAACTGAAACTTTCATTTGTGGCTTGGATTGGCTAGGTAGTTATCTACAGGTTTAATCAGTTATCAAGATCCAGTTTTTTTTTTTTTCCTGAGTGAAGTTGTGGCTTTGTTCCAAGTGTATGAGGGTCATTGACAAGATCCAACTTTTATCCCGAGTGGAATTTTTGATTTGCCACAAGTTTATCAGAATCTTTGAGATGTTGTATGAGGGCTTTATTCCTTGGAATATGATACTCACACGAGTAGGATATTTGATGTTGTCACTTTCTGCTGCTTCCTTACATGACGTCTGCTGCCCTCGCTTTTTTGCCAAAATTTCGTTGTAGCATGTATTTCTGAAACTCGCGGTCATGTTCCTCCTATTCTTGTTAAACGTAAATCAATGTTTTCGTTTCTGCTATCAGCTTCCCCAAGTATGACCCGATTTCTCTTGCAGGTAACCGAAGCGCTTGCTCGTGCTGGGCTTGAATCTTCGAATCTTATTGTTGGTATTGACTTCACTAAGAGCAATGAATGGACCGGTTAGGTTTTTGTCTCTTACACTCTTAGGTTTCTTGACTTTGGTTACTGTGAGATACTGAGCTTGGTTTTGATATCAGGAAAGAAGTCATTCAATGGACGAAGCCTACACCACATTGGAAATGGTCTTAATCCGTATGAACAAGCAATATCCATTATTGGCAAAACATTGGCAGCTTTCGATGAGGACAATCTGATCCCTTGTTATGGATTTGGTGATGGTATGTAGTGTTTCTTCTCCTATTATCTTTCTGTCTCTCTTTCTCTTTCTCTCTTGCAAGACTAACTTAGTTGAAAATTCCCAACTTCTTAATCAGCCTCGACACATGATCAGGACGTCTTTAGTTTCTTCCCGGAGGATAGATTTTGTAATGGATTTGAAGAAGTATTAAGTCGGTACAGAGAGATTACTCCTCATGTCAAACTTGCAGGTTTGTTATTTCTACTTTGTTAGATGTGTATTATACTTTTAATGATTTTATCATAGGTATCAGAATTGATAATTGATTTTCTTCTGCTACAGGACCAACATCATTTGCTCCTGTTATAGAAATGGCCACGACTATTGTTGAGCACAGTGGCGGACAATACCACGTATTGGTTATAATCGCCGATGGCCAGGTACCATTTTAAGTCTTGTTGTTCATGAAGTTCAGTCCTGTGCCATTCATCTTGGTCACTTGACCGTGTGACAGACATTGAGCGCATTCCCCACATGTGTAAGGTTTTCATCACTCATCTTTCCCTGATTGCAGGTAACTAGAAGTGTTGATACTGGGCGGGGTCAACTGAGTCCGCAGGAAAGAAGAACCGTCGAAGCAATTGTCCAGGCAAGGTAATCTAGTGAATACACAGTCATCTAGCTTTGATGGTTGGATGTTCTTATCCTTTATCCTTTTATATGTTTTGTTACTCATATTACATTCTTGATGAGTCTTCATTTCCTTTAAAATCTTTGCAGCAAGTTTCCTTTGTCTATTATATTGGTGGGGGTTGGAGATGGACCATGGGACATGATGAGAGAATTTGATGACAACATCCCGGCTCGGGACTTTGACAATTTCCAGGTCAGAACGCGTGCGCTTGGGTGTTATTTAAGTTTATGATCGATTTGCCACTTTGTGATGATCATTTTTTCTTGGCTATCAGTTTGTCAATTTTACAGAAATCATGTCAAAGAATGTTCCGCAAGCTCGAAAGGAGACAGAATTTGCTCTTGCAGCATTAATGGAAATTCCTGCTCAGTATAAGGCGACAATGGAGCTTAATATACTGGGGTAATAATCATAGCCCTTTTCTCCTACCTCTTGCATACCCTTCTCTGTTACAATACGTTTTACCTAGGAATCACCGTTTCTATATGGTCTTCTTACAGTGGTCGTAAAGGAAATGCTCCTGAGAGATTTCCCCTTCCACCTCCTATCCGAGGATCAGCATCGTTTGGATCAGCATCATTTAGTGATAAAAAACCTTCAAAGGCCGATAGTTTCCAGCGTGCAACTAGTTCTTATTATGACTACAGCAGTTCGGCTGACACCGTTCCATCTGCTCCAAGTTCTACTTACGACAATCAGGTATATTAAGCACTTAAATCGGTAATATTCCTATTCTGAGCTTTCTACACCTGGGAATGGATTATTAATGTGATATTTCGATGTGGTATTCTGCAGCTTTGCCCCATTTGCTTGAGTAACTCAAAGGACATGGCCTTTGGGTGTGGTCATCAGGTATGAAAGTTATTTTGCTTTTTGCCTTATAGATTAACTGAGACTTTAGGTTATCGACTCTGATAAACCATTGGGCTGTGCGCTCTATTTTTTCAGACTTGTTGCGAGTGTGGTCAAGATCTTCAGTCATGCCCAATCTGTCGGACTCCGATTCAGACCAGGATAAAGTTATACTGAGGAAAGCTATAATCCCACTGGTGTTTGTATCTATCCATGGATTTCGTTGCTGTAAAAATGGTGGATTGATTAGCGTGTTGGTTTTATTTTTGCGGCTTGAGGAGGAAAGAAAAGTGTTTTGAGAAAACTTGCAAGAATGTTGAGTGGCTTTTGCTGCTGATAATCTTTCAGGTGAATCACTGTTGTGGACTAATTCTTTGGATCTTTGGAGTTTGCAAAAGAGAGATTTCTGCAGTCTTCCATCTTTAGCTGTGTACAGATTTTACTACGCGATTCTTGTAGGAGTAGTCAATGACAATGTTGCAACTCTCTCCTGTTCGCTGCTGTTGCGTGGTTTTCACTTTTCAATAGTCCTGCTGTGCTGATTCAGTTAGAGAATGATTCCATTTGTTCTTTGTATTCGTTTCTGACTAGTTTAATAACCATTTTTCACGTCGAAGTCATTTTACTAATGCTCATCGATGTCTGTATTGCTAAAGTTACTTTACTATGATCATCATATGACATTTGATATTGTAATTTGTAAGAATCTCCTTATCATATATGCCCAGCTGGTATTTTTTAAAGGCTTCTTTCTCGAAGTATTAATTCTCAAAATGCATAGGAGTTTATTCTGGCAAAGTGGCCTTACAAGGCTAACAATTTGCTACACCAACTGATATAAAAGCCTAGAGCCTAGAGAATATAAAGTAATGGATTGGCTAACACTGTGGACGCAAAGTGCATGGCCCAAGTACAGAACTTGGCCTTAAGCCCTTAATTAAGAGCATTGTCTTCCAGAGGCTCGATCTGTAATAGCATGGCTCTTCGAAAATCCAAATATGGAAATACCACCGGGCTTTCGTCTTCTGCTATTTTCCAACTGGACCGCGGGCAAAAACAAAGCGCAAAACAATTCGACACAGTCAGATATTTAATAATAGGGAAAAATGATAGAATTCTCAGCTAACCGTACAATAAAACGAATAACTAGCGTGAAATGTATTAATATGCTACCACGTCTCAAGAAAAGAAGTCCATATTGAGTTTTCAAATTTGTACTAAAAATAGTACAAAATCCAAAACTCAATATGAGTATATACATATATATATATATATAAATATTTGTTGTACATTTGTTATAACTGATTTCAGAAGATAGATCAATTATCGCTATTGATGTTGAGGGCGAATTCGATGACGTATATATTACCTGTAATTGAGGATTAAATGGTGCAAGAAGAAAGAGGTTTCAACTCTTGCAATCTCTGCTCCTGGACAGAGTCGAGCTCCAGCACCAAAGGGCATCACCTTTTTTATGGTTGCTTCATCCTGGAGTAATTTATAGGACATATCAAATTGATATAAATAAGGCTCAATCTTTTTTTTTTTTGGTTGAAATAATTAAAATCCAATGGTTTATGATAATGGCATTATCCAAGTGATGATGAAAAATTTCCCCACCTTTTTGTAGATTTAGTAGTAGTAGGTTAATGTGAGATATGTACATGTTCATCAATTTTCGTAAAAGCTGTGATAGTAAATGGCACTAGGATAATGGCAGGTTAGGGATATACCTCCCATCTCCAAGGATCAAAGCGGGTCGGGTGATCATGAAGAGATTGATCCAGATGGGGGCTCAATAAGACTGGTAGAACCTTCCACCCTTGAGGAATCAGATAGCCTGCAGCCACAAAAGAAAACGTCAAAATTAAATCCTTGCAAGTTAAAAGGGAGGAAAAAGAAAAGAATAAGAACAAGGAATTTATATATACTACTACATGCAAAGAAAAGTGGTTAAACTGTAGTTAAAAACAACATGATGTTACAACCTTTAAATTCGACGTCCTTAACAGCTTTTCTGTGCACGAACTTAACCAGGTTGCCGCATCGCAAAGCTTCATTTATGACCTGAATATATTATTATTACACCGAAGACATGAGGCATACAAAGTGAAGATTAAACCTTTTTAATTGGTTGTATCAAGTTTGGTAATGAAGTACGTACTTTCATCGTAAATTCCATTTGCTTATAATCCTTCAAGTTCAAGGGCTCTCCTGGGGGCTTTTCTGCCCTTATTTTTCGATGTTCTTCCTGAAGAAAAAAGAAGAAAGAATTAGTTATGTATCCTTATTAGTTGCTTATATTTTTTTTCTTTAAAAATGTACGTATGGAATTTATAAACAATAATTCAAGCAAGAAAATGGATATATTATACCCTTAAGTGTTGAAGAGCTTTGGGGGACTGAGAAAGGAAGTAGACAACGAGACCCATAAGTCCGGAGGTGGTTTCGTAGCCGGCCAGAAGAAGGTCCCGAACCAGGTCAACTACTTCTTCATCACTCATTGCTTCTTTCTTCAACAACCCGTCCAGAAAGTCACCTCTTGAAGATGATGGTGATGTCACTGAATCCCCTGATTGCCTCTTCTTCCTATCTTCCATTATACTTCTTAAAGTTGATGATATCCTTGTTCTTGCCTACATTTTAATTTTGCATCAACACACACATATATATATATATAAATATATACTCATTATAATTAGTTATATATGATTGATAACTTGTATAATACTTCTTCTATCCTATAATTATTGTCCAATTGAGTTTTCATTTTTAGTTCAAATTGAACTAAAAATAAAAACTCAATTGGACAATAATTATGAGACGAAGAGAGTAGAACCTATTGGGATGATCATATGCAGTGCGTTTCCGTCTCGTTACTTAGTTAATTCCAAGATCTAAACAAAAAGTAAATCATGATATATATTTTAGTATAAAAAGATAAACGTTTCATTTATTGAACTGTTTGTTTATAACTTGGTAACCGATTCGTGAATGTTGAGATTAAATACGTCCATCGCCATGTGAATAAATTTTTAATAAAACAATTCAAGGATATCATGCATGAATTATATGTAATAAATATGAATATATTTTTTTCCCCCATTGAATTTGTAGTTGGATTATTTGGAACCAAGAAAATTACGGAAATCTGCATACCTTCACGGCCTTGGCATAAGGGCTCCCCGGCAGATAGACCGGAAGGGAGACAAACCCTTTGGCGAACGTAAGAAAGTCGTTGAAAAACATGGGAGCAAGTGGATCTTCCGGCTCCATGTCAATCAGATTTTTCAACATCACGCCCATTGTGAACTGCATTATTTGTTGTTATTATTATTATTAATTACAAAAAGAAACGATCAATTTTGATCATTACTTATTAAGTGAATTAATTAGACATGATATTAACACAATTCTAAATAAGAGGATATGTATGTAATAATACCTCTTTGGCGACTTGGAAGAAGGGGACTTTTTCACCCCGGGGTAGTTTTTGCCAGGATTTCATGAGGGAAGTTGACAACTTGTCGACGTAATTAAGGAACTCCGGCCTCGATTTCGAGGTTGCGATGTGATTAGCGGCAGTACTCCTGACCTTTTTGTGTTGATCTCCGGTGACAATAAGCATAGATCCACTCCCAAGTATGTCTGATACTGATTTTGGATAGCTGCTCCTGAAAAGCTTCCCTTCGTTCTGCAGTATGAATAGGTTCATCTCCATATCACACGACACTATTGTTGGACTCCCAAATAGATGCGATTTGAACACATCTCCGTACCTACCAAAAAAATAATAATAAATTAAAAAAAAAGACAATTGATTATTAATTTAAGAAGAGAAAAAAAAAAACAAACCTTCAATTCAATTAGATACAAAAGAATTAAAAAATATATATATAATAAACAAGGAGGAAAGAACATATTGTACTTGGAGCGGCGGTCTTCCAAGAATTGGCCCATGGAAGTGGAAGGATGGGACTTGAGGAAATCAAAGGTTTCACCAAGAACAGGCCAAAATCCCATGCTTCCATCGGGGATCTTCTCTTTTTTGTTGTTGTTGGACTGTTTGACACTATGGAATCGAACTGACAAATATGAAATTAGCAAGGGCAAAAGTCCTAAAGCTAAAGCCAAGACAACAACTGCAAATTGCGGCATAGCAGTAATGTCGGAAAATTGTATGCCTCCCATCTTATTTCTCAACATCTTTTCTTTCTTTTTTTTCTTATGTATTAAAAAAAATTGGTTCACGTCTTTGATGTACATATATAGGCTTCGTTAATTGCCAAATAATTATCGTCATTGAATGTGGAAGATTTCCTTCTTTTTACTATCTATCCTAATATCTCGCCATTCATATCAAATTATGAGTTTTCAGTTTCTTTTTTCTTTTAATCAGAGGATATTACTGCCTCATCAGTTGAGGAAAATAAAGATATATAACTATTTCATTAAAAAAAAAACCACCCAATATTTATTTACTATTTAGTTTTATTCGGGAGCGATCGTGTTAGAATGTTGCATTGATTCATCAACCACTGCGTTTCTAATTGAACCGCTAAAATTCATAATTTTGACTTTGAAGTTTTAATTAGAGTACACATGTAGGGTCACAGTAAACCCACGTAGGTAACGCGATTACACATATTGGAGTACACATATTGTTTTATTTCGTTGCTGTAACGAGATTTCCTATCCTACCTCATAAATTTACTCCACTTCCTAAATTATCATAACATTGTCATATATTGACACATATATTTCAAATTAAATATTATTTAATTTTATAACATCTTAACCAATCATTAAATGAATTCTTAAGGACCACTTGTCAAAATCTTAATGTGTGGCATAAGAAGCTGTGTTTTGAAAACTGGACCGAACCGGACAGTTGAATCTGTTCGACCTGGAATCGGAGGCCTTCCGCATTGGGTTTTAATTAATAACCAGTAGATTTAAAACTAGTCAAACTCGGACAAAATCGCAGTTTGACCGGGAATCGGTACCGATTCAACCGAAATTTTAAAATTTTGAAAATAAATTATTTTTTAAATATTTTTTATAGCCGATTTTTATCGGTTTTAGAAACCGATCTAAACTGGTTGAATTGGTGAATCAATGAACCACTTAAGTTGTCGGTTTGATTTCCGGTCCGATTTTCAAAACATAGATAAGGAGTGCCATAAGTGATAGTGATAGAGATCTTTCACCATATAATTTTATTAGATAAAAAGCAAATTTGACATCTTTTGTATTCATAATTTGACATCTTTTGTATTCATAATTTGACATCTTTGACCGTGTTGTTGCTTATGATATTGTACCATTCCAAATAAAGCATTTGAACTCAATGAAATGGTTCAGACTTCAAAGTCACCTTCGGACGCATGAGCCTAATTGAAAAATATGACCACACTTAGGCAACAGTACCATAGGTCATACCGCTGACAACTGATCTCCAAAACCATCTTTCATTCTCTAATTCATTTGTCTAAGATGCTCCAAATAAATAAATTACACCATAAGGTAAAATAATTTTTAAAAAAAATTGAAACAAAATTTTTATATTAATACCTGACAGTTAAATGAGTATACCTATCATTGTGTCCTCTGATTTCATTTTCACGAATTATCATCATATATTTCACCAGGCTATCCCAAAAAAAACCAAACATTGAAATTATTAATTAAGATTGGCAAAGAAACTCATCATGAATGTGCATTTAAAAATTCTTGCTGCTGAAAAATATTTGCCCACTGCTTGCAAAAGTTAGAAGCGAAAAACTTTTGACACAAAAAAAATAATGATTATTAAAAAGCAAAAAAAAAATAAATGAATCCCCTCCTCCAAAAAAAAAAAGAGAGAGAGAGAAGAAGAAGAAAAGATTCCGGTATAAACTGGGATTGCAAGCCAGATAAGTTTTATAAGCATACTTTATATATAATATTTTTATGAGGTGTCTGATTCACCACTTAGGATATGAAAGAAAAATGGTTTGATAGTATTTCAATTTCTATGACATTTGTTGATATACTATCATTGTCACATATATTGCTTGGTTAGTGAAATTTTTGAAATGGAAAATGAGATAAAATGTCCTTTTTATCCTTAAAGAGCAAACATTTTGCCATAGAAAAAATTGATTTTTTTCGTCCACCGCCGTCGAAAGCTTGAACCATCAGAAGTGAAAGAAAATTCCATCAACAATGGGTTTTTATTATTTTCTAAATTTTCTTAATTCCTGCGACGTACTATTCAGATTCAGCGAACTAAAGGGACATTTTAGCTCCATTGCAACAGAGATGAAATTAATCACCAATGAAAGAATGTAGAAAGAAGGTAAAAAGTGAGAACTCATAGTTTTTTTTTTTGGACATAAATTTTGACGGATCTGGAAATATGTTCTTGTGCACAATCAGAGATTGAGAAGATGGGCAAATATTTTGATGCAAAAAATAAGTGTGATGCTATTGATGAAGCTGCTGAGAAGAGTGGAAATAGGGAGAATTAAAAAAATTGATGATAGAATAATTTTGGTTTTTCATGAAAAAGAGGGATGAAGGTGGAAGTCAGAGAGGAAGGAGAAAGGATGAAGGCTAAGATGGAAGAGTAAAAAAAAATTTCTTTTTTCTATGAAACCCACCTAATTGAAGTGGAATAAAAGAAAAGGAGTGAAAGTTTATTTTGTGGGCCAGTCCATTCCAAATTATTGAACCAAGCATCATTAATTGATATCAAATTCATAGAATTTGTATCAAACCCTCTAAATAAGCACCCCTTTAGTCATATAATTAATGCAATTGGAATGATTTTAGGCATATGTATATATATATATATTTGATTTTATTAAAATAAAGTGAATTGATTTCCGTGTATGCATTTATGATATATGATATATCTCTACAAAAATATTATCCACAATTTCATTAATTATTTTTGAATTTCAAAAAAGCATTAATATTGTTTAATAATCAAACCAATATGTAATGACATTATTCAAACTAATCGGAAAATCTTTTCAAATCAGTCAGCTTTAATGTTGAATTAAAGAATCACTGATAATTTGTATTTATTATTTTCAAATTTAAAAAAACCATTAATATTGTTTAATGATCAAACCAATATGTAATGGCATTATTCAAGTCAATCAGAAATTTTTTTCAAATCAATAAGCTTTATTGTTGAATTAATAAATCACTAATGATTTTGTATTTATTATTTTTAAATAATCATTAATATTGTTTAATGATCAAATCAAGAGGTAATGCCATTATTCAAGCCAATCGGATAATTTTTTTTCAAATCAATCTCATTTAATGTTGAGATTTTAAAAACTTTTCGTTTTCTATTTCATTTTAGGGAATGCAAAATAAAAAGTTTACCACACAATTAATTGATATATTTTAATTAAGAATTGATAATAATTTATTAATTAGAAATTTGAAGGACTATTAGTGTAATTGTTGTAGATTTTTTTGTGTCAATCTATAGAAAATGACACATAAGATTTTGTCCCATGTGTCAACAGGAGGAGAAGTTTGATTTGCTCTCTCTGCTTTCTTTCTTAGTATAATAAACTATAGATTAGATAAAAAGAAAATTCTTTCTAATTACCGATAATACCCTTATATAAAATTTTAACACATCTACTATTACTAATTTCCTTCATTTTCTTCCTTCTTCTATGGTTTAGATAAAATTCTATGGTTGTCTTCTTCAAGTCGGGGATGAAAGATAAGGCGTGTTTCTCACCTCTTTTGTAACAGTATCAATTCATTGATGCCTTAATTTACATTTTATTTTTAATCTTAGAAGTTTTTTTTTTAATTTCTCTAAATCTCACAATATATTGGTATCCCAATTTCTACTCTCCGATTTTCCACTTACTAACGTTAATTTATAGGATTATCCCAGCGTGGTGAGGTCACAGGAATCTAGAATGCTATTTATCGAAATTTTTTTAATTCTCAAATATCATGTTTTAATAGTTTTTTATACAGTGCTGGAAGTGTAAGGGTTAATTCAAGATCAAAGTATGAGAAGAAAAAAAAAAGTTACGCAAGTTTTTTTTTTATTTTGCAAAAGGAAAAAATAACTGTGCAAGTTTATTTTAAGACTAAATTCTGAAAAGGGTTCTTTACATTAGACTGAATGCATATTTTGGTCTTCTAGATTAATATTTGGCTAAAATGGTCCTCTATATTTTTGTTTGTAATTTTTTTGGTCCTGTGACGCTATTTTAAGAGTTTGACCATATTTGGGTTAAAGTCAATAGGGGTATTTTAGGAATTAAAGATATTTATTTTTCAAAAAAAAAATCAAATAAAATAATATTAAAATAAGAAAAATTGAAAAAACAAAACTAACAAATAATTAAAACTTTAATTTTTTTAAAAACTTTTTCAACCATTTTTTAAAAACCGAAATCCATCAATCACTGCAGAATTTTCAATTTATTAATAATATTTTATCCATAAAAGAAGGAAAAAAATAAAAGAAATTAATTACAAATGTGTTAAAATTTTAAATAAAGGTAACATCGGTAATTGAAAAGATTTTGCTCTTTATTATATAACAAACTAGCTCTTTATTTATCAATTGTCATAAAATATTTCATTGCAATCTTCATTAAATATTGTGTTGCAATCGTAGCAACATTGATACAATATTTCCTTGGCGTCGTACACAATTAATAAATCAATTAATAGGAAAGCAAAATATCCGCTCATTTAAAAGCTGGGTTCATTATTTTCTGGATATGTTTACTTAGTTATAGAATAACTTGTTCAATGCGTGGCCTTCGTATTGTTCTCTCGTTTAATTATGTGACCGAATTATTCCTTTCCCCAGGTCATCCTATATAGATATTGCTGAATAAATAGATAGATACTCATATTAACACAACTCGATGAGAATGAGATCACTCAATTGAGGAATTAAAACACGGTAACAACTAATTAAATAAGTTCCCTAAAAGGGTGGCAATAAGTGGGCTGCTTCCGGTCGGCAATCCCCGGCTTTTGAAGCTTAATGGGACCGGAATGGTTGCTCTTTTTGGTATCTTGTAATGATGAAGTTTTGGTGTTTTAGAATGAAAAACCGACCACTGAGATTGCAACTCAGTACGTAGACTCTCTCATAGCTAATTGATTGGATCCAATTTTATAAGAGTAGAATAAAACATTGTACAACTCAGCAACTTTTAAGTTCAAAGTTTAAAAACGTGAAACTACAGTATTTGTGTTGCAGTGGAAAGAACTCTACTATTTAAATTATCAATTGAGTGTTGGAAACTTGTCTTAAGTTTGTCACTTCGTAAAAACCAAGAATGATGAAATGTGATTCTAATTTTTTTTTTTTTTTTTAAATTTCAGAAGAGGCCTAATAGCCCATATGTTAAACAGTTACATTGCGGAAATTTGATACTCCGGCAATAACATGTTTAAGCCACGGAAAACTCATATTGGCGGGCTATCTAACACATGCATCCCAATCTCACAAGTCATAGTATAAGAAACTAGAAAATCCGCTAATTTGATTCTTTGGTTATAAACGACTTTCGAGTTTGAAGAACGAAAAGGGGACGGAAAAAAAAAAAAGAAAAACCCAAAGAAAAGGCGGTAAGTACGGACCGGGAAAATAGCCAAACCAAAAAAAGAAGGCGGCAAGCATCATCATATCACACGCGTAAGACAACAGTACTCTCTACTAGGTTTGGTCTGGTCCGAATCGGTCATGCATGCGTGCATCAACATTCTGCACGTGTAAACCCTATTTTGAATTGCAGGAAAAAAAAAAAAAGAAAAGAGAGAGAGAGAGAGAGAGAGAGAGAGAGAGAGAGAGAGAGAGAGAGAGAGAGAGATTGATGTTTAATTGTTTGCAGGCCGATGCACAGAACGGCAGAAGTCAACACACATACATTTGCAAGGCTGCTCAACCTTTGGATCATTACAACAAATGGTTGATACCACGTTTTTTCTGATCTCAACGCAGTCATTATATTAATACCTATGTCTAAATGTACAGTTAGTAACGACTACGGATTACTTTTCCGGGACCAAAGAGAATTAAATTTTTTTTCTTCCAACGTTATGTGCTACGCTTAATTACGTAATATTGTCTAATCTACTGAATATGTATTTCTTACAACTTAGACAGGCATTTGGAAGAGGCCCAACAGGCTATCGTCCTTACCGCTGGACTAAACCATATTTGGGGAGGTTTAGATAGAAATTCCAAGATTTTTTTGCGATTCAGCTATATTCACAGTTGGAAGGAAGTAAATGTTGAACAAGTAAAATAAATTAAATGTAAACAAAAATATCGTAAACTACAAAAGAAAATATTCATTATTTAGCGATTACTTTTCAAAAATTATGTAAAAAACAAAACAGGAACAAAAAGAAAAAGGAAAAGAGAAGGTAAAATGATCGCGTAATCTTGTCATCCACAAATTTGTTGTACCACGTAGTGACCAGCTGCTATATCCATCCAACTTGATGATGTACTTCTTCTTCGTGTGGACTGTGGCTTTCGTCTTTCCATCATCCTCAATTTCTAACCCCAAGAGTTTCGCGTCATCAATGATCCCAGGAATCTGCCGCAACCCCGCCAGATCATGGAATCCATCACCTCTTCCAAACCACGCGGAATTCACCCCAGATTGGACTGCAAAGACAACCATAATTCCGATATGTTGCCACGCTTCTTCTAACGATCAGCAGTCTTCTTCACCCGGCAGAATCAGACGTCTGGTACTAACTCCCGAAGGCAGAACCAAACTCAACCCCAAACCCGACCGCGATTTCTATGCCTACCCACGTTTCGTAACTCATGTGGATAATTATTTCATCTCCACCTTGACCAATCTTTACAGGGAAAAGTTGAGGCCCGAAATGGAGATTCTTGATCTCATGAGTTCATGGGTTAGCCATTTACCCCCAGAAGTCAAGTACAAGAAGGTAGTCGGCCACGGGCTCAATGCTCAAGAGCTTGCCAGGAACCCCAAGCTGGATCATTTCTTCGTCAAGGACCTTAATCAGGACCAGGAGTTTCAATTCGAGGATTGCAGTTTCGATGCTGTGATATGCACAGTCAGCGTCCAGTATCTGCAGCAGCCAGAGAAGATCTTTGCAGAGGTGTTTAGGGTTCTCCGCCCAGGAGGTGTTTTCATTGTTAGCTTCAGCAACAGGCTATTCTATGAGAAGGCTATTACTGCCTGGAGAGATGGGACTGACTACAGTCGAGTTCAACTCGTTAAGCAATATTTCCAGTGCGTGGAAGGATTCACAGAGCCTGAAGTTATCCGCAAGTTACAGGCAGCTGATGAGACTTTAACAGGGAAGGGGAAGGAATCGAAATCGCCTTTCAGTTGGATCTTGAACTTGGTGGGATCCTTTTCACCGTCAGATCCCTTCTATGCAGTTTTAGCTTACAGGAATTTCAAGCCAGTATATGAATGAGCCCGCCAATTACCTGAGAAATTTCTCCCAGTTTTAGGTTACAGACACTTCAAACCAGTTTCTGAATGAACTTCCGGTTACCTGAGAAATTTCTGCAACTACTCATTAAGAATTGTTTATTTTATTTTTTTTCCATATCGCAACCGAAGTCTAAACTCAATCCCTATTGGAAGGTAAGCCTTCGCAAAAAGCGCAATATTCCAGACGGCAGAAAGTAAAGACCATAATGGCTGGGGAAAAAAAAATAAATAGTAGTATTACCTATGCCAGCAGATGCCTTAAGACTTCACTCCTGAAAAGTGTTAATAAACATCCCTAATCAGGCAAATGAATCAATGAGTCTGGGAAGAAGACACTTAAAGACACAAAATTCCAAAAATCAGTAAATCCATGATATTCATTCCCATATAGAAGAAGCCAAGTGCTTCTTTACTGCGATGTCATATAGAGCAGCCTATGCAAACTATGAATCTCAAAATACGCAAGAATAGGCTGCGAAAAGTAGAAAAGCTCAACAACACAGTGATCTCCAAGTATAACTAGTGAACAATGTACAAGCACCTTCATAACAACTGTGTATCGACTCTTAAGCCGTTCTATACTAGAAAAATTCCCCAAGAAGGCAGCAACCAGTGAAAAAAGTTTGGTCAAAGCAAATGTAAATAAGATCAAATCACAGACAGCACAAGTCGGAAGAAACTTGAATACATCTGGAATGTGTTCCTCCATCAGCATCACCGAACCTCGCAGAGCTTTCTAGCACTTTCGACGGCCCCAACAAAGATATACAATCGCCATAGAGTAACATTGCTCTGACAAAAAACCGCATAGGATCCAATTACTTTCATCAAACACAACATTCATACGTATAACAGAAGATCTAACCTTTAGTCTACCTGCTCTTCTAAATCGACATGTATCTCCTCAGAGCATGGTTTACCACGTTTGATTATTTCCACTACACGATCCAGGTTCTGCGGGGGCAAATTCTTGATCAGCTTTTGAAGCTTCTGCCTTTCAGTAAGGGTCATCGGCCTACCAATAATGATTGAAACAGTGTCAAATATAAGCTTAGTCACACCCGAATACCAATTACAAACCCGGGCCATTTTATAAATCAATTTTAGTAGAAGGATTCTGAACATGACAAGCAAAAGGATATGAAAGCAACCTAGAAAGTTTTCCTAGACACTTGTGATCAGGAGGAATCTATGCTAACTTCAACACATTCAAACTGGACAAAGCAAAAAATGTTCCTCCGGTCATTCCTATGAGCTCTGTAGATCATCTCAAAAGAAAGAAAACTTCTAGCAAGACAATCCTCAGCTTTCCCTACATATTAACCATGACAACTACACTCAGTAATCCATTTTCCCACAATCCATCTTCTATCCAACCATTTCAGCTTCAACTATGCATTGTTCACACAAAATTTTACGAAAATTTGAACCGAGTTAAATACTGACATGATGATTAACTGTTTAAAGAAACCCAGTTAGCAACCAGAAGTAAACAAATAATTTTTTTGCTATGGATGAGACAACATTCCTTTCTCTCCCTCTACTCTCTGGACAAATTAAAATTGCATTTCATACCCATTATAAAAGAATATATTTACACAGCATATACAGACACACACACACACACTAAAAGAGACAAACCTGAAATTAGAGAGCAGAAGATCCACAAAGTCTTCAAGTTTCTGCTTCATGTGTTCAATCTACAAAATAACAATCAGCAAGAATATAATGTAACTAAATAGCCCATCAACGTATGTTTGCAGTCTCAGAATTTGAGTTAACTATTCCTTCAACTAAGTATCGAACTCCTCATGAATTCAATCAGCTCTCAGAAGGAACAAAAACCAATGTTTACCTTAGTCAAAAGTTCGGCTGAGTGTTTCTTCACCAATTGCTCAACCTTTGAACTTTCAGCGTCCAAAATGAGTCGCAAGTCCTTATCCATCTACATAGGAAGATTGAGAGATCAATGGGATAATGACTTATAAAGCATGAACAATTAAAAACAGGCAATAATACGACAACCCCAGACACAAGTTATGCTCAAGCAACGAAGTACAGAGATAATAAATGAGGATAACGAGGAGAAGTGAATTTATTCTTCAATCTCCATATTTGGTCACATGATTGTGCAAATATCCAGAACCAACAACTAATACATAATTTCACTAATACATAATTTCACATGCGCTTCATCTAGAAAGTCCACAAGAAAAAACTATAGGATCATAAGCCAAAATCAGGAGACCAAACAATAATAAAACAAAATAAAAACAGAAGCCTCATTGAAGAAATATCTGGAATCAGAAAGAGGGAGCAGGAAGCTCATGCAAAAAAAGTAGAGAATAAAAAAAGGTAACCTGGAGAAAGTTATTTGACAACTCAAAAATCATATATATGAAACAAAGAATCATGAGGTTGGAATAAAAAAAGATTCTAATTAAGTGAAAGCCAAAAGACTACCGATACAAGCCAATACAAACAGAAGCAACAACAGAAGGCAAAGATGCTAATAAACTTCAACAACGATGCCGATGACGGAATGCTCACCTCAACAGAAGGCAATACTTTTTGCCTCTTCCGAGGATCATGCTCTGTGTCAGCATCTCTTGGAGCTTCATGGTGCTTCAGCAAGCTTTCTTTGTATCTAAGAATCGATTGGAGTCGACTAATACCAAGAACAGCTTCTACAATCTACAAAAAAACAAAGCATTCATTTTCCATAAAATGAGAAGCAAAAATTATCTTATTTTTTGGAAGATCTGTTTACAAAAATAAGCAATAGTAGTGGATTTCGAGGGAAGAACGTGGACACTACTTGGTACAAGTTACCAACCAATGCTAGAAAAATCACAAAGATTACATCACCCAGCAGCCAAACCTACTACACGATACCAACCATCAAAGCACTTGGGAAATGCTCGGTTGGAGAGTTTGGCTGTGGAGAAATAGGAACGAAATGATATATGATGACTTGCTATACAGGACAAACCCACCTTCAAATATCCACTATAAGCCAATATATTGGAGGTTTTGTTTTAGCCAAGACACCATAATCACTACAATCACATCTAGTGCAACCAAACATTGGTCGCAATGATAATACCCATTTCTAGCAATGAACCGCAACCTTCTTTTAATTTATTATTCATTTGCATTTCAACAATATGTGTCAAAAAGCAGGAAGGCGGCATATGATCCATGAAGCCCACACAGCAGAATAGGCTGCTTGTTGTATCACTTCAGAACACTATCACACCTATTCTTGTCAACAGACCAGACACCTCTACGACATATACTTGCCCTTCATCTAGTGAAGTAGAAACAGAATAAAAGGAGACATGGATGAAAGAAGATGTTCTTAATGGTAAAGAACCCAAACTGGCACTTACAGAATCAATTTCTTTTGAAAAATTAAAAAGGCTGTGGCGAACGAGCGCCGTTATTCTTTCTTTTGCAAAGTCCGAGAGCTGAGGTCCAATAGCATCAGAAAACAAGGAAACTGGGCCACCAGTCTTATAATCATGTCTCAAATGATAGCCACTCAAACTAGTGTTGTTTAAATCATTATTCTTTGAAACCCCAGATTCTTTCCCAACACAGTCCAACCTTTCGGAGCAAAAAGCAAGAGCACCTTCACTTTGAGAAAACAAAGCTACTATTGCGCGTGAATAGAAACTGAAGTGATCTGACCCTAACATTTGGTTTCCAGACTGGCTATCCGATCCCTCACAAGTTTCTGACATAGCACTAGATTGTATGTCTAATCCCTTAACAAGTTTCTTGATATACCAAACTGCACTGCAAATTGACTATTATTAATAATTATAACCATAACTTTATTCAAAAAAAAAGAAAAAAGAAAGTATTCCCCACAAACTCATCAGCCTTTTCAAAATACCAAGCCAAATTGAAAAGGCTTACAATAGAGTTAATAGCTACATTAGGAAAGAGAGGAATGATGATAACTTAAGTCAAACAACTAAGGAAGCCACAGGGATGTAAGGTGAATTTTGAAAAGCTACAAGTCACACCCAGATGTCAGCTCTAAGCAAAGACCTTATTGTCTGAGCAATTGACGTAATGAAAAATTATCAGACATCTGCTAATACAATCCCACTTTTATAGAGAATGGTGATTAAATGCCAAATTGAATGATCAAACCAAGTGATAAAAGCATAAAACTAAGCAAAATGATAACCAGAAACATAATGAATTAAGATAAAGAATGGTACTCCCCCCGTCCCAAAATTATTGTCCAGTTTGAGATTTCACTTTTAGTACAATTTGAACTAAAAATGAAAACCCAAACTGGACAATAATTATGGGACGGAGGGAGTATAAAACAATTCAAGAGACACAAAAACCTCTCATTTATGTCTACTATTAATAAACAGCGTACTTGATTCCTTGTCGCCTTTCGTATTCACTATTCAGTTTTCATCCTCTATCAATAAGGACAGCATACATAAAACTCCACAGAAAGGAAAAAGTGAAAAGTGCATTTCCATACTTGAAGAAAGTCGGATACCATTGAAATTGAAAGGAAGTTCTGCTAAAAAGAATCTAACAGAATCCAACAGAGAAAACAACCACTATAAAAATTTGTGTCAATTGAGCATAATGGCAACATATGATTTATATACCATGTGATACCATAAGCTAGGCACATGTGGTCATAACCTTCAACACCTTGAAAACTTGGAATTTGAACTCCTCACTTATCTTCCAAACAAATGACATGCAGAGTGCAAACCATAATGTTCATCTCAATGTGATTCATTAGTCAATCTTTCCCAATAATCTTGAGATTCTCAAAGCATATATAATAACAAGACTTGCGTTGAAAGATATACATATAATAAAAAATTATGTGCACATTAATAATGAGAAAAAACGAGACTTATATATAACTCGTATTACTCCCTCCATCCCAAAATGCTTGTCCGGAGAGAAAATCATTTTGAACAAATTGTATCAAGGGAGAATCCCTCGAAAAGCATACAAAATAACTTATACCAATATAATGTAGCAAATCATAGAAAAAACTAGGATAAGGGTTGAAAAATGTAAACTATAAAAGACATATAATAATGTAACATGTGTTAAGACTCTCGGTAGGAATATTTGGTAAATTCTCACTCACTAGTTTGCATCAAACATCGGCTTTGGGCCCAAATTTTATTGCCTAAGCATTTGCAAAACTCTGTCCCTAAGCGTATTTAATTTGAAGATTATACGGTGGTAATAGATATGACAAGCGAGAGGGTATACGCAAAATTAAAAGTTTAGAGGGGGGCACCAGAATCTAAATGCTTAACCATAGATAGGTCTAAAACAAAATACATGGAATGCCATGAAAACTGATACGTCAAATATTAAATTGGTGGACACGAATTAAACACATCTAAAAGTGCCATATAACTGAGATACAGTATACTTGAAAATAGAAACACATCTAAAAGTGCCATATAACTGAGATCCAGTATACTTGAAAATAGAAAAACCGATGAGGATGTTAAACAAATTCAAACAAGTTAAAGCAAATGGTAGAGCGTCTAATGTTGCATGTTCATAAAGTACCACTAAAGTTTGAAAAAATGAAAGTAATATAAAATTGCCATGCAACTAACAATAATTTCAGTCTGTGTGTTAGTAAGACACTATATACGGAAACAAACAAAAATTCTATGTGGTGAGAGTGTGAATGTTATGATAAATGTATTGACACACAACAACAACAGAAAAAATATATATAAAAATAAAATAAAAATCTTTAGACACACTATATCAGATATGATTAATATTGACAAGTATCGATGGCTAAGCATCTGCTTAATTTAGATGCCACGGGTTAAACAAGTAGAAACATTAAGACCACTAATTCAAATTCGAAAGGAATAAGTAGACCTAAAAAGACAAAAGAAAGAAACTACTGAAAATGACATGAAATATTTAAAATTTCAAGAAAATTTGACTGTCAACAGAGCACAATGATCCATAAAGTCAACCCCAAATACATAAATGAAGGTTCTAATTGTTCCTAAAACCTAAAGTAATGATACTTTGTTTCTAAAACCATAGTAATTTTACAAAATATTTCTACTTTCTCTCAGCAAATTGTCATCATTTGTTACCATTCACAAATAGTAAAGAAACAGGTGGTTTGAGGAATAATACCATTCACCTCTACAAACTATAAATAGTTTTCATCTCCAAAAGTTATAGCATTTATTCATTGTTTAATGATTTTACAGTATATGTATACCACCGTATTTACAACCAATAAAAAAAATTGTTCGAGTAATAATATTACTCATCTATAGAAATTATTTCTAATTTTCATCTCTACACATTATAACATTTATTCATTGATTATCATCCTGAAATGTGAACATTATTATCATATCTATAACCTAAGTTACACTTGGTGTAGATGTCTACAAGGGTGTGAGACTCGTTCACGGTTCAGAAATTGATCAAAATAGATCAACATATTTCGCTCGTCAACAATTCAGAAGTAGATCCACATATTTCGTTCGTCAACCGTTCAGAAATAGATCAACATATTTCATAAAAGTGCCACACCCTAGCATCTATAACCACACCCTACACAATCTCTATCCATAGAGTTTTTGTAACTTAATTTATATTCAATAACCAGTAATGAATCATCAATGAATAAATGATATAATGAATAAATGATATAACGCGTGGAGAAAAAAATTAAATACAATTTCTAGAGAAATCGAACAATACATCAAAGAAAACAACCAAAGGCAGAAAGAATAAAGCTATTGAAGTCTTCCACTTAATAATTGTTTCAATTCAACAAGCAATTCCAGGCCATGACATATAGGAGTGGTTTGGAGAGATTTTCACCAAAACTAAAAAGAAAAAGAAAAACCCTTTTATTCTTTCATTAAACTCAACAGAAACCTATGTATTCCTCACCTTAAATTGAAAGGCCAAAATTAAAAAAATAAAAATAAAACCTGCATCGCCTCGCTATCACCTTACCTGCTGAACAACCAAAGAAGATCAGGAGCTCAATTCGGCGGCGTGTAGAGAAGCAACACCGACGAAGGTTTTTGAGTGGTATTAATAGCGGGCAAAACGAAAAGTCCGGAAAATTGAGGCGGCGGGAGCGGAAATTTTGGGATTATCCCAATTTCAAATAAAGAAGAATATCTCACCAGCAAATATCGGGAAAATCCCCAATTTTTAGGAATGCACAGATATACACGAAGTGTTAATAATTTTTTACTTTTCGCGACTGATACATTATCTATATACATAAAAAGGATACCGTTATACCGATGAGCCTTTATAGCTCAGTGGTAGAGCGTCAGTCTTGTAAACTGAAGGTCCGCAGTTCGATCCTGCGTGAGGGCATTTTTTTTTTCCAATTTTTACTTCTTACCGGCATTGGTTACTTTTTTTTTTTTGATAATATAAAAGAAGCCCCTCATGCTTTTTGAAACCGCACGAGAACCCTCCTGTAGTTTAAAAAGTACACGAGAACCTCTACGTACTTTTCCCAACTGTGTTAATTGTATGGAAAGTGCTCATCGGTAGATTAGTATTAACTGAGAGTACAATAAAGTGAACACATTTGGAAATTTATTTTTCCAGAAATATTTTTTTTTAATTTTTCTTCTTACCGGCATTGGTTACTTATTTTTTTTAAGTAATATACAAGACCTCGTGCTTTTTGAAACCGCACGAGAACCCCCTGTAGTTTAAAAAATACACGAGAATCTCCTCGTGCTTTTCTCAAATGTGTTAATTGGATAGAAAGTGCTCATCTTAACGATAGATTAGTGTTAATTGAGAGTAAAATAAAGTGAATATGTTTGAAGAATCTATTTTTCCAAAAATACCCTTTCATGTTTTTATTGTACTTAATCGTGAAGTGAGCTCACATCCGCCGCTCTTTGCTTCCTCCCCTCTTCTTTTCCTCTGTATTAATCTTCCCCCTTTACCCATCTCTTATCTTCTCATCTCCCTTCTCCAGTCAATCTTTGCCCTGTTTTTTTTATTTTATTTTTTATTTCGTCCTAATTATTTAGCTTTCATCATTTTACTAATCCTGGTGATTAGTGTTTCCAGTATCTCACCCCATTCGCTGCCGCTTGAGTTTTTACCACCGAGCACCGACATCCATTCTCTTCCTTCGCCGCGTCGATTTCTTTTCCGTCTTTTTTTCTCCAATTGATTGCAGCAACCAAAAAAATATTGGGTTTAATTTTTATTCTTTTTTTTTAATGTTTAGAACTTTGTGGGGGTGGTTCGCTATGAAAGTTAATTTTGATGGTTGGGTTGATTGGAGGTGGGGAAAGTTTGTGTCCCAGAACCACAAACTAACAAGGAATTAGTGTTTCACATATTTCTATATCTCTGATTTTTTTACTTAGTTTCTTAATTAAACAAAAAAAAAATAATTTGGTGATAGTAAAATTGAGAAAAAGTGCAGATGAGTAGTGGTGTCATGATGATGGTGATAGCCTTTCAATTTGAAGAAGAATTATGAATTGAATATAAGAATAATATTACATTTAATTAAGGAAAGGAAATAATTATTTTTGTAAAATTAAAGTGATTATAAATTATTTATGTAGAATTAAAGTTATTGGAAACAAAAAGAAAGAGAACAGTAAAATAATTACTATTATAAAAAAATAAAAGATTGAAAAGGAAATGTTTAATGTAGGCATGAGTAAAGTTTTTGTTTCTTGGAACCAAAGGTACATTAGTAATTTCGATTGGATCTGTTAGATGTCTATTTGTTTTATTCATTTTTATCGGATTAACACATTTTAAAAAAATAAAGGGGGTTATTGTGTCCTTTTTAAACCATAGGGGGGTTCTTGTGCGGTTTAAGAAAGCATGAGGGGTTCTCGTGTATTACCCCTTTTTTTTTGAAAAGCATGGGTTACTTCAGTACTTTTTACTCCAATCTTCTCTGATCTTCTTTCTCACAATCATGTTTAAACCCTCATAATCATAAACCCTAACTTTCTGGGTGCGAAAATTTTTCAATCTGTTGGAGAAGCGCATTTTGTTCCAATCTCCTTTTTTTTCTTTTCTTTTCCTTTTCCTGCTTTCAATCCAAGTTCAAATGGGTTCGTCTATTGTCCACAAACTCCTAAGAACCCAATCTCAGTCAACCGCCGCAAGAATCATTCCTTTTATTAACAAATCATTTCTTGGTCCGCCACCGTTGACATCGCCGGCGCCAGAGAGTTCTGCAAGCACAACCCATCATCTCCCGATTTCTCAGACTTCAGGGCTTCAATTTCCTGTATTGCCGTCGCCTGAAAATGGGGATCCAACTCCGATCCAGTGTCTCAATTCCAAGTACTTTCCCTGCTTTTCGTTTGAGTTTTTCCTGAATCCGAATCCCTCAATTGGGTTGGTTGATAAGATTGATATGGACGGAGCTGTTTCGAGTGAGACGCCCACGATTTGGGCGGATAGTGTTAAGAAGAAGCGGAAAAGGAAGATGAACAAGCACAAGTTACGGAAGCTGAGGAAGCGAAATGCCAAGAAAACTTAGCTTTAGCATCATCCAGTTCGTTATTGGTGAGGAACTTTTGGTCTCTTTTGATGAAAAATACTGCACATTTCCTCCTTTTGTATTTGTGGTTTTTTAATGGATAAAAGTTTTGCACCGATTTCTCTTTCGGGCAAGATAAGACTCTGGTGAATTGGCCATAAGCATTTATCAATCTCACTTTGTTACCGAACATTCTCCGTTTTGTTTTATGTTTATAATGTATCCTCTTATGAACTTATATTATCTATGTTCATGTTGATTACTAGTCTTTGGTGGTATTGAATCTGTACCTTGCTTTACTCTGATAAATGAGTGATGCAGTCCGGTGCTATAGTGCTGGTGCTTTCAAATGCTAAATATATGTTTTACCCTTGCCACATCTATTTTCAGTATTGTTTGGTTATTACTACATTATTACCAATTTGAATTTGAAAGACAAATTAGATATTACCAGGAAGTGGTTAAGATGATTGATCAGTGTGTCATGGTTTTTTGCTGGTCTGACTACTGTTTTTGGAATGCTGACCCTGATGAACTAGGAATTCCAATTTTGTCGGTTGTCCCCAAGGAAACGGCAGACTAGGAATCGATAGTAAAGAATGAAGTTAAGAAAAGGGAACAATGTGATTTCTAGAAATCTTTAGAGCTGCGGAGACAATGTTTATCTTCAATGAACGTTTGCTCAATCTACCATGTATACGCCGCGCAGAAGTCTCTCAAATAATTGCTTAGAAGGTAATACTTATAATCCAGCTTGACCTTGATAGGACAGGTTACAGTGGCTACCTACTTGTATAGGCTGTGTAGAACTCTCCCAAATAATTGTTTAGAAGGTAATACTTATGGGTCAGCTTGACCTCAGTAGGGCAGGTTACCGTGGCTATGGATATAGAATTTGTTGTTTGCAGATTGATGGGGAGCTTCTCTTTAGCCTACAGTAGCCCGCTTTCGGCTTTTCCATAATGCATATTGTTGCGGCTGTGGATACCCTCAGATCATGATAAATACCAATCCTTGTTATCTTCAGCTCTTTGTGCATGTGGTGGTTGGGGGGGGATGTGTGGGGGTGTTTGTATTGTAGTGGCATTGGCGATCACCTAGTTCCTCTTGGGAATGAGAGAACTGTGTTGGTATGCCCGTGAAATGAATGGACCTTCCATCCGATTGTGTTGTTACATTGCACACGGGATCCAAAGTGTGTATGACCATATACATCAATAAAATCATCAGTGAAGATTTCTCTATACTAGGGTTCACTGGTGAAATGCTAGAATTTTGTTCCTCGTGGATAATTATTTCCTTCCCCACCTGAGTTAGCGCCCTCTGGCAAGTCTTCTGCCCTTTGTATTTAGAGTGTGAGAATATTGTGTCTTTGCTGGTTATCTTCTGTCTTATTGAGATGAATTAACTTCTGAGAATGAAATACGCAAAGATTCAAGAGGACTTCTGGTTTGGCTTCATTGATATGTTACTTGCTTTTTTAAGTTTAGGTAGATGATTGCGAGAAAACAGTATATCTTTGCATTATTGTCCTTTGTTTGGATTGGTTTCTTTGCCCTGTTTAGTAGTTAAAAAAGAGCTAATTGCATTGGCTTTTGTACTCTATATTCTGAAACTCAGTCAACATTTACCATGGTGAGAAAATGATTTCCAGACATATAACCAGTCTCTACCCCTTTTTCCTAATTTTGCGGGTTTGCTTCCTCTTCAGGGTTTCTCTCATCATGGTTTGGGACCTTCTCATCATCTTGGCACGTGCACTTTTCATGCTGGGGTTACCTTTTGCGTTTGTGGGAAGAAGAAACATTCCTCCTATGCCATTAAAATATTCAATGTACCTACTGTGTTTAACAGAGGGGAAGGCACAATTCCTTTTGCTTGTTCACCAGCCTCAACTGTAGTGAAAAGAGAACTTATACTGCATGCCTCTGTGACCATTGTTCGCTTTTTCTTTTTCTTGTGTATTCTCCTCTAGTAACATTCGGTTGTTTGTCGAGTTTTTCTCTATGTGAATCTATAGACATGAAATGGGAAAGGGGAAATGGCAATGGGGAAAGCTGAGAAAGATAACACAGGTGATGGAAAACGAATTGACATGGGAACGAGTTCACACATGGTGATGGTAGACATTCTTTTTTCTTCCTATGATAATGATTGGGATCCTGTATTTGTAAGTTAGTGTGCTGTTTTTTTTTTTTCTCTTTTCTTCTCATATGGCTGCCATAGCCGAGAGGGTCAATGTTGTTTTAGCCGGAATCCTCAACGTCAATCACCCTACCCGCAGACATATCCCATCGGCCCCCACCGGAAAAATAAAGAAATGATGACTGTTGAGATTAGAGGATGTAATCCCACTTAGACCCACAATTGTGGACTTCTCTAGTGTCGGGGCCTAACCCATTCAATCAACAACTCCATTCCAATGATAAATGTATTTCATTCATCCTTCAATTTTTCTGGCAACTTGTATTTCATTAGGAGAAGATTTCTCTCCCTTTCGTGTTTCACATCTCGTCAGTATTCTTAATACTTTGACCTTTGATATACCGAATGATGATAGAGACAGCGACACAATACATTAACTCCTCCAAAAATCTTAAAATAAAAGTATTAGTTAAGAATGTAGGCAATTATCATCCTGGTTAGGACTTATGATTGAGCATCATTTTTTATGCTGAATAGATAGGCTGGAGCGAAGAACGTGCCTGAGTGCCCTCTGCTTTACTAACAGTTCCATATCATTGTTAATTTCAAGGAACGTGACACTAATCTTCATTACAAGAACGGCTAATCTAATCACTTTTCTTCCCCTGCCACTAATCATAGGATCCATAGCCTATGTACTAGTTACGTCTTAATAGAAATATATAGAAAAGTATTCAAAGGAAGAAAAAGAAGCTGAAAAGAGTGTGATTGGAGAATCTTCTCTGTTGAAAATCAAAAGAAACTGTACATGTTCCTGAACACCAAGGTCGGGAATTACCCAATTTCTTGGATCAGGCGATTTTCTGAGCCTCTGAACATGTTCAGATCCAAGAATATTTTGAGATACTAAATGAAAATGAATTTGCGTTCAAGTAGCTTTTTGATGACACTACCAAACAGCAACCCAAACAAAAAGGTCACAAACTTGTCATCAGATGAGAGAAGAGATGAACACCCCCGAATTTCAATACCTAGCTACCAACTTATGTAAATTATTATTTGCTCATTGATATTCTTTTCGTCCCAAAATAATTTATTTTTATGATATACTAGTATTGTAAAAAGAATATTGATCAAAGCATCCAGGAGCATATTAGAATAAGCACCTTTTTCTTCCCACATGCTGCTAGAAATATCAGTCACGTCCACGTCCAAAATACTCTAGAAAAGGCACATACAAAATGATATGGAGTTCCATGCGTCATCATTCCAAACCAAAGCAAATTTCTCACACCTTCCCTAAAACCACTCCATTATTCGCCCGTCCAAATTTAATAAGTTTTCCATGGCAATTTATAATTTTTTTTGAAAAAAAAAATATCTCGAGAAGAACAAAATCCCAACTCTAAACCGAATCTACGCCCCTATTAATCACGGGATAACAGGAATAAACAAATGAATTAAATAACGTAAAAGCAAAAGAATAGAAAATCCAATAAAAAAAGAAAAGGAATGTCGGGATGGCGCCTACATCCCGGTTTCCATTCCCATATGAACAACCAACGCAGCAAAAGTATAAAATTTTTGGTATAGTAAAGGGAATAGAGATTTAATAACAATACAGAAAAGAAAAAAGAAAGAATTGCATAGAGAGGAAAAAGGAAATGGGGTCATCATATCACTCCACTCATTTGTCTGTCAAAAGTGCAGGTAAATGTGTGTAAAAAAAAGTCATAAGCAGCTGGAGCTGCTCTTTTTCATAGATAGAGAAAATGGTCCAGAATCCAGATGGAGGAGAGGGATCCAGAGTGATTCTCAAATTAAATTATCCTGGTTATATTTGAGTTTGTTGTTAAAGCCCTTAAAGTGGTAGTGACCCCTCTTTACCATAATTCTTCTTACTCCACTCCTCAAGTCTCAATCCATCCACATGTTTTCCTCTTTTCTTTTCTTTTCTTTTCTTTTTATTTGGAACAAAACATAAGAGTTCTCCACCTTTAGTATTCCGAGACAGGAGCTAGGCTAATTGTGAATAAACCATAGTTGTCTTGTAATTCTGCTGTGTAATTGAAAATTTTCCAGAGGAATTTTCCGGTATGGGTGGGGTGACGTCATCCATGGCGGCGAAGTTCGCCTTCTTCCCTCCCAACCCACCGTCTTACAAGTTGGTCACCGACGAACTCACGGGTTTGCTTCTGCTCAGCCCTTTTCCCCACAGGGAGAACGTGGAAGTCCTAAAGCTGCCAACCCGCAAAGGGACTGAGATTGTGGCCATGTACGTAAGGCATCCCATGGCCACCTCTACACTTCTCTACTCCCACGGCAACGCCGCCGATCTGGGCCAGATGTATGAGCTCTTTATTGAGTTGAGCATCCATCTCCGGGTCAATTTGCTTGGGTACTGATTACTCTCTCCTCTGCTCCCTTTCTGCTTTTCAGTAGGGTTATGTTTTCATGGCTATACTTGAGTAGCTTCATTTTCTTCTTGATGATGAATTATATTGATAGAATTTTGCTAGGTTAATTATTTGTTTGTGTTGCTTTGGAATTCCAATGAAATATGTCAACTTTTTACTTTTGCCAAGGCTAGTTTTGCTCGGTGATCAGTGTTAGACTTCAGGTCTCACTCTAATGTTTCAATATTTCACCCAAACCATGTGGCTTGTTTAGAGAAGGGTTAAAATCCTGTGGATCAAAGGTGCTTCTTTTCACTGTGGCATTCTTACCATACTGATTGAGATTTCTGTGGTCCAAAACATGGGTCATTCAAATTGGAGTATTTTCGAGAGATCCGGCTTCTTGGATAGATTGGGTTAAAAGATATGTGCACTGTATGTTCAGTTTTCGGATTCTTCTTTGGGGTGATCATGGTCTACCACTGGCAATTTGAGGCTGAAAATGGCTGAATTTAAATGTACAGTATAACCTGCACGACTTCCATTTTTCACCTTTTATTCCTTTTCTGTCCATGATAAATATGAATGTTTAATGAAAATGTCTAGTAGTATTTGTAATGCTAGAGTTTTCAACTGGTATATATCCGCAGAACGTTGCTGTAAATAACACCCCTGATGTGACTTTGATCCTATGCAGGTATGATTATTCAGGTTATGGCCAGTCTTCTGGAAAGGTGAGATGGTTAAGTATTGTTATCTTTGTTGATCTACAATCTTTGAAGCGCCAATAGCTGTGCCACTCCACTCGATGGGTCAGGATAACCTCTGGTTTATCTTCCAATGTGCAGCCAAGTGAGCAGAATACTTATGCAGATATTGAAGCAGCATACAAGTGCCTCGAGGAGAGCTATGGCACTAAGCAGGAAGATGTCATCTTATATGGGCAGTCTGTTGGAAGCGGCCCTACTTTGGATCTTGCCGCCCGTTTGCCACGATTAAGAGCTGTTGTTCTGCATAGTCCCATTTTATCCGGCGTAAGAGTTATGTATCCCGTGAAACGTTCATATTGGTTTGACATCTACAAGGTAATGAGACTCGTATCTTTTGACTACCAGGACTTCTGGGCATTTCTGAATAATCTCATCAATTAAGTTGTAATTGTGCAGAATATTGATAAAATTCCGCTGGTCAGTTGTCCAGTACTCATCATTCATGTAAGTATGCATTGCTTTTATATTGTAATTGTCTATGGTGCTTTTGAGTTTTAACAGCGAAATTATTGCTGATTATAAAGTTGCAAGAGTAATAGTAATTCTCTCATGTGAGTTTGGGTTTTCTTTTTCATAATTGATTGGCATAGGATGTATTACTGACAATGAAGAAGGCATTGCTTGTGCTTATTAGAGCTAATCCTGAAGCCTTGAATGCCATTTTAAATGCTCCTCTGCCGCTATGTGCCAAAAAGTTAATATTGGACAGTTGAAAATCGTAATATGGTTCTCTCAAACTAATGGCTCATACAAATCTTGTCTACATCCTCAACCATACTATCTGTCTGTGCAGTTGCTTTACATTTATGGCCGAGTCTGGCACCACTGCGATAATATTTTCAGCTGAAAACCCTGCAATATTTCAGGAATTTTGCTTGTTCCTACTTTGTTTTCTGAAAGGTTCCTAATTTCGCTCATGTCTCCAAATAAATTGTGATGAATCAATGTGCAGGGAACTGCAGATGAAGTAGTCGATTTTTCGCATGGAAAGCAGCTGTGGGAGCTGTGTAAAGAGAAGTATGAACCCTTATGGATTAAAGGAGGGAACCACTGTGATTTAGAGCTATATCCAGAATATATTAGACATCTAAAAAAGTTTGTCGCCACTGTCGAGCGACCTCCTTCTCAGAGGATCAGTTCGAGGAAAAGCACAGACCAGTTTGAACCGTCCAGGAAAAGTACAGATTTGTTTGAATCTTCAAGGAAGAGCACTGATAGGAGGGAAAAACCAAGGCGCAGTACTGACAGACCGGAGAAGTTAAAGAATCAGTCTAGTAATACGGACAAGCTTGACAAATTTAGGATGTCTTTTGACCAATTGGAAAGGTCGCGGAGAAGCGTGGACTGCATTGAGAAGTCCCGGAAAAGTATTGATCATCAACTGGAAAGAGGTCGGAAGAGTGTTGATAGGTTAGATAGAATACGGAATGGATGATTTTTTTTTCTCGTTTTTCTTGAGGAAAAATTGTAAATCTCTATGTATTGTTTGATGGTGTGGGGATGAAGCAAAATTATAGTGTTTTTCCCTTATTTTTCCCTTCTCCGAAATTTTAGCCCATGTCTGTTTATTGTTACAATTCTTACATAGTTGACGTACGTGTGAAACTGAAAATGTGGTTGAAGGATTTGTGGTGATGTTGTTCATTTCCTATTAGCTTCTTCATTTTGATGATAAGGGATTTCATTTCTCGAGTCCATTTCGGAGTACTGCAACAGGAACCAAAATTTCTGCTGAAAATGGTTTACAAATAACACAGCCTTAGCTTTTGTGTCCTAGTACTATTGTTTCATAGTAACATTAATTAGAACCCGAATGGGGCATTCAGATAAACTTTCTATCAGCATCAATGCAGAGTTAGAGAATTCTCGCAGAGCCTTCCAGGAGAGAAAATTTGGGCGTGTGATCACTGTACTCAACTATGGCTGATGGTGGGTAGTGGCCACTGCATATCTCATGAACTGTGGCGAAAAGGGGGAATAATTCTAACCATCCCCGGTGTCGTAGAACTTCATAAACCTCCTTTGCTGTTGAGACACCCTTCAAAATTTACCCGAAAAAAGAAAACTGAATAAAATTAACTTGGACAGAAGGAATAAAGATATGCACCCCTGGAAAGAAAAACTGACTCAGACAAGATGAATAAAGCTATGCACCTGTAGCTTCTGTCCCTGCAACATCTCTGCTTCGAGCTCATCGAAAGACCTGTGTTGTGAAGAGAATTAGAGTAATGTTCTCGACAGGCTAAATCAGTTGTCTGTTTGGTGGATCATGAAATCCAGTTAACAAACCTTTTTCCACCGTTTCTAGCAAAAGCCTCTGCACATTTTCTGTTTCTTCCACCTACTGCAAGACAAAATAAACGCTTTCATTTGTTGCAACAACTAATGCAGGCTAACTACTTGTGAGAATGGAAATTTGACACCCAAAAGAATAAGGCTGTCAGCCTGCTTACAGCAAGTCGTTATGAGATCGGCCACACCGCAGCTTTCAAAGAAAGTGCTATCTTTGACGGAAGGGAATAAAAGCTTGGAGAATGCCTTCATTTCTCTCAATCCTATTCTCATTATTGCAGCCTGCAAGAAAGATCATAACTTGATCATAGCCGAGTAAATTGCATAACGTCCAATCATGCGTATGGGTTGTTAACTGAAGATGAAATATTAACCTGGAAATGAACAAACAACAAGTCTTTTGGCCATTTACCTTTGTATTGTTTCCCATCTCCAAACCATCCACAAAGCCTGTCATGATCAGTCAATTGCTTGTGAGGGAACTTTTGCAAACCAAAAAAAGTGAAAAACCAACTGTGATGAGAGAATACTAACCTGCTGCTATCGCAACAACATTTTTGAGGGTTCCACAAAGTTCAACACCTTCAACATCTTGGACCTTATTTCATGTTATCACAAGAAAAAAAAAAGGTTTAAGGTATTATCAGAGATATAGTCATGACATGATTAATGTCTATTAGGACCAAGCAGATCAATGTCCACATTAACACACTACTTGAATGCAATCAAATAAACCATTTTGCCACTTACAGCTGACACCATAAAATAAGGATGGTTAAATAGCTGAACCCATCTCTCTGCAATCTCTTTGTTTCCTCTGTATCCAACAGTTGCTTCACTGAACTTCTCAACTGAAATCTAGTACATCAGTAACCACAACTGAAATTCATTACAAATTTCATAGACAAATCCACCTTTTTGGAAAAAGAGATAACTGAGGCTACTAAGTTTGATCAATGATTCCTAACCTCGTTAGCTATATTAGCCCCCATAAGTACGCAACAGTTGATTTGAAGCTCTTGAGAGATGAGACTAGAGATCATACAGGGACCTTCCATTTTCACCTCCATTCCCTTAATTAGTGAAATTGCTTCAGCATCCTTTCTAATCTTACCAGCTATCCTTTTGCAGATTCCCTCCACAAACTGATGCGGAGTTACAAAAACTAACATGTTGGCATCCCTAACTGCAAAATTTACTTGGAACAATATAACAAAAACAACTAATACGACTTCTCCATCACTTCTAGGTGGGTATTGAAAAAATGGAAGGATAATTCAGACAAAAACAGAGGGGTAATAAGTTGAGAAGTAGATGATGACCTGCATGTTCAAGGTCCGGATCAGCCACAACGTTCTTCCCTAGCTTTATGCCAGGAAGATATTTAACATTCTCCTGTAAAAGAAATTAAATTAGCAAAATGCATGTAACTTCAAAATGTCACATCCCATAACTAAACTAATGCTGCATATTATTAGATAGAAAAGGTAATCTCTGAATCAGTACATTGATCTGGTTGATGACCTCCGATAGCTTTTCACCATTGGGCAATGTCTCCTCGAAAACCCACATCCTCACTTCATCTAAAATCAAAATCCCAAATTTCAAAAATCAAATCTTTTTTTTTTTTTGTACATCATTCCATAAAGACAATTTGCATGCTAATTTCCAAACGCAAAATTACTAACCATGGAAAGAAGGGAGTTTGAGGGCATTAGAAGCAATGAGCTTGGAAGCCACACTGCCCCAATTCCCACTGCCAACAACCGTGACTCTAGATTTGGCGCCACCAGCCACCGCCTCATCCGCCGCACCATTACTAACAACAGCTGATTCCCTCCTCCCCTGACCCTCAATCTCCAGCTGCTGCTGGGCCGAAGGAGCCATTGTGGCTGCAGATTACGATGATAAAGAAAGAGGGATAAATCAATAAGGAGAAAGGAGAGAAACGGAAGAAGCAGAGAAGTGGAAGTGGAGTGATGGAAGGAGGAGGAGGAATAAATGGGAAGGTGGAGATTGATTTGGGCGGAGAAGCCAGACATGCATCGTTAGAATCAATGTATATGATGTTAAATCTGGCGATCTACTCTATACATCTCAATTACTCTCTCCTTGTCTCTTGCCCAACGAAAACAACATCAGACATATCTACTTCTTATTACTCCAATTTTGCTCAACTTCATTCCGGACAAAAATTCAGTCTTTTTTTTTTATCACCGTCAAAAACTCTTTTTTTAAAAAAATAAAAATAAAAAATTAAATTAAATTAAAATTGATTTTTATTGTTTTTCCTTCATAAATTTGCTAGTTTGGACAGTTTTTATCGAGGGATTCCCTAATTATCGCGAAGAAGGTCAAGTATACATTAATCCTAAATTTGTCTGTTTAATGTGATGTAATTTATAAGGAATCTTTAGGTTGTTGGTCACGTGTAAAGATTGACATTTGTTTGTTTGACACAAATAGAATATTGATGCAATTTAGTGTTGCTAAGCTGAATACCTGTCTGCATCTATCGATTTTATCAACTGTCTCAGAGTAACGTCAATGATGAATTACATTACGAAATGACGAGTTAAATAGTGAATGCTATTCGCATTAATGCAATTTAGTTTTATTGAAGCCGTAAAAACTTCGGATCCTTTTGTTTTGTTTTTTTAGTGTGTGTTTTTAGATTTTTTATTGAGAATATAAAAATATTGTATTGGAATTATAAAAAAATATACTAAAATGGGACAATTATTATTAATATTAAATTCTGGAAAAAAAAAAAACAAACAAACAAACCCTTCAAGAATCAAATGTTGGCAGACCACGTAATTAGAGAAAGGTCCAAAAGTAAGAATAATGCTAAATCAGCATGAGTTTTGTAGATGAAAAAGTCATTCGATATATTCCGTAAAATCACTGTGCAAACTAATCTACATTCGAATATATAAGATTGGTTTCAAAATAGGAGTATTTGTTGTGCTTGTTTAACGTCATGATTACGTATTGACTGTTGAATTGGCGGGAGTAGTGTGGTGCTAAACTAGAGCAACCCCAGTTTTACTCGAGGAAGGCATTTTGGGGTTAGGGCTAAATCCTAGTATAAGATATATCGAGGAAGGCATTTTGGGGTTAGGGCTAAATCCTAGCATAAGATATATTTTTAGGCAGGAAGGGATAATAAGTCATAATAAGACCCATCTATAGTATATATTATACTAAGAGAGAAACCAGAGAGAGAAAACAAAAAAAAATTCTAAAGATGTCACATAGGATAAATTTTTATCAAATGACATTTAAAACTATAGTTTAAAATAGGAAAATAAAAATTAATTAAATTTAACGGACGGGATTAATGAACATTAATGCACCAGAATTATTCCCTCTCCAAAAGAATCCCTAAAGTTACTACTGGATTCATTTAATTAATCTCTCTCAAAAAAAAAATCTTCCTCCCAATCATGTAAATCAATAGACTACAATTCAAAAAAAAAAAAAAAAAACCAATCATTCAACATTAATGTTATCTTTAAAATCTTCTCCCAAAAACATGATGCTGTATTTTTCGCCAATAAAAAAGAAAAAAAAAGGTACAAAACTTGCCTTCAATTATTACTAAAAGGATGGGGATTTAATTATAATTAAATGTTATCTTTTGAATTTCAAACCAATGCATTTATTTGTGTAATACTCCCTCCGTCCCATAATTATTGTCCAGTTTGAGTTTTCATTTTTAGTTTAATTTATACTAAAAGTGAAATCTCAAACTGGACAATAATTTTGGGACATAGAGAGTATCATATCTACCCAAATAAATATAATCTTTCCTTAATAATATCTCAAAAATTGTTATAAAACTTTATCTTTATCACTGAAATTTTGGATAATCAATTATCATCAATCCCAATTTATCTCTATTTATACATGCCACACAAACCATGAGTATGTTCCAGTGCTGCAAAAATTCCTCCATTCCAAAACAACCCGAAATCCAAAGATGAAAGGGCAAAAACTTTAACATTACAGTTGGTTTGTTGTTCTAAAAGCGATAAACTAATAGTGGGTCGATCATGTGGCATAGAAGGTAATGGTTAGTTAAGGTTATATATGATTTTTTTTTTCCGTATGTTTTTCTGCAAAATGATGTTTTAGGGTTCTTTTTTAGACATTACTAAATTTATGTTTTCTTTACCATAATTTTATAATTTCATTGATTATTATTTTCTATTGTCATAGCAAAAATGGATTAAAGGGCAAAAATTTTAACTCTACAGTTGGTTTGTTCCTCTAAAATATTAAGTATTGGGCCAAACAGTACCATAAAATCTTTAATTACAACAAAATAACTATAAAAATTTTAAACTTCATACTTCAGTCACACATAATCTACCATCTACTATTGATAATTACTTCATTACGTATTTTATGCGTATAATCATTTTATCTTTTCATTCAATATGTAATCTTAATACAATATTATTTATTTTACTTTGCTTATGAGTGTTATTGTCCAGTTCTTCTCCTTCAATAAAAATCAAGTGAACACTTACATTTCAAATAATATGCATTATTTTATCTTTATAATTACGCCTTTATTTAATTTTAGTTGTGTAATGTATCTTAATATGGACTCCAAATACATTTTACACTTTTTATATTTTTTTGTTGATTTTTTATAATGTATATAAATAAACCCCGCACATCGCGCGGGTTTAACATCTAGTTTATGTATGAAAGTATTTCAAAAAGATAGGTTTAAAGCAGATCTTGTCTTGGTGTTGTGGTTAATCCCAATGACTAATTGCACCTAAATTAATCCAAGAACCCGAAAAAAAAAAAGAACTTTCGGAACATGCCATGTAAAAAAGTGAAAAACCAAAGTCTACATTTTTTCATCCGCAGCCGAGTCACTCATGTGTATTGTTTTCTGTGTTCAGTTTTTATACTAATCTCTCTATCACGAAAACTTCTGTCGCCCAATTCCACCATGGAGATATTAAATTAATCTTACAGCGGCGGCTGAGAAATCAGAAATGGTGTGATCCTTTTGAATAGAAAATGGCGCAACATATTTTGTCGAATTAGCCTACCAGATATATATATATATATATATATATATATATATATATATAGATACATACAATATTACATGTCACTAAAAATGAGCGAATAATCCTCCACGGAAATTGCAATCACAAACGACATTCAACGATATTTGAAATCTGGGTTCACCACTTTTCTTTGCAATATACTAGTATGTTGAACTAAAACTGTTAAGTGTAGACGTGCTACTTTACTGATTTTTCAAGTGTGTTTACCAGGAGAGTGGCACTTATGTTGCAATTAATCAGGTAGTATTATTAGATGAACTGAACTAAACGACTATAAGAAGTATGCAATTATTGCTCATGGATACTACATACAATGGTTTGATCCTTTTGCTTCGTACGCTGCAATAGTTCTCGAACCTCAACTAATAAATCTCATCAACACTAAATAAGTGTAAGTGATGGGACTATAGGTTACAGGCTTTCATCCCGAATACACCCCAAAATGAAATTGACCATTTGTGTTGTGGAATAAAAAGTGCTTGTATAAGAAAAAAGCCGTCAGCCATAAACTTAGCAAATATACACTAACAGATAACCGGATGTCAAAACAAGCAATATGCATTAGAGTATGGAGTATGTAGAAGCAAAAACTATCTCAATACACCCTACTCAAGGTTTGAAGTCATTATGCACGGATCTTCTCCTCCCTGGCACCGAATAATCTTCCGCCGACCACCCAAAAGCAGCCCCTACAGGATGCTCCTCTCTTTTCTTATGTTCATCCTCAGTCCACAATCCAGTTATACCTGCTGCAGATGTTATAAATTACAACCATGAAACAGAATGAGCCCCCCTCGAAAAGCTGCCGCTAAGCTCTATATTCATAATTATAAGAGCGATCAAAGATTTCACCTGCATGTTGCGAGTGTGATGATTGAACACCCGAGATCCAAGAACATTGAGAAAGCAAAAACATCCAAATCATAAATTTCATGATAATGCCCATCTTTGGTACTTCTGTTTCAGAGCTGAACATGAATCACCCTATAAATACTATATAGCATACATGAGAACTCCATTTGTACACTATTTCATTTTTCTACCTTTTCCTAGTGCTTGTTGAGCCACGAAAAGAAGGTCCCACACTAAGACTAAATTCTCTTCTAGGATGTATGAAATCCAACTCAGGAGCCTGCATGCTTGGAATGCTTTCCTAGTTTCTTTTTGTTTCTTCTGCTTCTGCTTATAAAAACCACAATTTCTAAATGAAAGGGCCCACACAATCCACTTTTCCGCTTTAGACTCAGAATACTGTTCAAGCATCTGCAGCAGTAACCTACACTCACCATACTTGTAGCTTCCTAAGTACAAACTTCTGAGTTTTAAGAGGGTTCAGTTTAGAACTTTATAAAGGCTTGTTCATCTAAATTTGCTGAGCACATATATGATCTCCAAACAAATACCACAAACATATCTCAGCCGCAAAAGCAAACAGAAATGCCTAAATGGTCTGATAAGCCAACATTCACATAGTAAGACACAAATTATCAGTGAAACAAATAGTTGCATTCAAACAAGTATAATTTATACTCTTCACAACCAGGAGGAATGACAATAATAGCACGCCAATATATTGCCTAATCTCTCCAAACAGTGTTAAGCTAAATAGAAAATTTAGGCTACCAGTACTTCTCTTCAGTGGAAAAACCCAGGATAAAAACCCTTCCATCATAATCTCAATGAAGGAATCAAATACATATATCAATTTTAGCATTCATAAGTAGCATCAAGTTGATTGGCTACAGAAAAGTATTCAAGAATCTTCAAATTTGATTCAACATTCTATTCAATGACTGCAGTAAGTAGTCAAAAACGTTGCAGCTACAGACTAAATTTTTGGTGCTTCGACCAAAACATAAAGCCTAAAATTGAAGCTCTCTTTTCATAGTATACATGTAGCAAAAGAATGTGCAATGCAAAATAAAAATGTGTTGTAACAAATATCAAGGAGCTCTGTCAAAGGGTTTAGTATCATTGTAACAAACATCCCAAACAGCTTCCATGGCATCTTTGGCAGCAGCTTCAGAGCAATGTGGATTCCCCATAACAGATTTCATGACCCTTCGTCTCACACATTCCTTTACAAAAGATTAGAAAAAACATGACGTTAAAGCTATGCTTAGAGCAAATATACGAGTATGTTCATCAGAATAGTTGTCCAATGCCACTGATAGACTTAGCTTCATAAATTACAGTTCAATTGGAAAAAAGAAATGAACTGCAAAAACACAACACTGACTAAAGAAAAGATATTTGGCTGAAGCTATGTCAATTGACTTAGAAAAAAGAGCAACCAAAACGAAAGTAAATAATCTCCTAACAGGATATCACCAATACACACAGAAAAGAATATCATGAGAAGGGATAACCATAAAAAAAGTAAAAAGCTGATCAGGGGGAAACTGACCTGTTCGTGACCTCTAAGCTTCATAAATCCCCGCAAAATTTCACGCTTATAATGGCAGTCTCCGCTAAGATGACCTGCACGGATCTGCTTCAAAAACACAAGGAAAACAATTACGTAAGTATTAAAACACTTCAGAATGAATTATAACATTGTATTTAAAGGAACATGAATGGTGGGAACAGAACCTCACTGCAAGCATGGTGAGCGCAGTTAGTCCAGTCCAAGTTTGCAGCTCGACAATCATCATATGCATGAATAAGCTCATGGATAACCACTTGGTTAACCTCGTCTTGAAGATTCATATAATTAGCACATACCATTATCTGTCCAACAAAAAAAAAAACAAACGGAAAAACAATCAAAAAGAGGCAAAAGTCATCTGTAAGAATTTACAACAATAGATCAAATCTGGAGAGGGACAGTCCCTAAAATGCAGTAACCATTTGGCAAAATTATACAATCCAACTAAAAGATATTTCATTGAGATGTAACTGAACTCCTCCTCGAAGATGAATGAATAAATTAGTCCCAAGTCCTAACCTTTGTATAAGGAAAAAAAACAAGCTGGCAACAAAAATTGCATACTCTCGTTCACCTCCTGGAGCAACTAAAGAACTTAGGATCATGAACAAAATAAAAGGTGGGAAAACTTGATCAATTTACAAAGTGATAATGGAAAAAATACCCCTTCACCGCGAAGGTAACCGCCACTGATCTGTTTGTCGCAATGAACAGCCTTCATGAAGTTATCGCTGATGTTACATCCAGCCTTTTCCATATGCTCTTTTAAAAACTTTACCGTGGGAGCTGCAAATTCATATATATCAACGTATAATTATCAAGACCTATATATATACAAGATACACCTGCAATAAAATGAGAGGTGACCCCTAATAAAATAAAATAAAAAAAAAGAGATGAGATGAAGAAGGGAATGTACTTCTAAGGCTTCGTTTAATCATATTTTCGCATTCCTTGACAGATACACCTCCGCCTCGAACGGTCGGGGAGTTGCCGCCTTGTGGATTGTGTTGTTCTTCCATTTCCGTTCACCTGCTCAAAAGTTTGATTTCCCCAATCGGCTACCCAGGGAGTCAGGGTCAAAAACTCCAGAAGCAATCTGAGTATCTGACACAAAAACCCTACAAAAGTTGCAATGAAATAATAATGCTAAAACCCTCTTATCTCTTCTTTCCAGTATTCTCAAGTCTCAAGCTGCATACTGGCGGAGACTATTCACGGAAATATCAAACTGAAAAAGATAGTCCGGTCATTTTTTTGACGTTTGTCCAAATCTCAGAAAGTGTGGACAAGGGCCCAATAGAATGGAGTTTTAAAGCCCATTCTAACAAGTGGTGATCCACATTGTATCTGCCCTGATCCAGACTATATCCATTTCCAATCATTTGCCATTGATTTCGCCAGTAAGGCGAAAAGCAGAAAGAAAATAAGAAAATATTGTTTTCCGAAATGATTGTACAGGTTAAATTTTTATTTTTATTACAAATTAAATTAGAAATGAACAGTTTAATTGGACAATAAGTTTCAAATAAAGATATAACATCTTTTAATTTATAAGGGAAAAAAAAATCATGTTAAGTGTACATCATCATTTCATGAATGTTAAACTCCTTGTCAAGTTTTTAGATTATGTAAGCAAAAAAGATAATTATCATTAATTTTTTTAATGGAAACTGTCTAAGTAAGAAAATTATTATAGAAATTATGGTCAACAAATTTTTTTCATTTTAATTTTGTTTTGGTACGATAGTCACGTCAAGTATGACGACTTGAATGATATGAATCATGCAGTATTGCGATGGCTGCGCATGGAATACGGTAAATCTCGTGCTTAATTAGAGATCAGAATTTAAATCATAATTAGCAATGTACATTCGTAAATGAGGAGCATCATCAACCTTAAAACTCGTTCAAAGAACAAAATCCTTATCTTTCGCAAATTGAGGGTAGCTAATCTAAAAATTCACAAGAAAGAAAGAGGGAAAAAAAAAAAAACAAGTGAACAAGCAAGAAGTTCTCAAGTCAGAATGTGCATGATCCACCCGTTGGCGCCATATCCGGGTGGCCGGAAATCCTATATAAAATGGGAGTTTGGGACACCAGTATTCCGCATTCTCTCGTCGTGCAGTGTTTCTCTAAGCATTAACTAGAGAATTGCTGCCATTTGAAGAATCAAAAATATAAAAACACAAAAAAACAACAATTCCTTTCAAAAAAAATAAAAAATGGCACGCCAAATGATTGTTGTGGCCTTGGTCATGGTGGCCATTGTTGGGTTGGTTTCCGCCCAAGCACCCAGCCACGCCCCATCTAAATCCCCATCCTCCGCCCCCTCCGCCGCCACACCCAAGGCCGCCGCCGCCAGCTCCCCCAAGTCATCCCCCTCCTCCTCCTCATCCCCTGCCTCCTCTCCCAAGAGCAGCAGCGCCTCCGCCCCATCCTCATCTGAGACCGCCCCCACCACCAGCTCACCGGCTTCCTCCCCATCCACCACCGATGACCTCTCATCTCCCCCTGCTCCCGCCAGCGAGGCCTCTGATGCACCTGCAGCATCCGGACCCACCGCTGAGGCTCCCGCCGAGGCACCCGCCAAGAGTGGCTCCGCCACCTTGAAGGCTTCCGCTGTCGTCGGCGCCGCCGCCGTGGCTGGATTCTTCTACTTTTAAGCTTTTTTTTTAAGAAAAAAATAATAATAATAAAAAATTGAGATTATATTTGGAAAAAAAAAAGAGCAAAATTTGTTGCTTTTAGTTGCTCATCTTCTTTTCAGATTAATTCGAGAAAAAAATGGATTAAATCTTCTTTTTGTTGGTATTAAATAGTGCTATAGTATCGGGTGATGAGACATAATTGTAACGAGTCCTGAGCTATTGTACACGCAACAGAAAATCGCTAAGGGGTTTTTTTCCCTTGGCCAAAAGAAGAGGCAACAGTTTTTATGTTAATGCATCTTCTTTTTTGTTTTTTGCATTGGATCAATTTCATTATGATTTGTTAACATTAAATGATCAAATTGTTTATCCTACTTCCATCTCTCTGGGGGGTTTTTTTTTTGTTGATTTTAATTTAAAACTTATTAATTGCACTACCATTACTGTCTAAGTAAGTACAGAATGTTTCTTTCTTCCTCCGAGAATGCTTGCTCATGAAAAAGCAAATTCAGAACGGAATTTTGTCCCAGATAAATAGATATGAAAGGATCTCACAAACCTATCGACAAAACACTTCTATGATCATGAGGTCAGACTTTGACCTTTCAAACCTGTTAGTGGACTGGCCATTCGTGATTGATTACTTTCAGTTATTCATTCTAAAAGGGATTTACCCTGGAGTTTCGTATACTTTTTTACTTAATTAATTATGATGTATACTTGGGGTGCATACTGCTTACGTACATTACATAAACTACCTAGCTAAGAATGTTACAAAACCTTTTAAAATCATGGTTAAGTAAAATTTATGTGATTGAAGCTGGCAAAAAGTCTTGTTAACAAGACTGAAAAAGACATTAAAAATTCTTGATGTACCGGGCAGAATACAAGTACGTATCAAATATGAATGCTTGTAATTTCAGTCAGTGAGGGGCACTAGGCATGATTGACGGAATGATAGGTACAATTAATACACCGGCTGTGATATGAAAATTTGTTCCGGGTTATTTGTCGACCATGAAAAGGATAGAGAATGATTCTGTATTGACTTTTGAGTTTGACTTAAGCACCAACACATTGTATCCAATATTTTATTAATGTCCACTCGTGTAAGATTTTTGAAAACCGTATCCGTGCGTCCTATATATATATATGCCCCTCATCTGTTGCATTGTTCCATTAACAATTTATCTTTAGTTTTTCCCCTTGAAATACCATTCCTGAATATAAGTCTGGTAATTTGGAAATTAGTTTATATGAAGTTTATTAAATTTATCAAGGGTCTGTACAATAGCATATCTCGTATTCGCAGGGGCTATATATGGATTTCATTTTCTCGGTTTCAGTCAACCCTTTTAATTTGAAGGTCCATTAATTTCTCCCACATCGTTGAAACTTTTTCGTACTTAAAAGTCAGACCATTTTTCATCTATTAATTCATGATATGTATAGGTAGTACAAATATATATATATAATAAAAAAAAAGGAATTATATGGTACCACTTGAAGCCACCCTCAAAGAATATGGAGAGCACATAATATATACTACATCTTGGATTTCGAATTATTCTTCAACAAATGTTCTCACCGAAATCAAAATCAATTATGATCATTGGCTGCAGGTTAGGCGGCATCCATCCAAAGAAGTGCTGCAATGTGGCTTTTCGTTGGTTTTGGGAAGGGCCTGGACTTCATAATGAAGATAAATTACGATGTATGCATGCATGATTTTGATTTTTTTTTTAAAAGGAGCATGCATGATTTATTACACATATACAGGACAACCTAATTTAGGATTTTATTTTTTTTATTTTTATTTTTTGAAGTCAATCAATCAGCTCACCTTATTCTAAGGCCTGATAGCGCCCAGGAAGAAAAACGAAAAAAGAGAAAAGAAGTTCCCGAAAATCTGGACATGACGAATCGGTCAACAGGAAATCAAGGGAAAACGCACGTTTCTTGACGTAGTGGGAGATAGTAGCACTTTTTTTTTTCCCCGGAAGTCAACAATTCATCAACTTTGCTTTTTTTCTTGAACTGGAGTAAGTAGCTCAATGCATAATAATGCTGCTTCAAGCATAGACTACACTTTGTCATTAAAGCCAAAAAAGTGAAACAAACTGAGGAAAATAAAGTATTAATGTGATAGACGGGCACGATAACATCTAATTACGTAAAGAGTAATTGTGATCATTGCCTCTTTCGTCACTTTGACAACTATTACAAAGGCCCAAAAAAAGAAAAAGAAAACACCATTTTATCGTTCCTCTTTTGATTAAAACCATCTCCCGGCTATCTATTTGGTACGTAATGATTAGCAACGGGAGCCCTTCCGGCAGGTCAATGCACCGGCTGTCACGGTGATGGAACCAACCAGGGAAGAAGGTCGAGCACGTATGCTAGAAGCCCTGGCATAAGGAGCGGAGGATGCACCGGCACCGGACTGCCGGAAATAAGCGCCGTTCAGCATCAAGTCGCCTTCCGACCTCCAATTCCAGTGTTTCCATTCGCTCTCTGATGCATCCTCGTGCTTCGTCACCTCTTTGTTGAACCTAGTATTGGGTGCAAGAAACCGGTTGCCTTGACTGTATATGGTAGGGTTCGCACTCCCACCAATCGCGTACATTTCCCAATGCGTGTAGTCGTTGTTTACTACGTGGAAATATCCGTGTCTACACCTGCAAAACGCGCAACCAAATTTTATTTTAATTTCCCCTTTATTATTATTACGCAAAATGATATGCATAATGACAAATATATAACTAGTGAAAAAATAGTGAGTTAGACCCTTATTTTAGTGGTATTTTGCGTAGAAACTATTTTTTTTCTCTAAATTTACATTTTCTGTCTTGATCAGTTTGTATACTTCAGTTACTATAAGTTTTTACTACTTCTATTACTGTTGTATTATAATATCCATTGTATTTGAATGTCACTATCATTATTATAATGCAATTGATGGTAATATTGGATTGGACAAGTTTACCTTGGCATCCTCTGGACAAGACCTTCACCAAAATGATTGAATGCAATGGTGACTTGCATGTTTTTGTCTTGTGTATAAGAATCGCTGTGACCCAACAACATCACTTTATCGTGGTGAGTAAAGTAATTGTTAGATAGGGTTATGGCGGTGGATCCATGGATGGCGTCAATAAGTCCATCGTGACAGTTGGATAGGGAACAATGGTCAACCCAGACATGTTGGGACGCGAAAATCGAGATGCCGTCTCCGTCGGACACAGTCCACCAACCGGAATGCTCCGGCGAGTTCCTGATGTTGCCGTTGCCGCCCTGCTTGCAGTCGTGGATGTTGATCCCGTGGATGATGATGTTGGTGGCGTAGTGGATGGTGATGCAGGGCCCGCCGGCTATGTGGACGCTGGCTCCTCTTCCGTCGATGGTCTTGTAAGAGTTCATTACCAGCTCTTGTTTGAGCTGGATCACCATGTCTCTCTTGAAGATGATCCATAAAGGTTCGTCTTGGATGACTGCGTGTCTTAATGTGCCGGGTCTTGGGTTGACCGGGTCGTCGTTGCCGGAGTCCGTGACTACGTAGATACGGCCGTTCTTGCCGCCGATTGCGTCCTTGCCGAACCCAATTCCGCAGTCGGCTAACCGCTGACGGTTGTTTTCCCAGTTAGGATCGCACCGCCAGCAGTCGTCGATTGGGTTTCCGGTTCTGCATGATGAGTAACCCTGTAGGTTCCTCCTTTCCACCGATGCATTGATAGTCCTGTCAAATATGCATACACGCGTGCATGATTTGCCACATTTATGAGTATATTCTCTAGTAGTAATGTTATACGAGAAATCAAAAACTAACGCCTAAACTCGCACATTTCTGTAAAATAGTAATGTTATACACAATTTAAGTAAATATTCAAACAATGTCATAGCGGTCATTTCTCTTGAGGGAACGCAAATATTGGTTTAAAAAAATCACATTTATAATGCATAATGCAAATCAGTGAGCGCAACCCAAATGTACCATGTCTCTATTGGGGAGTTATTGAAAAAAAAGGAGGAGGCTGGGATGCAATTTACCTGTGAACTTCTTGGACGACAAGATCGGGGTCTTGGACGGCGGAGGAGGAAGAAATGGCCAAAGTTACTGGAGTTAGAAATACCAGAGCCAGTGAAAAGAAGACGACTGGAAGTAGTTGAGTGGTCAACATTTTCACCTGAGCTCCGAGGGAAAATGCCAAAGTGTTTGTGTTTTTAGTGGGGAAGGAGAGCTTGTCCAGTGAAGTATAGGACCCTCAGCTGTTTAAATAGGGGATGGAATCCGCGATAAAAGGCGTGATTAAGTATCTGGAGCTATAAAGTGGGGTGCACTCGCAGTACAATATCCGGATTAAGTTGGTTCAGATTCCCACTTGGTAGTTTAAGTCGTTAGTCTTTTATAGTGAGAAAAATGGGAAAAAAAAAAATAAAGATTTAGCTAGGACGGACCCACTGTCTTAAACTTTGGGATAAATCACGCATTATCTTTTCCATTCTCTTTTGAAAAATGGCCGCTTTTCAAGACTTGCGCCCCTGTGATTTGTGACACTACATTAGCTAAAGAATTATACGTACTAATGGTTTAGTGTTGAAGATTTTTAGTTTTATGATTTTATTTTATCCCCTTCATTTGAACTTTGAACTATGTGATATCAACTTGTAACTAACTATAGTTGCCAACCAGACTTCAAAATTGCATTTCTTCTTAACCAACCCAAACGTACGGGAACTATAAAACTGGACGTTTTCTTCCGGAGGAATGGTAAACATCATGTGCTCGTCTATTTCAACGTTTATTTACTGGTTAATCTCTGATACTGAATTCACCTACGATTTTTGCCAGTTTTGGTTTGGGTATTTTCATGGTTGAATTCAATTGGTTGACTTTGGATTTTTCCAATCGAAGGTCAAAAGGATACAATTTAATGTCGCCCAATAGTGAAAGCCGCTCAACTATTTTTACACAGTTGTACAGTTTTACAGTTTCGCTGACAATTGAATGCATATTGACTAAGCTGTCTACAGTGTTTGCACGCATAAATCATATAATTTAGAACCAGAAATCCGTAACTAATCATGGGATAGGGAGGATCATAATATGAAAGGTTACATGCTACTAGCTAGTTGAAAGAGTTCCGCAATCAGCGAACTCGACAAAATCAAGACGAAGCGATGGAGAGTAGTAAGTAGTCCAATACTGCATTGATAACCAATAAATGAATGGCTGTTCATTTGTTATTTGTTGGTATATCACAGACGGCAACAACTTCCAGTAGTCATTGAACTTGTGCAAAGGTAAAACTAACTGGTCATTATCTCTGCTTTAGTTGCTTTTCCAACAAATGATACTCGCGTGATGGTGTTTTTTTTAACAGAAGCTGGGGTACTGGTTTCCCCCCCAATAATCAAAATATTTTGCACTATAAAGAATCAAAAGGACAACACGGCTTGTACCAAAAGTAAAGATGACAAACTTTAGACTCCAATGGGCAATGCCTTATATATCTCGCCACGAAAAAAGGAATCATTTAACAGAGCTCACATAATAATACTGCTGAACTACTGATTCTATGTTTGGAGTTTTTGGGATTGTGGAGAACAATAGGTAGATACGGACAAATTCTCGAAACATAGCTGAAAGATTTGTATAAGAAACAGCTAGCAGCTGGTAATAATATAGTTGATTATACCGTGATATAGCTCTTATCCCAACCTTCCTTGCCTCTCAGCTGTTTTTCCTTGCCATGCTCTGAAGCCCATGGCTTCTCGCGGAAGGGGAAGACCAAGAAAGGGTGACAATTGGTCTTCAATTCATTGCAATCCAATTCCACCGTCCAGAACAAACCAGCCTTCCCCTGGATCAGCCAGAAATCCAGAACCACGTAAATAAGCTCTTCATTCCTCTGTTTTTTACTTTCTTTTAACCGATTGATCTGACCCGAAATCTTAGTATCAGCTTCATATAATCATATCCCTTTTTTTTCAGGTCGATCACAACCTATTCCGTGGGCAAACCAAAACAAGATCAAATCTTTTCTCGAGTGTGAGGCAATCTCGAAGAAAGGGGAAGTATTGGTACAGTTATGGAACCCGGTGAAAGACAGCTGTAGAAAGACACGGATAACTTTATCAGCGCCGAACCAATCTATTGGTTTTGGTCGTATTACCAGAGATAATGATGGACTCTTCCGTTTTAGGTCCTATTGCCTGGACGATTTTACAGTGGTGGAAGATGATGGGAATCCAGTTAGCCCTTTCGGGAGGGTGTGGAAACAGAAATTCCCAGAGTATTGTCCAAACATCGAGTGCTACTCCACACAGGAGTTTCCTCCGAGGGAATTTTCTATAGCTTGTGGGATTAAGCAGTATTGGGCTTTGCCACTTTATGAAGTTTATGATGTGCTGGATAAGGTAAGGAAAAAGCACCAGTTACCTCTTATTCAAGTCTGGGTTCCTCGAATGTACAATGGCCATGAGGGTGTTGTGAAAGGTGACACGAATCCATCAAGTTCCTCAAATGCAGAAAGCTGGATGATTACTGAATTGTTTCCTCATTTGACATCCATCGATTGTAATATGAGGTTTGCTTCAGAGGTTTATCAAATGGCTTCAAAGACAACTTGTTTGGTTAAGGCTGGAAAAGGTTTGGTTGGAAAAGCATACTCCCTGAAGAGGACATGCTTCTTGACAGATACAAGCAGATTTAGTATCAACATTTACCCTCTGGTACATTTGACTCATTCATCCAATCTTGCTTCTTCTCTCGCTATCCCGTTGACATCGATTCATCCAGCCATTCCTCCTTTAATATTAGAAGTCTTTGTTCCAGTTAAACAGAACTGTGAAGGGCTCTGGGGAATCTATTGGAGTCACTGTTGTCCACGGTGGCGCAAGAACTCTCGGTGTAGAAGGTTGAGTTTGGTTTAATAGATAACGAGGAATTCAGCGTCAAAATCCCTCACCCGGATGATAATAATATTGTTTACTTTGATGTGCATCGGCATGTTAATCAAATTGGAAGTTAGGGTTCACCGGAGAGAATTCTAGAAAATGGATTTGGGAATTTTAGTTTTGTATTTCATCACTCAACTTTGTACAACAAACTGTATGTATACACTGATAACAAAACTAACTATACAGCTAACCAATCATCAACCTATTTAATATGTCTAAACTAACCGACATATGTACAAAGACCAATCAGCCCTCTACTTAAATTACTACCTATACAAAGCTCAGGGGTAAATCAGTAAACTATACAACAAAACTGCAAATTTACATATGATCCATATGCGTACTGTTTGATCTGATCTTCATCTTCAAGGGGGATATTCATTATCTTTGACATCCCCTCCACAAGCTGGACTGGGAAGACACGTCTTCACGCCAAGCTTGGATAGCAGTTTGGAGAAGAGAGGATGAGGCAGAGACTTGGTGAAGATGTCAGCAATTTGATCAAGGGAGGCCACATACAGAGGAACAACAAAGCCTAGTTCATATTGATGCCGTACAAAATGGCAATCAATCTCCAAATGTTTAGTCCTCTCATGAAATACCGGATTCTCAGTGATATATATGGCAACTTTATTGTCACACCACAAGGAGATTGGAAGCTGGGATGGAATAGAGAAGTCATGCAGAAGATGTGATAACCATAGAAGCTCCCTGGTGGTAACACTAAGTGACCGGAATTCAGCTTCTGCTGAAGAACATGAAATAGTATCCTGTTGTTTGGTTTTCCAAGAAATCAGAGAACGGCCAATGAAAATGCAGAAATCACTTATCGATCTCCCGTTGATGATGTCCGAACCCCACCAAGATCACTAAAAGCTTCAAACTTGAGATCATTGTCGTAGGATAAAACAATCCATGAGTGGTGTCCCTTTCAAATACTTCAATACATGGATCGAGAATCCCAATGATCTTGACAAGGATGTTGAATGTGTTTTGAGTCTGGATCGCAAAGGTAATATCCGTCCAGTGAAAGACAAATACAGCAACTAACCAACAATTCTTCTGTAACTGGAAGGATTTGACAAAAAAGCTCCTGGTTCATCTGAGAATTGATGACCTTTGGGAAGAGGGGTAGTTGTAGGTTTGCAACCAATGAGTCCAGCTGATTTCAAGATATCCAGAACATACTTTCTCTTATTCAAAAACAAACCTTGTTCTGATCTAGTGAGTTCAATGCCAAGGAAATATTTTGCCTGACCAAGATCCTTGATGGTGAACTGTTCATCCAAAAAATGCTTCACCTGTTGAATAGAATCTTCATCTTCTCCTGTAATTAAGATGTCATCTACATAAACCAGTAATGCCAAGAAAATCCCTTCTGTTTGTTTGATGAATAAGCAAGGATCATGTGCTGATTGAGTAAAACCATAATCATTAATCTTCTTGCAGAACTCCTTGTTCCACTGTCTGGAGGCTTGTTTCAAGCCCTATAATGACCTATTAAGCTTGTAGACTTGTCCTGATTTGGCTTTATCATAGCCTTCTGGTGGGATCATATAAACCTCCTCATCCAGGTGACCATGCAAGAAGGCATTATTAATGTCTAATTACTGGATAGACCACCTCTTGTTGGCTGCAATTGCAAGAAGTAACCTGACTGTAACTATCATAGCAACTGGAAAATAGCAATCGTAATAGTCTTGACCCTCAACTTGATTAAAGCCTTTAGCCACCAACCTTACTTTAAACCTTTCCACTGAGCCATCCGAGTGCAGCTTGACCTTATAAACCCACTTGCAGCCAATTGCTTTTTTTCCTTTAGGTAAAGCAGTCAATTCCCAGGTATCATTAGCTTTCAAAGCTTGAATTTCCAATTGCATGGATGTCACCCATCTCACATCTTGGATGGCCTGTAAATATGAACTAGGTTCCTGGACAGTACCTAGTGCTACCATAAAGGACAAATGAGTGCTGGTAAAATGAGGTGTATCATAGTATGGAAAAATATATGGTGTGTGAGGTGAAGAGCTGGGATGAGGCATTTGTAAACTATTTTCATGAATAAGCCATGCATTTTCAGTCACATAATCATTCATCCATATTGGTTTATGTCTAGTTCTATTACTCTTTCTTAATACTGAAGATGGAGGAATAGAAGTATTATTGATTGGTGAAGGAGAAGAAGAAAAATAAGTTGGACAGGGATTAGACTGTATTAGAGTGGGGGAGTGTGATGGATTAATTTTTGGATCATCATTATGTGAAGGAGATTGATAATTGCGGTGATCATCATCAGGAGGATGATGATTGTCAGAAGGAAAAGAAGCTGGAATGGGTGCAGCAGTTACATCCCATTGATCTGGATAATCTGGAAAATGCTGAGAATTGGATGGTAAGGGATTGGTTGAATCTGTGGTTTAAGATAAGGAAATGTAGTCTCATGAAAGACTACATCTCTGGAAATAAACACTTTCTGATTTGTAAGATCAAAAAGTTTATAGGCTTTCTGACCAGGTGGATAACCTATAAACACAGACCTTATAGCTCTGGAATCAAATTTTTCTTTATGTGGAAGAGTGTTTGTAGCATAACACAAACTACCAAACACTCTAAGGTGATAAATATCTGGTGTTCTGGAAAAAAGGATCTCATAAGGAGATTTGAAGTCAAGTATTGATGAAGAAAGTTTGTTTATCAGATAAGTGGATGTTAAAACTGCATCTCCCCAAAATATTCTAGGTAATCCAGATTGAAATAAAGGACCTGGCTATTTGAAGTAAATGTTGGTGCTTTCTTTCTACTACCCCATTCTGTTGAGGTGTATAAGGACAGGATTTTTGGTGTAAGATGCCAAGATCTGTAAAGAGACCTTGACATTGATGACTTAAGAATTCTGACCCATTGTCACTCCTGAATATCTTGACTTTAGTATCAAACTGAGTATTAACCATTTTCAGAAAGTTACTGAGTATGGCTACACTTTGAGACTTATGATGCATGAGAAATGTCCAAGTAGATCTGCTATAGTCATCTACAACAGTTAAAGAAATATTGTGCACCAGATAAGGATTTCTGAGAATGTGTTCCCCAAATGTCCACATGAATCAATTCAAAAATTAAGTTAGACTGTATAGTACTAACTGGAAACTTTAATCTTTGTTGTTTAGACATTGGACAAATTTCACAAGCACTGGAAATATTTACATCATCTTTATTACAAATGCCTAGATGATGCAATATACTATCTGGAATATGGCCTAATCTATGATGCCAGGTCCTGCAATTTGCATCACTGGCTAAATGAAAAAAATGAAGTTTCTTAGAACTAGCATACATCACAAATGGATGATTCACATGAGTATCTATGAACTGCAAAATGGTTTCCTTAGCAAATGATTTGTGACCCAAAACATAAAGCTTGTTTATTAGTCTTCCAACTGCCACAATGGTTCTAGTTATTTGGTCCTGCAACAAACAAAAGTTTGTTGAGAACAAGCAATCTATTTTGGATGAAGAAGCTAATTTGCTAACTGACAATATGTTATATTTGAAAGAGGATATATGCAAGCAATCTGAAACTATAAGGTTGTCTGACAATTTTATGCTGCCTATATGATCAACTGTTTTGATGGTTCCATCAGGCAAACAAACAAGTGTGTATTGGTCAACAGGTTTATACTTAAAAAATAGTTTCAGCAATGCACTCATATGTCCAGTAGCACCAGTATCTATGAACCATACAGCTAACATCATCAAATCATTATCTGTCATCTTGTTCATAGTATCAAAAGTGCTCATACATGCAAAGTCATGGTAATGAGCAAAATTGACATGTTCAAAATCACCAGCTGTCTGCTTTTCTCTGATCAACTTTGCCATGTCCTGCTGAAACAAATTCAAGCTGTTCATCATGGTTTGGATATCTGAATTCCCTGTATTGATGCCTGTCTCAGTCTTAGCTTCAGGAATGACTTCAACCATATGAGCAGAATGACCTCCTGTAATCTTCTGAGTTGGTTGAAACTGCTTCCCTTCTTTGTGATTATCATTCCACCATTCTGGATAACCAATTATCTTGAAGCATGAATCCTTGATATGTCCTGTCATCTTACAGTGATCACACTTTAAAAACTTCTTCATAGCCTTCTCCTTTCTCCAGTCATTCTCTTTTGCTGCTTTGTTGTTGTTGAACCTTCCTTTGTGTGAGAACATTGCAACTTGTTTACCTCCTGATTGTATGTTCGGATCTTGATTCTTAATCTGTGACGAATACATAGCACTCTGATCATAATTTCCTGTCGACTCCATTCTGTTCTTCAACTGTCAAAACCATGCTATAGGCTTTCTTCACATCAGGTAGAGGTTCCATCATCAGCACATGATTCCTGACATCATTATATGAGTCACTCAAGCCTGTTAAAAATTGATATAGTCTGTTCTTTCCATCTTTGACAGTTGTCTTCCTGAAATCACATTTGCATCCACCACAAGTACAACCTCCACATGTACATTCTTCTGCTGGATCAAGAACCTGCAACTCATCCCACGGTCGCGTAAGTTTGGAGGAATAGCTTGCTACATTCTGATTTCCTTGAGAGATCGTGCAGATTTCTCTTCTCAATCGATAGACCTGAGAACCATTCCGAGTTCCATGCCTCTCCTTCAATTCCTCCCAAAGTTCTTGTGCAGTTTCAGCTAGAGAAAAATTCTCAACAATACTTGGAGAAATAGCATTCAATGTCCAGGAAATCACAGTTTCATCTACTCGCAACCATTGTTCTTGCTCAAAACCGGGTGTTGCTGGCTTCGTATATGATCCGGTAATAAAACCTAGTTTATTCTTTATAGCAAGAGCTCTTCTCACAGCTCGACTCCAAGAAACATAATTCGAACCGTCCAATTGAAAATTAACAAGAGAAAGAACTGAATTATCAGATGAAAGCAAGATAAGTGGGTGAATATAACCTCCATATGTTTGCAAATCACCGCCATGACGTCGGTGAGAATCGCCGGATCGATTTGCTTCTTTCGCCGCCATTCTTTCCGATCAGAATCCTTCGATTTCTTCAAGATTCGCGAACCGTGCAAGATTTGTGGCTACCAGAATAGGATCAGACCCGCTCTGATACCATCTCAAATTGGAAGTTAGGGTTCATCGGAGAGAATTCTAGAAAATGGATTTGGAAATTTTAGTTCTGTATTTCATCACTCAACTATGTACAGCAAACTGTATATATACACTGATAACAAAACTAACTATACAGCTAACCAATCATCAGCTTATTTAATATGTCTAAACTAACCGACATATGTACAAAGACCAATCAGCCCTCTACTTAAATTACTTCCTATACAAAGCTCAGGGGTAAATCAGTAAACTATACAACTAAACTACAAATTTACATATGATCCATATGCGTACTATTTGATCTGATCTTCATCTTCAAGGGGGATATTCATCATCTTTGACAACATTGAAAGCAGGGGATCAGGAGTTGAAGCCATTATCGCTTCAGCCGCCAATCTCAAGAGTTGATGTTACTAATTCTGAAGGTTCTTCCAATAATGCACAAGACGAAGACAATAAGTCTGCAGCTTCAAACATTAAAATCAATTTGAACGATAACAACTCTGGTCTTGCTGAATGTCCAGACAGAGCCAAGAATTTGGACAATCTTTCGGCTGATTCAAACATCAGAATCACTTTGAAGGAGAAAAATTTTGGTGTTTCTGATTGTCCTAATGCACAACAAGACAAGAAGAATAAAAGTATATGTGATGAACTTTGGGGGCCTCTAGTCAAGAAGAACAATGTCGATCACATCCGATCAACTCCAAAGATCCCAAGTTCATCTGTTCAGCTCGATGGCGTTGAAGAAGTGTTGAAACAATTCGAGATTCGAAGCTGTTCAAGTGATAAAGTAAGTGATCAGGCAAAGGATATAAGTATTGCACCGCCGAAAAATGGTGGGATTGACGGCAGTAATGACTTAGGCCGTGAAGAATTGCGTAGGGAATTGGGTAAGAGGTTCAAATCGAAAGGTGGAGAATCTTAAAGGCCCAAATATAAACCCACATGTAGTTCCACCTCAAAATAAATTGGTGATGAGGGGAGTAGCACATGGGGTATATATGTTGGGTTCAAGTGTTTCCTTCCATCCATGTGGGACAAGGGAACATGAGGTCATTTTCTTTCCGGATAAACCAACGCCTGCCGGGCCAGTTAAAGTTCAAAGTCAAATCTCGGATTTCTTCCGTGGGTTACCAAAGTTTAAAGACCCAATCTGGGTCAGTCCACCTCGCCCCACAAGTCCCACAGGTCCGCAGATTAAAACCCGCTCTGATACCATCTTGAAGGCCCAAATATAAGCCCACATGTGGTTCCACCTCAAAACAAATTGGTGATGAGGGGAGTAGCACATGGGGTATATATGTTGGGTTCAAGTGTTTCCTTCCATCCATATGGGATAAGGGAACATGAGGCCATTTTCTTTCTTTCATTCATTTAACAGAGAAGGGTTCAAAATCAAGTACGAGGATGAAGGTGATTGGATTACGATTGCTTGCGACGAAGACTTAATTTATCATGTGGATTCTTTAAAATCATCGGGGAAGACAATGATGAATCTCTCCCTCTTTCTGTCCACTTAATAACAATGATCATTATGGGTAGTTTCCCTGCACAGAATATCTGAATGTGTTAATCTAATTTTAGGAGCTCTCTCCTCGTGAGTCTAGTTTTAGCTGTTAGCACAATGTTGTTTCCTATTACCGTGTATATAACTACAGACATTATCCAAGAAGCAACAGAAGTGATGCACCATTTCTTTTTGTCCTATAGTAAGAATGAACCCATATGATATAATTAGGTTGGAGAAAAAAGTTTCAAAAAAAATAAAAATAAAATAATAATAATAAAAATTGAAAATGGAACATCTATAGTACTTAATTAAAGCAACAAACAAAAAGGACATGTGTCAGCACCACAATGAAAATTTTCCCAAAAGCCATTTTCAGTACAAAATCATTTTTGACACGTGGCAGTCTAACTAATCAGAAAAAAAGATAGAATAGATAAATACATAAATTCCTTAATTATAGCTACATAAAAATATCTTAATTATAGGTATATACTAATCCTTTAAAACAACTATATTTAGTTGATAAAATCAAATACTAGGAAATCTCCTTAAATAAATCAAGTGAAACACCAGTAATGTCTTCCAATCCACAATTTCAAAGAATCTCTTCCATTCCGCTCCTCTCTCACACCCGGGCCTTTAAATCAATTACTTAAAATCTGACATCAATTATCAATCAATCTCTTTCTACAACAGAGAAAAAATAAGCTGTCATGAAAGAAATTTGATTTTTTAAGGATACTTTTTTTTTTTATTCTTCTAGATATTGGTTTATGATTTATGTAAATCCCGGCATAAGTTAACTGTTATAAATTAAATGTTATAAATCTGAGCATAGATTTATGTATAATAGCCCACTTTCTGTCCTTTCAATCGATTTTTTATTCTTCTAATTTTTTTTATTCTTTTAAGAATGGTTCGTATTTTTTATTTAATCAATTTAAAAATACAGTTATGGTTAAGTATTGTAAATATGCTCATTTCCAGTGTAAATTTTATTCATCAAATTTTATTGTAAAACTGTAAGAAAATTTGTTGGAATTTTGTTTCGTCTACTTTTGTAGTTATTCAACAAATCGACGCTAATAATTTTCACATTACAAATATCAATACTTAAATTTTCTTGCGAAAATTTAGGTTTGCATTGAGTTTTTTTTAGTGGAATTATGAAAATCGATAATCAAATAAAAGTTTGATGAATTACATGAAGTACGATAAGAAACAGTTGTCATTTATTAACAAAATGTCGATAACAACATTATTATTTGTTGGTTATTGATTTTAAAATTTTTGAGCTTCCTTATGCATTACTGTTTAGCCAGAAATATAAATTTCAGCCAAAAAACACTTGGTCCGAGCATTATTGTTGTGTAAAACGAACATTTTCAAAAAAAAAAAAAAGAAATTAATTAATTAACCATCATAAAGTTGAAAAATTTTAAAATAATACGAAACAAATGGATTTTTTATTTTCTGCCGACTCCTTTGTCGGGTTTGCATATAAGAAGAAAATGTCAAACCCAACAATTTTAACAAAGAAGCAAATATTTAAACTATTAGAATAGCATATACTTAATGTTTAGTCGAATTATAAGAATCAACGTATAAGGAAAAAAATTGAGTGTATAATATTGAATATGTAATATAACATACAAAGTGTAATATTTAAAAATGTCAACTTTATCGTCATCCGGTTAAGAATAAATAATTTTTTTAATGTAATCATTTACAATTTATGTAAATTGTAAACAAATATATGAAACTGAAGACGTCGACTTTTCCATCGGTTAATATATCTTGACAAAATAGTCGACGAGGTACTAAAGTTTTTTTTTTTCACGTCTTTTTTTGAAGATGTGGTTTAAAACAACGACTTCAATATTGAAGACAGAAGAGTCAAATATAAATTTTGTCGACCTCATGGTCGGTTTTATTGATTCGACGACAAAGTCGATGGTATTTTTTTTAATTTTTTTTTCTTTGGGTTTTCTTGTATCCAAATTTCTTATTTATATTCTTTAATTATCAACTATTATGTCTCAGTTTATTCAAAAAATTTAATTTTAACTATAACAAAATTCATTGGAGTTTTGTTTCACTGACTTGTTTATCGACTTTTGTAATTAGACTGTAAATTTGGCAATTGGCACTAATAGTTTAACAATAAAAATCTCAATTTTTTTTTTCAAATTCAAAGGTGAGAATCTTGGATCCATGAGATCTAAAGACATTGATTGTACTCCATGCCAAGATCAAGTTCATGCCATGAAATTTTAAATGGAAGAAATTCTGAAAGTCACTCAGCCACATGATCATGTAATCTACGGTCAAAGATTGCAAAGCCTAGTATGAAATTTCACTTCATGTTTGTAATTATATCCATTTCAGCGCATTCTCTTTTGTTGAAATAAAATGGTGGGATAAAGTGATTTGTTAAGATGTTTTTTGCGTTTAAAAATATAGAATTTACATCAAATATACTTACTAAGATTAACAGTTTTCATTGTAAATAAATCTTTTCACAATTTGTTAAACAAAATAGGTTTTTGAAAAAGATAGAATTTATCTACAAAAATTTGATTTTAGGTGAAAAAGGTATTTTGATCATTACTTACATATTTTTTTTTTGCCATTTTTGCCCTAAGAGGTCAATTATGCCGTTGACTGGCGGTAAAGGGGTATTTATCTTTATACAAAAACTCAGGATGCTAATAGTTTTTGAGACATAACTCGGAGTTTTTATTTTTTTCCCTTTTAAATATTATTGCGATGAATTACTTACGTCAGGAAAAAAAAAAGAAAAAAATGAGCTAGCTAGTAAATGGGCTCAAATAAGGGGAACGTGGATGTTATGGTTGTGCCAGCTGCCAGCAACTACAGTAATCCACTTGTCTAGAAGTAAAAATTGGTACAAAATGCAGAGAGCTCTTACTCTTTTTTTTTTTTTTTTTACTGAAAGCATCCATCTTTTTACCCCTGTGTTGAAGTTTGGGTGACCATCCGGTAGCAGAAGCAGCTGGTAGGAATTCTTGTAATACAGTTCGTACATTATTTAATATCGCTTATTTTTTGGCGAATTATTGCTGATAAAAGAGTAAAGTCGCCGGCTTTTTTGCCTATCGGCCATTTCCGTCTTCAAGCTAAACCCCATGAATCCGGTGCCCGACGGCGCCGTGGGAATTTCCGTGAAGCGTGTGAGAGGACGACCAACAAAGACCGTCAGTCAGCCTAAAACTGTTAACTTCAACCCACCGCCAAAAGCAAAGGAGACTGAGCCTGAACCTGAGCCTAGACCAGCAGCCCCACAATCACAATCAAGTAAGCAAGCTTTTTCACTTGTTTGTGTTCGACTGAGCAAACCCTTTTCCTGTTCTTGTTTACAATGTCACAGCTTTGGACCAACTTGTAATTCTTTACCCAGATAATTAGAGATTACGATTTCTGGTGTATGTATCTGTTGTTGTTATTATTGTTCTGCTTTTGGATGAATTATCGATTAACATCTAGCATATGTATGATCGTGTGAATTTCAGCTCGATCGCAACCTTTCCCGTCGTCTATTCAAGAAAAAATCAAGTCTTTTCTTGAGACTGAGATAGTTCGGAAAGAGGATGAATTTTTACAGTTTTGGAAACCAGCAAGAGACACCAGTGGTCACACACTGCTCACTTTATCCGCACCGGACCGATCAATGGGGCTTCGTGGTGTTTGCAGTGGTGGTCTCTTTAGTTATAGGTGCCACAGCCTTCACAATGATTACAGAGTGGTGGAAGGTGATGGGAGTCTACTTGGTCCTTTTGGGAGGGCGTTCAGACAGGGATCCCCTGAGTATTGTCCAAACATAGAGTGCTACTCCATACAGGAATTTCCCCCGAGGGATTTTGCTATTGCATGCGGAATTAAGCAATATTGGGTTTTGCCGCTTTACGAAATTGATGGGCATCAGCTGCTGCTGCAGCAGCAGCAGAAGTGTTTTGGGATACTCGAGTACATATCATGTAGAAGTTGTGCAACGTCGGAATCCTTAATCCCATTCGAAAAGATCCTGGATGCTCTTAAGGTTGGTGTCTCTGCTTTTAATCAACTTGTGATTAATTGGAATAAGTGGCTGAGGTTGAAGCCAAATTTTTATGTTTTTTCCCCCCTTATATGCATTTGTGCCTTTTTGCACTTGCCTCCAAATGATAATTGGTCTTTTCCTTGCAGCTGATCGGACTTGCATGTCCAGCTTCAGATCTTAAAAATGTCTATGATGTAAGTAGAAGCAGTGAAGCTTAATACTATGTGCAAGCTTGTAGTTTTCTACATTAGAATATGGTTCTTCTGTATTAATTAACATTTTCCATACTATTTCTGTTTTTTTGAGGGTTAACTAATTTTCCACTCATTCTAATCCAGAGCCGGATAAATTCTTTGGTTTCACATCCACAACTGGATATTATGGTGAAGTTTGTGAAGAGAAAGCACCATCTACCTCTTATTCGAGTATGGGCTCCTTGCATGTTCAGTGGTTCTGAGGCCGTGGGCCGAGGTGGTGAGAGTTTATGCAACCCCTCAAATTCAGCAAGTAAGACTACGAAGTTGTTCCCTCTTCTGGTATCTGTCAATTGGAATATGAGGTATGCTCCAGAGCTTTATCATATGAGTTCGAATGCAGCTTGTTTGGTTGAGGAAGGGAAAAGTCTGCTTGGAAAAGCATATTCCCTACAGAAGTCATGCTTCCTAATAGATACTAGAAAATTTGATATTTCCAGTTACCCTATCGTTCATTTGACTCGGTCATCTGGTCTTGCTGCATCTTTTGCAATTCCCTTGACGGTGATTCATAGAGACCTTCCTCCTTTAATACTAGAAATCTTTCTTCAAGTCCAACAGAAATGTGAAGGAAATCTGGAGACTATTTTGAAGTTGTTGTTGTCTACAGTGGCTAAGGAACTTTCTGTACACAATGTTGATTACGGTTTACGACAAAATGAGGAATTCTATGTCAAAATATCTCATTTGGATGCTGATAATGTTGTTTACTTTGATGTGCATCGGCGTCTTGAAGTTTTGCAAAGAGAAGAAAAGGAGTTTCCGTCGTCACATCAACCACCAATCTCCAGAGTTGATGTTAGTGACAATGAAAATCATGTTGTGATTGCTAGAAAGAAAGCTTCTGCTCTTATTGATTGTCCTATTACACAAGATATTACCAAGTATTTTGGCAAATTTTCTCCGCGTTCAAACGTTGGAATCATATCAGACAATGAAAATTCTGGTCCCGCTGATTGTCTCACTACTCAAGACAAGGGCAAGAGTCTCGGCAATCTTCCGGCAGATGCAAAGATTATTATCACTTTGGATGATGAAAACCCTGCTGTTACTGATTGTTCCAAGGCACATGTCAAAGCCGATAAAGTCAGCAACTTTTCCTTAAGTACAAATCAGTCAATCACTTTGGATGACTTGATAACAAAGTCTGGTGAAAAACTTGAACTTACTGCAACAGAACTTGGAGGTAATGATGTCCAAAAATTTTGAATTTCGGAATTCCTAATCTAGTCAGTTTTTTGTTTGTTTTCTTATAGGAAATCAATCATCATTATGTAATATCTGATCTTTACTTTTTTGCAGTTACCAGGCCTTCTCTGAAACGTATATGTAGAGAACTTGGTACATATTGGTGGCCTCTGGTCAAGAAAAACAAAGTCGACCACATTCAATCAAGTCTGAAGATCCCAAGTACAACTTTTGAGCCCGATGGTGCTGAAATCATCAAACAATTTGGGATTAGACATTGTTCAAGTGATAAAGCAAGAGAGGAAGATGCATCAGTTGCAGATTCTGTTCCCTCGGATACAACGGATAAAAGTATTGTGCCGGAAAATGAGGAGACTGACTGCGGTTATCCCATGATTGTTAAGGCAACGTATGGAGACGATATAGTAAAATTCCCCATCCGCAGTAACTTAGGCCTCCAAGGTTTGCTCAAGGAATTGGATGAAAGATTCAAATCGAAAGGTGAGAGGTTCAAAATCAAGTACGAGGATGACGGTGATTGGATTACAATAGCTTGCAACAAAGACTTGCTCTTTCATATGGATACTTTAAGGTCGTCGGAGGAGACTGTGATGAATCTGTCGGTTTTTCCTTCCACCTCATGATCTTTTCTAGGTTTAACATGTCTTCACTCATGTAGATTGGCTCTTTTGGGCGGTTTCTTGCAAAAAATATATGTATATTAGTCTGAATGTAGAAGCTAGTATCAGTTTACTTAATTTCTTCAGTAACTCAATTGGTTGCTTTTTTGAGTTGTGCAGACTAATCTAACGAGCAAGAAACGAGCTTGCCATGTACAAATGCCTTCCTTTTGCCATTATTTGTTTTTAAGTTCTCTTTCCAACATATTAACGTGTAATGGTATTTTAAACGTTTAATGGCCTCTGTATTCCAACAGTGTGCATTTCATAGGCTACTTCTTCTAGCCTGTCCATCAAAACAGCTTTTTCCTTTCCCGCTAGAAAATTTTTTCCTCAGGCAATTCCCGCCAAAATAAATTCCCCCGCACAGGTGAGGGCCTTTAATTTCTCTCAGTGGAGTAATGTATTCGATCATTCATAAATATTATTTTGGGAGATGTATCAGTGGAGAAAGTATGCATTTTTATGAAGAAATTGTGATGATATAGTAACACTAATTCACCGTTCCTGCTGGCAAAAAAAGCAGCTAGGAGTTTAGAAATATACTTCTTCATATTTGACGATTCCTGACGATATCTTTAAGGATATCGGCTCTGCCTTGTAACCCTTTTTACCGTGATCTTGTTTCCAATGACGTCGGTGCCCGGCGGCGTTGTGGAGGTTGCTGTTGAACGTCGTGGAAGAGGAAGACCAAGGAAGGTTGCCGTCCCCATGACGTCGGTTCCCGGCGGCGATGTGGAGGTTGCTGTTGAGCGTCGCGACAGAGGAAGAACAAGAAAGGCTGCCAGTTTGGCTTCAGTTTACTCCAATCCACCGTTTTACTGCAATCCACCGCCTGAAACAAGCCAGCCTTTGCCCGGAACAGCCATAAAGCCAAACCCCGTAACGAAAGCTTTTCCTTGTTATTTTTCTTTTTCTTATTATTATTGAGCAAACCCTTTTATTTTATTTAGCGTCAGGAACGTTTTGATTTTCTGATTCGTTTACTTGATTATCAATTTATCAGCCATTAACATTTAGGATTTTCTTCAATTTCAGTTCCATCACAACCTCATCCTTTGTCAACGGAAGGAAAAATCAAGTCTTTTCTTTACACAGACATTTAGGAAAGAAGAGGATGGATTGATACAGTTCTGGAATCCCGTAAGAGACAAAGATGGCTACACAGTGCTAAGTTTATCAGAAGCTGATCGATCTCCCGGTTTGGGTCGTGCTACTACTCTCTATACTGGCGGACTCCATCGTTATAGGTCCCATAGCCTGAATCAATATGGCTGCAGGGTGGTGGAAGATGATGGGAGTCCAGTTGGCCCTTTCGGGAGGGTGTTGAAACAGAATTTCCCTGAGTATTGTCCAAATATCGAATGCTACTCCACACAGGAGTTTCCCTTGAGGGGTTTTGCTATAACCTGTGGCATTAAACAGTATTGGGCTTTGCCCCTCTATGAATGTGTATCGTGTACGACCTGTGTGAAGACTGAGTCTTTAATCCCATTCAACAGGATCATCCGTGCACTTAAGGTTTGTACTTGTGCTTTTAATTAATGGTGCTCATTGCTCAACCGCAACTTTAGGTTAAGTTAAAGTCATGCTTTCCTGATATGTTCCTTAGTGCTATCTATTGTTCCTTTATTGCATTGCATCTATTGCCTCTCGATGTTATATTGGTAGTTTTCTTTTTGCAGCTGATAGGTCTTGGATGTCCTTATCTATTTCCTAGGAAGAGCTACGATGTAAGTTGAGGCAGTGAAACAAGTACTTTTTTTTTTTTTTTTTGAAAAGGAGCACTTATCTTTAAATCAATGGAATCTAGTTGTTTTCATGTTCTGTTTTAATTGAAATTTTCCATTTATGACAATCCAGAGCCAGATAGATTCATTTGTTTCACGAATGTGAATGGATGACGTGCTAGCGACTCTAAGGGAAAAGCACCAACTGCCTCTTATTCAACTCTGGGTTCCCAGCATGTACAGTTGTCCCGAGGCTGTGAGCATAGGTGCCGACAATACATGCAATTCCACGAATGTAGCAAGTAAGATTACTGAATTGCTTACTCATTCGGTGTCTGTTGATTGGAATCTGAGGTATGCTTCAGAGCTTTATCAAATGACTTTGAATGCAATGTGTTTGGTTGAGGTCGCGAAAGCATACTCCTTAAAGAAGGCATGCTTCTTGGCAGACACAAGTGAACTTAGTATATCCAGTTACCCTCTCGTTCATGTGACCCGTTCATGCAATCTTAACTCTTCTTTTGCGATTCCCTGTACTTTGATTCATCCTGACATTCCACCTTTAGTATTAGAAGTCTTTCTTCCAACCAGAAAAGACTGTGATGAGAATCTAGGGAATCTACTGAAGACATTATTGTCAACGGTGGCTCAAGAGCTTTCTGTACATAATGCTGATTTTGGATTAAATCAATATGAGGAATTTTATGTCAAAATCTCTCACATGGATGATGATAAAATTGTTCACCTTGATGTGAGTCGAAGTGTTGAGATTGTAGAAACTGAAGACCAGCAGTTTCCATTATCATCTTCTCCTCCACCAACCTCGACAATTAATGCTAGTAACAATGAAATTGATGATGCAACAGCAGGAGAGAAAAATTCTGATCTTTCTGATGCTCTTGTTATACAAGACAAAGCAGATGCTTACAGCAATCTTTCCTTAAATACAAACATGGCAATGACTTTGGACAATTTGGTGCAACACTCTGGTGAAAAACTTGAAGCCAGTGCTGCAGAACTTGGAGGTTATAATGTCTATTTAGATTCTTTTATTCTAAATCCAATTCTCTTCTTGTTTATTTATTTAAAGGAAATCAATCATCATTAGATACAGACTGAACTGGTGTAATTTTCTGCAGTTGCTCGACCTGCTTTGAAGCGTCTTTGTAGGGAACTCGGTACATATTGGTGGCCTCTTATAAAGAGAAACAAAGTCGATCACATCCTATCAAATGAAAAGATCCGAAGTACATCTGTTGAGCCTGATGGTGTTGAAGTGTCAAACAATTGCAGATTGGACAGCGGTCAACTGACAAAGCCAGAGAGGAAGAGGCAGCAGTTGCAACTTCTAATCCCTCGAATGCAAAGGATACAAGTGTTGTGCCAGAAAAGGATACGATTGATCACAAGTATGACATCGTCAAGGCAACTTACAGAGATGACATTGTAAAATTTCCTGTCTGCAGTAACATAGGCCTGGAAGCTTTGCGCACGGAACTGGAGGAAAGATTTGATTTCAATGGTGAAAGGTTCAAAATCAAGTACGAGGATGGAGGTGATTGGATTACAATTCCTTGCAACAAAGACTTGCGCTATTATATAGATAATAATTTAAAATCGTCGGGGAAGAATGCGATGAATCTGTTTGTTCTTGCTTCCACTTCGTGTCTTCTAAATATATGATATGATGTAGACTTGTAGTGCACTGAAACAGCTGTTTTGGGTGGTTAGTTGCAGAATATGTGAATATAAAATGTCCAAATGGTACCTTACATTTGGGTCTACTTAAATTTACGTCCCTTACATTAACATTTCAATATCGTAGTCCCAAACATTATAGTCTAATCAGAATTTAGGAGCTGTTCAATGTAGACTAGCTTTTTCAGTAGCACAGTGTTGTTCCCTTTTTGAAAACTACAGTCTTTTTCGAGCGAAAAAAGAGCTGGGCTTTTTGTGATGCTTCAGCTGACTAGGGGCCTTGGGTGTGCTTGAAAACTCCTAAGCTGAAGAACATATAAAGGGGAAGGTAACAAAGCGAATTTGATGTTTTGGTCATATCCTTCAACCGATAAAAGCAAATTAGTAAATTTGGATATTTCTGGTACTTTCCTTCATTGATTAGTAATTTGGTTGTTCACTGGTAATCTTTGTTTGGAATCAGAAATTTTGCCGACTTTTTGAAACATTATGGAAACCAGGACTAGGAAGAGATCTGTTTTTGATCGCCCGGGAAGACCAAGGCGCTTTTACAACAAGAAGAATAAAATATGTAATTTTTGGCTCTCTGACAGGTGCGACAGGAATCCTTGTAGGTTTCTTCATCCGAGTTTGCCTTAAAAAGAGACTTTGGATCATAGTAGAATCAACATCAAAAGCTGGAGGAATTTTGCGCAGGAGCCTGAATTTAGCAATATAAAGAGGGTTTCCAACGTTGGAAATTCAGGTCATCTTGTTGAAAATAAAAATGCTCTTGCTGATGAAGGATCTCGCTCTAATATTGTTGAAGGTAAGAATGGAAGAGTTTCAACAATATCCACGAGATGGTCAGGCTCTTTCATAAACTCCGATGAAGCCCTGAAATTGCCCGAGGACATTGTTATTGATATTCTAGCGAGGTTACCCGTCAAATGTTTGATGAAATTCCAGTGTGTCTGTAAAGATTGGTGTGTTGTGATGAGGAGCCCATACTTCAAAGATGTGCATTTCAACCATCCAAGTAACAAGGATAATTTTGTCATCCTCATTAATCGGATTAGAGATGCATTTGATGTGGCTGATGGTGATCCTGATCGTGACCTTCACAGTCGTCTGTCGTTCCATTCATACCATCACAATGAATCACTCCTCAAAACTGCTCCTGATCCACCACCATGTGAACCCCCCTTACACATTTCTGATGCTAGCGACGGTGGTGTTGTTTTCATGTCAAGTTACGAACTTGATCATATCTATTTGGTGCAACCCGGCCACCAGGGAGATAACAAGCCTTCCTCCCCGTCCTTTTAAGCGTCCCAGGGGATTTCCCCTCGAATATCAATCAGGTGCTGGGATTTGGTTTTGATCGTTGTGCTAACACATATAAGGCGGTGTGTTTAACAGTACCTTTTTTGGAAGATCCGAATAATAGTAGAAATAGTACTACACATGGCTTGATTGATATCTACAATCTCAATTCTGATTCTTGGACACAAATGACATCCAAATTTTCAATACCATGTCGTTGTCGTAGTGGTACATTTTTGGGTTTTAATGGGGCATACCATTGGTGCGGAAGCCCCAACCCCTGTACACTTTCCATGATTGTCTGCTTTGATATGAGTCTGGAGGTATTCCGAGAAATGAAGTATCCAGATGATGTTGAAAACCTACCAAAATGTTTCCTTAAAACCCCGCGTCTTATTGTCTTAAATGGAAACTTGGCATTAATTTTGACTGAAGATGACTTCAGTAAGGAAAGGCAAAAATACCAACGGATGTTTAGCATCTGGGTGATGACAGAGTATGGAAATCATTCATCATGGATTAAAACACATACTGTTGGACCACTTTATGAATTCATCCGGCCCTTTGGCCTATTGGAAAAATGATATCTTTCTATTTGAAAGAGAGACCACCAGTCATCGTCGCAATATGTCGACTTTTGAGGTAACTTCTTCTATAATTGGGGAGACTAAATCGGGCTTTCAGCAATTTAAGAGATACGGTATTCTTCCTACTGATGGGAGAATCGAAGTTGCAATCTATAAGGAGAGTTTAGTAAGAATCATCCCTTTATTGTAGACTTTCTTTTATGCAGAAACATAGGCCTGGAAGCTTAGCGCGCGGAACTGGAGGAAAAATTTGATTTCAGTGGTCTTTTTGTGATGCAAAGACCTCCAGGCTCCAGCTGACTAGAGGGGCCTTGGGTGATTGAAAACTCGTAAGCTGAAGAAAATCTAATGGGGATGTTGCCCATACAGTGGAGGGAATAAACATGGCTATGGCCCCGTCTATTTTAATTTGCCCAAGCAAATGTTTGGATATTTAAAACCCAAAACTTAATTTTAGCCTACTTATTATTATTATTACTAGTTGTGGGTTCATGCGTTGCCCGGATTGAGGAAATATTTCGTCATAATTAGTGCAGGAAAAAAACTTGATAAAAAGTGAATAATAAAAACACGGCACATATATCTTTAAAATTTTAGAAAAAAAAAACGATTTCAAACAGTAAGTAAATACGAAAATCTGTAATAGCCAGACATTTTTTCTTTATTATGATTAAATGTGGTAACACATATGTAATATGTTAGAACATATAAAAGGGCACGACATCTTTATTATGATGTATGGTCTCGTTTATACATCGCTTAGCAACACAGTCATCTCATCAATCTGCAACACAAAGTTATTGTAGAAAAAAAAAAGGATGAATTACCTGAAGTGACTAATTCACCTTTCAAATAGGACGGAAATTGACTTTGTTTATGCACCAGACTGCTGTCACGGCCTCTAATTTGGGTTATTTATAGTACATAAGATAACTATGGTCGTAGGGTTTAACATGTTATGGAATATTTTTGGTAAATATTTTATATGAGTAATTATATGATTTTGTGGATAGGTTAAAACTTTAGGGTTTACTGATAGAATTTGAAGCAATTAATTAACATATTTGGGGAGTTTGTGAATATGGACGGAATATTATTCTGGTTAATTTACCCATAATTTTTAAAATAAATTTCATTTATTAATTTTCGGTTGAGGGAGAGAATTAGGGTGATCAATTTAAATCTCATTATTTTTGAATTTTAAAATCATATCATGATATACCATAAATTTAGAAATCATATTTGGAAATGATATTTATTGTGCTTTTTTGAAAATTCTGAAAGCGTTTAGAAACGTTTCAAAATCACGGATGATGTGCCGTACGTCCGGACCATGTTCATTGTTAACTAATTATTATATTTTTGATTTACCTTAGTTAATAAAATATATATGAGTAAATAAGTTAAATTAAATAGTTACCAATTTTTTTACTATATCTAATTAGGCTTGATTTTTATGATTGTTTGATTGGAAATCTCATTATGTGACACATGTCCGAAAAACTTATTCTCTTAATATATAGGATTTTTAATACAACCGTCTGAAACCAAACACTTGTTCAATTTTTGTGACTAAAACCAAACAATTCAATAATTTATGACTGATTTAGTATATTTCTTCAAAATTTGGGAGGACAAGTTAGATTAGTTAAGGAAAAAATTGTCTAAAGAGTGGTGGAAGAGGTAAAATTAATAAAAGGAGTATGACCATAAAATATTTTTTATTAAGGGCAGTAACTTATTTATCAAAAATAATAAAATAAAAAATGCTTGGAATAGACATTATCACCCTTTGATTTTGTACACACAAAAAAAAAAAAAATAAATCCGGACCAGATTGATACAAATCCCAACCAGATTCTTTTATTTGTGCCTAATTTTTTCCACTCTCGATCATCATCATCATCTCACTCCCATTACTCTTGATCAAAAACACCTTCAGTGGTTGGTTCAGGCTCAGGCTCCTGTACTTCAGTTCCTTTCTTATTTTTCATCACCTTCAGTGTGGTTTCTAATAGACAAACAAAAATGAAATGAATCTCCTAAACAGAAAACAAACCATAGCAAATGAAATTGTTCCGAAAAGACCAGAAGCTACTCTAACGGAAATGACTAACATCATTCATAATGAATTATACAACAAAAAGAAACCTGTGTTACAAAGAGATTAACATTATCAATAAAACTACCAAAAGATTAAAAGATTTCTAACACTTTTGTAAGAACAAAATCCTCATCCTGTAAAAAATATTCCTAATCATTTCAGAACTATGCATGTCTTCATCACAAAAGCACAGACTTTCTAGGAGGGAATAAAAATCTATCCAACACAACACTCCAACCAGATAAAAATTCATCTTGTCACCCAGTAAATTATTAGAAGCAAGTGAAACTATAAACAGAAACCAACCATTAACCCATCTTAGAAGGCGGCACTTCCCTCCAGTGGCAACAACATCTTATGACACTATGAAACAAAAGAATAAGTTAAAACTAAGAAAGAGGAATGCATTAATTCAAAAACAAGCCCGCTAAAGAGGATTGAATTTAACACAATAAAGCAAGAGTTTTTTTTGGCATGATCATCATCAAATCAAAGCTGCACAAAAACCAAATCATCATCATAATTTTTTGGCATGATTGAATTTAGACATTATCATCGACCGTCGTCATGATCATAATTTATACATCATCAAATCTAAGTTTCACAAAAAAAAAAAAAAAATCATCATCAAATCACCTCCATCAACCGTGGGTTTCTTGAAATACCAGGGGAAAAAAAATTGCTAGCCTCTGGCGTTAAAAGAATCCAGTTTCATTAATCTGGCAATTCCCTTCAAAAACGATTAGACTTTCATGTTTTCTTTTAGAAATCAAAAGGTGATACCGTCAATTCTAACTATTTTTCTTTTTATGATTTTTGGTAAATAAGTTACTGCCCTTTATAAAAAAAATATTTTATGGTCATACCCTTTTTATTAATTTGACCTCTTCCACTGCCCTTTAGACAAATTTTTCCATTAGTTTATTCAGTCAAATATCGTAATAGGAACCTTTGTTAGAAAACATAACATAATAGATTTGAATAATAACTCTCGCTGAATATTACTAAATACATATAACATGTTTCTTATTTAATTTAAATATAATCAAATGTTTGTTAGATTTAGCTTTAAAATTTATTCGAAACATCTCTAATATACGAAGATATAGGAATATTCCACTTATTTCTAGTGGATCTGAATCTATTTAATAATTTTATTTCCTTGGGAATGCACTAATTAGTCGTTATAAGCAACTAGATGAACTGGACGTGCTTAGTAGAAATATAATAATATTTTAAAAGTGATATTTAAATAATAAAAAATTATGAGTTACTTTGTTTGTTGTTATATTGTATTAAAAAAAATAACACCAATAAATTTCAATTTACAAAGTTTACTACGTGCAAAACTATATATATAAACTAAAATGGTCATTCCGAATTTTAATAGAAGTGACACATAGTATTCTAATCAAAAAAGAAAAGCAATAATTAATACATGAAATATCAAAGATGAAAATAAAAATAAAATGAAAAGAACATAAAGATTTAGGTAGTTACCTCAAGGAACTTGTGATGGGGAGAGAGATTAAGTAGGGTTAGGGACAAATGCTTTGAATAAAAAAATTCAAGCAAAGAGAAGTGATAAAAGTTTTGTAATTGAGAATTATATATTTGTGAATTCAATATGCAAACATTTTACTATTCTCTTAAGTTGCGTAACCTTCCTTTAAATTCAAACAAAAACATTCAATTCAGAGAAGAGAAGAAAAGTAAAAGACATTGAAAAGTATGGAGTGATTATAATTATTAAAATCGGTTATTTGACTGTTCGAATTCATCTAATAATAAATCATAAAAAAATTTTAATCTTAAAAGTAAAAAAAATAAAAGAGAAAATTAATAATGGAAGGATATCAAAAGCAAGAAGTAGGGTAGGTAGACTTTGACGGGAAACCAAACTGGGTGTAACGGTTGTCTCAATACCAAACGATGTAATGAAGGAGATAATAGAATTGTAATAATAAAATTAAATTTAAATGTTGTGTGGTAATTAAAGTAGATAGAAATCAAGGGTCTGAAATGGTTAAAATAACAAAAAAAAAAAATTAAATGATATGTGGTAATTAAAGTGGACTACCAAACTTTAAAGTTATTCTGCAATTATAATAGATGCAGAATAGATGACATTTTAAAGTTGAAAAGGTTAATCGGCTAGGTAAAGTCTTACTGGACATCATTGAAGGAGTAAAAGATCCCAAACACCATAATTTTACATAACTTTATCCATCAAAATTTTGACACACGGCTCTGACGAATTTATTAAGGTGTTAATAAAATTTTAAAAAACGAAAGTAATTTAAATATGAAAAGTATTATATGAGAAAGTGTTGTAGGATTATGGTCTTGAAGATCCTCACTCCATGGATAATGGTTGTTCTTACAAAGTTTAGCTAGTTTCAAATTAATGAAATTGGAGGACATGGAAAGGTAAGTGCTCTGTTATTTGAGTTCTTGATTTGCACTTGAATGGATATTTGAGACTTTCCCTAACATGCCTTATGTCTGTTATGGTTGCCAATTTTGTTTGCGCATTTTTATGGAAGTAGTTGATAAAATGATAGTGCTTTTTATATTGAAAGTAAATCTTTATTAACTATCTACATTGCCCTTATGTAAAATTTTAAAGATTTATCTATTTATTTTTTCAATAATTATCTTATTTCTTTCTTTAATTTTAGCTTTTTTCCCACTAGTCTGATGCTTTGTGGCTTCACTCAGGAAATGATCTTTGATGAGAAAGTGACTAAATTATGACGCGAAAAAGTCACAAGGTAATATACAATGACATCTACACGACCAGTTTTTATTTCGAAATTCCATGCATCACACTAAATTAATTTATTTCAAAATTTATGTTCTCAACAAATAAATTTACTTTCCTTGTTCTTAAATAATTGTTCAATTTAGATTTTCACTAGCCTGATGCTTTGTGGCTTAACAAAGGAAAAATGATCTTTCGTGAGAAAGTGACTAAATTATGAAGCGAAAAAGTCACAAGGTAATATGCAATGGCATCTACACGACAAGTTTTTATTCCGAAATTCCATGCATCACACTAAATTAATTTATTTCAAAATTTATGTTCTCAACAAATAAATTTAATTACCTTGTTCTTAAATAATTATTTAATTTAAATTTTTACTTTTAGTTTAATTTGTACTAAAAATGAGAATTCAAATTAGGCGATTGTTTTAGAAAAAAAAGTATTTAATATGATCTAAAACCAATACATAGTAGCACGACAAAATCAACAAACTTTCATTGGCGGATCCAAGGTCGGGGCCCCGGGGGCCATGGCCCCTGCTGGGCCTGCCCTGTACCATATATATACATACTATTTTTATTTTTACTTTATATTTTTATTGGGATTTGTTTTCCCACGGTAGTGTCTAATTACCATACTGGTTTTGAAGCTTTCTGCTAATTTAAGTGGAATTTTATTTTGAGTGGTCTAAGGCATCATGTTTTGCGTCACGTTTTATAAAATTGCATTTATCATGCCGTTTTAAAATTTTTATTTAACTCCTTGTTTCAATATTATTAGTGTGTGCAACTAATGGCTGAAAATTTTGCGGGTTTTGAATATTTTAAATGTAAAGTTTTTGTTTTGTTTTTTTTTCATTAGTGGTGAAAAATAATTAAAAGAGAAAGACTGAGAGAAATAATTTTGTGGATGGATCTAAAATATTATGATAAGGACTCATCACTAATTTTTTTAACACTACTTAATAATCTTAAAATTATCCTTCTAAACGTTGAGTTTTATTTATTTTTTGGGTTTGAAATAATATTTTTTAAATGTTACTATTGATAGTACTCTATCCGTTCCAAGATAATGTACAATATAAATTTTTATTTTTAGCATAGTTTATATTAAAAAAGTGAAAATTCAACTAAACAACAATTACAATACGGAAGGAATATTTTATTTACTTTAATATTTTTATATCAGTTAACGTGGCCCCCTTTATATTTTTATTCTAGATCCGCTACTGCAAACACTTCTTGACGTATTCGAAACTTAAAACGATTCCTACTAATGCTACAACGATCTACAAAATAAGATAAACTTCTTTGCCAGAATTTCTCAAAACAACATCTAGTCACAATGAAATTCGCAAGTAATTTCATAACAAAATTATATACAATTAATTAGTTAACCCAATCCTAGGAAAAGGAATTGTATTTTAAATTGTCTACCGTGAACACACACAAATCAACGTGTGTATTGCTTAATGAAGTTTAGTGAGTTTAGAACTTTAGATCCCTCATCCTTTGGTGCTTGGAGTTGGAGAAGAAAAGCTAAAAAAAAGAAAAGGAAAGGAAATAAATAGAGAAAATGAGATAAATACCTTAAAATTATATAAGAATAATAAACTTGGCAAGATATTACAAGATTGGCAGGTTGTTGGTACGCAGGTGACAGTGAATATATCACATGTTCTTTGTCTATTCTGTTGGCTACCAACTATTATCATCATAAATGGAACTGTTGTTTACTGATTTCATCATTTTGATTGATAATCTTGTAATGTTATGTAGACAGTTTTGGTGTTAATCAACATTTTGAGGACTGATGATGGCCCTTTATTGTTTTTGAACATTTTTATCACCTAGACATGGCTTTCCAAACAGTTTGGAGATGTATCAAGCACTTCCAGTGATGAGGTTAGCATCCTCACGTTACTTTGATCGGTTGTTTTCACAGTTTTCTTAATTTACTTTTTTTATTGCTCTATTTATTTCCTAGTTCTCTTACAACTTGAGCCTTGTTTTGCATGCCGCTTTTGTACCTATATCTTGAAAGTTGATATTGAATCATCTTCGCTAGCTTGATGGATTACGGATTTTGTTAAGAACCCTTGGAAAAAATGAGTAAACATCTGTTTTCACTTAGTAAATTGTAAACAAGATTAATCATGCATATAAGTCTTATTGTGTCCAAAAACTAGTAATACGATAGGTTGACTAGAGGCCCAAAGGGGCTTTCGTAGTATTGTTACAACGTGAGCTGAGAAACATAATTCGTCCAAAATTCTGATTAACCAAGGTCAAACCAAAAGTCGGAAAGTAATAAAAAGTTAAAGTAGTCGGGGCATTTACCAGAAATATGGTTTTGGCCTATTTTGAAACCAAAAAATTAAAAATAGGATGAAATCGAGTCAATAAAAAACATTAACAACGCTGAATTTGAAAATACTATAGAATGGTAAACCAAAAATCTATAGAATGAAAATATATTAGACACCCATGACATACAATAGACACCCATGATATATTTATCCAGGAGGGGAAAAAAAAAGAAGGATAGGTTAGATACATGCAAATGCAATAAGAAGTCAAACTTGAAGAATGATTTCAAGAGTTAATAACTTCACGTATGTGGAGATGTAAGAATTAATTATTCTATTTTATCATGACAATATCTTTTATTTTATTTTTCTAAGTTAGCGAGGGTTTTCTGGAATGTCAATTTAATGCTTAATGTGGTTACTCATACATTATTAGTAATTAGTGGGAGAGTTAGGAATTGTAACAAGTGAGGGAAAAATTTAATTAAACTAGTCCAACGCGCGACCATTTTACAGTTAAAATAATAAATAATCGTAACAAATGGTTTTAATTTTAAATAAACAAATACATTTGGTATTAAATCAGTGTATTTGATTGTTATTCACGGAGGAGTTAACGTTGAATAGATTAGCCTTGTAATTTCTAAATTGTACAAAAACTATGAAAGCAATTAAGGTGTTCTCTAGCATTTATTGATTTGAGTTGTTTGGTGTTAAAACACTCCAAACAAAAATTTAAAAAAGAATTATCGTACCAAACTGCTAAGTGTTTTCTTTTTCTTTTCGAAGCACACTTGTAACTTTTTTTTTCGACTGTTATGAATTTGAAAATAGAATTTGTAAGAATATTGACATCATTATTATTTTTTATTTTGAGAAAGATTTTTCACATTACTTGGTATAGAAACATCTTATGTTTTTATTCAGTTAATAATATAAGTAATACATCCTAGCTAAATTTTAATTAAAAAAAATAGTTGCAAGGGGGGAAATGAAATTTCTTATAAAATTATAGGTAAAATAGTTGTACGTTTCTTGTAAATATATCCTACTGTCCTCCACCGGTAATACATCCTAGCTAGTAATAAGGTTTACATTTCAAAAACTTTTCTTGAGGCTGTCCGTGTAACAAATTTATTTATAATTTGCAAAAGAGAAAGGGGAATAAGAAAATGATGGAGTGTAACAATTTAGAACTGTCACGTGTACCGCATGGCGCATTGAAAGAAGTTTGAAGATTGAAGAATAATGGGAGGGAGGAGAAAAGAAAGAAATAAGGGCAATGTGGTCTATTATCCATTTCCCAAATGATGGTACTAATAAGTTAGCAAAACGAAATCCAAGAATCGCCAGAAATGACCAATCAGCTAAGTCCACGTCCGAATGAAAAGCAAAACCTCAGCTTCGTAATAAGGTTTTGTCGTTGTATCTGATTATCATCCCCACTCAATAGCTCGATCGTACGCAGTCAGCAGTGGGGACCCCACCACCCTCACCACTTTTTTCTACTTACTTTTTTCTGCACTTTTTCGTGACTCCCCTCTCCTCTGTGACTTTTTGTGGGATAGCATCATTGGAAGCTTTGTCTTCTTCATTAACCCAAGAAACTAAGGAAATACACTTTGGGTAAACAGGGATGGTGTTGGGGTTTAAAGAGGAGCAGAAAAGGAGGAGGAAAAGATCAGTAAGATTGAAATCGATTAGTATGCCTTGTAGTGATGATGACGATGAATTGCCAATCGCATCCTTGATTGCCAAAATTAAAAAGCCCAAGAAGAAGATACAGTCTGGTGGAGGTAATAGTAGTAAACAATCCTCCCGGAAAAGTAGAAGCAAGATCAGAAAACCGAAGTATCTTAGTCTCCGGCTTCAATTTTCCTCCTGTTCGGATCAAAGATCCGAAGAAGAATCCACTCAAATGGCTTCTCCTGACGACTATTCGGGTTCGAAGCAGCTCCAGTTGTTCCCGGTCCACCCGGAGGAGAAAGAAGCCCACGACGAGAACATGGCTTACTTGCTCTCCGCCGCGGACGGCGGCGCGTCTACTCTAACCGGACTCCTTGAATCCAACACCAACACCAACGGATCATGTACATCTGATCATCATAATCAGGAAAACATCATCAACAACAACAACGACAGCAGCGGTACCGGTGGGACGACGACTTTATCGCCGTCGGGGTCGCTGACGTACGCGCGGGATGAGGAGGTGGCGCTGGTACGGACGGCGTTGAGGAGCAAAGAGAGGGAACCGAGTGAGGAGAGATGGGTGCGTTACTCGGAAGTGGTGGAACGGAGGGAAGATCAGGAAGTTAGTAGCTGCACGGCGGTCCCCGAAACGGCGACGGCCGGGGGGCGGTGGAAGAGAAATCAACGGCTGTCGTTGAAGCTTGACTATGAGGAGATCTTGACGGCCTGGTCAAATAAAGGGTCGCTATTCATACATGCAGCTTATGCAGAAGCAGCACCGCCACAATCCCCACAGATAGTCCCTGATCTCCACAATGACGACTTGCTGGTTTCCCATTTCCCCACCGTAAGTTTCCCTATTCATTTTCCCTGCTGCTTATTGAATTAGGAAAGTAAAGTACTCATAGATTGGTTATCATATGTAAGCTGTAGGATCTTCTTCTCCATGAATTCAGAAATATTACTAGCTAGTATACTAGCACGAGGTGAAAATGAAAGTTAAATCAATAATTATAGACCTAACTACTTTAAGTAATTTAATAATCAAGCGATGCTGCGTCGGCAGTAAAGTTGTGTTCTCTTTTAGGAGTATTATTATTTGAGTTGGGAGATTCTATTACATCATGTAACAATATAATAATATAAAACACATGTTGCCATTGAAATTTGGGATTAGTAGTATTACTCCACTTAGAGTATGCAAGTGGATTGTGTAACACTTTTAGGCAGAAACATCACGTACCGTTGCCTATTATGGAAAGAATAATATTTTTTTAAAAAAATGGATTAATTAAGTAGGTTTGCTGCTTCAAGTGGCATAGTAATTTCTCAGGAAGAAGAAAGTAAGTCTAGTATAAACTTGATCCACCGATCTTAGGAGATAGACGTCACAGTGGAAATTGGTGAGTTTACACACAGACACACAGTGGTCATGGAGTGTAGGAGTACTACTACTGTACTAGTCTGGTATTGTTGGCAGTGGGGGGTGCCATTCACTGATTAACAGTTGATTTTTTTTGGTGGGAGAAGTGCCCATTTAATTTTATTCAATGGCACCTTGTGCCCTTGCCCAGTCCCCCCCTCCCCCTGGCCCCCCATTCTTGAACTTTTTGCTTCTGGTTGGTAGGGGACGGTGGGCCTTTGCCAGTTGCTCTGTGTGTTTATTATCTATCGATCTGCTTTACCTTTCTGTTTCAATTCTCACACGGCAATCGCAATGTACATTTTTAAGTACGGGTAGATTACTCATGTCCTGGAATTACTGTTCATTGAATTGAAAATGAAATCTCAAATTGAATAATAATTTTAGGACGGAAGGATTATATTAGTAGTTACCGAATAGATTATTAGAAGTTGTTACCGAATAGATGATTAGAAGTTGTTTTAAGTACTAAAAATAATGTAATGATAGTCCTTTGGAATGGGACAATAAGTGCATAATAAAGAAAAAGATATAATGTTAGGCTCTAAGCATTTTCACATGTTATTGAGCTGTTTGGGACTTTGGGCTGTGATTTATATACATGGTATACTCTTTTTGGAAGTAATACATGGCATACTGGAGCCAGGTCTGGGAAATGGCCCAATTTGAAGATAATTATGATGCCAGTAGCCCTTAACACATCCTTTCATTCCTGGCCCATCTAAACTTTTCCAGTTTTCCTCATCCTTAGTTGAGGGCATTGAGGCTTCAGATTCTCCTTGACCAACTGTAGTGCATACTCACATGAGGCCATGATTCTTCTTGATCAACTGTTTCATTATCGATACCTCCTTATCTGGTTCTCAAATTCATTATCAGATTCCACAACGCATATCAACTACTTAGTTTAGTACATTCCCATGGATCTTCAAATTGTTGTTTTTGTTCACTGTAGGGAATGATTAGCAATGGATGGGGAAATGACCCCAGCTATGTTTGGAGGGTTCCAGAATTCACAGTCCCTGGACTTGAATTAGGCCATAACTTGGTGCGCCCAAAGATAGAGGAACAACAAGAACAAGGTGTTGTACCGGCAGAGTTGATGGTTGGAGTTGGAGGCGATCAGTGGAAGATGGAACAAAGAGAGGCCAGCGTGAAAAGATACAAGGAGAAGAGACAGAACAGACTCTTTTCCAAACGGATTCGATACCAAGTCAGGAAGCTTAATGCTGAGAAACGGCCTCGCATTAAGGTATCAATCATTTATGTCTGCAGGAAAAGAAAAAAAATGTTTGCAACCACATTCACACACTGCGCCTTATAGTGTAGCACATAAATCGTTGTGTTAATGTGTCCTGAGTTTGCCTGGCGGGGTTACATTATGTTGCTCTTGTGTTGCAGGGACGATTTGTGAAAAGCTAGAAGAAAGGAAGAAACGAGATATTCTTCGTCTGTCATATTCTTACATTAGCTTGTAAGTATATATATCATGTGTCACTTCTGTTCGTATCCTAGAGACAGACATACGCAAGTAAAAATGGCTGTATGGTTCTATCATCCAAAAGAAAAATAAAACCATAACCAAAACAAAACAAAAAAAAAAGAGCGCAAAAAGCGAAGGCGCTGTTTTTTGTTATTGAAAAAATTCTATATCATCCAGGAAGTTCAATTACTTCAGTGGCAGTACAACGTTAACTACTCTTGAAATGCCAAGGGTTTAAGGTGGGGGGCTTTTTATGTGTCTGTAGTCTCTCTGCTGCAACAGGTCAAACAAATTGCATCCAAACAATTAGAGAATTCAATTTACAATTTACATTAGTCGTGCTTATATTTGTCTCACATACTAATAGTTCCCTCTGAACTAAATCATGAGACCGGAATGAAATGAGTGATCAACGGTACATCCTTGTAAAAAGATATAAATAAATAAAAATACATCAATTGTGTGATATACATACAGATAAGTAAAGCATCACAAAAGAGGAAAGCATACGAATGCTGACCTGAAATTCACCTCCAAATCCCCAATTATATACTCTGTTATAGTGTTATATTATTGATTAAGCTATTATACTTATACCTCTATCGCAATAACGACAAATCATTAAAGCTTAACTGGAAAATTTTGAGACTCTTGTCTGGAAGGGGATTGATACCTTGGCGTGTTGTCAAGCATTCTGACTCCCCCTCTGGTCGTAGCGAATCCAAGAAAATAAGATGCAAGGTATAAATTGGTCGACAGAAGAAAAGAGAGTACAAAGCTGCCCATACACATAAGCTTTGTTGGATATGTGCAATTGTGCTCTCTATCTTCTGTCAACCATAAATCCATATGCAAATTGGATTCTAAGATGAAGATCGATATAAACGGACATCAACATATCTTCATCTTGCAGATAATATTGCAAATTGGGCTATAAATCGACAACTCGGAAGAGAAGAAAGCCGAAGAGATGAAAGAAACAATCTAGATCGGGATGACAAAATTCAATGGCCATATGCTACTACTATTATGAAAAGACTCGGAGCTTATTGTTCAAAGGTAGACATGAACAAAACTTAAATTTAGTATACTAGTCTTATTCCAGAGTCTTAATTAGTTAGTTGTATGTACAGAGTTACGTATTCGGATTCCAGAATTTACAAGCAATTTCTTCCAGTCATTAATTAGTAGAGTAAGCGACTGAGGATATTTCATATTTTTCTTGCACTTGATTGATTTAGCTTTCATTTTCACCGTCACCCTTGTTGACTTCACAAACCGGGTGAAGCCCATTCCTGTCTTGTACCTCTTCAAATCTCCAATGTATTTGGGTTTTGTTTTCTTCTTATTGTTCTCATTAAATTAATTTTTAAAATGGCCAATTTCCCAAGGCTCAAATCAGTTCCCAGGTTGCAATGCAGAATTTGCGGGACTCAAATGACAACAACCTTGATGTTTATCCTTATTAATCATGGTTACGTCTGCATGTATATATATATATATTTATTTATTTATTTATTTATTTATTTACAGCTATAAAAAGCAAATAAATGTATTATACATATCTCTCTATTTTTTGCCCCTGTTTTGTGGGTCAAACCAGTATAGCAACTTTGAAATACATATTTTGGAGTCATTTTAATATCCCAACCCCTTTCTTTTAAACCATCGCAATAAAGGAGGCATGATGGTGATGCTTACACCAGGAGAATGTCATATGCTAAAAATTAACTTCTGTGACTAATAAGATTTTTTACTATTACTAGTATATGTCTTCATTTTTATTTTTTATTTTTATACATGGGAAAGCCAAAGGCTTGGTTACAAAATAAGATGTCACAAAAAGATGTGATCACTAACGGACTACTTAATCAATTAATTAGACAGACTGGTGGATATATCTTCATGTTGAAACGATTTAATTTGGCAATTCCTCTTGGGTTGTTTACTTGGTGATGAAAATGATGCATTTGAAAACTGTGGTTGGACAAAGCCCAAACTTGAATCTTAACGGAGTAGACATTCTAAGGATGGACTCTTTTCGGCCTTTAGTGAACAATAAGCTGTGAGGCCCACTAATGTAAATATGAACCAAGCACTTGAATTAAAAATTAGAGTTTTGAAACCTTTTTAATCAATCCTTCAAACTATTCAAACTATCAATCCCATTTCGAACAACATACGTTTGTGACCAATTTTTTAGCATCTTTAACTGCTCGAGAATTTGAAGTATGTTTGTGACACATTTTTAGACATGAATCTGAATAATTTCTTTATCTTCGAGTTTTTCTTGCGAGCACTGGTATGTGATTGTAACACGATATTATTGGAATTACATATTCCCGTAATAATATAATAATTAAGAGTATTAAAGTTTCTCTTCCATTGTACCAAAAAAATGAAATACTAGTAATAAAGTTGTACCATAGAAAAAAAAATTCAAACTTTACATAGACAATAAGAATTAATATCATTGGAGTTGTAGATACATAATCTCAAAATGATGTGGATACGATGCTTCCTTGATCTAACAAAGGAGAGATTAAGATGCCTAAACCGACCGACATAGAGATACATAATGGTAGCCAATAATACACACCAAAATGACCCCATCAACACTATTTAAAAATTAATCCAATAATCACATCAATAATACACTACACGAGTTGGTGAAAAGCTTTCATCAATCACCACTGGTAGGTACTCATTAAAATTAGGTAAGGAGAGTAGTAGTTAGTTAGGGATTATAAAAACACCAAAAAAAAAAAAAAATACAGTAACAAAACAGAGGAAAAAAAACGACACATATGATTTTGATCAGTAGAATCGACAGGTAACGTTGATTGAAGTAGTTAGACACTGATGGTCCGATAAGGAGAGCCCATGATGACTTCCCTTGCTCCGACGCCGGCGCCGGCCAAACCCATTCTCAGTTTCCTCTCTTTAACGGCCGGATCTTCCAAGAGCAGAACTTTGTCGTTGTCTCTAACACCTACCATGTGTAGATATTCATTGTCGTCTCTTTCTTTTCCTTTGAACAATAGTCTTTGCTCCTTTGGCTCCAAATTTGTCACTAATGACAACATCAACTTTAATTCACCTGCAAATCATTAATATGACAGATTAAGTCAAAGGTCAGCTTCTGCAATTAATCATATCACATAAATAAATAATTCTTCCGCTCCGAAATTATTGCAGTAACAAAGTTTCACTGGAAAATAATTTTAGAACGAAAGAGTCTTAAAATATGAATTTATTAGTTACAAGGCTTACCGAAGGTGGAAGTTGATTGGATGGAGACTGTATTGTGGCAATTGGAGAAGGTGGAGACTCTGACGGTGATCACGCCGTCTCCGCCGTCGCTGCTGGCGGTGCAGCTGCTGCCGGAATCTTCACATACCCTTTTCTGAACAAGCATGCCGCCGGGACGCATTTCCCATTTAATCTGTTCGCCACCACAAACGCTGCTGGTGGGACTTGTACATTTATTGTTGTTTTCAATCTTGTTGCTGGAGTTGCTTCTCAAGAACTTCTTGGATCTCAACTTCAAGAGCTTCATGATGGCTTATCGTGTTTGTAGTTGTAATCCAATCAAGGCCTTAAAAGATAAGTAAGAAAGTTGGAGAAGATATGGAAAAATGGGAAGGAGGGAGATGGGCAGTTAAAGCTTTGATTGGTTTTGTATATATAGAGAGAGGCTACAAGCGGCGGGAGATTGAGATGAGGACAAAATTTTGTCACAGTTAAACTAAACTATTTAATTAAGAGAAGCGTGTAATTAAAAATTACACAAATGTCTCCTCTTTTTTTCTAAAAAAAAAATATCTGAAATAAGATAGGTATTCCATCCATTCATCTACGGGAGAAAATACAAGTTAAATTATAGAACGGTGGAGAATGGAGATACACATGAAATGAGGTATGAACTGAGTAATTTCGGGTGGCTATGATGTCGGCTGATGCACATGGGGGTAGGGATTTTGGAAGTACTCCTCCCGTCCTTATTATACGGTATTTTGATTTTGTTTTAAGTTTCACTTAAAATACATTTTTAATTAGAAAAAAATTTTAAAAAATATATTTTCACATTCGTCGTATTCTCCTAATTATTAAGAAATATTTTTAAAGTTTTTATTTTAATTAAAAAAATATCTTAGGTGAAACTTAAAACAAATCAAAATGTCTTATAATAAGGACCGGAGGAAGTATTATCAACACACACGGTTTGAACTTAATTAACGGGTCCAAACTTAATACAGTTTATATTCTGCTGTCTATGTATCAACTACTAACCTCTTTTTTAGTCGGTGTATATCTATAAAATTCACGTAATACGGCCTTTGACTATAATAATAAAATTAAAGGATAAAAAAAAAAGTGTTTGTACTAGTAGTTGTAATCTGGATTGTGAGTACTCACCGGAATTTGTAAACTGTTAATTTAAAAAGGGGTATGGTTGGGTTTTGGAAACAACAAAAGCAACACACACGAGAGCCTGGCAAAGCTAACTTTTGCGGTGTCTCTCTGGCTAACTCTGGTCTTCTCTACTACTATTACTACCTCTGGAATTTTTCTAATCCATCCATAACTTTTGCTTTCCTTTGCCGTAACCAAATATTAAAATGCTTCCTAATTTTTATGGTTGGAATGCACTGAACTGAAGTACTTAGTACAACATTGATAACATTACTAATTAACTAGAGTAAACTAATCTCATCTAGTATTAAATTTTATTATGCACAACTTTTAAAGTTAGTTAGCAGACATACTTAGTGTAATTTGGGTTTCTGTCAGTCTTCTTTTTCGATTAATGTTTCTGATCACACGTAAAATTTGATCGTGATGCTGATAATGCAAACACCACTTTAATTAATGTCCCGAATTATTTCTGACACCCAATCAATTAAAAGGCCCTTCTAATTTGACATTGTCGAGTCGGTTGAGTATCTCGCACCCCCCCCCCTTTGTTAACGCCATTGAGGAAATGCAAAAAAAAAAAATTCATTAAAAAAATTCATTAAAAAATCGTTGAACCAAAGGTCGGCCTACACCCTAATTAAATGATTGATTAAATTAGGCTAATAGAAGTATTGAAACTGGAAAGGAATCGGTGATGCAAATAATGCATTCGGGAATAATGTGTCTCGCATGAAACATTGAACCCCGGGGTTTTGTCGTTATTGTTATCCTCCTTAAACAATTAATCTATGATGTGTGAATAATCAACATTTTTTTTAATGGTTAGGTACGAGCTAGTGTCTTAAACCAAAACACCCTTTTATATAAAATTTCGTTAAATTTGGTTGTTAGTAGTGAATACTCCCTCTATTTCAAAATGTAGATCGTTTTAGGTTTGGAGAAATTTTTCAAAATGTAGGTCGTTTTACAAATTTTAGGCAAATTAATGATTATTTTTCAATGTATTTTTAGTCTTGTTTATATTTTTATTTAGTCTTGTTTATAGTTTCAATGTAAGTTATGAGGGGCAAAAAAGAATACATAAATTAATTCTTGGATGATTGTCTCCTTAGTTTACGTGTCAAATTTAAAAAGACTTATATTTTGAAATGGAGGGAGTACTAAATTAAAAGTTATGTAGTACAATTGACCATCTCACATAAATCCACGAGACACCGCTCCCAGGGATCGACTAGTTGTTGATTTTGGACAGTAAAAGTTATGTATACTTTTATTGAAATCAATTTCGAGGCTAATTCATTAGCGTCATCACTGGAATTTGAACTAAAGCAAATTAAGCTCCAAACCGCACCAAGTATGTTGGCAACGAGAAATAAATGGAGCAGAATGAATGTTTCCGTCAATTACAGTGACAACCCCACATGTGTTTTGATGTTAGCGAGCAATCTAGATTCTGGGAAAACTCCAAGGACCCATATTTGGTTGTCTGTTTAAAGGAGTTCCCGTTGTCGGGCACTACATGAACTTGCTTTTGAATGGATTAATTGGCTCTAAACTACAGAGGATGATGGCTATAGACAATGGCACACAAACGCTGTTGGTATCATCTGCGTCTTCTAACTAACATTTGTTTGTCATACCAAAATATGGGTGAAACATGATTCCCATTTGTTTATTTGATGGGAAAAAAACGAAATTTTGATAGGAAATGGATCATCCGGCCTTTTTTTATTTTTGTTTAAGCAGCAATCATATGGATTGTTGAGCTTTTTTTTTTTTTTGTGGGAACCTCTATTCAGATGTCCAAGTTTGATGGCTGCTGCATGTGTTTCATTATTCACAACCATACTATTTATATTAAATGTAAAATTTATTAAGGTCGTATATTTTTTCCAGTACTCCCTCTATTTTAAAATAAGTGTCGTTTTGACAAAATAGAGAAATTCCAAAATAAGTGTCGTTTTCAGATTCAATGCATTTTTTGTCAAAAATTTCCAAACATACCCTCAAAAGAAATAATATTATTGGTAAGCATTTATTTTAATGGAGTTGGTTGAGGATATTCTAGTAATTTAGTCACTCTATTTAATGTTTTTTTAAACTGTGTATAAACTCTAGAATGACACTTATTTTGGAACGGAAAGAGTATTTTTTACATACATTTTTCTAGTATTCCTTAATTACATACATTTTGGTGGACCATGGTTAAGATCAAGCGTTCGCTTTGCTTTGGATTTGTGAATACTATAATAAGGCAGCTAGCTACAGTAAGGGAGCTGATGGATAGATAACTGGATACCATTAGTAGTAAATGAATTCTGCAGGTAGATTTGATGGCCTAAACTCAATTTTAAGTACAAATTTAAGTATGGAAACAAACCCATCTCTCAATATAGATTCCAAGCGATTAGGCAAATTTAGGCATCATTTCAACCACTCAAAACTGTGGCCAAAAAAAAAAAAAAAAATCAAGATTCGCATCAGTTGGTAAACTAGAGCAACGAAGTTTTGGAACTGGAAAAATGAATTAGAAGAAAACAAAAAGAATCTCTCCACGTTGAACGAACTTCAAAGAGAAACTCAAAGTGATGATTAGGTAAAATTTAGTGAAAGATCATCCAACCAAAGAAACAACAATACTAACATGTAAGTATCGATTTTCAAGATTCGCATCAGTTGGAACTTGGAAATTAGTAAGCATCAAAATTATCTAAACTAAATGACAAAAGATTCTACTAAATCATCAAAGACCCAAAATTTTTGGTTATCTAGTACGCTTAGGTTGATTTGTAGACCCTTTTATCGAATCTGCTTGCATGTGCTGTGAAGAGAAAGGGATCACATCACCACACATGCATTGGTCATCATCAAAGTTAAGTCCAATTAGTCAATGATTAAGTTCGCAGAACATAATACATACAGTACCAGAGATGCCTATCCAAAATGATACCTTGATAGATTTAACAGTTAGCCCGAATCAATATAGCCCCATGGATCACAATCTCTCCAGATAAGATACTTCCGAAATTTGGATTTTGATATCACCAGCTAAGATGATCAAGGCACGTCGATCATTTTGGTTACGAAACTTAGAATTGGAATGAATGGTTTCATAATAATAATAGTGACAAGTGGCCATATACGATTTCAAAACAAATTGTTACCTTATTGGTACAAAAAAGCCATATACCAATTCGTACGTCGCAATAACACCGGTGTATATATATTAGAGATGAAATATGTCTACCTCCTAAGAAGATTTGGTGAAAAGGTTATTCCACATATTTTACTGCGGCAAGCAAGGAAGCGTGCTAATTAACACTTTTAAACAGTAACATATGTGTTTTCGAAGCATTTTTTTTTTTTCTTGAATAGTCTGTAAAGAGGACGCATGGCATCAGGAGGACCCAGGTCCTTCATTCCAGGAATCTTTGAACATAAACAACTTCCGCTGAAGAAGAAGCATTAGCCCAGGAATCGAAAAAGCTGTGCCCCATCCCTTCCTACATATTTTCCACAATATTATTCACGATTTCCGGTAAAGATACGTGGGAAAGGGAAACTACCTTGGCATTCGGCGTGCAATTGTACTGAATACAGAGATGCAGTCAGTCAAAGAGAAGTACTTACTGATTTTTTTTGCTTAACTAATAACCTATATCTAACTTGTTAGTTGTTACGTATTAGTGTTTCCCTTTGATCTTAAACTTGACAGGATTAACACAAAAGCGAAGTATTGCTGAAGCAAAATGTTCCTTATAATGCTGGTTTTAGTTATCTAAGTACTAATGCGAAACACTGAAAAGATATTTCACTGAATCTATTAGTCCTACTAAAACTACCAATTAGCGGTTAGAGCAACCTAGTAAGTGAACTACTATAACTCCATATATATAAGCAAGCGAAATTGACAAATGATCCTGATAGTGTATTTCAAATTTAAAACGCATAAGCACTATACACTATACACATATTCAATAAGACTATAAGCAATGTGAATAAAATTTCAAAATTGAAGGTTTATACATAGAAGGATCACTAATTTTATCAAAAGTTACTCTCTTTTCTTTTTTCTTGCAAGTGTACAAGATTCCAACTAATTTTCTGTTAGAATTTAATTTTTAATTATTTTATTGTCCTTACCTACAACCCCTCTCATCCTTTCTAAAATGCACAGTTTCGAACAAAGTTTTAATTTGTGTATTCTTTTAGTTACAGTAAAGGAGACTAACATCTTAAAACCTCAAAATAATATATTGTGAGGATATGCAACCCTTATCAAATTATATTCCAACCAGGATTTGACCCATGGTGGAACTTAAAGAATTATAAAGGAGTCACATTTCCTCATGCAATTTTATTCCAAAAATAATTACGGTGAAATATTTTATAATTCAATAAGTCAAGTGAATTGATGGCTGGAAGAGGCTGGAGAATCTTTGCTAGTGTAGGCTTTCACTGAAGAGTATATATTAAGCCCATTACATTCGATGGTCCGATACAATTTTCTTCACCACTAAAGCCTATTATGATCAATAGGCTTTATCATCCTTCAAAATGTTTATTGCACAGTACAATATGGGCTTGGTCCCCCTAAACTGGTTTATTTTGTTGAGACTACACGTACGCATTATTTTCATGGCTGAAGATCGTCACAGCTCACCTTTGTTTGGATGAATGGCTGTGAAAATCCCAGAATCTATTAAGCTGAATAATGTTAACAACACCAAAGGCAAGAAGAAGGAGCCGGACTCCATAATACCGCATTTTCAACTCCAGCTCAAGTTTTCCCTCTCAGTTCTTCCTACTGTTTGATCTTCTAAGGTACTACAGTCTCTTTTCTGCTGTTGTATTTTACAAAGTTTGGTTATATTGTTTAATTGGAATGAGGTTGAGTCGATGAAAGAGTGATATGACATCGTTTTAGTATGCTTCATCAAACTTTAGTTGGTTTATTGTTTCTGGGTATTTTGGATTCTGCTTTATATTTCATTGCTTGAGCATAATGCAATCGTTGAGCACCTGGCCCTGCAGAAATGAATCTTGTTTGGTTCCCCAGTTGGATTCTGAACTGGGTTCATTCTCTCTTTTAAGTACGAAGAAGTTCAGAAGGAAAAGATTGATACTTGCTGCCCCTTTTTGTAATTTTAGTAGCGGTGGTTTGTTGCATATAACTAGCTATTGTAGGAGTACCTGCAGTAGAATCAGGGGCCGAGATTGGGACTTGAAAGATAAATTATTCTGTAAGAACCCCAAATACCTTATTTCTAGGACGAATAGAGGGTCTTTAGGTGCATCATTTGCATTAACTTGGGCGTTGGAGGAGCAAGCTGTGAATAATAGGAAAGAAAATTCAGCTTCCCTTGATAGAGTTTCAGAAGGAAATGATAATGGAAACTGTAGTCCAGTTAGATTGGAGGGGGAAGTGAAGGTTTTGGACTTGGCCTTGAGCAATAATCATGTTGGTGCAGTTAAGGAAGACCACGATGCAAAACTAGAAGATGCTAGTAATCAGGGAAAAGGAATCCAAAAAACTAGACCGGTAGTTGATGTGAGGGCATTGGGTAGGAGCTTACACATGGCCAGAACTGCCGACGATGTGGAAGAAGTTCTCAAGGATAAAGGGGATCTACCTCTTCAGGTATATTGTTCTCTTATGAGAGGTTTTGGCAAGGACAAAAGGCCACTCTGTGCAATGGCTCTTTTTGAATGGCTTAGGAGGAGAAGCCAAGACACTGATGGTGCAATTCGGCCCAACCTTTTCATATATAATAGCCTTCTTGGAGCTATTAAACAGGCAGAGAAGTATGATTTGGTTGAGGCGGTTATAAGCGAGATGGGTTTGGAGGGTATCAATCCTAACATTGTCACATACAACACATTGATGGGTATATATATTGCCCAAGGCCGGGAAGTTGAGGCACTCAATCTTTTTGAAGAGATCCCAGAGAAAGGTCTGTCTTTGACTCCAGCATCCTATTCAACAGCTCTGTTGGCTTATCAAGGACTTGAAGATGGATTTGGAGCTTTAAAGTTCTTGGTTGAAGTCAAAGATAAATTTAGAAAAGGTGAGATAGGAAAAGATGTAAATGCCGACTGGGGAAATGAATTGGCGAAGCTTGAGAACTTCACAGTTCGGATTTGTCACAAGTTGATTCGGAACTGGCTTGTAAAGAGCAAGAATTCAAATACCAGCATATTGAAACTATTAACAGAAATGGACAGAGCTGAAGTCCAAGTGAGTCGGGTGGAATATGAGCGTCTTGTTTGGGCTTGCACTCATGAGGAACATTATGTTGTGGCAAAAGAATTGTACAATAGGATACGCGAGAGGGATCCAGGAATCAGTTTATCAGTTTGCAACCATGTGATTTGGATAATGGGAAAGGCTAAAAAGTGGTGGGCTGCTCTAGAAATTTACGAGGACATGTTGGATAAAGGGCCAAGGCCTAATAATATGTCATATGAACTGATAGCTTCTCATTTCAATATTCTGCTCACAGCAGCTAAAAGAAGAGGGAGTTGGAGATGGGGTGTCAGGTTGTTGAACAAAATGGAAGAGAAAGGCCTCAAACCAGGTAGTAAAGAATGGAACGCTGTCCTTATTGCATGTTCCAAAGCTTCAGAAACATCTGCCGCTGTGGACATATTTAAAAGAATGATAGAACAAGGCGAAAAACCGACTGTTGTTTCCTATGGGGCATTGCTTAGTGCCCTTGAAAAAGGGAAACTCTACGATGAGGCCCTTCAGGTCTGGAAACATATGATCAAAGTAGGAGTGGCACCAAACTTGTATGCTTATACGATTATGGCTACAGTATATTCTGCGCAAGGTAAATTCAACATTGTCAACTCCATTATCAAGGAGATGGTTGCAGTAGGGGTTCAGCCTACGGTAGTAACATTCAATGCAATCATCAGTGCATGCGGGAGGGAGAACATGGTAAGTGCAGCGTATGAATGGTTTCAGCGTATGAAGGATTACAACATATCTCCCAACGAGGTCACATATGAGGTGTTGATAGAAATTCTTGCGAATGATGGTAAGCCAAGGCTAGCGTATGAGTTGTATTCGAGGGCTAACAAGGAGGGAATGTCTCTCTCGCTGAAGGCCTACGACGCGGTCATTCATTCTTCACAACGTCATGGTGCTACTATTGATGTTTGCATTCTTGGACCTCGTCCCTTAGAGAACAAGATAAAATGTGTGAATCAGGATACTAATTTGCAGGATTCTGTAACTTAGTTCATACTTCATATTGCTCCTAGGCGAAGCATACCATTTCAATTTGACGCAAAAGAAATCTATACTGTATAGTGTACATATGAAGAAGATCACAAGTTCGTAACTGAGCTTAGTACCTCTCTCAAGCCTTGAACACATGAGATGATCCAAATGGTTAAGGAACTTTTTAAGGTTCCAAGCTAGCTTCTGCCGCTAGTCTACGACCATGTCGTGCTCCTTCTGCAATATTTCGTGCAGTATAAGTTTGTTAAATCGCCAAGTAGAGTAATGTATACTACAGGTCTTAAAATCACTCAAAGCAATCTTTTGTCCCTACTTATGCGTAAAACACACTCTCATCAAATTAGATTTATACTACGGGTCTTACATTATTGTGACAACCAAATACTATGTTTTATACAAAATTTGGGAAACTGGTATTTCAGCATCTGTTATTTTTATTTTTATTTTTTTCCCGTAGTGGACATCTGATGCCCAATATATTATAGGTCATAATCAACACTTAAGACGACACATGTTCGTTGTCATGAATGGATCCACATATAATCTTATCTTAGAATCGAACTGCAATTTTTTTTCCCTTTATTCCTTTTCTGGTACAAGAGCTGCATTTTTCCATTAGTTATGGATTTTCTCTGTTTTTGGGTTATAGTCCCAGAGTGATCCTTCGTCAAGTAATATCAGAAGAAAGGAACAGCAACAGCATCAGCAAATCTCGGATATGGTTGTCTCATTTTAATTCTTAAACACAAAACCTAATGCACTATTCAAATAATATTTTAATTTATTTTTACAAAAAAAAATATTTTAATTTACCCTTTAAAATGTTACGTTTGGTCATTACACTATTGTAAAGTCTTCATTTAGGTCACTGAACTATAGTAAGTTTTTATGGTGTTTGGTCACTGAATTATTGTAAAGTCTTGTACCTGTCTATTACACTATTGTAAAGTCTTCAATTTGATCACTGATCTATTTTAATTTCATAAATGGTCATTATACTATAATACTTTCTAAATTAAAAACTAAATTACATTTTAAATCTCCTCCCAATTCCAAATCAAAAACTAAAATAAAACGTTATTCAAACACTACCCTCATCATTAATTCAACTCATAGTTTCCGGCAGTCACCTGAGTTGACTGTTTTCCTTATCATTTCCTAAAAAAAATTGTAATGTTTCAAAACCTCAAATAGTCAAGTCGTCAAGTAAATATTACTGCGATTCGTTGAACAAGGAAAGGGACAGTTTCTTCGTTTTCCATGGCGTAAATTAGTAGTAGAACTTGTAATTAAAATTGATTTTCCCCAACCAGAAATCTAGAATAGAAAGATTAAAGAATGGGATAGAATTTTGGACCTTTGTGCATATGCAACTAATCTCATTACAGTCGTCCCGGCCACAAAAAATAAAACAAAGTAAACAACACTTTTTAACCGTCATTAGCTGACCAAACCTGCAACATCAATATTTTAAAAGGGAGAATGGGCCTTTTCATCCCAAACTTTGAGCCACACCATCTAAAACATCCCAAAGTTTAAAAACATATTATTTTTATCCCAAAATTTTCAAAAATATGTAATATTGGGATATTTGTTAATTTTTCAAGTTATTAACGGTGATATTTCATTCAGTTTCTTTTCTCCCATTTTTTTAGTCAAAAAAGTTTCATGCTTGCGTTTGGTAAAATTTGATCAATGCCAAGCAAAAAAGGTGCATGCCCTATATCAATTACAACATCAATTTTTATAATGATGTTACATATTTAAAAAAATAAATGAAATAGGGCTTTATTTCTAATTAGGACACACATAAAACCTCTGATGATTGTTATCAATTTAGAAGGTGAATCTTGGATTTTTTTTTTTTCTTTTTCTAAGCAAGGGAAGAATGGATGATGTGAAGACCAAATTAGATTTAGTTATTTTCTTATAAGGTGGGAGTTAATGGAACGTGTTAAATGATTAAAAGAATTGAGGAAGGAGAAACAGAATAAAGTACCACCACTAATTAATTAATTGGAGTTAAAAATTTAACGAATATCCTATGTAACATGTTTTTTTAAAGTTTGGGATGTAAATGGCATGTTCTTAAACTTTGGGATGTTTTGATGGTGTGGTCCAAACTTTGGGATGAAAAAACTCATTTTCCCTATTTTAAAACCCCAAGTGTAAATAAATTTGGATTGAAAATAAGTTGGTCTTGTAAGGTGTCCTGTTCAAATTTTAACGTCTTAAAAAAGCCCCATTTCTTTAAAAAAATAAAATACTCTATCTAATACCCCAAACCAAAAGAAAAGAATTCAAGAAAAGAGCAGAAGGCCATCTGACGTAGTACCATCTTTTGGCTGTATGTCAGCCAGTCATACTCACTTACGGGTATCTGATACCACTCCCAAAAGGAGGAGAGGAAGAGATAATTTGATGGAAGAAAGAGTAAAGGGCTGCACGTTAGTTTATCTGAATCTATCTTGTTGGTTGTTTTCCGTTTGTTTTAGTTGAGAAAGTTAATTGCTCTGGTGGGTTTGTCCCGGAGCTTGAAAATTGAAATTATAGTATCATTAAGACTGAGGATCCAATCAAAGTCTGTAAGACTATGGAGCCCCCTAAGGGGTTCTTGGCTTCAGTTTGGAATTTCATCTGCTTCTTGCCTTACTTTCTTGGCCTTCTCATCCTTGGTTTTATTAAAGGTTCGTGCTTTCCTTGAAATGACTCCTTTGGACTTAATTTCACTGTCTGATTGTCTGTTATGTTGGTTTGTTTCTGTTGTCCCTTTTCCTGATTATCCAATTCCGGATTTGTATCTAAAGAAAAATGGAAAAAGAACGGCGTGATAATGTTGCCACCTGCGATTCCCTTTACTTGTTTCAATTGTTGCATGATATAATCTCTTCTTGTATCCCTTCTTCTGTGTTTATGTCAATTTGCAACTATATATACGAACACCAAGCAGAGAAGGCACTTCAATCCTCAGTAATCGTTGATTGGTTTAAGAGCATTTTTTAAGACTTACTAGTTTCTAATCTCTTATACTATGGACTGCAAGAATTCATACTTGTTCTCCTCAGATCTGGTCTTGATTTGCCCCGTAAGCAATTGCATGGTCTTTCTTTTTGGGCACTTCATATGCATTTTACTTTCTTCCGCAATTTGGATATTGTCTTCTGACATTAGGCCTGTTTTCTCAGGTGTTATATTGTGCCCTTTGATATGCCTTATCATATCCGTTGGAAACTCTGCTGTTATATTGGGCCTTTGGCCAGTGCACCTTTTCTATACGCTTTACTGCATATTGAGGTACATAAGAATTTTACTTCCTACTTTAGCAGTTTCTATTGTTCGTATCCTCTGGTGATACCCAACTTATGATATTTGTGGCAGTACAAAAAAACTAGGCCCGGTTCTAAAGCTTGTATCCTGCCTGCTTGTTATTGCCCTGTTAATCATCTGGCCAGCTGTGGGGATCGTAAGCAGCATTTTAGGAGGCGCCGCATATGGATTTTTTGCACCAATGATGGGCACTTTTCAAGCTGTTGGTGAAGGGAAGACTAATCAGTTCTTTCACTGCATCTACGTATGGCTAAGATATCTTATACCGAAGTTTCTGTTATCTTAAAACTTTTCTGTTTGCACCTCAAATCACTGGCTTTCTACTTTGCAGGATGGAACTTGGGATACTATTAAGGGAAGCTTCAATGTTGTCAGGGATTTTCTGGATGTATGTAATCACTCTTACTTTTCAATTATGGATGAGTTGAGACTTCAGGGTCTCTCTGGTGGAAAGTACTATGAAATCAGGTTAGTTTAATCGGGTTCACATTTTTATACTTAAATGTATCCCTAATTGAACCTCCAATGTATCCAAATGCTAATCCTTATCTTCAACTTATGTCATTTAGTTTGATGTTTTGCCAACGAGTGAAGTTGTCATTTTTATAGTTGAAATATAGAATGCAAGTGTGAGGTTAGCGTATCTACAAAATTCATAACGCAATTATACTGAGTCCTGTCTATCTGAGGAGCTAGTGTCACCATGCCCTACTTTGTAGAATTGTTGCCCTTCAGAATTCTGGAAAAGATGGCATTCTAGTAATCACGATTACTACTGAGGAAGTACTCTCTTCTTGTCATACTTTCATTTCTATTGTTTTAAGTTGACTACTCTTTTAAGTTTGAATCAGAAGTGTCTGCCTTGTTTTTGTCCTATGTTGACATTTTGACTCATCTTTCGCCCTTCTAGCTATGTTATGCTTCTTCTAATGATGCGGGGCCGGTATTGTAGATTGCTTTACCTTCCTGGAGCTTGTATTGCTGGAGTGCTGGGGTTTCTCGTAGACATGCCTGTTATCTCCTTTATTGCCCTTTGCAAATCCCCTTACATGCTGTTTAAGGGGTGGCATCGTTTATTTCATGACTGTATTGGCCGGGAAGGCCCCTTCTTGGAGACAATATGTGTGCCATTTGCTGGTCTTGCAATCTTGCTTTGGCCTTTGGCTGTTGTTGGTGCAGTGTTGGGCTCCATCGTATCCAGCATTTTCCTGGGCGCTTACGCGGCAGTTGTTGCGTATCAGGTAAATCTATATTCTTGCATGCACCAGATAATACATAAAAACACCCAAATTGCATTAAGTGGAAAGATCCGAAGGAAAACTATCTAAACTGAAAACTTTATGACTACAGAATCAAATGATTGACCATAATCACAAAATTCCTACGTTCCTGGTTGGACTCAATTCCGATTTTTATGTCCGTTATGGACTTATGATTTATCAATAATTTTATGTAGGAGTCATCTTTCTGGCTAGGCCTTTGCTACATTGCCGCCTCTTTGTCCATTTATGATGAATACAGCAATGATATCCTTGACATGCCTGAAGGCTCCTGCTTTCCCAGGTGAACTAGAGCTGGTGTTTATTATTTTTCATTATTGAACACGTGATTATGTAACATAAAGTATTTACTTGTGGACTCAAACTTCTGAACTTGGACAGGCCTGCATATAGAAAGAAGGCTGCATCAGTTACAAGTTCTCGTACGCCCTCTTTCTCAAGGCCCCAGTCTTTCAAAAAACCACCTTCTCGCACTTCGTCATTAAATGCCCCAATGGTTGAGTTGAAGTCCCTTGAGGTATACTTCTTGTTGCCAGTGATAATATTCCAATACAGGAACATTTGTTTTTTGAGTATTCCTCCATGCCCGTTTGCGTAATGTGCTTATGGATCTCCTTATTGCAGTTGCTCGATTCCTTGTTCAAGGAGTGTAGATACTATGGGGAAATTATGGTCTCTGAAGGCATAATAACATTGAAAGATATTGAAGATGCCAAATCTAATAAAGATACTGGCAAAGTAATAAGAGTTGGCTTACCTGCTTACTGCATACTTCAAGGACTAATTCGCTCTGCAAAAGCTAATTCTGCTGGGATATTGCTAAGTAGGTGATGTTACTTTTACTTGAATATGTTGGACTGGAGTAATTAGTTTGCAGAGAATAATTCTTGTTGAAAATCTTTCTTTCCTCTATGCAGATGATAATGTGACTGAAATAACTAGTACAAATCGCCCAAAAGATCTTGTCTTCGATTGGTTTTTGAATCCACTGTTGATAATGAAAGATCAGATCAAAGCAGAAAACCTATCCGATGCTGAAGAGCAGTACCTTGGTAAGTTGGTACTGCTTAGTGGTGATCCCGAGAGATTGAGAAGATCTGATATTGGCTCACCTCCAGAGTCTGAGCAGAGACGCGCCGAACTTGATGCATTAGCAAGAAGGTGACATTTGAAGAATGAATCCATAATTACCAATCTAGATTTACAATTTCTGTTTTGACGCTGATACTCTTACTTTGAACTTCGCCATGCAGGCTTCAAGGGATCACCAGATCATTGTCCAGATATCCCACATTTAAGCGCCGTTTTGATAGTAGTATGGAAATTGTCATAGAAGCTCTTGCCAAAAACAATGGTGACAGTGACAGTGGTACTGGACCTCGTGCAGTTCCCAGGTCAAGGAGCATGTTTGCCCGTATATTTAGTCAAAAATCTTTTAAAATCAGGACCAGTAACCATGGATCTGATCTGGAGGCACAACCATCGGTCGATAGAGATGTTGATATCATATGAGAAGACAGAGTCACGGCTCATTAGTGTGTGAAATTTTGAGGATTTAGAGTAGAATGATTAGGTGTTCATCCTGGCTCAAGTGTACGAGTTGTGGCTTGTATAACAGTGTTCTTGTAATTCTGTCCTCTCAACATTTTGAGATTCCCCGCTAAGTCGCTAACCACCGACATGTTAGATCAACTTTTCAAATATAATTTTTCCAATTGCAAAGGAGGATTTCCCAGACCAAAAAGGCAAAATGACAATCACTTTCTTTTTAGGTGACCAAATATCATCAGCCTAAAGTCTTGAAGAAATTGCACCGCTCAGGCGACAAAATGGCTTAACTTGCAGTGCGTTTTTAGATTAACCATAACGTGACTCAAGCCAATGTTGAAATTGGAAACTTTTTGTCCCCCCGGTATTTCATTGGTCAAGTTTTGCTGATTTCTCGAGTATACACTATACAGGTATCCTGAGGGTTACGATTACCGGGGGGAACTGACTAAATAATAAACTTGTTTTTCATTTCTTGCCGACCATGACAAATTTCGCACTAACATGTCCAGAGGCTTCTTTCATTCATCAGATTTCTCATTAGTTTACGAAATACGAAATTATTAGAAAGTTTATGAAATGGACTGCAACCAAACATAAAAGACTGCGATAAAAGTAGGACTGAATACAACAGGTTCCAAACTTTTTTCACAACCTTCATGAATTAATCACAAGAAAAATAGAAATGGGATACTAAATGATAATATCAAAACCGTAGTAGAAAATTTTAGTTCACATCCCTGAAAGGGAAAGAAAACTTCATCAACTTCAGAATTCTATTCCTTCTTCCGGGAGTCTTTGAGTTGCCCTCTCTTTCGAATTCCGAGGCAGAAACGCAGACGCCAAGCATCAACCACCCATTCAGGCAACGAATACAGCAAGGCCCATAAAAGAGTATGTGGCCAATACGGCGTGCAACGAGGTTCATAGCCAATCCAGCGCAATGCGGCCCGAGCATAGCCATCTGTTGATGGAACAAAAAAGGAGGATCTTCTGATTGATGCCATCTTAGTCGCCACATATAATGGTACCTGTTGTACGTATGAAGGAAGAGTATGAGAAAATGTACAACTCGAAACAATAAAACCAAATGCATGTACATTAAAGTGGTGATCATACTTGGAAACAACAGCAAGAAGAGAAAGTTAGATGTGAGCTCATTTCAGTGGGGTATAATGTAAAGCACAGAATTCAGGTTTGGTGTATCTAAAAAGATCAAGCTTTTGCAAGCAGAATTCTACAAAAAGATATTGCTTCATCCCAAAAAGAAGAAAGTTCCAGAAAATAAAGATCAATAAGGGATTGAGAAAACAGCAGCAAAACTCATAAATCATATAGAAGCTACATCAATCATTTAGGCAGAAAACTCCCAAGAAACAGATATAAGAAAGTATACATAATCTTTTGGTTTCAGCCAAGGAAAAAAAGAATCATATAGAAGCTACATCAATCATTTAGGCAGAAAACTCCCAAGAAACAGATATAAGAAAGTATACATAATCTTTTGGTTTCAGCCAAGGAAAAAAAGAATCATACAGAAGCTACATCAATCATTTAGGCAGAAAATTCCCAAGAAACAGATATAAGAAAGTATACATATAATCTTTTGGTTTCAGCCAAGGAAAAAAAGAAGAGGAGCCTCAGAGCATCGGTGAGATCTGTTTTTATATGACCTGAGGTTGCAGATTTGAGAAGCCAAACTAAACTTGAACGGAAATAAATGGTAAGATAAAACACACAGCCTTATGAACCAACCATTCCCCATGCAAACACCAAACATACTTACGATACCTTTCCAGCATGCATAGCAATAATTGAATACCAGTGGACTTCATGGATACTTATACTGGATGGAGAAAGGTTCTAACCAACATACCAGCTACAAGAAACCACTGAAGTTGTTATCTAAGTCTCATGACCTTTTTTAATTTACTATTCTCCCGAGCTTCAAGTAGATCAGCATAAAGTATCAAAAGTTACAGCAGAATAAGATCTAGGCCTAATGAGTTTGAATTTCAGAATGAGCCTCAAAACAAATGTTATCTTTCCTGGGTTGGTACACACATACTCTGTACAACAGTAATCGACAACAACTTCGAGAGAATATATGAAATCTATTCAGAATCCACAATAACATAAAATGAAACGAAGACTCATTTTCATTTTCATACCTGACACTGCACATCAATTCCGCTCTTTTTGTACTCCACGTAGAGGCATCTAGAGAGCTGATCAATATATCTGCAAATAAATGGAACAATCAGTCATTCGTTTGGCAAAACAATGCTTCAATATATAGTAGATCATCGCCGTAATAGCACCCTTTTGAAGAAAATTTACATGTACAAGGACAACAAACGCTATGCGTCAGCAACAAGTTCAACAGCTAATTCCAAAGAGATATTTATCATTAACATCATAAGAGATGTTAACCAAAACATCCATCCAAAAGTTCCTTCGGATATTGACTACTCTTACTTTCTTAATCCAGGTCTTAACAAACAGAACTCTCCAAAAAATAACAGGAAGGAAAAACATAATAGAAATTCATAAGGGGAAGAAAAAAACCGTGAAAAGTATGAATGCTTACGCTTTGGTGGCAGCATAAACTGCATAAAGAGGATCAGAAGGGATGACAATGGCAGCGCCAGAACCTATATTCACAATGGCCCCTCTTTTCCTCTGAAGCATCCCTGGCAACACAGCTTGAGTAACCTTAGTAGTCCCTTCCACGTTAATCTTAATCAAATCAGCCAACAATTTATCATCCACCTCGTGGAAATACCTAGCATAGGGATACGACAACCCAACGTTGTTAACCAAAACACCGATATCCAACCCATCAATCGCCTCCTTAATCCTGACAACTCCCTCGTCCAAATCACCAGAGAAGTCAACCACCACGCTCTTGATCTGGGTCTTGCCGTACTTAGCCTGGATAGACTCGGATACTTCCCGGAGCTTATCTGGGTTCCGGCCAACGAGCACCAAATTGAGCCCCTTCCGGGCGAATTGGAAAGCGAAAGCCTTGCCAATGCCGTCAGTGGGTCCGGTGACGAGAGCCCAGGACCCGTATTTCTTGAGATTCTTGGCGGGCCTAAGGAAGTTGACATAAACCCAGTTGAGAACAGAGTAGAGAAACCTGAGTAGCTTGAAACAGCCTAAGGAAACAAGCAGGATAAGCCATACGGGTTGGGATTTCAATTGCTCAAAGAAACACTGCTCCATATTTGGTCTGTGGAAGGAAAAGTGGAAGTGGATCTGCGGAATTCTCTGAATCGAAGTGAGAATGGTTTTATAGAAAATTATTAGACACAACAGTAACAGTAGAAGTGGTCATAGTAAAATGCCAACGACTAAAAGAATTAATTTGGGAGGGTTTTGAAAAATTAACGTATCATGATCTGAAATAACATGTGAATGATGGCCAAGTGGCTGGACAGAATAGTACTACAATTTTTTTAACCAGAAGAAGAATATGAATCTCGTCGAGGGAAGAAAAGGGCAAAAAGAGAAAAGGAAAAAGAAATGAAGGGTTGATGGAGATGCAGTTGGAGTCAGTGAGGGATGGTTAGGCAGATAAACGGTTGGGCGGACATTTAATACGTCGAGGAGTAATAATCCTTATAGTGGCTCAATATCTTTTTTTAAAATTTTTTTTTTTTAAACCATTGTTTTTAATTGTGGAAAATGAATGATTGATTGAAATTTTTTTTCTTTTCTTTTCTGGCATGAAAGCTGCTGATTCCATACTACCAAGTTGTTGGGGGTGGATGAGCTGAAATTACTGATTATATAGGTGTGTTTGAATCTCACAACAGTATACTGTAGTAAAAAGAAATTACTATAAGGTAGTATCTAATTTTTTTTTTCTTATAGAGTATTACTACATGTAGTTAGTGTTCACAACTAGAGTCCCAATTAACCTTTATAAGCTGAACTTGATCATGAAATTTGTCACGACGAAGTTAACTCTATGGAGATTCCCTTTTTCTTATATATACTAGTGATGTCAATGCGTGACCCTGGCCCAATATATCTGTACATCTTAAAAATATTTGTATTTGAAAAAAAAAATATTTTGTATTTGGCCTAATATATTTTATAAATGTTTGAAAAATTTAGAAATGTTTTATAAGTGTGATCATAGAAATGTTTGTATTTAACATAAAAAGAAATTGTATTTGACCCGGTACGTTTTAGAAATGTTTGAAGATTTTAGAAATGTTTTATAAGTGTTATTTCTTAAATATAAATAAACTTTATCAAATATATGTCTTGAATTAAATGCTAGACAAAATATAAAAGCATCCTAATAAGTTTAAATATTAGTAAGATAATTTATTGATGTTCTCCGGTTGTGCCAAATCAATACTTAGTTTTGGAGATTTATAATAGCTTTGTAGTAAGCTTCCTCCCAAGGGTATATAATTAATTGTTGAAACTATTTCTTCCAAAAGTTTATAAGTGGTAAAATATCAAAAATATGATTTTGAAACTGGTTAATTGATGAAATTAGTTGATCACAAATATGAGAATGAAAATAATGTAAATTTGCATAGGTTTTAAGTTATACCAAAAAAGAACTCACCTCACCATGGCAAATAAAAAAAAAAGAAAGTAAAAGATAGCCCATTTAAAATTGAGAATTTTTTTTTTCTGTAGGTAAAAATGTTGTATAAAAATACAAAGAAACGTAGAAACATCATTTTTTTCCCTCTCCGCCTCAAATTCATAAAAGGCTTCCCCAAAAATTAGTTAGAAGAAGCGACCTAAACTATTTAGATGATGAGAAACTAAAAAAAGTCCAAAAACTAAAATTTAAAAAGTATATTCTTGAAAGCTCAAACACAAAAAAAAAACACGCTTTATTTGCAAATAAAATATAATAATAATAATAATAATAATTGGTCAACTGGGAGTATGAAACAAAATAAAAAATAATTAAACAAAGAAAAAACACACTTCACAACTGACCATGTACGAAAAAAAACTGAGACTCCATAATTAAAAAAAGAAAACCATTCTAATTGAATGAAACATAAAAGAAATTTAGAAAACCACACTTTGTAACAAAAACTCAATTAATCAATTCAATTCAAACAGAACTAAAATCATACAAAACTTCTAGGCTAACTAACTATATAAGAAATCACATCATATTACCTGACAACAGCTACGGTAGCTATAACGGATGAACGCATAAAAATAATAGTAATAACACTATTCTTGAACGGGAAAAATAAAAAATAATAAAAGCCAAACAAATGATCTGTGGAAATAAAATCATTTAAATTGTAATACCTATAATTGCACCACCACAACGGCCGAAGCAAGATCAATGAGAATTTTTTTTTTCTTTTGTGTTTATATAGAAAGGTAAAGAGAATATTTTTTGAAGTCGAAATTTTATCTGATCAGGATGTAGTTGATCATCACTAATGAAAAGATTGAACATACTAATAGGAAATGAGTATATTTCACCACATATTCTCAATTGATGATTGATGACGATTTTTTTTTTTTTATTGTGGAGAAGGGATTGATTAGGGAGTCGATTGTCGTGGAGATAGTGATGAGGATTTGAGTTTTTTATGAATCCGTTTTTTTTTTTTGGCAAAAATAGGAGGTGGAGGTGGATTTGGACTGCATTTGCCTTTTAAGTCTAGGAGATGTGAAAATAAAGATTTATTTTAAAAATATAATGTGGAAATGCCACATGGCAAATGGTGGTGCTTTCTCTTAAGTGTGGTTTTTGTTTCTAATATAGTAAGATATAAAAAAAAAAAATGAAGGTAGTTTTAGTTTAGGTTTTCTTATCATTGTGATATCCGTTGAGTTTATAACGACTTAGGTAATTAATTAGATGTTAAACCCGATGTGCGGGGTGTATTTATTTTACATTATCAAAAATCATAAGAAATATAAAAGTTGTAGAATATATTTGAAGTTCATATTAATATATATATATATATATATTATATAAAGATGAAATATTACATTCGATATGAAATGCAAGTATTGAGTTAATGGAAAGAGAATATATGGACAATAAAATAAAAATCATAAGCATTGTATGACTAAAATTAAATAAAAGATGACATAAAAGTAAATCATAAGTGCAATTTGAATTATTTTTTGGAATTATACGGTAAAGGAAAGACAAACCTTTGTTCATCCTTGTAATCATCACCTCTAACTTTTTTGTTTTTCTAATTTTTTCATACATCTGCATAATTGAATTAAAAGAAAAATGATTCAAACATGTTAAGATATAAATAAATACAAAAAAGAATTATACCTCTCTTCTTCATATGAACACACAGGCAGCCATGATTTCGAGTGGAATATCAATAATCAATTGAGCCTTATATAGGTAGTATAGGGATATGAGTGCTCAAATGTGTTTGATTTAGATAAGATTTATCTTTTAAAATTTAAGTGTGATAAGTAATAATTATTCCAAATTCAAATTTGATAAAATAATGTAATTCATGGAACCGGATAAAGAGTAATTATAATTAAGTTATTTATGATCGTTATATACAATCATCTTTATTATTTTTGAATATGTAGTTGGGAAAATGGAGTAGTTTTAGGGATTAATTTTCATTTATAATTAAAAGCAAAAAAAATCACTTCTAGCATATTCATTACTTTTGAATTCCAAAATAAATTACAACCAGATATATGATAAGGAAATAATTTATTAATCTATTAGGAATAATTTCCGGATGACAATAAATTTTTTAAAATTTTTAAAATAATGCGGAAATTTAGTTTACGGCATTAGTTTTTCATATTTTTTAATACTTTATCATTTTTGAACTCATTTCTAAGTTTACTAAGTATTTTTTTAGAAGAGTTTTTATAAAATGACACCCAGAATTTGCAATTAAAGAATAATTGATGATTTTGTATTAATTATTTTTGAATTTCAAAAAATCATTAATATTATTTAATGATCAAGTCAATATATAATAGTATTATTCAAGCCAATCAAAAAATCTTTTTAAATCAATCAGTATAAATATTGAATTAAATAAATGTTTACCTTTTTTATATGACACGTAATGAAAAAAAAAACCATTAATGTTGGTTTTTTAAAAAATTTTTGTTTCCTTTGTCATTTCACCGGATACAAAATAGAAAGTTTATCACATAATTAATTGATATACTTTAATTGCGAATCAATAACAATTGCTTAACCGAAAATTTAAAGGACTGTTAGTGTAATTATTGTAAATATTCTTTATGTTAACCAATAAGAAAATGACACATAAGATTTTGTCCTATGTGTCAATGTGAGAAAAAGTTTGATTTCCTCTCTCTGGTTTCTCTCTTAATATAATATACTATAGATTAGTGAAGTGGGTTACGGTAATTGAACTAGGCAACCCTGTCAAACTCTTGGAAATGTCAAATGTCTGTGACTTGGTAATATTATTCATAATGAAACTATGGTTTGTATGATTATATCATCTTATCTTTCCACACTTTTCAGTAATACCAGTTATGTTTGATAAACCAATTCAATACTTAAACTTATTAATTAAGTGTTTAAATTGTTAGAAGCATTGTTTGATGGTACAATATCATAACAACTTAATTGATTAAGAACTTAACTAATTATGTACTTAAATTTTTAGTGGGTTTGATAACTCAAAGTAGTATGTCTTAATAAATTAAGTGAGACTAAAATGTTATTATAAATGTGAGTCTGAATTCATGAGAAGATTTTTTTCCTATTTTATTTACTTTTATGTTTATACTTTTGATGTTTTATTTTGAAATATTTTTATTAATCTTGATGTTTAGTTATAAATTTATATTTATATAATTTTTTAAGAATGTTATTTTAATTCCATTATCAATATATATTTACCATAAAATATGATTTTTTTATAATATAAGTCGATATACTTTAAATTTCAGTATTCAGAATTCAGATTTCAGACATTTTATTCAGTCTTCAGATTTTGGTTTTTATCAAACACGACAAATTTAATCAGTTCAATACTTATGATTCGGTTTTCAGATTTCAGACCCAAATTAAATTTTATCAAACGGGGTCTTAGTTTGGTAGACGTTAGTAACGTAACCTTACTAATGGTTTACAATTCAAATAATAATTAAGTACAACTATCATTAGGCTTCGGCCTCTTTCAGTCTTTCATTGTACCAAAAAATAATAATGATAAGTACAACTCAAGTGATCAATATTGGGTAATGAATATTCATTTGAATGAGATTCGTCAATTAGAATTTAGAACACGAGCAGTCGGTTTCAGACTGAAGCATCGGCATATCTCAATTGAAATGTAGTATATGTTATAAAAACTCATGTCAACTGTTACGAGAGTACACAAATCACACGAGTTTTCATAATTCAACTCCACATATATTGAAAATTGTAGGCTAACATGCTTAGATAATCATAAACACATTAATAAGTTACTGAAGTTGTCATCAGATGACTTAATCCTGCTGTTTTAGCCTTTTAGTACGTAATTGTAACAACACGTTAAATCTGAAGCTCGGCTATGGCCTATGAGACTGAGACATGACATTTCAATGAGGCAGATGCATGATTTGAACATGCACTGTGCGTGCTAGTTAGAGTAACGTAATGGATATAATGTATTTTCTTCGGGTATTGAAAAACACTGGTACCTCTAATTTTTGGATTAATGTTTCTTTAATGACAGTCGACAGAAGTCCTAAGACAAATATACAACGTTGATCCTTGTGTTACAGGATGCTATATATGTACATGGTGGGTATTTTTTAAAAAAATTTGACCCGGTCTTTCGTGAAGATGTATGTAATTCCCAGATAACCGTGGGAAGAAGTGGGTAACTATTGAACTGGTAATAATAGCCCACTACTACTACTACTACAGACAGCTTCACGTTCCTTAAAATTACCCACTAACTCCACTCCCTCAACCGACGTTCATTCATAACAAATCCTATTTAAACACAAAGACAGACTCACAAGTCACAATCGATTATCTGCAACCAAAAAAAAAGACAAATCTTCTGGCTTCATTAATCATCAATCCGTCTAATTGCTGAATATATCCACAAGTAATACATATCATCCATCAATTCTTCAGTACTACTCTCAATGTCGTCGTTCTGTCGCCAAGTGTTGATGTCCCTCATGATCATTTGCGCAAGTTTTCAACTCATATTGGGTTCTTCCTTCGAGTTTCAAGTCGGGGACCATATGGGCTGGTCCGTCCCCCGTTCTAAGGACACCAAGTTCTATAACGATTGGGCCTCCGAGAAAAGGTTCAAACTCGGCGACTCCATTCGTAAGTCTTATTAGTCTTCATCGGTTCATCCTACGCGCGTTAAAAAAAATGGTTTAAATTAATCTAGTCATTATGTAATTTCAATGCATGAACTAATTTTTATTGTTTTTAAAATAGTGTTCAAGTACAGGAAAGATTCGGTGATGGAAGTTGGGGAGGCGGAGTACAAGCAGTGCAACTCGACGCATCCGATATTCTTCTCCAACACCGGCAACACCGTCTTCCATCTTGACCGGTCCGGCTACTTTTACTTCATCAGCGGCGCGGCGGGCCATTGTAGTAAAGGCCAGCGCATGATTGTTAAGGTTTTAGGGAATGATCCATTTCATCCGCCTTCTTCTCAAAAATCTTCTTCTTCTGCCACAATATCATCAATATCCCTTGCTATCTTCAGCTTTGTGCTTCTGCTCCCCGTTGTTGCCTCCGTCAACTTCTTGTTTCTTTCCCTTTGTAATAGTTATAATCTCTTTTAGTTCAGTTTGGGTTTCTTTGGGGTTGTTTTTTTTTTTTTTTCAATTATGTTTTTTTCCATAATTCGTTTGATACATCGATATTGTTCTACTAAGTGTTTCCCGTTTCCTTTTCATTTTGTGAAATTAGTAAACTGTAGCCATTATTTTTGTGTTGTCATGGTGCTATTGTGTTCAACTAGCATGTGAGTATTGCAATACTACGAATAAAAATTTCAATTTTGAACTGAAATCGCGATAAAGTGTCATATGCTATCAATATCCAACTAGAACCTCCGAATTCCTGAATTCAACTAAGAAATGAACAGATTATAGGATAGTTGAGTAGTGTGTTTGTTTTGATTCTTTCGTACTTTCCCTAGTTCTTTTACTTAAAAAAAGATGGTCGTGATAGGTAAACTATACCAAACAAATCCATATTTTCCCTAGCTTTTAATTAAAAAAAGATGGTCATGACAAGTAATATACCAAACATAATAGGTAAAAACTCAAAAAAATCCACATTTTGTATACAATCGGTAATATAGATTAACTGTTGATTATATCACGAAAATATAAACAACTCTTATAATATCATATCTAACTTATATAATGGCCTGTGGAGTACGAGCCATAAACCGTTGTTAACCACGGCCTGAATTTTAAACTGCACGATATGAAAATGACCAAATTACTATATATATATATATTAGAAATGTGACACTTTTTCAATAAATTTAAAAAATTAAAAAAATACATACCTACGAGAAACGTGGAACAAGAAAATCGGGGGGACCAAAATGAACATTACAAAAATGTAACGAGAGGGAAAAGAATAATAGTAAATCGGACAGGAGATATACTCGGGGCCCGCAAAAAAGGAGAAATTGGAGGGATTTTGGCAAAAATAGGGTCCTGCTTCCAGTGGCCACAGCAAAGAACAAAAGGTGCATGACTGTGCCGCCGCGCCGTAGGTTGTCGGCCTCCTTTCCCCGCTCCCATTTCTTCCGACCAGATTCATTTGCTCGGTACTAGAGAGTCTTAGATATCATTATAGCAGCCGCCTATTTGCGATCCATACAGACACCTAGGAGAGAAAAATGGGTACTTGCGTGGATGCTGACGTCTTGCCGACGCCCAAGCCGGAGGATCATGGCCCGGGGTTTTCTTCTTCCGACGAAGCGGCGTTGGTTGATAAGTTCCAGAATGTGGTAGGGCTTTATCCACATTACGGCGGTGGTGGTGATTCCGACGGCACTAACACCGCCGTTCTTCCGCTCAGACCCTACGCCAGTGACTGTCCGTATTACATTAAAAGCGGTGTTTGCAAATTTGGGCCACTCTGCAAATTTAATCACCCTGTTAAGAGAACTGGACTGGTAACTTTTATTTCTAAACCCACATTGTGTACTTTAACATGCTTTTTTCTTTCCCCTTTTTTGGCCTTTTGTTTAGGGTGAGAAGAAGTAATATTTTACCCCCTGTCATTTGTTTGGTTTTGGAATCGAGTTCCAGATGGTGAAAGACAAGGCCATGGACTCGGATACAGAGGGGCAGCATGTTGAATGCAAGGTAGAATGTTTTCTTTAAGAATTGCCCCCCCCCTTTTTTTTTATACTTTTCAAATAAAATATTAATTCCCACCTTGCAGACATTTGCTCCTATTAACCTATACATATTTACACTCGTTGTTGTAAATTTTAAGTCATGGCTTGGCCCTGTTGCTCAAAGGAAATTGCCTGTTAGAGGACTTCATGTATCCGTAGTTAATATCTGCTGGCAAAACGCAAACAGTAGTATGCAATTTATGCTTAATGTGCCGTGTTTTCACCGTGCTAAACCATGTTATCAGGAGATGTAGCTGGAGAAACTAGTGTCCAGAAATTGAGGCCAGCATCCTAAATGTGAAAATTTTATTATTCAGCTAGACAAGTGTATATTTACAGTCAATTTCCTTAAACGTAACACCTTAGATTGGACCTCTTTTTTTGTTTTGTGGATGTCTGTTGGCTAATAATGGGCCTCTTTATGGTCACTTGTGCTATTGTTTACATGGCTTTCATTCTGATATGTGAGTATTGTATTTGTTAAATATGATAATTTTGTCTAATGTTTGCAGTACTACTTGACTGCTGGAGGTTGCAAATATGGCAGCTTTTGTAGATACAGTCACTCTAGAGCTGTTTCTGACGTTGCAGGCCCGCTGCTCAACTTTATTGGCCTTCCAATAAGATTGGTAAGCATCCCTCTCAGATTCTTTACAAACTCTCTGACTCCTTCATTTTGTCTTTGATTTGTTAGGTTTCATTGTAGTCAGGAAATGAAGCTAATTTTTGTATCCAGAATTTGATTGAAATTGTGCTCTGATTAGGGAGAGAAAGAATGCCCCTACTTTATGCGTAATGGTTCCTGCGGGTATGGAGCTCGTTGTGTGTTTCACCACCCTGAACCATCGTCTATTGAGAAACCCTATGATAAATCTTTGAGGAGCCGAGATTGTGAATCTGTTCCACAGCAGTTGGCTGAAGATTCCAAACCCCATCAAGAGCTGGGGTCTTTCCGCCCTCTCTCTGACAGAACAATTTCTCACCCAAATGATGACCTATATCGCAGCATTCCTAATTCGTTTCAGCAGCATTCTGGGCTAAATCAGTATCAGGTTGTGACAATTGTACAATTTCCAGTGTTTTCCTGCTATCTTTTGGCGTACTTCATTTTTCTTTGTTGAGTTGTACATCAGCATCCTATACTTGTGGTTGTAGCCTGTAGGTATGTGTTGTTGAAACAAATAAACCACGTAAATACTGGAGCTAATGATTTGTCTTTGCCAGAAAAGAATTGCAGATATCTTGAATGCTAGATGTCTTTTTCCTCATTTGTGCTAATTCTGTACATTATTCAATTGTAACTACTTTAGGATTTAGCTTTGGACATTATTGTTTGTTCCTTCTCCCACTGTATCAGTATGCCTCGCTTCCTTCTTCTCTTCATGTGTTTTATGGCGATTATGTCTTTCCTTTTTTGCCTTCCTTTGCTTCGAGTACAGTGATAGACTACATTCTCATTGAACTTCTCCACAATTAGCAGGCACCAGAATATCTGCATCAAAGGAGTACGCATGCTCATCTCACTCTTGGAGCTGACAAAGCAGATATGCTGCAGCCACTTAGTCATGGGGACGTTGAAGATTATCCTGAACGTCCTGGTCAGCTTGAATGTGCTTTCTTCATGAAAACTGGGTTCTGTAAATTTAAGTCTGCATGTCGGTTTCACCATCCAAAGAATCAGTCAAAACCTCTGCTGAGTGAGAAAGGCCTACCTCTGAGACCTGTAAGTCACAGTTCCACGTAGCAAATTTTCATTCTCAGTGTGTATAGCAGATACTACTATTAGGCAATGTCTCGAAGTAATATGATTTTTTCAAAAGGGTGCCTGAATTCTAATCTTTGGAATCTTTGAGTTATTGTATCTTGAAAGATAGACTCAGCATGACTCTCCAACTTATGAGGAACCGTTGGAGGACCTCTTTGTGAGATAATGTCATCACCGTGGATGACCATTTAGTACATTATCTGCAATTTAGCACATGAAACTAAGTTTGCTTTTTTCATTTTTGTTTTCTTTTTTTGCTTTAATGTGTAGCTTGTGATGACTCACACCCTCATTATCGTTTCCAGGGTAGAAGTATCTGTCGGTATTATGAACGATTTGGTGTTTGCAAGTTTGGCGTTGCGTGCCTGTTTGACCATCCGGAAAATCTTAACTCGTTAAAATCTCAAGATTGGTCCTCTTCAAAGCCTGCATCTGATCATTATGGTGGATCTTAGGCGAATGATTAGGGGCTCAAGCTGATTTGAATTTGATGGGTTATGGGGTACGTGCTAAAGATCAAACCAGGTAGAATAATTTATGTTACCATTTTGGATTTCCTGACAAAACTGGAGTAACTTTAGTGCATGATAGACTGTTGATGGCTTACTTCGGATTTCTTGATATAGTCGTAGTATTTGCTACCAACCTAGCTGTAAGCTTATGGGGATTATATTTTGTTAAGAAAAAAGATACTCTACTTGGCAGTCCTTTAATTTATATTAGTGTTTTGACGAAAATATATGGGAAACAGCACTGTTTGTCATAATCTTCATAATCTTCATTACACATTATTCATTTAAGACATTTTCCGTTTCCTGTCACCATTTTAAAATATTCCATCCACACAACTGAAAGAAATAATTTCCAGCAACAGGCTCTTTACCAAGTACATATTTAGGAGTCCTGGATTTAACTTTGATATTGTAGTTAGTATCTGTGAATCGGCAGCGATTGGGGAGCTAGTGACATGCGTTTTCTTGGTATAATCACCTACGATTTTCATGAGACTATGAACCTATCGATACCTAGAGGAACTAGTTTCAAGATTCTAGTACAAAGATGTAGACAGCAGAAAAGAAGACAAGGGAAGAAGCCAGAAAAGTTGCATAAGCAATGTGAGAAGAGTGGCTAATATGTTTGGTCACCCTTTTTGTCCAAATACACAGTATTCTGATATTACAACACTATAGCTGCCATCGGTTTCATCAACTTTCAACTTCTCCACATAACATAATATTCATGGCTTCAAAAGCATTACCACTAGTCTTCTGCTTAGAAACAACAAAACCAGCTTTTCTGCAAAACCATGAAAGCAAAGTACAGCATCTCAGTTGTGTCATACGTCCAAGGGTTAGTTTTAAGTTTAGTTAGGAGGAGGAATCAAGGAAAAATGCATATGCATTAGTTAGTAGTAGAGTACCGTTGGGGAAGGGGGATGTTGTTGTTCCGCTCTGGCATCTGTCCGTCGTGGTGGATTATTGTCGTAGTTTTTCTGTCCAGGGGCCCCAGCGGCGGTTCCGGTGGCTTTCTTCTCATCCCTAGCCTTGGCGAAAATGACCGTAAATCCATCAGCCGACGCCGGATTGTTTACATCCCACTCACCAAATTTTGGCAAAGGCCGACCCTTGTCATGCTGCGTGGATTATTATTAGACAAAACATTGTGATTAGCCCTTGTGAATGACGATGGTGAAATTAAGAATGCAGGGCATGGCAATGTGAATTGATTGATATACATACATTCTTCTTTTTCCTCCCGCCTTATAGATTGAAAAGCAATTCATAGAGAGTATATTTGTTCACAAGAAATCAACATCAAAGGCATAATGTGATGTTGGGATCATATATGTCAATGACATGATCATGGAATTTTTTGAAACGATGGTCCCTGATAGTTGTCATCACAATTCGATAATGCAAAGATGCAGGGATGTTATGATTCAAACAATTGAAGATTCATGATTCATCCTATCAGTCAGTAAAGCAAACACAAACAATCAAATAAAATATGCAGAATGAATGGAATTGGAATACAATGATGCACAAAACTTACCGACATCTCAAGGCCAGATATTGTTGTGGAAGAGAGAGAGAGAGAGAGAAAGAAAGAGGGATAAGAAAGAAAGAAAGAAAGAAAGAGGAAGAGGAGGGAGGTGGAGGAGGAGGAAGGAGGAGAAGAACAAGAAAAGAAAAAACAAAGGGGGAGGAGGGGGAACGTGTGTTAGAGGACAGGAAGAGCCATTGCAAAAGAGGGAACGTAAAACAAACACCCTGGGAAATGAATTGAATTGAATCTCATTTTTGTCATCCATCCAGCTTGAATATATTTCTTTTAGTCAAACCTTTTATTTATTTACCTTTTTTTTTCTCTATTAAAAAAAGATAAATATCAACCCGGTTATATTATATATTATATTATATATATATTCTCATCTGTATACCATTTTAGCAGTCTATTTTTAGAAGCTAAATTAGCCACAGAATCTTAATTCAACACATCGTTATTACACAATCTCCAACAATTCTTCTACAACGTCAGCTCCAAACCTAAGCCAATAAACAACCAAAGCTCAACTCCCCGATCTCCAACCAACTGAAAATAAAATAAAAACTTCCAGTCTCACCGGGCTTACCACGCGACTAAGCGTTTACAACCAACGGTTTACAACTCGCCACATCACCCACTCCTGCGTTTATCCACGACGGCAATCACAGTTTGACTTGTCCACGGAAGTTAATCCCCACCTCTAATCAAAACATACATCTTTTATTTCCCAAATTACCCCCTCAAAACTCACAAAACATATAAAAGGCTGACCCCGTTCCCGTCATTCACCAAATTGGCGTTCCTTCAACACGCGCCCCCATTTCTCATCTTTTCATTTATCTTTCAGATTAGTCCCTTTTTTCTCCCCCTTTTGCCTGAATTTTGCTCTGTTCAACGCTTTCTCTTCCTTTCCCGAACAATCTCCTCCAATGGCGACTAGTTTGGTCCGACGAGCGTTTACAAGGGCTCAGTCATCGATTCCGGCCGCCAGGCTCGTCATAACCCGAGCCCATGCTTCGGAGGCTCAAGCCCAGAAGTCCGAACCCACGCGCACCCCGGGCACCAACATGAAGACCTTTCAAATCTACCGGTGGAACCCTAACAACCCCCAAAAGCCAGAGCTGAAAGATTACCAGATCGATCTCAAAGAGTGTGGCCCCATGGTCTTGGATGCCCTAATCAAGATCAAGAACGAGATTGATCCTACCCTTACCTTCCGGAGGTCCTGCAGGGAAGGGATCTGTGGGTCCTGCGCCATGAATATTGACGGCTGTAACGGCTTGGCTTGCTTGACCAAAATTGAATCGGATTCCACTCCCAGCACCATCACCCCGCTGCCCCACATGTTTGTGATTAAGGATTTGGTGGTGGATATGACCAATTTTTACAACCAGTATAAGTCGATTGAGCCCTGGCTGAAGAGGAAGTCGCCGCCGGAGGTTCCTGGTAAGGAAATCCTGCAGAGCAAGAGTGATAGAGCTAAGCTGGATGGGATGTACGAATGTATTCTTTGTGCCTGCTGTAGTACTTCCTGCCCTAGTTACTGGTGGAATCCTGAGAGTTATCTCGGCCCTGCTGCTCTCCTTCACGCCAACAGGTAATTTTGGATTGGTTTTTTTTCTTTGCTTAAGTAAGTTTTTATTAATATTAATAGGAGATTAGGGGGCGGCTTTTTAATAGGAGATTAGGGGACGGCTTTTTAACCTCGAGGTTATCTTTTGAGAATGATGAGTCATGGAAAAGTCCCATTATTACAGCATAAGAATCTAGTATTTGAATTTAACAACCTTTTATTGTCAAGTTGGATTCTTGTGTTCAAGTTGGTGGCTTTACATTGTTTGGACTTTGGATAGTGACATTAGAGATTCTTCAGATATTTTTCCCCTACTAGTAGTGTTGCTTTAAGGTTAGTCATAATGTAGGAAATTATTGAAAATTTTCCCTTTGGTGTGCGCATTTTTTCAGCAGACAATCAGATTCTTCAGATACTTTTCCGTGAATGTTGCCCTTTTGGATTCAATTTCATTTAGGGAATGAAAATTCATCCCGAAAAAAAAATAAATAAATAAATAAAAATCAATTTTAGGGTTGCAATATGTTGTAATGGATGTGCTGAGAACCAAATCAACGACTATGATTAGGCTTATGTTTCACTCATTTTAGAAAGGTTTTGCTTGGTATTGGCATTTCTCTTTGTGTACTGGATTATAAGGTTTTGCTTGGTATTGGCATTTCTCTTTGTGTACTGGATTATAAAGGTTTTGCTTGGTACTTGCACTTCTATGTGTACTGGATTATACTGCTCGTTTTAGAAAGTTTTTGCTTGTTACTGTTCTTCTTAAGAAAGACTGGTGTAGTCCTGGATTAACGTTTTACATCTTCTTTGCCTGTTCTGCATTAGCCTTTAACAGCTTCTTTGCCTGTTGGTTTGCCATAAATTTCAGATGGTCCTTGTCTCACTTGTTGTGATTCTTTCTGTTTCCGATGCAGATGGATCATGGATAGCCGAGATGAATACACCAAAGAGCGATTGGATGCAGTGAATGATGAGTTCAAGCTTTATCGATGCCATACGATTTTGAATTGTGCAAGGGCTTGCCCAAAGGGACTTAATCCAGGGAAGCAAATTCAGAATATCAAGAAACTGGAGCTGCTTGGTGCTTGAAATTTAGACATGTACAGTGTCTGTACTCCGATCTTTCCTGAGCCTATTCTTAAGAACTCGGCAGAGTTTATGAACAGAATAATTTATGCAGTGCTGATAATCTGCTCTGTTTTCTTACTACATAAACAGTGGGGTTTGGAACAAGCTTCCTGCACCCATTCATTTCATTGAACTTTATTTTTTTCCCCAATATGCTTTTTGCTCCCCTGTACCTGTAGATATCTTATCATGCAATGCAACTGATGAAGCCATTAACATTATAGTTTTTCATCTTTTCTTTTTGGGCATGTTAGACATGAAATCTGGAAGGTACTGTTAAATATTTCCAACAAGATCTTAATCTTCATTACTCTATCGGGCTCAGAGAAGTCATCTACTTGATTACTGGACTATTATTCTGGGACAGGAGTATTTAACTTGCACTTGATTTAATTTGACAATCCACCTTCCTGAAGGTTGTCCCATTTTTTCTTTTCCTAGCAAACTTGTACCCTGATTGAAGAAACCTCATAGTTTTATCATTTCTCTTAATACCAGGGAGTAGTATTTAGAAGAACCGAATGGTGTAGTATAATACCTGTCAAATGCGTTAAGACATTGGGGTCGTTCTGCAGATTCATTTATACCTCGAGAGGAAGCAGGAAGTTAATCGTGTTACACCTGTTTTCTTTTAACTAAATAAACAGAGGATGCAAAGTAAATTTTTCAACGGCATATTCTACATAACGGATGTGTCGGTATCACAAGTTCAATATGGTTCCTTTTTTTAATAATGGCACTGGAAAACACGCACATCCAACAATTTTAGTGTGAACCCACATTATATTCCTGGCAAGATATTCTAAGTTCCACAATGTTTGGTTTTGACATTCACGTCAAATGCACCAAGTTTATAGAACGTCTGAGAGCCTGCACAAGATCCTTATATAAGGTCAAGCTTTGTTGTAAAAACTCACACATCAAAAAGGCCAAAATAAAAAATAATCAAGAAGGCTAATGAAGAAGACCATAAGAGCTGTTCTTGTGTTCATGCTCATAGTTCAGGCACTCATTGTGGCAGTTCAAGCAAGCAAATCAAGACGGTTTCTCGAAAGTACTCAAGCACCTTCATATATTACTGTCCAAGGTAGGCAATCATTTCAACCTTATCTTTACTTCTTTCGAGTCAGATGAACGAGGAGTATGAAGATGAAAATTCAATAGTATGAGGTAAAGAACCAAAAAGTTCTCTTACTTTGTGTAGGTTGCAACAATGACTGCGACATAGCTTGTTGCTATTGTGACATCAGAAAACAGCCACCACTATGTATACAGTGCTGCAAAGAAAGGCATTAATTTGCAGGTATGTGTCCGTCTCTGATAAGTGGTGACACCTGCCATGACTAAACTTATGACATTGGCCATTCTGGAAGATCTAGAATCCTTACCTAGAAAATGAGTTTATTAAGCTTTTGATGAACGAACCTTCAGCTGCTATAAGAAGCACAAATGAAGCACAACTAATTAAATTTATAAGTAACAAACCCTGTTTGAAGTACCAAGCCTCAATCTTTGTTAATCCATGTGTGCAGGAAATATGCAATTCCTATGTTGCAAAACAACGTGACAAATATCGAGCACAATATCTTCCACGTTCAAAGATGCTAAGAGATTAAAAAAGGAAAAAAAGAAAAAGAAGCATTCCCTTTTAGGTCAGGATTCAAACAAAACTGCTGCAGGGTTCAGGAAGACAATTTTCAGGAGACTAAACTAAAACATTAGACTTCCCCTGTTGCCTTTTTCTGTCAGCTTAGGTCCCCAAATGGAGCACACAGAATAAAACACTTTGGCCAGATGGCACATTTTCTACAAGCAATATACTCGGAAACAAGCTATAACTACACATGAGTGGTAACAAAAGGGATGGCAATTGCACGAGCAAGGCCTCACCCTGTGAATCTGTAATCTGAATGCTTGCTGCCGGTCATCTCCAAGTATCACCAGTTTACAATTATAAAGTAGAAGTTAAGGAGGATGTTCAAATTCTCAATTCATTAATAAACAGAGTAACAGCGGTAGAAATATTGTTTTCAGAAGCTGTTAATTTGGCAAATTTTTCTATACCTCATACACTGCACAACTAACTACTTGTAATTGGCTACACTTAATCAAGAAGGAAGGGCCCTCATCTTGATGTTATCATTCTCCAATTTATTCGCTAAATAAAAAAACTTCCGTACATTCTACTTGCAAGTAGCATCACAAACATAATTTCATACAAACAACATTAGATGTCAACCTAAAGAACAAAACTAATCTTTTGGTAATGCGGACAACTATCTGATCATTTTCAAGCACAAATACCAACAAGTCAAGGTTCTGTTCTTTTGTCCGCTTTATTAGACAAAATGCTACAAGTTCCTGAACAATATGTAGCACTACGTGTGCAGGGTGTGCAGGTGTGGTGACAAAACACCAGCATACTAAAGAAATAAATAGAAAGCACCCTCTTCTAATACGTGAAACGCATACGCAACTCAGTTTTTCCGTGACAATCCAAGAAAAACAGCAGCAGATGAGATCTGAACTCTGAGATCTGCGATATCAACATCATGCCCACCTTCAACAAGACCCCAGCTATCTACCTGCAGGAATTAACGAGAGAGACAACATGAGAATGCAAAACATATCAAGAGGTTGATGCTGATCTAAAAACTGACGAGATTTTGAACCTGTAAATCTTCTTCCAGTCTAATAAGCTCAATGGCCTCATCAATACTCAGTCTACCACGCAACATTGCAATTGCAATGACTAAAGAATGAGCAGAAGCAGCAATAGCGTCAATCGCTGCCAATTCACAATCAGTAGTCCCTTTAAGTAAGCTCTCAATGGCAGTCACAAGACCATTTTCCTGTTTTCCTCCAAAGAAGCTTGAGTATACGACAGGCTTATATCCAAACTCTGATTGCAACCATTTAAGCAGAGGATCGATCTTCTCCACTTGACACTCTGCAATCAGATGCAAATTCAGGAAGTGCTACCATTTCGAACTTCCAGTAATTAATTGAATAACAAATAATGACCACACACATACCTAATACACCTCTAGTAAGATCATTGTCTCCTGGAGCTCTGCAGAAGACTAAATCCTGATTAAACTTCTTCATCAAATTCTCAAGAACTTTCACTCGAGTGAGGGGAACTCTTTCGAAAGCCGTGCATGCAAGTTTCATCAGAGGCATTGTAAAAGGCCTAATTCCATCCATTTGCTTCATCATCCAAACAACATCCAAACAGGACAGATCAATATTATGCTCATAAGGCCAAATTCCATATCGTCATAGCCAAAACATGGGGATTAATGAAACATTTCAAAAATGAATTACAGATTTCAAACTTTAGAAAAGCATCAGTTGCAAATGAAGTTCATAAAAAAAAAAAAAAAAGGTGTCCGCACCTGGTATTCCCATTCAGCTGCAATGGCCATGGCGAGAGAATGGGTTGGGCACTTGAGGGGCCTTTTGGAAGGGGTTTTCAGGGTTCTGTAATCAAGCATCACTGTCCAACCATTGCCATCGTCAGCCTGTCGGGTGGTCACCTTGTTGTAAAATCTCTTCCCCACAATTGATCCCGTCATAAAAGACATGGGCATGCTCACCGACTCCGATGGTGCCGAGGGATTGTTATTTTTCTTCACTGGCCCTTTCAGGTATATGGGATCTTCTTCATTCCTAGTACTCGACTGCGATTCCTCGGAGGAGGAGAAAGTGAAAGCCGGTGATGAAGAAGGGTCATCGTGTTCTTGAGGTTGGAACTTTCCGGCAGCGGCAGGACCGCTAAGCTGGCGGAGATTTGAAGTTATAGCTCTAAGGGTGAAGAAAGAGCTTAGGGCTTTGTGGGTTTTCCTCAGCACCGCGGGGGAAGGGGCCGCCATTTCTGTCCCCCTCGGTCTCTCTCTCTGGGTTTTCAGTCGTACCAACGTAACGAATGCTAGGCCGCCATTTCTGTTTCAGAGTTTCATATTGGGCCGGTTGGTGATATGATATTGATCAATTACTAAGCTAACCCGTGAGTAGTTGTTTCAGAAATGAGCTTTCTAGCCCCATTATTTATTCAAACAATTAAACTCAGCCCATAAATAATTTAAACCCATGATCTACTTATTTTTCTTGTAGTTCAAGAACCTCTGAATAAACAAACTTACGAATTTATCAACGCTTTTCTGTTCTTCTTTCAGATCAATCTCATAAATGAAAAATCTCCATAAATGTAATGGTATATTTCCAAAAAGGAGCTGGAAATAATGACGGATCAAGTGAGTTTCGTTGGTGTGATAACTAATCAAGGCGGAAATGGGCCAAGAGGAAGAAGAAGCCCAATACGGAGCTCAAGTATGGAGACGAAATGAAGTCCATATTCATTTTCAGATATACATGAGTTTGACCACATTTTTTCGCTTTGGGACTTGTACCTGCAAAGGGTCACAATCTTTCTTTTTTAGATTTCCCACAGTTTCATCAATGACTTCAGCATGTTCCCAAATTAGTATCATCCCAACGTTTTCAGTTTCGAATGTGGACCAGATTCCAAACTTCTCCGTTGTCCACTTCACCTGTATATAGTCGAACCGCCCTTTCACCAAATGAGAAGAAGCCCTTTTTCACATGGAATGGTAGAATCAAATACTATAATGAAATTTGTTGGTGTAGCCTGGTGCTTAAAGATTTTTATGCTTTTGGTTTGGTTTGGACTGAACTCGTACAGAGTAATCATCCATAATTAGTGATTACTTTTATCATACAAGTATATCCAGATATTTGGAAGGCGATTAGGAGTGGAGGAGGTATGGCGGCTTCCTGGCATTCAATTCCGCTGCAAGTGTTGTATAATGTATTGGGATGGGTTGCTTTTTGTTCTTGGTCCATCAGTTTCTACCCTCAAGTCATCTTGAATTTCAAAAGAAAGAGGTTCTAATTCGTACCCCTTCTCTTTAGCTCTCTGTTGGTTTAATGCTGCTAATGCTTAATTTGATTGTGGGCTGTTTTTTTTTTTTTTTCCCTCAGTGTGGTGGGCTTGAATTTCGATTTCGTGCTGTTGAATTTGACGAAGCACTCCTCGTATCTCATCTACAATGCTTCACTGTTCTTCAGTTCCGTTGTTCAGCGCCAGTACCGTCAAAAGTACGGCCTTGATCAGGTCAATATGGTTGAATTGAATTTCAGTTTTGTGCATCTTCTTTTCACAAATTTTCAGCTTTTGAGTTGGGAAATGTTTTCTGGTTTTTTTGTCTGGTGCAGATGATTCCAGTAGCTGCAAATGATGTAGCGTTCTCAATTCATGCTGTTCTTCTAACTGCATTCACTTTACTCCAGATTGTCATTTATGAAGTAAGTAAATAAGGATTCTTGTTGAAACGATTGTACTTCCTCGAGTGTTCTGTAATTTGACTTGCCATTGACGTAAATAAACTGATATTAGGAGTTTAATGACCGAATCTTCTCTAATTGACTTTTCCCTATGATGATTACTCGTCCTTCAATGCTGATTTGACTATTTATTGAAAACAGACAGTCCTGCACTTCCCTAAGTTATGTTTCAGTTTTCCCCTTTCCTTTATGTGAAAATTGATTAATGAAGAATGCCATTTGACATGGTTTGTTAGTTCATACTGAATTAAACCTTATGGTATCTATTACCCTTTTGCAGCGCGGACATCAAAAGGTTTCAAAACTTGCCGTTACAATTGTTGTGGTTGTTTGGCTAGCAGCCGCAGTATGTGTTTTCGTAGCACTTCCTCACCATAAGTGGCTTTGGCTTGCATCCTGCTTCAAGTAAGATGATGCTGTACCTTACTTTTTTTTACCTGTTCTCCTTTTAAGATAATTGGATTAGGTAGAAGTGGAACTGTTCTAGCTGTACTTTCTGTTTTGCTTCGTTAAACTGCTGTCTTTAATCCTTTTATTAAGATTTTTAGAGCAAGTATGATTTTTAATCGTGCTGTCATTTTTTTATCTGCAGCACTGTGCAAGTCGTCATGACAATCATAAAGTACATTCCTCAGGTTAGCTTCAGTTTGACATTTTTTTCCCTTTGGTGTTAATAAAAAAGTCTGCTATCAGATAACTTGCTAGAATCTTGTTTGTGTATATGTATGTACACACGTTTTCTCTGAACCTAGAGCTTCATGATGATATTGCCTTCTAGGTTGACTGATCTGTAGCCTTTTAAGTTTCCGAGTGATGCAACTAATGTCTTTTTTTTTCCAGGCTGTGATGAACTTTAAAAGGAAGAGTACTGTGGGTTTTAGCATTGGCAACATTCTGCTTGATTTTCTTGGAGGTGTGACAAACTATGCACAAATGACTGTGCAATCTATAGATCAAAGTGAGTATATTATCTCTAAAAGTTTGCAGAAAGCTTCTTCTTGTTGTTGTGGTTGCAAAAGTTCTCTGGTTTAGTGGCTTACTGCCGTTTTCAATTGATGTAGAGTCCTGGGTAAACTTTTATGGAAACATAGGCAAGACTCTGCTATCCCTGGTATGAACTTTCTCCCTGTGCTCTGCTTCATTCCAGGGTTATTTAGACCTTGATTTTCCAGGGTTATGTGTGTCACTGGCAGACTTTTGTCTCTATTGCCTTCTTCCTCTCCTGATTCTTCTTTTTTCTATCGAAAAAATAAAAACTTGATGCAGGTGTCAATTTTCTTCGACATTCTCTTCATGTTGCAACATTATGTATTCTACCCATCAAAGAAGAAGGATGTTCCTCCTAATGCTGATGATGTGGTAAGCCAGGAGGCATTACTTGGGTCACCTGTAAACTAACATCCAAATAACTTCTGATGATGCATAAATCCCTGTTCCTTCCCTCAACCCCGTGTGCCTAATTTCCTCCTTTTGGTAGAATATGTTTCTTTCTTGAATTTATTTTGGCTAAATTGTACATACAATGGAAAAACAGAAGAAGAGCATGTATTTTGTGCAGAAGAACAATTGTCTACCTACTGACTTCATTTTGTACTCCATCAAGTGGATAAAAGAGGAAACATGCGTAACCAGATTGACATATAGAAACAGAAGACGGAGTTACTCAACTTTCATTATCTTATTTATTTAATGTAGGTTCTGGAGGAGAAGTCCAGGGATATTGAACGAAACTGATGGGATCCTTCCATCCAGGGAATAGCACTAAGATGATATATATGATCAGTAGTTCCTCTCATGGTGGACTAGTTTGTCCCCTGAACAAAGAAGTTATAAATGAAATTGACATGGTTTTCTTCGGCTGATGAGAGGATGCCTGTTTTGTCGCAAAACAGACAGCTATGGTGTTTAAATATAAAAAAGCCTTGTCTTAGGGACATAGTACAATTACAATTACCGTCCCCAAATTAACATCAACAAAACAATGCAAACATTTCTTCAGCAAGGTAACTTGCTTGATCTTCTTGTTTTCCAGACTGATCAATCCACATTTAACTAATAACAAGTCCATGCCTCGGTTACTGTCTTGTCAAAATTTATCTTTTCTGTGGAATCTAAAGCAACTTGAAGAGGCATAAAAAGTCGGCAGATGGTCTGAAAGAGACCATGTATTAATAATTACGTAGCCTCAGGCCACCATTGCAAAAGGGCAAGCAGTGCAAATGCGCCAAACATTGAATCTGCAGAAGGGCAAACATTTAAATGTACCAAACAATTGAATCTGAGAAGGGAACAATCAAGTACCTGCGGAAGCAAAGAAGACATGAACATAAGTAAACAACAACCAAACAAGGCTGTTTGGAAGTGTACTTGAGATTCAAAACTGGCAACCTAAGAAACATTCTTATTGTCAAGTGAAAGACCAGTAAATGTATTACACATGGAAGTATAAAACCAGCCATAAGGATGTTCTTCTCATTTCACTTAAAAAAATAACATAAGAAAGGGGCATTTTCTGGTTAATCAAACACAAGGGGAGCAGGGCCCTAAAATCCTGGCCATATGGGATGTCAGCGAACAATTTAAGAGACTGACATCTAGCTCATCCCCTCAAGACACACAATCCACAATTGTCACAGTAGGATACATACATAGTGAACATTCGACAAGTGGTATTTATATGAAATAGTGCGTCTGCACACAGTCACCTGACTAAATGAAACATTAATATTTTTCCTTTCTTTATGAAAAACCCGCAGTTTACAAATCACAGAAGCTTATTATTTAGAAAAGAAAAATTACAACTTAACAAGTGGTACTGGCATTTTTTAATCAGATGAGAAGGCACGCAGCTTACACTATTAAACTGATCACCTAAAGTTTTTATCCTATTTGATGTCTACATCCTCAAAGATAATTGGATACATCTAACCAAATAAGTGATTGAGAACCAGACATTAAATGCAGAAGCAGTAGTCAAGTAGCACAACAGACTAAGGAGCAATATGGATATGGTAAACCCTGCAAGATGTCAGCTACTGTAGTGTCATATGTATTATACACACAGTAAAAATCTTAAAACACTCAAATTGTTCTTTCACTCTTAGTGCAGCAGAACTTGTTCACAAACACTCAAAATGTGCAGCTAGAAGATTTGTAGCATAAATTTAGGCCTGAGAAGTTTTAAATGGTGTACCAATATTGTCTAGAATAATGTACCTTAATCAAGAAATAGAATCAGGATTCTGTTTGTAGACGTAAGAGCCATCTATCTCCACGCAGGGAATGTCAGCAATCATCTGCCAATATTCACCTTTATCTTTCATGCATCGACCTTTCAGTTCCTTACAATTGCTAATCTCAAGATGCCAAAGTCCGTCGAGTATACCTTTGCAAGGCAGGGTCTGAAGTTTAGGACAGTTCATGACAGAGAGATGTTGCAGGGAGGTTAACGTATCAAGAACTTTTGAGAGATATTTGAGACTTGGAAATCTTGCAAGAGAAAATCTTGCTATTGATGAAGGAAAGAGGTGGTCATCATCACCAAATGACTCCTGCTTTGGAAATCCACCACAGATGGAGAAGTCTTGAAGACATGTGAGCCTGTCAAGTTGCCATTCAGGCAGGGGCTTGAGTTTTCTTGAGTCCCAGATCCGAAGTGAAGTTAGACTTGAAGGCAAGTCACCTTTGGGAAAAGTCTCGAGCTTTGGGCAACTTCTGATTTCCAATGAAACAAGAGATGAAATTCGGTGAATCTGGGAGGGTGTAGATTTGAGTTGTGGACAATATTCAATAGAAAGGATCCTCAGATTTGGTGTGGGCAATCCTTGCTCTGGAAAAGACTCCAAGGTTTCACACTGAGATACGTATAGTTCAGCTAGTAGGGAGAAACGGTGTATGCACTGAAGTAAAGTACCAACATTTTCCCAATTCGAAACATGAAGTTCTTCAAGAGACATAACTTTGTTCGGCTCAAAACTTTCCTCTGAAACTGAATCTAGATGCTCAACATTTTTTATGACAATTTTCTTGAATGTACTTGGAAAGTTTTCTGCTGACCAGGCTCTCAATGAGGAGCAATCTCTGAGCTCTAACCTTTCCAGATTAGACAAGCCATTTGGAAGGGAATTTAGGGCATTGCATCCTTGTATCTCGAGGCGTCGAAGCATAGGCGGGATACCAGTATCTGGGATAATCACCAGTTTTGGGCAATATTTGACGATTATCTCCTTCAAGGAATTCAGCTTACTCAGTTCCACAGGCAAGGAATTCAAACTTGCACAACGAAATATTTCCAGGACTTCAAGATTAGTTGGCAGTGGTTGATCCACATTTCCCAAGGAGACAATACTTGTACAGTCTGCTATGACCAGCCGTTTTAGGCATGTAAGACTCTGTGTGGACAAACCATTTCCCCACAATACGATCATTTCTTCGCAGTTACAAATTTCTAAGGCTTCAAGCTTTTGAGCATATTGCATAAATTCTCTTGAAAGACATGACAACCCTGTAACTGATTCTACCTTCAAATACGTTAGTGAGGTCATATGATTGAAACTATTTAGTATCCCTTTGTTGCATTCTTGAAGATCTAATCCATGAAGAAGAGGAAGACTCAAAGATGAGACTCTCTCCAGTTTCTGACACTTATACATGGTAAGCTGATGAAGATGAGGGAACTGAAATTCAAGCTTCTGATATCCAGTACCACAAAACCATTCCTCCCACTCAGGCATGCACTCAAACCTCAAAGTCTCCAGACATGGAAATGGACGTTCCAGAGGATAATTAAACATGAAAAACTCATCTCCAATGCGTTTAACACCTGGCATGCCACCGATTCTTAGGTGTTTAAGCTTCGGGAGCTGTCCGAGAGGTGGTAGAGATGTGCATTTAGCACAATTAGTGAGGCTTATGCTGTCTAGTTTAAGGAACAGTGGATCACCAATCCAAGTAGGAAACTTCATGCCTCCAAAATAATCAACCTTTAGTGTTTGCAAGTTTCTATGAGGTTGTAGCTTTTCAAGCACAGTGAATTCCAGGATTTCATCTCGAGAATCACCTCTACTGTCACTCCAGATCAACTGTACTTCGCTGAGGCCTGTCTTTTGCTCTAAATTTGCCTCTTTTGCTTCCTGGATACTGGCTACATTGTGCAATTCAACGATGCTAACTACACCTTGCAAAAGGGTAAGGTTCTTCAATTCAGATAGGCACAACCCACCATATTCCCCCACAACTATCTTTGGTAAAGTCTGTAAACTTTCCAACTTACCTATTCCCACAGGCATTTCCTTCAGCTGATCAGTGTTAGCATTGTCCAGATGGCGAAGGTTCACCAAGTCTCCTAGAGTTTCTGGAAGCTTAGTGATAATGCGGCAGTTTCTCAATGATAACGATTGCAAATTGTAAAGATTCCCAAGAGTTTCAGGCAATGATGTGATTGCTGTGCCAGAGAGATTGAGGTATCTAAGATGTATCAAGCTGCATATGGAGCTTGGTAGCTCACTTATTGAATAACCGCTTAAAGATAGAACCCTTAAGCATTGCAATCTAGGCAACAAGCGAAGTAAAATTATGTTTGACAGATAGAAAGGAGGCCAGACATGCACATTCTGCACTGGCATTGGGATGAATGCTCTTAAGCCTTGAACTTTTTGCAAAGCCTGAAACTTTTTGTAGACTTCATATTCATGACGAAGGAAAGAAGCATGGCGAGTATAGTCGGAGAGTTTGTCAGGCTTGTATACAACTTTGTCATCCAGTCTACGGCACATCCCGCCAGCAACAAATTGTGCCAAATCATTGATGAGATCATGCATAACAAAACAAGAGTCGCTTCTACTAACGCATTGGAAAAATGACCTGGATTCTAGCTCTTTGAAACATTCAAAACCAAACTCTTCTATTGTTTTCCTCCCATTTGGTTGGTGCAGAAAACCTTCCCCCATCCAGAGCAATACCAATTCATACCTATCAAACTCATAGTCTTTTGGGAAAATGGAACAATATGCAAACAGTTGTTTCAAATGAGAAGGAAGGTGGTAATAACTCAATCTTAGAACTGGAAGAATCTTGGCTTCTTTAGGCAAATCCCATAATTTGCTAGACAGAACATCTTCCCATTCACTAGGACTCATTTTAGAGCGCAAGATGCCTCCTAGGGCCTTTGTTGCCAAAGGCAAGCCTCCACATTTATCTGCCAATTTCTCACCTAACTCTTTGAGATTAGGATGAGCATCGAAATCTCTTTCTCCCAAGGCATGTTGAGCTAATAGAGAAAGACATTCACGAGCCTTTAATGTGTTCATAACGTAAGGTAGAATAGATTTAGAACGCACCATATTTGCAACGGTAATGTGGCGTGTTGTGACAATAATTTTACTTCTAGTTAGTCCTACTAGAAAAGGACGACGCAAGAGATCCCAGCTGTGATACTCCTCATTCCATACATCATCCAGAATAAGAAGAAACTTTTCCTTGGAGAGTCTCTCCTGTAAAGTCACTTGAAGCGTATTCAAATCCTTAGATTCACCACTAGTTTGTGTCACAGCCTCAAAAATAGTCTTTGTAACAGTGGTTACATCAAATTCTTCGGAAACACACACCCAAGCTTTAAGACTAAAGAATTCCTTAACAGTTTCATCATTATAAACAAGCTGTGCAAGAGTGGTTTTGCCAATGCCATCCAAACCAACAATGGGAATCACAGAAACATTGTCCGGTACTGTTTCTCTGGATTCAAACACCATTTTCAAAATTTCTTCTCTATCTTGGTACCGACCATATACATGAGGTTCCACCAAGGAAGTAGTGGGCATTCTCCTCTCTGATCTATTGGATGTGCCTCCATTTCCGTCATGAAGGTTCAAATTGAAATCATTCTGTTGTTTCACAATGACATCTAACCTAGAATTAATGTCGTCTATTTTGGATGCAATTCTTGAATTGAACATAATGGAACGAGGTGTGAAATTCTGACAAGTGTTGATGAGTTTTATGAACTTACTTTTTCTGGGGTGATCAGGTTCCAGCAAATTCTGACGAAGAGCTTCGGTTGTTATCTCGTCAAGAACATCATCCAAGTCATAAGCCGATTTCTCAAAGACTCCAACCACAACTTTATGGGGTTGCCTGTGAGTTGCTTGTCCTCAGCATCAAGGATCACCGCCTGAATCCACTCCAAAGCTTTGCTCCATTTCTTCAGCTGGGATCGAATACCCTTTTGTCTGGCAAAGGTCTGCAACGCTGCGGTGGCCAACTTGTCGAACAAGACTTGGAGAAACGGTGACAGAAAGAGCTCCGCCACCGGCATTTTCCCTGTCCCTGATGGAAAATAAGTTGACAGGGAAAAAAAAAAAAAAGCTTAAAACTAGAGGGGAATTGGTTTGCAGATGAGAGTTTGATAGCAGATGATTAAGGGAATTGGTTCGTAAATGAGAGTTTGATTGCAAATGATTAAAGCAGGCAGCAATGATTGGGTGAGTTGGGGTTTATTTATTGCTCAAGGTCTGAAATGGAGTTGACTTGAGCCAACAGGCAACGAAGTGTAGTTTCGGTAGCAAAATAATACTAGTAAACCAAATACTGCCAATTTCTTTGTTTCAAGTAACCAAGAACGAGGGGATTTGTTCAACAATTGCAGCATAATAAGGATTTAGGGATCTTAGGTTTAAAAATCTGATACAAAGAAGCATAATTCATGAGATTTTAGCATGTTTTAACTTTTTCACCAACGGAATAAGATTTTCCAGAAAAGCGCACGTTGAGTAGTTTCGATTTGATATAGACAAGAATGGTTTATTTAAAAATTTTGGCTCCCGCGGGTTTTTGAATTAATAATTTCCTGTCAATCAACAGATAGGGAACATTCTTCAGCAACGTGGCTCGTCTTCCAGACAGCTATGGATGCACGTTACAAAAAGAGCATGTCCAAAGTCTATGATTCCTTTTTTCTTCTTTATAAAAAATAAAAACAAATCCGACCCTCAACATTCAGCTGGTAGCATTTTCTATGTGTTTTAAAGCAACTTTGAACTTGAAGAGGGCATCAAAATGGCACTACAAGCCGGTGATATGAAGTTCATCCACGTAATCATGACCGTCACCTTGGACACCAGTAAGATTGAGGAAACCATCTAGCTAACACATACTCTTTGAACTTGACGATTAATGCAAACACACCAAAGCATGGAATATGCAGAAAGGCCACAATCAAGTACCTGTGGACGCAAAGCAGACATGAGCGAGCATAACTAAACAAGAAGACGACCAGCCAGTTTAAAGCTTAAGGTTGTACTAGGTTCAAAACTGGCAGAAGAAACACAAGTGTTGTCACGGGAACAATTTCTGAGGCCAAAGAACCATGTAATATGGTGCCCTTATCTACGAGGAATTGTTTGATCAACTCGACGAGAGAAGTCAGGATTCTGAAGCAAGATAGATATAGTACAACTAAAGTGGCAAGCATACTCGACATCCTAAAGGCAAAAATAAATTGACTGCATTCTCAAGATTGAATTAGAAATCAAATACTCTACGACAATGAATATTCAAATATAACTTACCATAATGGTGCGAATGGCCTGGACAGGTCAAGAAAAGGATATGGCCACCTAAAGACAGCAGACATTACAAAGAATCAACTTTAGAAAGCTACTCAGGAGGCAAGATAAAAGATGAAAAGAAACTACTTACCAGAATGGTACAAAAGCATGAATGGTCCACTCAACGATGACATAACTACCAGTCCACAATATAAAGTAAGATATCCGGAACCACGGAAAATTCTGAAAATGGATTTCAATATGATTAGAAAAGAAAAGGAGGTGGTGTCAAAACAACACATTCAGCAAAAAGAATGAAGCATTAGTTACCAAGGAATTCAAAGCTGCATCCCCGAAAAGCAAGATTGCATTAAGCGAATGCGCCACAACTGTCAACTGACAAAGAAGGAAACAATTATTGTCAGATGATAGGATAAAGTATTAAGAACAAATACAAGCAGAAGAAATAAAAAAACTCATTGCAAGAGTCTGCCAGCTAATGAATGCCTTGTACAGTAGAACATCGATAAATTAATAATTTTCTTCGGTCCCAAGTCAGGACCAGTACAAAAAACAAATACAATCGATAAAATAATAAGATAATAATTTTCCAAAAAATTCCTATGTAAATATAGGTCCCATCAATATCGTAAATTAATAATGACTTGAAATAAAAAATTAAAAAAAAAAAATGAGCTAGTAAAATATGAATCTAGCGATGTTTGTTTTTCTTGAGATTTATATCTAAAGAAATTGTAGATGTTATGAACTTTTTGCATCATGTATCCAGCCATTGATGAGAGTTTAAAGATTTCTCATAAAAAAGATCAAATCTCTTTTAATAGAGGCATGTTATAAAAGAATATAAATTTTATACGGCTAAGCTTAAAAGATTAATAGGATTCTTTGGGATTTTATTTAAATTGATATTATTAGTTTGTCGATAAATTAATAATTATTAATTTATCGATAAATTAATAATTTTTTGGAGTCCTAACAGTATTAATTTATATATGTTTAACTGTATCCTTTTATGCAGAAGCACATAATTTACACAATCAGACTGATAATCTGAAAAAATTATCCAAACCTTAAATCAATTATACCACAGTAACCTATTACTGCCTCATAAAAAGATGGACTTAACCAAAGAGGTGATTGACAAACAGACATTAAATGCAGAAACCATAGCCATGTAGCACAACAGACTAACAGACACCATGGATATGGTCAAATCAGTAAGGTGTCAAGCTACTGTCACATATGTAAACCCCACGGTAAAAAGATTAAACATTGCTTTAGAACCTATTAAAAAATAAAAAAAATAATAATAAAAATAAAATAAAAACTTACAAAACTCATCTCGTAGTTTTTTATGTTGATGAACGGGAATATTACAAACCAGTAAACGGAATCAGTAAGCATCACTGCCCCAGCGGTCATCTGCGTGAAAAAGTTGCTTATTGATACAAACAAAATCTATCGTTCAAACATTCCAAAATAACAATATTTCTGCTGCATACGTTAAATAAACATCACACACTTAAGAGAGGACCATATCATAAAGGGTGCCCTATTATAAATTGGCCTAAATGACTTCAAAAGAAAGGAATAAGACATTTTATTCACAGCCAATGCCAGTGAGCACTAATCCATTGAAACTCATTCGGAAATTTATAAACAGTAAAGGAGTGCCACAGTTGTAATTTGGCCATTTAAGACACTCTTAAGTACCGAAATGTTCAATATTAAGTATTGACTTTCTTTTGCGAATCAGAATATCATGATGTGCTAGCCATTCATCAAGAGGCCATATCTCAGGCATCGTTGTTGCTTATTTTGGTTCCAATTGAATCTTTCATTGCCAAGTAAAGTTTCCATACTTGCCCCTCCGACAACATAGAAAATAGATACATAACATGGATAGACAGAGATGAAAATCTAAGCAAGTCCAAAAGATTTTAGTAGAGTGAAAAAAAAAAAAATTAAATGATAAGTAACCCTATACTAAAAAAATCTTCAAGAAAACAGTATCTCAGGCCTCTATAGCTACTAATCATAATGATCCTTTGGTTCATATAGTCTATCCTATAATGGTAGGAAGACAAATAAGATACGATAACTTACCTGGAATAAGATCTGAAATATGCAACTCAGGAAACCAGCACAGTGTGGGTCAGAAACCTTCCTCTTCCCACCTAACCTTTCCACCGTGTTTCCATTTGTAGCCCCTTCGCTAACAAGTGGCCCGTACAAACCTTTTTCTGTGTCTTCACCATAAAACTTACTCTGCCCAAAGGCATTTCGGTTATGTTGACAGCATCCATACAATGATAACAGAGATCCAAGCTGCAAAGAAACTTGAGAAGATAAGGTCAGACACTGCTTCTTGTTCATAGGATTATATACATCCAGACAATGATAACAGGGATGAAAATGCATACCCCAAAATAGACGGTAACCAACGTAAAAGTCCACCTGCACAAAAGCAAAATAATCACAAATCCTGGTTAGACGACAGAGTGGATCGAAGGTTTAGAAGAAACAAACAGTATTTAAATCCAAAAAATAATAGTCAATCCAATTATTTCCGCCGGTTTTTACCCGCTAAAAGCAGTTCAAATCCAACAGTTCATTGCAGAGTAGTTTGTTTAGCTGACCCAAGAGACGGATATGACTTACTGAGTATAATAATGAAACAAAGCAGCTCCATGTGCTGCAACGTCAAAACTAAGGGCAACCAAGAGTAGACAAAATGAAATTAGCCGATACAACAACAAAAGACTTGCGGGAATTGCTTCTATACATGGTTTCCAACACGCATCATCATCGGACAAGATTCTGGATCTCTGGTCACGTAGAGGCTCAGTGTCAGATTCTGAATGTTTTGTCGGACGTTCATATTTCCATAATATATATATTGCAACTAACATGGGGGTCAAGACCCATAATGAGCAGAGCAAGGCCCTCCAATTTAACCAGTAACTCAGGCTTGTAGTATCCTCAATCATTAGCAGCGGCATTCTGTCAGAGAAAAAACATTAGTTTTTCTATTCCGACCATTATTGATCGAGGAACAAAAGCTAAGATTAAATAAAGCATATAGCCAGTTTAACCAAGAAAATATATTCGATGTATAGACCTTTGAACACATAGCCTATAATCAACTGAACCAGCGGCAAATCAGTAGTCTGCAATACATGTACAAACAATTCCTATCTGATCTTTTTCTCCTTTATAATTACTCTCCTTCCCAAAATATTGTCCAGCCTCGATTTTCGCAATAGTACACTTGGTACTAAAAATAAAAAAACCAAACCGGACAATCATTTCGAGGGAGTATATAACTCTTCTTCAACGTCAATTCAAACTACACTAGTTTCACAAAAGGCATCCAGCAACCAATTTAACTTCTTGATCAATACGACGAACACAGTTCAACTTATAGTAAAATATACTTTAAACAGTCCAACATGAAAACCTAGAATCGCCACACATTTATACCGCATTGATCTCACAAACAAATTAAAGTAACATCGATTTTGCAGCTAAACGCTACAAATTCACAACTCAAACACAAACGCCGAATCCAAGCATCAAATTCAACGGAACTAATAAGTAAGATAATCGGATTAATAACAGCAATGTTCAACAACTTATCTGAAACTATAAAAAAATCCAGGAAAGTCCCAATATTCAGGTGTGCAAAGAAATTTAAAATGAGAAACAGAAATAAATAAGAGGAAAGAAGACGCTAACATTCACTTGGGGCGAAGACGAGGAAGAGCTGAATCCGAAGCCTGAATGAACAAACTTCCAAGATGGAATGGGATGGAAACGAAACGAAAACAATGCCGGGATTCACTTGGCTTCCATTTTTTTCTTTTCCCGACGGCTATTGCTTTTGGATTTGGGGGGGCCTTTCACAACTGCTGACTTGGACGCACTTTGTGGAAGATACGAGCCCAGTATGTATTAAAAAAAAAAATTATTCTCCTCTCTAAGTTATTATCCATGCTACTCGACACGTGTGCCTATAATAAATACATCAGCAATTCAGCACACGGTGTATTATACCAACCAAAAAAAACAAAAAGGATTTGTGGATTTACGTATTTCAGAAAATTGTCAATACTCCTTTGCCAAATGTTTCTAGAGAAGACAGAAAATGAAACTCCACCTATTCATTAAATTTTTTTAATTTTTAAAATTGAACTATCAGTGAGAGGATTAATGATTGACGGTTTTCAAATAAATTTTTATCATTCGATAATTTAAGCAGTCAGAAATTCTTTTTTTTTTTTTTATATCTTTCGGAAAAATAGATGGTTGGAGTAAAACTTTCTGTCATTCGATAATTTTGAGCCACCAGAAATTCAAAGTTTTCTACTGGTATCTTTCAAAAGTAGGAGTATAACAAACATTTTGTGCTCATCATTTTCCCTTGTTGTTCATTGGATAATTAGTCGGGCCTAGTACTTCGTCTATGTCTTAATTTGACAATAACGTATGGGCCTGCAAATTTGTCATAATCCGTACGAGATCCAGTCTGTGCTCTTATGGACATTGTAGGCTGTAATCTTACTCCTTTCATTTTCCTTTTTCAAAATGTAAAAGGAAAATTGGTAAGGCAGTAAGGTATTCTGGTTCCTTAAATGAGTTCTCGGGTTTGAGTATCGTGAATGGAAAAAATAATGTTGGAAGAGCTTTCCCTCTGAAAGGAGATCGACCTGACTCGGTTCGAATTAGTCTAAATGCAATACACTTATGACACTTTGCGCAATATGAAAAAAAAAATGGAAAAGAAAAAACTCAAGGCAAGAAATAGTACAGCGTAAATTCTGTAGGAACAGCATTTTTGCATTATATTGGTGGGCAATATAAAGCATCAAAGATTTTTCCGTTCGGTACAAATTGATCAAAGTTTTTACAGTTAGTATCCAATGCAATGAAATGAAGAATCAAACACGGCTATGTATTTCAACTTTTTTTAATAGTACTATAAGAAAATTTTATATTTCCTCTGTTCTAATATAATTATATTTTTTAAGAAAAATGGTTGCCATGTCTCAAAATATATTTTAAAAGTAAAAATGTAAACAGAACAAATCATTTTGAAACGTAAAGACTATATTATATTACTTGGAATCCTTAAACCATTTACTGGGAAAACGATTGTACTAACTATGATTGGACTACCTTAAATGATCAAAGTCTTAAGAGTAAGTATCCGATGCAACACACCTTAAATCTATTCCTATTTTGGACTAGATTTATCGTATGACTAGTAGATATATAAATATGAACTATTTTAGGTTTTTAAATAATCCAATATAGCGTATTCTGTAGTTCGCTGCAATATCTTACAAAACAATTATGCATGAACCTTTTTGTGAAGGGACAACACATAGTTTAAAGTTTGAAGGTAAATTCCAGGCGCTGGACTGGTTTCCCATTAAGTGCTATCTGTATAGGATGCATCAAACGTGATCTTCTTTCTGGATTCAAAAGGGGATTCAGTGATGGCTCTGCTATCTCTAAACACCGCCTAGACATTATATTTGAGATTAAAGATTCAAAATGAAGTTTGGAGGTCTAAAATAATGGTAGAATAGAACAAGAAATTACTAATAATTCGAGAAATGTAATTTATATTATGGTCCCGCCATATCAAAATCCTCAGATCTCAATTATTAACTATATATGGCTTACAAGTGGCAGGACACTGTTGGTGGTTTAAGGTTTTTTCCTTTTCCTTTTCCTTTCTTCGGAGAAAATAAAAAAAAATTTCCCAACCGCCAATATTTGGCAACCATACAACGTTACAGTCTCACAGTCACAGAGCTGAAGCACACTCCCATCAGCTTCCCTAGCACCTCCAAAAAATGGAGAGCTGCCATGTTTTATTGGCTGTCTCTCCTCTCCTAAAACCTTCCATCCTTACAGTTAAAGCAAATTCTCAATCCTTCAACAGTGGCGCCGCCCTGAGATGCCATTCTTTTCTAGATTTGAAGTCTTCTCGTCAATCTGACCACAAATTCCAGAGGAAATTTTTACCCTTTCATGGAAGATGTAATAATAATACTGGTTCTTCAGGCATAAGGGATTTCAGGGTAAGAGCAACCGCGGTTCCTGACAATAATGCCGGAAACTCGGCAAAGACAGCTGAGATTTTGAACACTTTGCAGCTTGGATCCATGTTTGTTGTGTGGTATTTGTTGAATATATACTTCAACATTTACAATAAACAGGTTTTTTAGTTCATCTTTTTTTTTTTTTTTTTGGTTTGACTATTGAAAATAGTCTATTCAGATTTCAGAGTGGTGAAATATGCAGGTTTTGAAAGTTTTTCCATATCCAGCAACAGTCTCAGCCTTCCAATTTGGCTGTGGAACCGTGCTTATACTTCTAATGTGGTCATTTAATCTCCACCCAAAGCCAAAGATTACTAAATCTCAGGTTAACTAGGCCTTCCTTTTTTCTGCGTTTCAGCTTTACTGTTAGTACATCTGACTGAAAGAACCTATTAACTCTTTTTCTTGTCTTTCACAAATCCAGTTTACATCTATCTCGCTGCTGGCTTTGGGGCACACAGTGGGAAACCTTCTCACAAATATAAGTCTGGGAAAAGTGGCCGTTTCCTTCACTCATACCATCAAAGCTATGGAGCCTTTCTTTACTGTAGTTCTTGCTGTTCTGTTCCTCCGGGAGGTAAACATCTTAATTAGCTGCTTCATCTATTTTGACTTCTGATGTAGGCGCCGTTCGAGGTATCGATCTATCTGTTGCCTAAGTTAACAGGACGACACCATGATGCTTAATTTTGAAACTGTTCTCTGCTAGATTTGCATTACATAAATCATAAATGAATGCTTCTTTTTTTTTTTTTTTCCTTTTTCCTGGATCAGCCATTGTCTGATTCGAGAATTAAATTTGGGTTTGATCCATCTTACTTAAAATAGTTAATCGAATTCTTGAATGAATGCAGAGGCCGTCTTTTTGGGTGGTAGCTTCGTTGGTGCCTATTGTTGGAGGAGTGGCATTGGCATCATTTACTGAAGCTTCTTTTAATTGGTATGACTGGTAAATGATACATATTCTGCTCAGCTCGCATTTTGGCTCCTCAATATAACTCCTGATTTCTGTTGAACGAATGTACAAAAAAAAAAACAGGATAGGTTTTGGAAGTGCAATGGCTTCAAACCTAACCAATCAATCACGAAATGTTTACAGCAAAGTGATCATGTCTAAGGAAGAGGTAACGGTCTCCTGGGAATTCAGTTTTGTGTTCATTTCCATTGACTTATCATGTACGCTGATAGTTGACAACTTGTAATGGCCGATGGCCCGATGCCATTGAGATTTATGTTCAATTCTTAAGCACATTTATGTTTAACTCGGAGAAATCCCAATAACGAGCAGGCTTTCTCAACAGGAAACTTTGGATAACATCAATCTGTTCTCCGTTATGACCATCTTTTCGTTTATCCTTCTGGTGCCCATTGCTGTGTTGATTGATGGGATCAAGCTTAGCCCTTCTTATCTTCAATACGCCGTAAGCACAACAGAGTTACATATCTTGATGACTCGAAGTCAACACCGGTCACCACTCTCCCTTATTTTCTTCGTGTGTGTGTGTGCAGGCAAGCCAGGGATTGAATATTAGAGAATTTTGGGTGAGATCTCTTCTAGCTGGTTTCTGTTTCCATACTTACCAACAGGTAAAAAAATTCCGGATAATATTCCCTTATAATGAACCAAAGTGTATGTTCTATTAGTACTTCTGTAATAAATAGGCTCTGAAGTTCTATCTTGCATTGGCAGGTTTCATACTCGATACTTCAAAAGGTCTCCCCAGTAACTCATTCAGTAGGCAACAGCTTCAAGAGAGTGGTAGTCATTGTGTCGTCAGTAATCTTCTTCCAGACACCCGTTTCGCCAGTTAATGCCCTTGGTATCTACCCTTTTTCTCACTAATTTCTTCCCTACTCTTTTAGTTCTATTTTCTGTTCAAGAAAATCGTACTTTTCTGTCTGCTTTAAACGGCCTGGAGAAATAGTACTCCCTCCGTTCCATAATTATTGTCCAGTTTGAGTTTTCATTTTTAGTTCAAATTGTATTGAAAGTGAAATCTCAAACTGGACAATAATTTTGGAACAAAAAGAATAATATTTATGAGCATCATCTGATCTGCGAATAAATGGTCGATTACAGGAACTGGTATCGCTCTTGCCGGAGTTTTCCTATACTCACAAGCAAAGCGGATGAAACGAAAGACAAAGGATGCGTGAACCATTTACACTTCACAATATAATGCAATAATTTCTCAAATTCAAGACCGGAGACTGGAGAGCAACAAAGGCCTACACCAAAGGTTGTAGGAGGAATTTTCAACACTTGTAAATTACCTCGGGAAACTACTGATAACAGAGAGGAGCATTGGTTTTACAAACATAAAATAAAACTAGAATACTTGCCCGGTCCTAATACCCAGAATTAAGTTTAGAAACGGCACTACAGCCATTCATTTACATGTAACAAAACTTATATAGGAGTTGTTCACAGGTACATATACCCTTAACAGTATCGCAATATACCTGCCTTCAACACTACCCTATTATAAACGGCACTTACATTGTAATAATAAGTTAGATCCTCGTCAAATGGATCTGATTACCTAGGTTCATAATATGGACAACCCATCTTGTAACTCTTCTTCAATTCAAAAAGAAAACTCGCCATGAGCTACAACACAGATGAGTAATCAGTTCACATGAAACAAAAAGAAGCTGAGTCAAAGTTGTGCAAATATGATGCCTCAGAAGGCAGAGCTGCCGTTTGCTTCTGAAGACATAGCATTTTCGCCCCTAACTGTGCCTTCTTCGGGTTGAATCATTCCTTCTTCCTCTTCTTCCTCCCCAGCACGTGATTTTGCTCTATCATCTCCATTCTCCTGCTGCTTAGCTGGCGATCTTCTCCATTGCTGTCTATCTTCATTAGATGAACCTCCAAAGTTGTCCACAGAAGTACTTCCGTTGAAAGATACTATGTCAATAGTCTCAAATTTAGGAGGTGGACGCCTTTGCATCATAGCTTCATGGAAGCTCCGAGCCGGTGGACCTTGATCAAACCTATCAGGACTACGGCTTCGACTTCGAGCTCTGCTACGACCGTTACCCCACCCAGAACCTCTGCTGGGGCTCCTACTCCTACTGCGGCCTTGCTTCTGAGACATGGTTTCATGGTAACTCCGCTGGTGGTAACTTCCAGGCACTTCATCATGGGAACTGCGACCATATCTGTCACTAAATTTCAAAAAACAGAAGAATAAGATCAATCAAAACCAACATCCAAATTTAAGAAGTACTACATATCAAACAAGCAACCATAGGATTAAAAACACCTAAAGTAAGTATCCACAAACAAAAACAGAAATGGCCAGGCACTTAGTGGCCTACATCCCACCCCACTTCCCAAAACAGTCTCTTATGTTCACCAAATAAAAACAGAAATGACAACTTCAATCAGGAGAACAGTTAGAATCAACCAATAGAATTTGAAAAACCTGTCATTAGAATCTCGGTCATAACTACGCCCCACTCCTCTTTCACTTGATGAGTTTGACCAGCGGCCACGTCCCCCATCTCTGCCACTGTAATCAGAATCATAGCGCCCACCTCGGCCCCCATCACGTCCACCGGGGCCGGGTCCCCAGCGTCTTGATCTCCCCATTCCACCACCCCGAGAAGCAATATCACGGAGTTCCACAGGAACACGTTGATTAGCACCTTCTAAGAGTTTGACAAGATCAGAAGCATGCTTGGCATCTTGATCGCTGAAAAATGTATAAGCAACCCCAGTAGCCCCTGCCCTTCCAGTCCTTCCAATTCTATGAACATAGTCCTCAATTCCAGTGGGAAAGTCATAATTTATCACCACCCTGAGATTAAAGTGAGCCAATACTTAATTAATCATAAAATAGAAGATGCAACTACGCCGTTCAAAAACATTTAAATGCTGAAAAATACATGAAAAGGCTACCCTCCGAAGGAGATCAAAAAGAAAATTCCCTAATATTTATCTCCAGTTCCTCAAAGAAGTGTCAAGGATGAGTCTTCGTAAACAAATTAAAAGAAGAAGGAAGAAGAAGAAGAGCATTCAAAGATAAAAAGTAATTCCAGGTTCAAACAGAGGCGCAAACCCCTATGAATGCCATTTAAAGGATCTATATCAGACAATAGACACCACAAAGCACCAAATAAAATTCCTTCACTTACAAAATGGAAGAAATTAAAGAAGAACAATGCCAAGTTAAATTCTTCTCAATCTCCCTTCACCAATCCAACGAAGGGAAAGGGACAGAAAAACGGATAAAACCACTTCAAGTAAGATAAGAAACCATATATTTCAAATGATGACAAGTTTCCCAATAACCTTATATCAAGACATTAAAGATTAAACGGAAGGATCAGCACACCTGATATCTTTGATATCTAACCCCCGTGCAGCAACATCAGTTGCTACAAGGACTGGAGATCTCCCACTGCGGAACTGGTTCAAGACAAAATCTCTGTCACTCTGGGATTTGTCACCATGAATTGCAGCAGCTCCAAACTGGCGGGTCAGGTTGCGTGCAAGCATGTCACACATTTTCTTTGTTGAACAAAAGATAATCATCTTTGATCCTGGTTCTTGAGATCTCAATATCTGTTCTACCCGTCTTTGCTTATCCATTGGAGATAAGAGTTCAATATGCTGCAAACCAGAAAGAAAGGACAAAGCAGAAAAAAGGCATTAGCATAAAACGATTGGATTCTTAAACTATGAGCAATAAAAATGACAAGTGGAAAGAACCTTTCCATAACAAATAGAGAAAATTAGACAAGTTACCTGCGTGATAGACTTGTTAGCAACAAGCTCATCCACATTCCCGATGTTCACCTGGACTGGTTTAACCAAGAGATCTGCGGCTATCTTCCGGACCTCCTTTGGCCAAGTGGCAGTATACATCAATGTCTGCCTTCGTGTTGGCACCTCCTTGACAATCTTCCTTATCTGAGGCTCGAAACCCATGTCCAACATGCGGTCAGCCTCATCTAGCACTAAATATGAGACTTGATGCAGACTGATTCTTCTCATCTCCAGTATATCATTTAGTCGCCCAGGAGTGGCTACAACAATGTCTACACCTCTGTCTAGCTCCTTCAGTTGAGGGCCTTTAGGAGCACCTCCATACAAACACTTAAATGCAGAAGATTGATGGGAGAGAAACAATGTCAGAAATCTCCCATATCAATCATTGACAAGAGAGTAAACTGGAGTTGAAAGCAATTAAACATAGTCATCACTGCCTTAGTTATGTAAAAAAAATTTTGGTATAAAAGAAAAAAGCTAGGAATAGTATTATGGTCAACTTCAAGTGGGAACGAGGAATATTTCCAATTCTTACTTCGAAACAAAGCCGGGGAAAAGAAAAGCAACAACATAAAGGACCACAAATGTATCAGGCATACATTACATGCATCCACTCAATTGATAACACAACATACTACTTTTTGCAAATACCTAACAAAGGAAATAAAACACCACAGAATTAATAGGATAAAAAAAAATACCGTGCAACATATTCTTGACGATCTTCCAAATTTCATAGCTTCATCCTGTATCTGAGTTGCCAATTCCCTTGTTGGTGATAGAACCAAAACAGTTGGACCCATCTGGGGATTGTTATGCCGCTGTTTCAGATGAATAAAGCCAGGAAGCAGATAACCTAAAGTTTTGCCCGAGCCTGTCTTAGCAATTGCCACTATATCGCGGCCTTGAAGAGCAATAGGCCATGACTGTGCCTGAATTGGAGTAGGAGCAGAGAACCCAGCATTTTGTACCTGGAAAAGCAAAGAAACATCCGCACTCCTATAAGAAGGGATATTTGGCTCAATATTTCTCTCTGGCACTCTTTAGACATATTCGAGAAGCCAATTCAAGAAGAAGCATCACCCCCAGAAGTAATGGCAGCTAAAGCTTACTGCCACAAGTAACAAAAGGAGGACACCTCTTCTTCAGTTCAGGCGAAGTGGCAGACTGAATCATCTTCAACAGCAGTCAGCCACGAACTTAGATGATTCGGAAAGCCCTTCATAAAATTGGCCCAAGGAATGAGGGCACTTCAAAAATATGAGAGCCTCCAAAAGAGGCCACCACAGAGTACGACATTTAGCTCCTTCCTGGAGCAAATATCGCACCTACGACCAAAAGCACAAATGAAAAAAGATGAACGTGAGCCCCGGAGTTCAACAGCATACTCCAGCAAGCACAGAACTTCACAGCCGAGATTGGTAGGCGGTATAGAAAAGTACTAGGGGCTTCACAAAAGAAAGAATCAAATCAAATTGTAACTGGATCCATACCTCTCTAAGAATCTCTGACGGGAAGCCAGTGGAATCAAATGACATCAACGGCGGGGGAACACCTTCTCCCTGTTGTTTGAAAACGCATTAGTGCCACATACAAAATAACCATCATAAACTTGCCTTAAATTTAACCTAATAAAGACAAACCTGATGTTTGACAAACTTACAAGTAAAAATCACGACCAAAACCTCTATCCCAGAACTATAAGATTGGCCAAAGTTCCATAAAACATAAACTAAATCCAATCTAAGCAAGTTTTGATCAAGTTCCAGACATTACATAATGGTACACTGGGATTAGTTTGTCCATGAGCCCTAGTCAACGTACGGAAATTATTATGGTAGCCAACAAGACTTACAACCTAACAAGGAACCAAAGACAGGAGCACACATAACCACAATCATAAACTAAACCCCAAGGGGTCTATAAAATAGAATCTCTTAGTCACGGACTCGATAGGGCATTTTACTCAAGTATTCCATAAAACCTCGATATAGACTAATGCTATGGGCAAGGAAAAAATAACACATACTACTTACAGTTACACTTATTTCGTGACGTTTACGATAGGATTCTGCAGATAAGGTATTTCCTGCCGCTGACGGAAAATACCCATTAGTGACTCCAGCACCAACAGTCGATTTTTGAACATCGTGATCTGGCCCACTACGCGAACCCTGAAAGGAGGAAAGGGAAACAATTAATACTGTCTCTCAAACACAACAAAACCTCAAAATTCAACCAGAGACAACATGGAATTAGTCAATAATATTGAGCATCTAAACTAAACTGAAACAATCAATAAAACTGAAAAGATTGTAACCAACTTGCCTGAGTATTTCCAGCTCCAGAAGAAACCTTCACTGAGCCAACATTTCCAACCCTAGTGTATCTATCGTCATCATCTTTGGAACTACTCGCATGATATCCTTGAGATGTCTTTTGGACATGGACAGATGAGGAAGCAGGTCTCTCATATTGTGTGACATTGGTCTCCGGATTCCAAAAGTAAAGGTATCCAGTCTTACCATCTACTAAGCCCTTCCAAGGTTTAGGAAGGGTGGGGTCCTCTGGTGCATACCTAACACCAGCTGAGACAGTAGCTGCCATACCCTCTTGCTAACAGATTCTCTTCAAAATTATCTACAGAAAGCATACAACGGAACAATTTTTAAAAAGGTTAACACTTGGAAGACATACTGAAGAGGAGATTCAAAAGAAACCACTTTTAAACGAGAAGAGAACATATAATAGCTAGAAAGAAGCCACTCCATAGTCGAGAAATTCAAACATGAAAACTTATGAAGTAAATAAGCACGGACAAAATAAGAAACATCAGCACAATTTGAAATGAGCGAGAAAATCCAAATTCCATGCCTTCTAAACTACAGGGGTCATACCAGACAACAAATAGCATGCTATTAGAAGAAATCAACAATGTACATCTTAGGGCTTCGGGGTTAAGCACATGCATCCAGTAGAATGTATTCCCAAGCATATAAAAACCCAAAATATGAACAATAAGACGCTGATAATGAGGCAAATCCTCGCCACACAGGTAAACTAGAGAAAACAAAACGCCCAGATTTAGACGAGTCTAACATACTATAGGATGAAGAAAAGGAGCATGCAACCGAGCACATCCGGGGTTCAAAAACCTAATCAACACACCATAAGCATATCGCATTAACGATTTTACTAAACATACAGAAGAAGCTAATTTACGATCAGATCCGGAGCGAAGAAAAAGTACGAACAGAGAAACTAGGGTTTGTAACATTTGTAAGAAAAGTAGAATGGGGCACCTGACGACGTCGCTTCGACAGCCAAAATGGAGAGGGGGACCTCGAAGACCAATGCCAGAAAAAAGGGCTACGAATGCTCCAGACCTCCGACCAACCTGATTTCTCTCCCGCCGCTGGCTTCGCTGTACTATGGATTTTTAAATTCCCGCGAATGAAGGCGGAGGGGAACGAGTGGCGGGCGGAGGTAGCAAACGTACGCTTCCGAACCAGGAGAAGCGTAGGTTTGGGAAGGGAGGAGAAAAAAGAAATGGTGGGTGGAATTTTATCGATATTTAAAGCGGGTGCCATACAGATCATTCCTTCCCATCGATGACGTCATGCCAGCTAACCCCGGTTAAGAAATTTCGCGCTTCTACGGCAACTATGGTTCCACCACTGTCATAGCTGGTCGGTGTTGGACTGGGCTGGGCTGGCACCCTAACCGCGTCTGCCTAACTAATTAATTTGTCCTCGGATTTCATAAACTTTCTTGGTTACTTCTTGTGTGTTTGAACTTTTAAGTGTTTTTCAACATGTGATATACTCCCTTCCGTCCCATTTATTGTCCAATTTGAGTTTTCATTTTTAGTTCAAATTATACTAAAACTAAAATCTCAAACTAGATAATAATTTTAGAACAGAAGGAGTATCACAAAAGCGCATTATGAACGTAAGAAGGTGAATCATGTTCGTAATCTTTTAAGTTGTATGCCTCTGGGCATTTTCCTACTAATAATTCAGTTTTAACAGTATTTACCAAAAACAGAATCTCGAGCATAGTGTTAAGCATACACATAAATTAAGAGTTCACTGTTCATTCATAAGTTTAGAAAGGTTAAAAGGCGAACAATTCGCGCAATAATTAAGAGTTAACAATCAACACCCTCCTAACCTAGGCCCTAGACGCCGAAGAAAACCCAAACGCATCGTTGAGTTTTCCTCGTCTTTAGCGATGAAGTGAGCTAGAGGGTAAACAGAAATGCAGAAAACAAGAAAAGCAACCAATACGGCACTTGTCTATTCAGATTCTTCAGTCAGCGTGAAGGATGAGCATAATACATAGCAAACTGTTACCCAGTATACACAATGTTACATGAAACTTCAATACACTCATAAACCAACGAAAGGGCACTGGCTCCGAGCATGTTCTGGAATCAATTTGGCAAGGAGTTCCAAAGATGCACCTTTCAGTTCTGTAAGCAAAACAATTGTCAGAACATTAGCACCAGCAACAGTGTATCTAATGGATAGTAAGATTACCCCAAGCACGAACAGATCAGAAGGATAAGATGTACAAATAAAAGAGGAACATATAAGGTCACAACATATACCTTGAGGTTTGAAGTTGAAAAGAGGAGGTAACGGTCGTCCATTGGGCAGACGTGTGCTAGGATCACGAAGCTCATTAAAAAATGGATGGATACAAGCCTCCAACTGCAAAGGCATACAAATCATCGATTAGCAGATGCTACAAGAAAACCAGTGACCCGTAACAACCATAAGATAACAAAGAACTTGTTTGCAGAAGCAGATTTCATCATCCTGAATGCTCTTACTTGCAAATGTCAAGGTCTCCAAGGAAATTTTTGGAGACGGTAAAAGATTAGGAAAAATCTAAAATCCCTTTGTGCCATGATTTTTAGCAATATTACTAATGAGCATTTATCAGACGTATCCAGAGCTAAGAATGGCTATGCAGCACAAAAGTATATTTAAGCACATAGTGTTTAGTAAGTATTTAGGTGGTGTCTTTTTAAAACGAAAAAGAAAACGATATCAAGCTCCCTGAATGAGATCAGAAATAATGAATCGTGGGATTCTATAATCTACAGCAAGTTCACAAACAAAAAAATCCTTGTACAAAAAAAAGAAAGAGATTTTGCCGAAAGCCAAAGTTCAGAAAGAAGCGAATTGAGTTGTAGTATACTTACAGCAGTGCACCTCAAGTTAGGGGAGTACTGAAGCAATCTTGAAACCAGATCTACAGCTTCCGGAGGCATGCGTTTGTGAAATATCTGAAATGGACCACAAAAGTAAGGGAGACATAAAAGTCAACTGTGAACAAAATGACATCAAAACTTTACTAAAGAAATCAGATTACAAGAGTAACAAATGCCTCACTTTATGCCACGGGTGAGCCTTGATCTGCGGGAACTTGAACTCAGTGTAGTTTGGATTCATGCACTTGATTTCCTCGCGAGTGGGAGTTCCAAGTACCTAGGACGAAAATATATAGAGTAAGCTTATTTTCAACTCAAGACTTAATAAAGAGCTGAGTTTGATTTGCATTCAGCATTACCTTGATTATCTCTACAAGCTGATCAACTCCACTATCACCAGGGAAAAGAGGCTAACAAGTCCAACATGGCCGCACAAAAATGAAAGCAATAAAAGATCAATTTCCAAAACAGTCTTCTTGTTGAGATAAAGAAGTAAAAACTAAGGGCCAATTTATAACAACCTGTCCAAGAAGTAATTCAGCAAGGACACAACCAACAGACCATATGTCAATTGCAGTAGTATACTCAGTAGCCCCAAATATCAGCTCAGGAGCACGATAATAGCGAGAACAGATGTATGATATGTTTGGCTCTCCTTTGACCTGTTACAAATAAAAAGCTTAATTACTATAAATAGGGAAGAAAGTCGGTGAAGATTTAACACATTGAAGAAGAATTAAGCAGACCTCGCTAAAATAATAAGTTAGCTCAAGTGTTTATCAAAGATAAATTGTTAAAGTTCTCTGTAACACATTTCATCCCTCTCCACTTTCCCTTCTTTCGTACGGCAGTGGACATAGACACAAAGCACACAACATTAATAACTAAGCCTTTATCCCACCCTATCATGCTTTATCAGAACTTTTAAGTAACAATTTTCCCATAATGAACAAGAACGGCGCATAATAGTAATTACCAGAACTTTGGCACTTCCAAAATCACAAAGTTTAACTTGGTGGGTGTGAGGATTAACCTGCCAAAAACAACAATCATAATCAGATTCCAATTAAAAATAAAAGCAAGGTTTCCTAGCACGCGATTCTTACCAGTAAATTCTGAGGCTTGATATCCCTGTGACAAACGCCAATTCCATGAATATATGCCAAGGCTCTGAAAATCTGCCAAACCAATAAGGTTCTTAGTCAGAAGAGAGTTCATCATGAAGACTCAAAAAATAAGCAGCTATTGTAAAATAACTGTCATTGTCCATAATGTCTAAACATCTTCATTTCAGAAATCGACTCACGCAATCACATGCCTAAGAGAGGTCATAATATCAAACCTCATATTAACCAAAACAACCAATAAACTCATTATAGTGGGGTTGGAATCAATCAAAACTTTCGAAAAGAAACAAGTATGACTAGGCTTCAGTCAAAGTCATTAACACAACGTTATCTGCAGCCGGCAAAGAGAAGCAGAGGCACGTATTACTATCTCAAGCTACAAAATAACCAAAGCCCGTGGACCAATCAACTCAAAACAAAATCATTTGTATAGTAAACGATGAAACAATAAAACTAGAAAGGTTAAGCTTTATTATCGAAGCAAAGCTACTAAGATTCTGTGATAATGATGTCATCATTGTGAAAAACTTGGAGGAGTTTGATAGAGCAAACCTGATATGTATAAAGCTTGACATAAATCATAGGCATGCGCTGGTTTGCTTTGCTGTAGTGCCTCAAGACCCGATATACAGTCTCAGGTACGTACTCAAGAACTAAGTTGAGATAGAGCTCATCCTTCTCGGTAGTAGAAAAGAAGCAGTGTTTAAGTGCAACAACATTGGGATGATCAAGGAGGCGCATTGTCTGCAGTTCACGATTTTTGTATCGCTTATCCTGCAAAACCTTTTTGATTGCAACAGATTCTCCAGATTCTAAGCATTTGGCCTGCCAATTAAAATGACAAGATGAAGTGCAATCCAAATAACATATAAACCGAAACTAATGTCCAAATACTCTACTCCAACCATAAACTACAAAATTTACTATTTTCAGCTCTTTAGATAAAGAAAGTGTAAAGTCGTTAGACTAACTCTGCCATCTCAACAAAAAACAAGAGATAAACAAAAGAATGAACTCAATCAAACAGTAGCATCTTTCATTCAACTTGTGGAAACATATATTCCACCCATACTTTTTCAGAATTTTGCAAGGACCAAATAGAGAGGTATAAGCTGTGCTAACATGCATTTATGCAAGGACCAAATTATAAGCTGTCTAACATGCATATAAATATTACCTGAAATACAATTCCAAATGAACCCTGTCCAACAACACGCTCGGCCATGTAACTAATGGTCTGAAAAGAAAAAAAGAAGACAAACAAAGTGTGAGAGAAGCAAAAATTTAGAACAATCTATTTCAGTAAGCTTTCCTCACTCAGCTAATCCCAAAATAAGCAAAGAGTAAAGATCATTCTCTCTATTTGTTTATGTGTGTGTTTTGCATAGCAAAACTAGAAATAGGCTTGAGCTGATGCGATGACTGTTCAGTGAATTCACTATCACAAGGAATCTACTCGAATAGCCATCACCTGCTTAGGTTGGCCATTTTTGCCACCGATGGTCGTTACAATGATGTGTCCTGTTTCAGTTCCATTTCCATCCACCACAGCTGCTTCCATTTCCTGTAAGTTTAAATCAGTAAACAATACGCAATGCATGGGAATAATCAACACAATTTCCTCGATAATTCCTCAAATTACCTTTTCCACCTTTTCGTCTTTGATTTTCATTTCATTGATTTCATCTGGAAGTTTGTCCACGAGCATTGCATCATTCTTTGGTATCCCAATTGCAGAAGCCATCGTGACCGTTGAAGCCAGATAGTGAGCCACACAAGATACGTCTCGAAATTGCTTTAATGATATATTTGATAAAGTACAACCTCAGCTTACAATAACCTGGATATAGAAAGGAATGAATACAGTTAAATGATAAAACTGATCAACCACACACCTCAGCTTATAATCACCTTGATATGGAAAAGAAGTTAATGAACTGGATGCACATAGAAGATAACTACCATAAAAGAAAAATATGAGAAAGAACATGCAAAAGTTAGTCGACAAAACAGTAGAACAATAGTCACCGAAGCATTCGCCATTAATTAACTTCTTGAATCGTCAAGATTATCCAACTTAAATCCAGTATCACCAAAGAACAAGAATAACCAGGTTCCATATCAAGCTAATATAACAAAGAGATCCAGATAGTATACAGATAAAACCAAATTTTCTTTAGATATAGGTTTCCAGGATCTTCCAGAGAATGAGTTCTGAAGACAGGATGATATCTCAGGCAGCAACAACTTCAACATTGAATTTGAATAATGAAAAATTGTTTTGAACTTCTTTCTACTGCAAACCAATAACTTGAGGCGGAAATGAGGGCTTCGAAAGCAAATCCGTCAACAGTCGAATACCCGGTTTCCCAGCCCAACTGACAATGAATGAGAAAAATATTCACAGTCCTCCCCTGACACAAACCACCTCCTTCATCATCTGAAGTCAGATAGCCTCAGTCAAATGTGCCAGAGAAGCAAGATCCAAAACAGGGTTACAGAAAATGCCAGGCAGATTTCTTAGCTCCTCCTACATCTCTTGGCTACAAATCCAGCCAAACCAATATTTCCAAGACTGTGATCTTCCAGGAGCGCAAAATATTCAAAATAGCCAAACCCACATCACAAAACGCAAGACCAGTAAATTTTGCAGGAACATGGAGCCTTATAAGCTGCGAATAAGAACTTAAGCCTCCAAAAATGGAACCGGAAGTAGTTCTCATGTACGTATAAGTTAACAAATTGATCTCCCTTTTGGTTCCACGGGACCCGAAATACATTCAATCGCTACCTATTTAAAATTCAAGATGCCCTCGGCCCCCAAAAACAAACAAAAAAAGAAAAAGAAATTTTAATCTCTTAAATCAGTCAGTATGTTCTCATAGTCAAATGCAGTTCCTAACAAGCAGAGCTTAAAAAACAAACCTTAAATCATAGGGAGAAAAATACACTAAAAGCCCAAAAAAAAAAAATCAAAAAAGAAAGAAATCCGAACCAGCAACGGAAAAATCAGATGAAGGGAGAAACCCACCTAGGCAGACCGGCAGCTTGCGAACTGTTCACATAATCACATTTTCCAACTAAACTAAACGTCTATGATCTGAAGAGCTTCAGCTGACAGTGAAGATCGAAACTCAGTTGCAAAAAACAAAGCTCAAATTGGGGGAAATCCTCGGAAGGAGGAAGGGGTTGGGAGCAAAAAAGTAAAGTAAAAATTGTCGAGCCCCGCGCGAATTTCAAGGAGCTTTCTAAACAAAAGTTTTGACTAAGGAGAGACTCTTCGCTGCTTAGGATGCTCTGAAGAATTTCTTTACTATTTGCATTTGGGAAGAGCCAGCGGACCCCAACTGGTATTATCAATTTCAGTTAAGTTGAGATGGGGAAGTTCGGTTTAGTCATCAATCAGGAGTTTTGACCGTTTGACGTGACCACGTGGCACAACCTGGAAGGTATTTTCTGATTGATCGAGGTCCGCCAATGGTTTTCGACTTTTCCTTTTTTTTTCCCTTCGGGGGAAAATGTCAAGCATTTATTGAAGCTGGAAATTAGATACAGTAATTAAATTTTCATATAGCAGCTCGCAACTATCCATATCCTAAAATTAAAGGTGTTGCTGCTGAGCGCCTTAATATTATCATTTGAGTGTTTTTTGAAACACGGATACGCCCTTTGCATAAAAGAGATATGTTCTTTTTTAAAAAAAAGGGCGAGGGAAATATGCGCCAGCTGGCGCAGGAGGAACACGCCACCACTATGGAATAATTTCGTCTCCCTATAAAGGGAGGCGAGAAAACCTTCGCCTCTAGCGAAGGGGTGACGACGCCCTTTGTCCGGGGTTTGCTCGCCAACCAACTGATGGGTGGCACCTGTTTTGGGAGCCACTCATTTTATTTCTAATTTAATTATTTATTTAATTTTTTAATGTATTTAATTAATATCATTTATTTATTTAAATTATTAGTTTAATAAATTTATTTATTTATTTTATTTGAGTATTTGTTTAGTAGTTTAATATTTGTTTAGAAAATTTATGTTAATTGGTAACTAAATGGATAATCTATCTTAATATTTAGGGTTTATGGTATTGGTAAATAAATAATGTTTAACTTAAATATTTGGAGGATGTTTTTTAATTACGTATTATGTTCATAAGTTATAGTTGTTATATTAAATACGTAAAGTTTTGGTTAATTATGTGTTTAATTTGTTATATGTTTAAATTATGTTAATTACGTAGTATGTTCATATGAAATAGTTTTTTTCTTGTTAAATATGTGTTTAGTTTGTTGTTAGTTTAGAAAGAATTGGTTAATTAGGTAGTATGTTCATAAGTTATAGTTGTTATATTAAAATTGTGAGTTTTTGTTAATAATGTATTTAGTTTGTTATTAGTATATATTATGTTAATTAATTATCTTTAAAGTATAACATCATTATATCGAATTATATATTATATTTTTGTTTATAATGAATTATTTGTGGTTTAATATTATTATATTTAATTTAAATTGTGATATAATTCATTCATAATGTGTGCAGAATAGGTTCGATCAGGGGGATAAACATGATTATAATTCGGCTTTTGAGACTTTTGGCACGAAACCTGAAGCAATTGCATATGCGAATGGTATTGCAAATATGTACAACACGGAGTTAAGTATATCCTCGCACAAGAATAATGGTATTATACTCCTTTGTCATAAAGGAAGCCGGTATCAAGGTTAACAGGTGGATAAAGACATGCGCGTCCGACTCAATACAAAGACACAGATGACTGGATACCAGTTTTGGATTACTGTCTACAAAATATATTATAGGTGGGGCGATCCGTGTATATCCCGGTCCGTGGGGAATGCACAACCATTCATTGAAAGATCCGCCTCAGGTTAGGAGGGCACTGAGCGCAAAAGTGAAATAGCTTGTTCAGAAATACTCTAAAGTTGGAACTAAGGCAATCCACATTTTACGGGCGATATAGACACAATTTCATTATGAAAATGTTACCTCCAAACAAGTCTACAACTATAGAAATCAATTGCGTAAGGATGGGTTTCCAATTCTGGATGACATGGCTTCCATGGACGTCGTGGGAAAGGTGTTAGAGGTCGCAGAACAACACAAATACATCATCTTCACGGAGTGCGATGAAGAGACATAGAGGTTATCCCACGTGTTTTTTGCTCATCTGGATTCTTTGTTACTGTTACGCACGTATCCTTGGGTTGTTTGCGTACACTCCACATATAACAAAAACAAATATAAAATGTCTCTTGTGGAGTTTGTTGGAATGACTCCGTGCAATCAGACCTTCCTTACAGCATATGCTCTTCTGAGTGATGAGATGATGAACAGCTACCATTGGGCGTTGTGACAGCTCCGTAACTTGTACAGCGATGATCTACATCCAAGTGTCATCGTGACTGATCAGGAGCCTAGACTGATAAGGCCTCTTGATGATGTATTTCCATCATCACATCACTTGTTGTGTACGTAGCACGTTTACAGTGATGTTGAAAAAATGTGAAAAGAATTTTGAACGGAAATGCGAACGTAGCAAGAAGTTTTGCGTACAAGGCTTTTAAAACAGTGATCGAAGCTACAAATCGGGAATATTACGAAGAAAAAGTAAAGCTTCTGGAGCATAATTGGTCCCAATTTCAACCCGTTCTAGAGTATGTCAGGAAGACATGGTTAGTGGTTGCGGACAAGTTTGTGCCGGCATGGACCAACACTTATTTTCATTTTACAATACCACTACTAATAGAGTGGAGAGCGCACACAAGTTGTTAAAGGAATGGCTCGGCACACCAAATGCTTCTTTTGAAACGGTTTGGCACAGGGTTCACACGTTACTCAAGACACATCTTACACAAATAAGGTACTGGATTTCGACATTATATTCTAAAATATGGTTATAATATTTAATTGTGTGTTTAGTTTGTTTAAGTAAATTTTTTCCATTCCTTTCACAGGAAGAAATTGCAAGAATCAAGACAGAAAATAGGAAGCAACACAACAAGTACCCTTTGAACCAATTAAGATACAACGTTTCACACTACTCCCTGGATCTGTTGAACAATGAGTTAGAAAGGGCACATCAATTCGGAGATGATGTGTTTTGAGAATGCAATCACTACCTGAAGCAATCATATTCGATCCCTTGTGCATGTATTCTGGAGTGGGTAGTGGAGGACCACGATGTTTTGACTCCAAAATACTTACACCAATTTTGGAGCACACTCGACATCGATCTGGTTGCAGAGAAAGATAGTTCGGATGATGTCCCCCCTCACTGATTGTTGTTCAGGCAGTTAGTGAAAGAATTGTAGGCTGATGAGGAGCCAGTACAACGAGATATCACTAGAATAATGTACAACAAACTTCACCCGGGCCAAGTCGGGTTGAAACAACCCCGAGTTGGAAGGAGAGACAAGGGCAGACTGAAGAAAAAAGACATCTCAAAAAGAAAGCAAGACAAACCAAATGCGTGGGCATACAGGGACAGCAGTCAGGGTGGGACAAACACCAGCAATTCCAGTAAAGCATGTACCAGCAAAGGTACCTCGGGTCAAGGTGGGACGAACACCAATAGTTCCAGTAGAGGCCATACACAGGGAGCTGAGGATCCTACCGGAGGTTCGATATAAATTTATTTTTTTTAATGTGCGAAATATTATTATCATTTAATTCTTATATTTTTGTTTCATGGCGTGCGAGCATAGGTACATGGAGTGGGTTAGGTGGGACGAACACCAACAGTTCCAGTAGAGGCCATATGTCGGGACCTGAACCTCATGTCAGAGGTACGATTTATATTTATATTTTTAAAAGTGCGAATTATTTTTATCATTAAATTCTTATATTTCTTAAAGAGATAATGAAAAAATTTTACTTGGTAACGGATATGATGCAGATAGATTTTTCCATGTTTAGGCATAAGAATAAGATTCCGCTGCTACTCCACAACTATGTTCAGTCATACCTAGAGAAGGGTCACACAACCAGCTATCGTGGTACACCCGGCCCGACTCGCAATCCCAATCTAACGGTAGAGGAATGCTAGTGTACCAGATCCCCAGGAGTAGGCTTCAATATTTTCGACACCTCCATGGAGCTCGTTCATAAGTGAAGCACTAATCTTGCCCCCACTCTTGTCAAGGAAGAGTGTCAAGGCTAACAAGATCCACATCCAAGCTTGAACACGAACAGTGGGGAAGAGCTTGCGACAACTCTTCTCGATCAAAATGTCGTTCACACCTCCGTGGCTCCACTTGGGCTTTAAGTCATCCACCGGCAACCCAAGCAATCATGCGACCTGAATCTTCAATATATCCACTTCTGGAGGTTCGGTCAACAAGTAATCCTCAACTGGAATCGCCAAAATGTGTGCTACATCATGCATCATGATGGTCATTTCTCCAAACGGCAAGTGAAAAGAGTTTGTGTCAGGCTGTCACCTCTCTATGAATGCAGAAATAAGCGCAAGGTCGATGTCACCGTACATGGTATCAATCAGGTGATATAAACCGGTATTCTGAATCTTCAACTGCACATTCTCTGACAACTTTGTATACCATCCATACAATATAGACAAACTCTTATTCGCTGGCTTCATCGTCATGTAATTTATTGGTTCTCCGTTCCACAACTGATAAGCAGTGTGACCAAGAAAACTAGGAATCACTGACCCATCACATGGCCCGCCAGGTACGTCGTTCGTCACAATCCAATCATCAATTTCTTCGTTAGAAACCTTAGAGCGTCTACTAGTACTTTAATGCACCAAAGAAATTGACATTGTAGTAATGAATGCTTAATTATCTAATTACAAATACGTACCTGATGACATCGCAACTGCCTTAGGACGGCTAGAGACACCAATGGAGGCGGCACTAAAACGGGAACGAGGCTGGTTGGTTTGAAGGGGGTGTGATGAAGTCTCGCCAGAATGATACTGGGGGCCGGCATCGTGAAGAGTACTACTAGGACCTCCAAACAAAATACCCAGCGGGCCAGTATCATGAAGAGTAGTACTAGAACCTCTAAAAAGACTACTCTGTGGGCTGGCATGACGACGAGTAGTACTAGGACCTCTAAAAAGAGTATTTTGTGGGCCGGCATGAAGACTGGAACCACCGGGAGTGTAAACTGACTTCAACTCTGATAATCCAACAAGGGTCTTCCCCCTCCAGGTAGTGTGAACTGGAGTCTGATCATCAGTACGACCAATGAGGTTCAATACTGGATTACCTCCAAAATGTATATCCCTCCTCTCGGGCAAGGAATACTTGTCTGACTCATCCACCTCATCCACATCATCCCCCCACTCTCAAAACTATCCTCATCTCTTTCTTCCTCTCCCTCAAACTCATCATCATCATCATCTACGTTCGCCGACTCACCAAGTTTGGCAAAGGTATGATGTACATTTTTCTGTTTCTTTAAGTTTTTCTCTTTTAAAATCTATACGATATTCAGCATATAGATTGTGCGTAACTGTATGGCGATTACCAAATTAGTGGCGATATTCCATCCTACAAAAGTTTTACATTTTACACGTAACTTTAAATTATCCTGAATACATCCCAAACAAATTAGTTTTTATACATAATTAATTTAGGTTAATTACTTTAATATATTTTTATATTATTTAAATAACTAATTATATAAAATTATCTATTATACATCTTAAATGTTTAATTTATCGAATCTACTAAATACAAATAATAACAATTCCAAATATACTTCAATTAATTAATTTATTTACATATTAATCTAACCTCTTTTTTTTTTATTTACTTAATCCTTATTTATTTAATTTTCCTATACTAAATATTTAATTTCTACGTATCACATATTTTTTGAAGCTAATTAAGACAAAACCAACTAATCCTACAATTTTTTTTTTCAATAATTAAATTAATTATAATAACTTTCATAATTCCCCAAATTAATTTAAAAAAATTAAAGCTCCCTAAAACTACTAATGAATTCCTAAATGTGAATATTATTATTAAATTATTTACTTAAGATTAAACATATTAATAAAAATATTTCCTAAATAAATTAAACTAATAAAAATAAATTCCTAAGATTAAACTATAAAATAATAAGTTAAACTAATAATAAATAATTAAACTAAAATCTTAAGATTTATGATTACTAATAATAATAATTAAATTACAATTACTAATATTTATTCTATAATTTATAAATAACAATTAAATTAAAATAAATAAATTACAAAATAAATGAAATTTAAATACTAAACAAAAAAAACATACCCGGCACCGGCACATGACTGGTGCCGATAATCTTGCCAGGCGGCCAGCGCCTGACGGGATATTTCTCGCCTCACCCCCAGAGGGTGGCGAAGATATCTTTGCCGCTCTCGCCCTGGCGAGGTTCTGCATCGCCGACGAGGGCAGTGTATTTTTTTTTTAAAAAAATTAAATTTGAATTTAAACTCATATTTGAACGTATCTCGAGCTTCCGTGTTTTTTTTTCATAATCGTTCTGCCATTGAATATGAGTTTTTTAGCTTTAGGAATGAGAGAATTTGAAATAAAAGATTGATTTATGAATTAAAAAAATAAAATTAACACTAAGAATTTATAAAATCTGATAGGGGTAAAATGGTCTTTTGGTATCAGGCGACATTTGATTGAAATTAGAAGACTGTAAAATGCTCAAATTGAGGTGAAATTAGCCGTTCTAATCTTCTATACCAAAACTTTAAAATGTTTAGGTGACATTTGATTGAAATTTGTTAACAATCAGATAGAAATTTTTAATCATAGGCTCGTGCTATCAACATTTTTATTCTGGGATAATTATCCATTTTGAATTTTCACTTTGACTACAAATTGATCAATAAATAAAAATTTCTAATTAAACAGTTATTAATAGTAAAAGTGAAAATTTAAATAAAATAATTAAGTATAAAAAATACTAGTAAAATATGCTGGAAGTTTATATTGAAAGATGCCTCGTTATAAGTTCAAAGGATAACAGACATAAATACAACGAATCAATTACTTCTCAATGACCGCGACTCCGCAAGCTAGAAAGTGTGAGGGAATGATGGTGAAAATAAATATTTAAGAATAAAATTTTGTCATGTGAAAATCGCTCAACAAATTCACCTATTTATACTAAAAGTACAAACAAGATGATAAAATGTGTATTAGTACATACACAAAAATAAATTATGAGTTTAATTTTTGTAGAGAAACAATGTTATGAACAAATTATAAGAAAAAAGTGAAGAGAAATTATGTGGTTAAATCACATTATTCCATTTTTTTACACTATACCCACTAGGTTTAACCAATTTAGGTAAGGTCAATGGATAATATTTTGGTCATGTCATCCATTGTAACATTGCATTGAATGAAATATTTACAAGGAATGATGTAGCTGAATCTAAACTGTTTTATAGTTTTAAATGGATAAATTTCTACGAATAAGACGTAAGCTAAGCATCGACGACTATGATTCATATTTTTTTGAATTTTCTCTATAATTTTTTCACGTATATCTTCTTCTTTTTTTAGAACTGTTACTGGGTTCGAAAGCAGCTCTAATGTGGCAGGTGAGACGAGGGACAATCCAGATCTGAAATCGATTGGGCCTAGCCCTACTGCAGAGATGGGTTTGAGAATAAGACCGTCCGGTAAAATCACGAGATGAGATTCGGGCCATATTCATGCTTAACTTTTAAGCCAACTCTCCCTTACACAAAACAACAAGAATTAAATACGCTCATAGAGGCAATGAATTGAAGCCCTCGAAACTAGCGGCCCTTGGATCTCTGTTTGCTGGAAGAAAAGATTTTTTTTCCCCCTCACTCAATTCTCTTCCCAACAACTCCAGAGGTAATCTCCGTCTCTGTTATATGTTCATCTCTTCGTTTTTTTTTTTTTAAATTTTTTTCCTCCGTTTCAAATCTCTCCCACGATATTCCTTACCCAATTATTTTTCCCCTCAAAGCTAGATCTTCGTAATTGCTCTTAATCTGGTAATTTTAAATTTTCGTGTTAGAAAGTCAAACATCTGAATTGCAATGCTCTGATACCGTGCATTTCCTAATGTATATATCAATTGATGGCTGATTCCTGAGCATTTATGTTTATTCTAAAAAAAAAAAATCATTGGATTTGATGTTTTGGACCATTTGATTGGGTCGATCTGTTGATTTTCTGGATTCTAGGATTCGAATTGTTTGAAATGACCTGTCGGATGTTCCTACGTTGCGTAGGATAGATCCGTTCAATTGCTGTCCTGTTATAAAAGGAAACGCGGTTTGATTTGATACTGTTTCCGACTAGGAGCTTTGCATGACTGAATTTTGTTATATTGTTGCTTGATGATTTATTATTTTTGAATTTACACCCCTGCTTCGTGATTATAGCAAATACGTATGATCTGATCAATTATTGGTTATTTGTTTAAATCGATTATTGGTTCCTTTTCCATTTCTTTTTTCTTTGCTGCTGGAGGTACATCTAATTCAAGAATAAGAGAAGTTAGTCTGTTATTGATTTTGTTGGATTTATAATCTGTATGCTGATTAGTTACTTATGATGTTGTGTGCATTTGGCAGCGTTGAGTGATCCAAGCAGAGATGGGGCTAACGTTCACTAAGCTGTTCAGTAGACTCTTTGCAAAGAAAGAGATGAGGATTCTGATGGTAGGTCTTGATGCTGCTGGTAAGACTACCATCTTGTACAAGCTCAAGCTGGGAGAAATTGTCACAACCATTCCAACAATTGGTGAGTTGTTTTATTGGATGTTTTGGGTTTTGTTATCTCCGTTTTATTCTCTGAACTGTTCACATATATTGCTAGGATAAAATGGGATTGAGAAAATGATAGCTGAATAACTGAATGCAAGACTGTAATTTGGTTGATTCATGAAGAAATTCTTTAAACAAGAGACAGCTTTGTGATATTTGATGTTTATTTGTTGTGGGTGCAAGATTAAATATCTGTTTATTGGAATTGTTACTTTTTTTTTTCCCCTGATAACACACTGCCGTGAAGTCCTATAATACTTTTCTTAGTATCTAAGATTTGTTAAATTGCAGGTTTTAATGTGGAGACTGTGGAATACAAGAATATCAGCTTCACTGTCTGGGATGTCGGGGGTCAAGACAAGGTTTGATGCATTTTTTTTTTGGTTGCGTCATGCAAGACTAGTAGTAATTTCTTTATCTGTACCACGCTTTTGGAACACTTCCACTTGCTGATGCTGTGATTTCTGAATTTGAATGTCATCTTCGATAGTGTAGTGATACATAGTGCTTGTATCTCTCTCTCTCTCTCTCTCTCTCTCTCTCTCTCTATCTGTTTCTTTTGGTTGATGTAATTTGTACTTGGTGCAGATTCGTCCATTGTGGAGGCACTACTTCCAAAATACTCAGGGTCTTATATTTGTGGTGGACAGCAATGACAGGGACCGAGTTGTTGAAGCTAGAGATGAGCTGCACAGGATGTTGAACGAGGTTTGTCCCCCTTTTAGAGGTTGTAGGCTTGATTTTGGACTGGAAATTACTTGAGTTCCTTTAGGTGAAACTCCTCTATTTGTTTGGGATTTCTCATATCTTAATGCCTGATAACTTTTAGTATTGTGGTCGTATCTTATATGTGACTTTGGTTTTAACATGAAGTTGGGGTTCTTGTCTCTAATGACCTTAGTTTCTGTTTAAACATAATTGTTGATGGTTCCCCGTCAAAGTTTAGTTAATCCGGTAGAGTGATAAAAAATCTGTAGTAGTGAAAGGAGTTGATTTAAATTGTTTTTAGACATACCTTTTTGGGGTTTTAAATGTTTTACAATTCTGCTCCCCTTGCTCAAGTTCTACTTAAATTTTCTAGTATTTGTTATTTTTCTAATTTAGGATGTACTTGCTGGATAAAATTACAACTGGTTGTAATCTACTTTTGTTATTGATTACAGGATGAATTGCGAGATGCTGTTTTGCTCGTTTTTGCAAACAAACAAGATCTGCCTAATGCAATGAATGCAGCAGAAATTACCGACAAGCTCGGTCTTCATTCTCTCCGACAGCGCCATTGGTAAATCTATTTTGTAGTCTGTACTAATTGTTTTGTATCACTTAGTTCTTGTAAATGCTAATAAGCTCTCTCTCTCTCTCTCTCCCTCCTTCCCGGTCGTCTTAGCCGTAGAGCCGAATCTTTCTCCGTTTCAGATTGCGCATCTAGTGTCTTATTTTCTTACCTTTTGTCTTGTTGCTATCCTTTACATATTAAGCTTGACTTGAATAGAACGTGGGAGTAAAGGTTTCAGGTTGGAGAGGAATTTAGCAAAACAAGAAATATTTGACCAATTTAACTCTCGTTTTTGGTAAAAAGAAGCCAGCTGAAATTTTTTTACCTTATGAAGTCTGCATCTGCTCTAACTTTTACGGTTGCTTATCACAGGTACATCCAGAGCACGTGTGCTACTTCTGGTGAAGGGCTTTATGAAGGGTTGGATTGGCTTTCCAGCAACATTGCTAGCAAGGCAAGGATAGAAACTTATTTTCACCCTCAACTCAATTTTCAGTTGCTTCATTTTCTAATTACTCATCACTTAAGTCTTACGGTTCAAGTTTTCTTTGTCGTTTTTTGGCTAAGTGACTATTTTTGTAATGGTTTATGCAGGCATGAATCGAGAAAGTCACTTGTGGTCTGCTGGTGGCTTTTTTGTGGATGTATGGGAAATACAACTCTTGTGTGTGTGTTACGTGAGAGATTGACAAATGTTTAGGGATATACATTGCGCTTTTTCCCTGTCTTTTTCCATCGTTACAATGTAGCTGAAGTTGCCTAAAGAAGCTCTTTTTTGCTTGAATACTTGTTTCTTTGGATTTTCATTTAACTGTAAGTGTTAGATGCTTTGTTATCAACTGATGATATTAAATGAAAACATCTTCTGATTTATGTCTTTTCAATTGAAAATGACAGTGCCAATCATTTCCCATTTAGGTGATTATTCATCTACTTGTCTTGAATGATCTTGAATGTGATACTCGATTCTCCATACATGATTTCTCCCTCGAGTAATTTCGAACTATTGATTTCCATCTTTTGAACAGTTGAATGTTCACTCTCAAAGATGATTCTTTCCCTGATTTCTGCTGCTGCTTCCCGCTATAGATTTCTATCAAGTTGGCCTAGAATGCTCCTTTAATGGTCACCCTCAAAGATGAATTCTTTCCAGCCATAGATTTCTATCTAGATGTGATAGTGAAATACTTCCTTCAGTCCTTATTATACGCATTTTGATTTATCTTAAGTTTCATTTAGTGTCTTCTTTTAAAATAAAACTTTAAAAATATTTTATAACAATTGAAAGAGAATGATAAATGTAAAGATATATTTTTAAGGTTTTATTTTCAATTAGAATAATATATTAAATGAAATTTAGAATAAATCAAAATATTTTGTAATAAAGGTTGTAACATATCATTGAAACCTGATAATTGAAAGGCTGGAATTATGCGCTTTTTCAGAAGATATCAAGTTTGAAGGAAAAATCTGCCCATTAACAAAAAATAAAATAAAATACTTATGGTATAATTCAAAGGCTGAAATTATGCGCTTTTCAAAAGATATCAAGTTTGAAGGAAAAATCTGCCCATTAACAAAAAAAATACTTATGGTAAGAAAGGATTGCATCTCCCATCTTCACCGTGGATTCGAGCCCGGCTGGTAAGTCTTTCCAAGAACACCTTCCATGGGATCCGAAAGCTTGAAGAACTTGAACTGTGTCTCTAAATGAGCATAAGCATAAGCACCTTATTTTCTGGCTCTACAATCGGAACAACCTTTGTATCCACTTGAACAAGCCCAGAAACAGAGGCCCTCCAACAGTAGTAATGATAGTAATGAACTAATGATACATGACAACTTCACTCATCTAAGGTGAAAGTATTAACTATAAATAAGAAGTAGTAGTCATGATTAAAAGTATTACAACTTCACTCAGATGATGATTTATGTGGATTTATTCATTCTCCCAGCTTAGAGAATCACCATATCTCCACAGCTTTAAGATGTTTAAGGGGAAAGGCTATGCCTTTCTTAGAAACTCGGCGTCTTTTATATGGATCACCCTGGTGATCAAACTATAAAAGGAAACCAAGAAATAGATGTATTAATGCAAAAACCATGAAAGATTTATCCCAAGCCACCTGTAACAATAGCCGTATGAAGCAGAATATCAGGGCATAACTGACCCATGACATTCAGCGGAAAGGGGAAAAAAAGAGAGATAATTTACCTAAAAACAGCGTAATGAAATATACCTTGAGGATAAACTTCTCCAAGTTGGGGATGCCCTTATCATAGATGTAAATGCAATCAGGCTCAAGTCATCACATGGTGCATACATGGAGAAAGTTAATTGCTTCAATTTAGTAAATTGAGGAAGAGCTATATCGGGATCTCTCACCTGGGATAACCAAACAGCAAAACAACATAAAGAGACAGGGGAAAGGTTCATATTCACTCACACATAATAGTTCTAACATCCCATATCAATAGTCGACTTTCTTGAACTAAGTACACGAGTAATCACAAAAAAAAAAAAAAAAAAACTTCAAGAGGATAATAAGACTAACCTTTTCCACTTGCTCTTCCCGGATTTTTAAGGTAAGAACCTCCAAACTTGACTGGCAGCAAGAAAGCCAGGAAACAGCAACATTAACCAAGTTTGCATTTCCATTGACCCGCGGGATGAATCCACCAACAGAGACATCCACGAGCATGGGAACATTCTTCAGCACAAGACACTCACCTCGATTGGTTTTAAGCGAAACGATATTTGTATAGCAAACAGTGAGGGAAAGTAAATTGCGACAGTAACTTATCTCTAGATGTTTTAGTGCAAGAGATAGACCACAAACTTTAAAATTTACCAGATCGAGAGAGCCTTCCACTAGCAGAAACTCAAGAAAAGGGCAATTATGCAAGAAATACTCGGAACTTCCCCAGACACGTTTACAGAATTAAATATCAAAGTCCTGAGGGATTCAAAACCAAAATATTCTGCATTAGAGTTGATGCAGCTCCCACAGTAACCAGAAGCAGATAGTGCAGAGGATCTCTCATCATTCAGGCCAAGCAGGTCTCGAGGAAAATTATAAAAAAGCTCCACTACTATTAATAATTCCGTCATATTCCACAAAATTTAATTCTAGCCTGTGCACTCTCCTTGCAAACACATGCTGAAGCCATTTATCAAAATATCATGTTTGGAGCATGCATTCAGATCAAACCAAATTCTGAACACATCCAAAACAACAGCTTTGTGTGATTGCAGAACTGTGTTAACCCATTCAACATAATTGTGACGGTTGATCTCAAGTACTCCTGCATAATCTGGCAGCCCCTCCCCCATCAATCCCTTTCCAAAATTTTGGGGAGTCAAAATCCAGTTTAGCAACATTCAACCAAAGATCTACCCAACAGCATCTTCAAATGCCAAAAAAGAAAGGATACAGATAATAATTTCATTTGGGAGCTGACTAATCCGGTCAATTTGCTGCTCTTTCGTTTGACACTATTAGGGAGGAAAAGAATAAAAACAGTAGACTCATTAAAATTCAGCATAGCGTTTTATCGGTAGAATGTAATAGGGAAAAAAAAAACCCAAAAATAAAAATCATCAAATTTATCAGCAACATGGTATTACCTTTATGAGCTGGAAATCAGATGTCGCCTTTTTGGCCATCAAGAGAAGATCTTTCAGAGAATAAAACTAATGTATGGCTGATTACCATACTTCCATACAATACCTAAACTATGAAACAAAAATTTATCCCAACCAAAAACACAAGCTAACACCAAAAGCTGTAATTCAACATCGCATGTGAAAGGTACCTAATTTACTTCTATCGAGCTAAAATATAGTTCATGAAGGTCAAACAGGAGCAACAATACAGATATACAGAGAAAAAATTCAATCTTGGAAGGGGATTGTAAGCATTAAAAAACCTCAAAAGGATAATCTTCTTGTTGAATTGAAAAATTATATGCCACTCACTCTTGCTGGCCGGCCTGTGCTGATTGAGATGAACTGAGCTTTGACTCAACGACTGCCGTTGCCAGTTTAAAACCAACAACACTTCGACGTCACCCCAGTTAGGATTCAAATGACAGAGGCAAACTTAACAGAAGACTAGCAGCAGCATCAGCATGCTTTCTTTAATCATTGTCTTTGATCCACCAATTCAGCCTCAGTTTTTTTACTTTTTTCTTCCTTGTTTCCTAGGATCACTTGTAGCACCATTGCTTACCTGTCTGCAGCAGCCAATCCATCAGTTCAGCAACAGCAGTCATAGTAGGTAAGTAGCAAAGTTGCTGGGACTGTTTTTCACATATTCTTCCTCTTTCTCTTCTTCAACTTGTAACATAGCAGCTGCTAATTCTTACTCCTCAATTGAGTTTGATGCTGAAGAGTTCTTCCAATTGAGATCATCTGCCATCAATCCTCATTCTTCAGCTAAGATTCCTCCACTTGATTCAGTTTTGATCGATCCTCCAGGCCTTGATTTGCAGCAGCTTCCAGTTTGGTCATTTTTTATGCTATTTTGTGCAATTTGACCCCTAATTTATATTGATATTCCACATCGGTCCTCTGATCACCCTGAAATGTAAAATCAACCCAAAAGTAAACTAATTCTATCTAATTGACACATAATTCTAAGTAAAATTGAATAAAAAATGCTGGCTAAAATAGTATATATTTTAGTGTTATCAACTCAAAACAAATACCATTTTTCCTTGCACAAAATAGAAATTTTATTTTCCACCTTCATCCATCATAACTATAATTAAAAATTTTATCAACGGTTAGGGTCTACCATACGGCAATCCATGACAGTTTGTTCTCAAGGGCGGCTTAAGCCTAAGGCAAGTTCTGAAATCGAGACCTTTTGATAATAAAAGAAATTAAAAAAAATAAAAATTAACCCACTATATTTTTTTTGGATTTGAGACTAATAACTATATAAACCCTTGAACCTATCGCAGACGGAGTAAAAAACTTTTTTTCTTCCAAATATTCTAATCATTTTGGTTGAAAATTCTTATAAAAAATGTACATGATTTATCTCTTCGACTAAATTTTTTTCTATTGATATAATAGTCAATCTATTTATAATCTGTCTTGTGACATTATTGATCTTAAATAATTTTTTTATTAATTTAAGTTTTGAGAAATTTTTACTGCTAAAGTAACTGTTGCGTGAATAGTTAACATTATCCTATGGGTACTACAAGGAGTCTGTATCCAGTATAACCGGGGGCACCGTGTACCTCCTCCTATTTTTTGTGTTTCTAGTCCTTATTGTACTATTTTATCAATCTTTCTATATTTTGCAAGTTTAGTCCCGGTCATTTTTTCTCTCTCTTCCAAAAAAAAATATTTCTAATCTTTCTACGAGCATATCTTCCAATCCGTGAAGAATTTGTGAACGAATTATATATGAAATTTATAGTACTCATCGAGATCTATCCAACAAGATCCATAGTGAATATTTTTCCACTCTTAAAAATGACTTAATTCTGATGGACATAATAAAGGTGGATATCCAGTTTTATAATATAGATAACCAACTTATTCTAAATTGTTTATCCATTGTGTTCATGCTGATTATCCAATCAGTTTTAACTGGTTATCCATTTTGTTTGTACTGGTTATCTTGTTTGTAATGGATATCCCACTTGTTTGAAATGGATATCTAACTCGCTTGTATTGGATATCCATCCATTTGGTTTATATGCTTATCCAACTTGTTTTGTAGTTGTAATCCAACGGGTTTGTATGCATATCCAACTTGTTTGTGCTGCATATCCAACTCGCTTGTACTGGATATCCATCCACTTCATATTGATTATCCAACTTCTTAATTCAAAATAAGTTGGTTATCCATCTTCTTAAATTGGATATCCAATGTGTTCATATTGATTATCTAACTTCTTTATGATGATTATCCAGTATTTTTTTCCTTGCTCTTTTATGAAAATGATTGTCAAACTTTTTTGTACTGATTATCCAACGTGTTGCACTGATTATCTAATTATTTTCTATTGATTATCCAAATTGTCTGCAATGCTTATCCAATTATTTTTTTTTTTGAAGAGTGAATGTCAAAAATATGATTGGATAACAAGTACAAACAGAATGGATAATCAGTCCAAACCGGTTGGATAATCAGTAGGAACACAACGGATAACCATTTTTCAAAGAAAAACGAAAAACACATTTCTTCATTTATGCTCGTAAAATTTAAATGCATTTAAAGTTCAAAAAAAATATTCAACATGGATCTTATCGGATAGATTTCGTCGATCACTGTAAATTTCATGTATAATTCGTATTCTAATTCTTTACAGATCAAGAGATATATCCAATACAAGAATCTTAATCTAAACTAAACTGGTTATCCATCTTTCTAAACTAGATATCCATTTTATTCTGCCCATCGAAATTTAGTAATTTTTAAACTCGAAAAAAAATTTTGACGTAGATCTTGTTGGATAGAACTCGACAGTACTATAATTTTCATGTATAACACATTCTCTAACTTTTAACGGATCATGAGATATGGTCGTTTAAAGATTAGAGATATTTTTTAAAGGAGAAAAAAAAAATCAAAGGGACTAAACCTGTAAATTATATGATGTTATTTAGAAAAGTGGAAAAAAAATGTAGTAAGGACTAGTAGTGTAAAAAATACGAGGGGGAGTATGGCGCCCCCGCGTATACTGGATAAATTGCCCACTACAAGTATTTTGAAAATGATTTATGTCTTTTAATATAATTAAGTATATCAATTGGATTATAATTCTTAGCATTTACATTTTTTTCTTAATTTTTTAGCTCATAAAATAAATCTAAACGGCCAATATCTAAACTATCATTGTGTTTTAAGGAGTTTTGAAGGTTAAAACAACTCTTTTCTAAATTTTTGCCATAAAGTGTTTTTAATTTTTTCAAACTAATTTTAAAACCAATTTCTTTTTCCGTACATTTTAAAATTTACAAATCAACTTTGTAGTGATGAGATAACTCCATTAACTATTTAAAGAAAATAATCAGTTTTGAAAATATTTTGAGGGGTTTTAATAGTTTCAATCTCCATATTTTCATCAAAACATGTATTTCTATGAATTTACTTTTTTCTTCAAATTTAGGTTCTATGTCCATCTTGACACCAATTTCACAGTTGAAGTTATAGGATTTTTGAATTCATCTTTTCTGTATTTCTCCAAAAAAAAAAAAAGTAATGTGGTCTTTTAATTATTCTATAAAATAAAGGAAGACATGTATGAATGTCGAGTTGATTTTTTTATATATATAATTAGTTAATATTTATTAGTACTAAAATTTTTCAATACACACACATACACACACGTACACCGGGCTCTTCATTTTCTGAGGCCCTAGCCGATAGCCTATTTTGCCTAATAGGACAGCCACCCCTGTTTGTTCTCATCCAATCAGGATTCAGGACCCATCTTTTTCCTTAATTCTTATAAATAGCCTCGAATTTCTTCCTTTTTTTTTGCTCTAAATTTTACTCTGTATTTTCAATTTTTGATTACTATTTCAAATAGTTTGTTCCGTATTCTCATGGCTCCATCCACCTGTGCTCGTACTGCCAGCTATCCTCAAGCCTTACTCAATTCAAGTCACATGATCCGCGAAATTGCTAGTGCATATAGTGCGGTTGACAAATTCTTGCCTCGGCTTCTCGCTTTGGGGGCCAACCAGCCTAATCCAACTCTGGTTCTTGTGTTCACTCAACTGGAAGTTCGTGCTCTTGAGAAGATTTCCAAAGAGAATCCAAGCTGGGAGTTTCTGATCATTCCCTGAAGTAAACATGTTAGGCACTGTGCTGTGGAAAGAAACCTACCAGTGATTGAGAAGTCCAAAAACTTTTATCATCAATGCTAATCGGTCAAGATGATTTGGTAGCAAAATATGGATATGTTATAATAAATGTTGTGTATTAGGCTGTTTTAGGGGATGGGTAGGGGTAGTTTAAATTTAAGTAAATAATCTCTTCTACTTGAAATTTTATGATTTTCAAGTGAGAGTGGAGCGGGGGTTTTAGATGAGAAATGAGTAGTTGATGAAAACATGTACAAGCTGACGTACCCATGCTTTTATGACTGATACATCTTTGTTATTAATGAAGGGTTTGTTTGGACATCCACTCAATTTGCATTTTCAACTCAATTTAGCTTTTAAACACAAAATCTAATGCAAAACAAACAACTAATCCAAACAACTTTTCAATTTACGTTTTGAAATTTAACTTAAACTACATTTTAGCATAATATTTAATATAGTGACCATTTATGAAATTAAAATAATTCAGTGACCAAACTGAAGATTTTACAATAGTTATCGTCACACCGCCGACTGTTCTAAATATAGATTTTATTTATAGAAAATAAAGAACTTATAATTCATGTAAATAATATCACATTAGGAAATAGCAATTAAAAAATAAAATTACTTGGAACCTAGGATTTCGGAAGGTAAAGTTAGAACTTGACTCTCTGGAGGTACTACAGTTCTTAGTAGTGAAGGACATTACTTTTGTAAATAGCAATGTATGTCTTAGAATTAGACAGCTAATTAGTCTTAATTGACAAGTTTTAGTGGGACATACTCGACGGTCAAATAACGAAATCGCGGATGTCTTAGCGAAATTTGGCATCTCTTGCCCGTACGAGTTTCATATTTTGTGACGCCTCCGTCTACAGGTAGACAACATTTAGACAGTAACAAGTTAGCTTCATCCCATACTCCTAAGGATGTTTTGTAATTAAGCCGTTGGCTTCTCTCATAACTAAAAAAAAAATGTAAAGATTGAGTACTGACCAAATATATATTATTTCAGTGTGTATTGAAAACAGCTTTTCTTTTAATTTTTTTGACGTTAGTCGGCCGAGGGTTTTGGGTTAATTCATTGTGTATCTCTGTCTTTTATGGTTAATTAATTAATCAATTTTATTTTTAATTGCTATTTACTAATGTGATATTATTTACATGAATTATAAGCTTTTTATTTTCTATAAATAAAATCTATATTTAGAACCGCAGGCTTATTTTCAATTGTTTTGGCCATTTGCAACCGAGTTGATGCCGTTGGAACTTAATATTGTACATGTAATCAATTTTCTATTTGGTTGCCAGTTCTCAGTGTTCGACAAAACACACTTGACGCGATCCAAAAATTTATTGGATAAAATATAAAATTCGAGTTTCTAATTTTCATCCAATTGTTGTTTTGAAATATCCATTAATTTATTAGTATCAACATTGGTAAGGTTTGGAAACATTTTATTTCTTGTTGAAATTGTTAGCGACAACCTTGTATGTCTTCCTAGCAAAGGCGATGAAGAAGTTGCATAGAGACCAAAATTCTATATGGTATAACTTTTTTAGATAAATTAGAGTTTTTTTACATTAAAAATACGAATCAACATAGTAATCTATATTTACATTACGTCAATATTTTATGACTCATCGATGTAAAAGCATTCAGAATCAAACCTTATATAGTTCATTTGATTAATTTTTCTACTCGGTTAATGATTTTCATAATCTGATTGAAAAATATACACGATCAGGAAATCTGCGCATGTATATAACTCTGGAACCTCTCGTTGCAAATGTCAGAGTCAATATGAACGATGCAAACTTGTTAACATTGTAAATCAGTATTAAAACGTAAAATTGAGTACTAAGCAATGTGTAT